CAGAGATAACTTCGAACAGCAGGCCAGGGACGAGTCATTCTCCAGTATCCCCCCGCCGTAGTTTTCATCCACATCGACCACTTCTCGCACCCTCCTTTTGAAGGATTGCAAGAGGGAGTACTACCTATCTTCCCAACCTCCACATCTTTCGGCATCGACACACAAACACACGGGCATGCTACTATTCGGGCGGAGGCAATACGCCCTCACCCCTGCATACGCGTTCACAGATTATAAATCACAGGGCCAAACCATCCCAGTAGTACTGGTTGACCTCGAGAACCCACCTCACGGCCGCTTCACGCCCTTCAATACATACGTGGCGCTGTCTCGGAGTCACGGACGCGACAGCATACGAATTTTGAGAGGCTTCGATCCCAAAATTTTCACTACACATCCGTCGAACAGCCTACGGGAAGAAGACCTGCGACTGGAGGCGCTAACAAGAGAGACACGCCGAAGACACCCCTCCCGACCGCAAACGTAATCACTTTCTCGTCACCCAACGCCACATCGAAGCCCGGAGTACGGCAAATTCGGGGAATACCAATGAAGCCGATACAGCGGAGCGTTCACATCCCCACGACACTAGTACACGCGTACGCGGCGAGCGGCGGCTAGGCGCTACATCTAAACTAGCATTCTACATCGAACACCAAGGCTCTATAAAGCCCCGTCAGCCCGTCCCACTAGCTATATAGCCCTCCAACGCTCACCGACGTCATGCCTCTCGCCACTCTTATCTCCCGCGCGACAACACACTGTGGGTTTTGCAACGCAGCAGCCGCTAAACGGTGCTGCTCCGCTTGTCGAGTGACGCGCTACTGTGACTCCAAGTGCCAAAAGAAAGACTGGCCATCGCACAAAACCCCCTGTAAGGCGCATTCAAAGAACCTCGCCTCCATACAAGACCCAGAGGTGGCCAGCGCAGTCCAATCTTTCTCCAACTTCGTCGAAGACTGGCATATAGCCCTCGGACAATGGGCCTTGTACTGCGCGAATCTCGCTAACAACAGCGATAACTACCTAGAAGAAGCCTTGTAAGAACTCACTCTCAAATGACAACACCCTTTACCCCCCACAGTTTCGCAGTTACGGTCGAGCCCACTACCTGCACAAACAGGTTGAATCGACGCGCGGCCTATGACGTGAGTCGCATCTCAATTGCACAACAATACTCTTACAATTAGCACAGGTACAAAAGGCAGCCATGTACCCTAACCTAGAGTTCGAAAGCCTTTTACCACCTAGATCTCCTACCGCCGAAGGCCTCGCTAACGAAGACCAGTTTATCGTCGAGTTCAGACAAATGGCACCCAAGGCAGACACGCTCCGTCTAGTTATCAGCTCAAGCGCCGTCTGCACTATGTTCAGTATCCCGGTCAACCGCGTTTTCCCACCAGAACTCGCCGGGTGGATAAACAACCCGTTTGTCTCGAGTTTCTTCCACACCGTGTTCGAAGCAGAATTTAAGACTAGCATATCTTCAGGCACAGGTACGTGCCCAATTGGTCCCCGGGCCCCACTCACCAATGCCTTCAACCAAACAGTCAACGCGTCGCTGAACCGAGCAATCGAGCTCTACATCTACCTCACGACAGGTAGCATCGTAACACTGCCGGACTCGGCGTAGGCAGCTGAAGGGGCAAGATATATATACGCGCCCACCTGTATCCAGCACTTCTTTAGAATAAGCACACATTCCGCGCCAAATGTGATCGCATCACCCATGCGCCATCGCTAACTTATTGTAAACCTGCGAACACGAGTAACACGCTCGCCTTCCTCTCACCAATGCTACGTCGACATCACTTTACGCAACTGCCGCCGACCACCTCCACCCTCTTCGCTTACCCTGTTTTCAGCGGGCCAACGACGCCTAAGCGAAGCCGTCCCCCCAACAACAACGGGGACGATATACGGACCGACACAAGGCCCCCTCTAACTCTCCTATATGCCGCCGGTTCCAACCGCTCCACCACTTTTTAACGATCACTGGGGCAGAGCGCGCCAAAAGTATGCCTGCATCGGAGCAGGAGAACTCGTACTATGCTGGGAAGACGAAATCTGGTCTGTGAGGCCTGCGCCGACCACGCAACAGGCTTGCAACGGACACTACGAACTGGCGCTGCCGAGTGGGGCGCTACACCGGATAGAAATGGCGGAAACCGAATGGGACAGTATATTCGAAAAGCCATGCTCCCCCACAGCAAAAGAACTACGCGTATGGGAGCATGTCGATATGTACTGCGACGGCGACTTGCCTTTCCCCATCGATTCAACCGCACTGGTCGCTGGCAACCGAGTATCGTTATATCACTACAGGGAAGGTTTCGGGCGACACAGATGCAGTGGTTTCATACTTTCGACAGATGATGAAGGGCTATGCCGTGTGCGAATGACAACGCGCGGCGTCCCACTGGACGCCAACTCCCCTACGCTCACAGCCGAACTCTTGAAACCTGCGGACGACCTGGAAGACGAGACGACAGTAGCGAGAGAACTCCTACGACCCCACTTCCTTACCGGATCACCCATACTGCACGCTGGCGACAGAGTAGTGATCGTCCAAGGCAGAAACGAAGGCCAAATAGGGGAAGTGGACAGAATTCAGCCATCCCTTCGTAATAGCCTCCTCGTTCTCGACACCACTAAAGGGTGTTTAGCAAACATTGGCCTGAACCAAGTAGCCAAATTATTTCTGCCGGGCGACCACGTCGTCATCATCTACGGACACTATGAAGGACAAAGTGGAATTATTGCCGCGACCTTCTCCCTAATCACCAGAACAGCAAAACGACCCCACTCTCCGCTTGGAGGGGTGCGAATAATCGTAGTAAGCTCCTCCCACCAGCCGCGCACGCAAAAGTTAAACACCCCCCCCCCTCCCCCAAGCACAGGACGCACTCCAAGGCATGGTACGCAACGCGAAAAAAACGACTGGCTCATTTCCCACCACTTTTCAGGTTTCCGTCCCTTCCCAGTTCGTAGACTTCGACCCCAAAACACTCACATCTAGACCTGGGCGGACAACATTAGATACAGCGTAAGGCGTAATATTAATCGAAGGAAGTAGGACTTATCACCATTACATACCCTTCTATGTTATAGCTACTTACTTACGCTCCTTCCCCTGCTATGTCAGCAATCATGATATGTTTACGGTTATTTGGAATCATTGTTTGTACCTGTTTACTGATTGAATTTAGAACATCCAGGACCTAGCTAAAGCAAGGTAAAAAGGTCATTCGCGCCTTCGAGGACACTTCCAACCCCGATTTACCAAACTGGTCGACGGAAACGTTGAATTGGTTGACTGAGTATATTTGTTCGCCCTTGACTTTTCGACTACTGATGTGCTTCACTCAGACGTGTTTTTGGTGAATGCGAAGAAGATGGAAATGACTCGAATAATGAGGAAGTTGCAAGTGATGACGACGAGGCGATTATTCAGAGCCGTCGTCGTGCTGCCTCAGAACGTCTCCCAGTATCAGCAGCTCCTTAAGCTCTCAGCTTGTAGGTCCCCACTCACCACACCACCTGCTTGTCTGTTTTTTTCGCTCGTCGTCGCATCCACTGCATGCTGGCATTCTCCGTAACTGTTTGACGATGATGTATATCACAATAATGCATGTTATAATAATAATCTGTCTCTCTGCAAACTGGTTTGAGCGGTTGGATTCATTTGAAACCTGATGTGACGGTTGTCAGTGGTAATAGGCAAGAATAAACAGTTGCAAGTGTTGGGAAGCTTGGAGCTAGTCATTAGCAGCCTACTGCCCTTCTTCGATCCCACAAGTCCACCCAGCCCTTCGGACATGCTACCAGCCACAATAAGGGTGGCGCGAACTTACATGGACGAAAAGTCGTTACAAGGCCAAAATGAGTTGTCGCGCGATTATAAGACCTTTGTAACGTCTTTTCATTTTCAAGATCCCCTTGCATCGCCCTTCTCAACCTGTCATGAGGCTCAAGAGCAATTATGATGACTTTTTTGGCTAGTAAACGTATTACAAGCGGCTCGTAAGGTTGACCCCAATTTGGTGATGATGTTCAGCTCACGAATATCTACGTTGAGATCATCGGTGTGCTGCTTGCAACTCTGTGGGCAGCAGAGGGTAGGCGAGCCGAGAATGATTCGGACTTTGTACCCGCTCCCCCCACGTGCCGCGATGCGGCCAAGTGCATCTGGGTTGTCGTCGATTAACTTCAATGTCCCTGCGAGGTACAAAGGTCGTCATGTGTCCAATGATGTGAGCACAGGCACCGTCGTGAACACCACTCGCGACATTGAGCTGGATCCCATGGCGAGCTCCGGCGACACGAGCCAGTATACGTATCAGGAAGAGGAGGTCAAACACGATGATGTTGTGTAGCTGGTTTGATTGGATTCTCAGTATTATTTGAATGGGCGCCCGATTGATGTACCAAATACGGCAAACTTGAACGGACCAGTTTTCGTTTTAGGGAGAAGTACCCTCGTTATGCAGATCGAAAGGGTGAGCGAGCAAAATTGGCTTGTTTCTTTATTATACAGTATCTATCACTTCGAAAGCATTGCGAGGTATATAGGGTGCTGTGAGTAATTCCTCAGGAATTACTCACAGCTGTTTCGAAACTGTTTCGAAACACCCCCCGTTTCGAAACTGTTTCGAAACCGGCCGCTTACCGGGGCCGGACCACCCGGCGCTCGTAGCCGGCGATGGTTCCAGTCGGTCCGAATCCAGGCCAACTGAGCTTGGCGACAGGAACTCCGCGGAAGTCAGCGACGGCTCGGCGACGGCCTCAGTTGGCCGGCGAGGCCATGGCATCCGTTGCCGCAGGTATCCGGGAAGCCATGGGCCGGTCCCCGGAGTCACGTGTCGGTTTCGAAACCGGGTCGACCCCCGGCCGATTTCAAAACTCACACGTGTTTCGAAACCGGTTTCGAAACTGTTTCGAAACACGTTCAACTCACAGCACCCTAGAGGTATACAACCATTGTCGGGAGATACAACTACTTAATCTACTTGCTTAGCTGAGCTAAGATTATCCAACGAAGAAGCGAGCGGCATGAGGACGCGGGTGCCACCTACGGCAACCATCATGTTGACTCCTTGCTCTGGTACAAGGTAGTCTTCCACCCGCGAAACAATACCCTCGCTATCGGAAAACGGCATCTCGCGAATTTTGGGTTCCTCCATTGTCTCCAGCTCTTCGTGTAGGGCTGTAAGGGCTTCAAAGGTCGGGTCGCCGTCGTTCGGGTTTAAAGCCCTCCACAGCCCTCGAAGCGTCAAAGTTCTCAGCCCCCATCGACGCGGCTCTACGTCAGGACTGGGCTTTTCGTCGATATAAGGCAGTTGTTGCGCAGGCACCAGTATAAAAGAGTCGTAGACGTCCTCCCAAGCAGAGATGGGACTGCGGAAGAGAAGTTCGAAGACGCCATGCATGGTGGGTTCCATATTAGATCGCCGCGACAAGCTTCTACGTGTCCGATTGGCCAAAACCTTCGTCGCTAAAACGAGCAAGCGCTGAAACCCGCCATCCAAACACAGAGCAGGAGCGAGTTCCGACGGGAGATCGAAGTAGGCTCTCGCCACAGGATAGACTGTCGAATGTATCTGGGCAGTATTCAATAATTCACGTCAGACACTTTAGGAGCAAAAAGTATTACCTTTCTCAAAAGATTTTTGCTTGCCACCCGGAGCTGCCGTTCTGGATCATATGACAGAAGACCCAGGTCTCGTAGCGCTTCAACTGTGAAGGCCCAACCATGTAGGGGTCGATATCCTGTGTGTTCAAGTGTGCCTTGCGTAAGCAAGTCAATGAGCGTATTGATCGTCACTCTTTCATCATCGGCATCCTCTTGTAAAGATTCAAGCATCACAGAAAGAGTGTGGAAGGGAGTGGTGAGGCGAGGCGATAGCACCTTGTTGGCCAAGCGAGCGATATGTAGGATGATTTGTTGCGGGTGAAGTAAGGGCGTTGATGTGCAATGAGGAGGAAAGTAATATTGACCTGCGAGGTCTCGAAAGTCGGTGGCCGATGGACAGTGTGGTAGAAATGCACCGCTGAAGTTGTGGGCTTCGTCGTCATTGAAGCCACAGGAAAGAGCGAGCTCCGGCAGCTCCATCAGGGCAAATGCGGACATGGACTTTGACAGTTGCGGATTCAACGTTTGGGGTGTAAGAGTCCCCGTCACGAGAAGCTTTGCAATAACATCGATCCCATCCAACAGAGGACACCAGAAAAGAGTGTCTAACAGCTCTTCGATTGTGTCTCTGAGCCCCAGGCGGCCATCATATTCGCCATCCTCGGACAGAAGAAACTCATGGGCAGAGATCGCAGCATCGTAATCGTCGACGCCAACAAAAATATCGTAGCTACTCTTTTTTACGATATCCTGGAGGGAGTTCAGCTAAGATAAATAAAGAGGAGTAATCCTTACCCAAAACTTAGCAAACATTGCCAATATATTAGGCTGTCCATGCAACGCCGGGACCTCGAGAATATCTGAGACGCCCGACAAGCCAAGTTCTGCAGTATATTTGTAGACAAACGAGTACAATTGTCCGGAGACGTGAGACCGAATGTCCCACTCGATGTCGCTTGGTTGCCCTCGCATAATGGTGGTTGGGAAGCAGAAAAGCAGACACAAATGTCGGTCACGAGTCGCGAATGTGTTCGTCGAGGCCTTGTAGACGTCAAGGTGGGACCAGTCATCGTCTCTGAGAACACTGCGAGCATCGTAGTACTCTGCCAAAGTCGAGAGGAAGGTGCTCTTCCCGAAGCGTGGCGGACGAACCAACAGGGCAAAGTATTTAGCGGGTAGTTGAGCGATGCAGGCAGTTTTGTCCACATAAGCTTCAGGTTGGTTTATCAGATCGTTGAAAAGGTCATCAATATCCGGTAGCTTGATTGATTGAGTAAAGCAAAGAAATGAAAGGGTAAACGCGTACGTTGTGTTGAGAGGAAGCCTCGGCTCGGAAGGATGTGTCCGCAGAGGATGAGAAAGACGACGTTGTTGGTAGGCGCAGGCGCTTCCTACCAGGCAACTCGTCGTCTGTCTTGAGCTCTTCTGTATCACTCTCACTGTCTGAGTACCGCTTCAGCCGTCTAGGAGAGTGTCCCTGCGATGTAGGTGTTGTAGGTTGGGGAGATGATAGGCATTGATAGCGTATTGCGCGTCTTGAAGCCAGTTTCTAGCGCGCTTCGGAAGTCGCTGAAAGTGGGTGAAGTGGACAGTGGCAAGGGCACCGTGGCATACAACAACCACTGAAAGGGTCAGTTAAGCGTGGGAACGCGGCACTTCGGAACGCTGTCAATAATGGCCCAAAAAGGAATCCACTGTCACTCAGCTCATTCATCGCCTCTTCATCTCATCGCATCCTCAAGTCTCTCCGTTTCTCGTCGCACCATGCTCTTCTACCTTACATCGCGCATCGTCAGGTGCGTCTCCCTGTCCTTTGTGATTCTTGACTGCTAATCATAAACAGCGCGGTCGGGGCGTTTCTTTATCCTGGTTACGCGTCATATAAGACATTGAGTCAGCGGCCAGCGTCTGAAGAGGAGATTGAGCGATGGCTTATGTACTGGACTGTGCTTGGCTGCATAGTCGGTGTCGAATATGTTGCGGAGTGGGCCGTCTGCTGGTACGCCCTCCACTCTTTCATCGCCATCCGATCTTACCACCAAGCAGGATTCCTCTATACTATCCTATCAAAACACTCTTCCTCCTCTACCTTGCCCTCCCGCAGACCCGTGGTGCGACGTTCATCTACACCGTCCACCTCCGCCCTTTGTTCGCTGCACATGAGGCTGATATCGATTCGGCTCTTGCTCAGCTGCGGGTCTACGTCTACAACTTGCTCCAGTCCCAGCTTCGCTCATTATGGGCTTACTTGGGCGCTGCTGCTGGACAGACACCCGAATCTGGTCCCCCAACTCAAGCCTCTCCTCAGGCCGATCCCAACACCGCAGGCTTGAATTTACCTGGCGCAATTGGCAGTTTCTGGCGGACATATGGCCCGGGTATCATGGCCAGCGGCGCTGCCTTACTTCAGCCGGCAGCCGTCCCAACACAAGCTCAGCGTCCTGCAGAAACCCGATCTGTACTGGAGCGTCGTCGACAACTGGAAGCAGAACTCGCGGCTCTTTCTGCAGCCGACCCCATTGCAATGCCAATGCCATCCCCTTCGACCACTTATTCAGCACGAAGCTCTGATGCCAGTCTCCACCAACGGAATAGGGCAGACAGTTCACAATTCCGCTTTGAGGAGGTCGAGGTCCCAAGCGATGTCGAGGGTTACGACACGCGGGATGATTCAGATGGCCCGAACGCTGCCAGACCCTCGCCCGCCCAGCGCGGAAGCTGGTTTGCCTGGGGAGGTGCCGCAAGACAAGGCTATGAACGCGTTAAGACAGAGTAAACGGCTCTGGACTACATACTTAGTGACTCTGATCGCATCCAATCTCCTTTTTTACATCCATCGTTGCCCAACTTCTTGTATCCCATCTACGCCTGCATTGTATATTTACTTTTTTCCATTTATGACAATTCGTTTGAATCACCAGCAAGTCCCAGGCTACATGGTTGGTGATTTCAAGTTCGGAAGAGTAGATTACATCAGCTCCAATTCAGATGGAGATGTTAAGCAGATAGTAGTTAGAATCAAAAGGTGAGTTTTTCGACTACTTATGACAAAATATCTGAGGCCAATCGGCTACAGAAAACTGATTGAGTTTTAAATGCAATCCTCTAAGCTGGAGCTTGCATCGGTTCCTCAGCTATGTTGACGATCCATTTACACCAAGCCTACACGCAGCAAGTTTGTTTCTGCCAGCCTCAATCAGCAGACTCGATCGCTTTCCTTCGGATGATTCATGAAAAGATGGATCAACTTGAAGCAAGGTGCAGAGAATGCTGCGGTTCCATAAGGGCGTCAGATCTTCAGAATGATTGAAATTATCGCTGAACGTAAGTTGACCGACCGACACCGCCGTCTTACACGAGATGTTGGGTTGGAGGCCGTCAGATGGGAGCTGAAAAGCCAAAAAAGATGTGAAGAAAGGACCAGGTTCGATGCACAAGCCCGAGTAACGGGTGGTGTCACAGAGAATAGCAAGTAGGCAAAGAGGATAGTCGGAAACACGGAAGTCAGTGAGTTCGCCGCGTCGATACCAGAATAAGAATGCGACCCCATTGGCGGTAACATTTGCCCACGATTCAGCGCAGACGGACTGGTATCGAGGGATCGTCTCGGTGAGCAGCGTTTTGTAAGCCGAGGTTGCTTGAACGATCGAGAAGCAATGCCCGAGTCATTCTTGCTAAGCTTCTCCAGGCAGGTTTCAGTTGTGGGTGCTGGGTATGTGCGGAGACCTTATTCGAGCGGGTGGCGTTAGATTGTACATAGCGTCATCCGAATAAGGTTGGGATTGGCGATTCGGGTATCGTGGAATTGTCAGTCGGCCCACAATTCGTGGGTGCGTGTGGGCGGGCTCTCATGCCTACCAAGATGGGAAATCGAACCGGGGTTCGATGAATCCGAGACCTTCAGAACGAGAAGCTGGAAGTACTTTACCCACCAGCTGTCTGTGAACACTTGCTCTGTACGTGGACGTCAGATTGTCGTCAAAAGCCAAAGTTGGTGCCCACTAGATTCCGTGTGGTTTGCGAGCGTCCGTAAATGAATGCAGCGAAGAGGTGTTATTCGGCCGAACGCGCGACGTTCTACCCTACTATGAATATAACGTCCACCCTGGTGGCGGCTGCCTTTTCTGTTGCGCATAATGAAGGCAAAGACGCGCGTTGTGGCGCGTGTTGCCCGACTTGACCGAGAGTTGGTGGGCTGCGGGTACCTTCTGGACCACAAGCATCTGACATGGGAGGAGGAGAGCGTATTTATGGGACCTCATCTGGCCATATGTGGTGGTCAGCGACAGAATTCACCGAGAAATTCAAATGATCGTGATCGTGATCTGCCAAATACTGCCGCATGATTGCCGCCGAACCGCCGAACGGGACCAAATTGTCATCCTGCGAAGCATAAGAGTAATACACTATTCGTACTCCGTCACCTGCTTCGTTTCTTTCTTCCTTTCTATTTGACTGACTTATCTTTCTCTCCACCCACCACTATCCCTCCTCTCATTCAACAACGAAAACGTCCCAAGGCTATCGGAGCACAAACCAGAAGGAGAGACCCACAAAATGCCCCAGGCAGCGAAGAAGGAAATCTCCTCCCAACGACAGCAGGACAAGGAGTCTAAACGCGCCAGAGGTGCGTTGAACTGTTTTGCGAGCAAATTTTCAAATAACGATCTCTGTCTAGGCGCCCTCTCATGTGCAGAATGCCGTCGGTCAGTCTTTGACCGCCACAAACTCCAAGACGGCTGACATCCACCCTCAGACTGAAGCTCAAATGTGATAAAACTGTTCCATGCTCAAGGTGGGTATCGACGCCTAAGCTGGCCCTCTATTTTCTGGATGCGATCTTGGTTGTTTGCGCACCCCACGTCTTTTTCTGAATCCCTATCTCGACTGGAGAGCTAACGCTTCATTTCATAGCTGTAAACGACGCGGATGCTCCGCAATTTGCCCCAATGGGAGTCTTATTACTGGTGAGTTTCCTTCCTCGAACGATTGGGCCCTTAATCTTCGCATTAGGACAGGGCACGCGGTGGGTTTGCTCTCTGTCAACTCTTCGCCATTATAGTAACCCAAGCGCCGTAGATTTGTACTTGCCGACACGGAAAAGCTTCACCACAAGATCGCCACCATGAGCGACCGAATCAGGCATCTGGAGGACGCGCTTGCCGTTCTGCAAAGCACAGTCACCCCAGAACCCCACCCTCTCCTTACGCGCGAACTTCTGAAGATCAAGTCCAGCATCGAACTGCATGCAGCAATTGATGATGTAGATGCTGATATATCGAATCCTATACCAGAAGGAGAACAACCCGAAAACGTAGAGGATTATATCGATGCATTTGGGACATTAGCAATTCGGGAGGATGGAGCAGCGACTTTCTACGGTAGAAGTGCTGGTCATGAGGCGAGTTTTGTTCCTCAATCTCTCTCTCCTTTCATATTCTAATACCACACTGTTTTCAGAGTCTCTTGGCGGGGTGAAGTTCCGCAAGATTCTCCCTCTCCTTCTCCCGCTATGTCTACCATGATGGGCCCACAACGGCATGACAGTCTTCCCCTCAGCCCATCGTCTTCTCTGGCCGGCTTTGCCGCCTCTTTCCCCTTCTCCAGGTCATCAATGAGTCTTCCTGCGGGAATTGACCTTGATTTCTTGGCCGCAAGACTACCGCCTTTTACCGAAATTCATCGGTTATGCGAACTGTACCTCACCCAAGCGCCGTGGTTTTTCGGGGCCGTTACGCGCTCCCAATTGTCGGATGAAATCCTGCCTTTGTGGTTTCCCGATGATGCGCCACGACCGGCTTCCGCGCCGACTCTAGCGGGTGGTGGCGGACGGGGACTGAGCCCACCACCGGTGGGAACGGCGCATGATCTCGCATTGCTCTACGTGATACTCTGCTTTGGCGCGTTGGCAGACAGCAGTCTCCCTTTCCCGAGCGCTTCTAATGAAGCTATCTCGTCAATGGACGACTTTCGCCCAGACTCACGCGGAGGGTATGATTCTGGGCACTACTACAAGCTAACGAAAGCTTCTTTAACCCTCGAGCCCGTGCTGGAAGGCCCCCCAAGCGTTGCGACCGTACAGACGTTGGCACTGATGGCGATCTACGAGGGACTCCGTGCCGGAGAGAATAGCATCGAAAGCACCTGGGCGATCTTTGGGATGTCCACTAAGTTAGCGCAAAGCGTATGTTAGTCCTTGACGAAAACGAAGATGCTGATGCATTGTCTTAGCTTGGCCTTCGTAAATCCCTTCTTTGTCAGACTCCATAGCGCAGTTCGTTGACTTAATGTCTAGATCGCGATTGTGCTCGGTGGGGCCTCAAGCCGGCTGAGGTTCAGAAACGTCGCGCACTGTTTTGGGAGCTGTTTATTACCGATTGCTGGCAGGTAAGGATGCTGATCTTTCCGTTGGAACCCTTTATCATGAGACACACACTAGGCGCTCGCAACGGGCCGGCTTCCGACCTTCTCCCTTCCATTTGTCGACTGCGAGCTACCGCAAGATGTGGATGAGACTATTGCAGATGACGGCAAGCCGCAGTCCTCATGTGAGTTATTGTTTCCATCTGAAGCTTCCCGCCCTGCGGTTCCGCTTTGGAAGGCATGCTAGCGATAAGACTAATATATGTTGCATTATCCAGTTCCTTTTTGGAAAGCGCGTTTCGGTGCCGAATGCCTTTCCGCGGTCGTGCAAGGGACGCTGACTTCACGGGCTCCGAGGTACTCAATCATTCTCGAACTCGACCGGAAAGTCCGCGACATGGAATTCCCAAAATATGCCACGGGATCTCCCCCAGAAGGTGCCGGGTTCACACCAACGATGAGTCACTTCATGCCCTTCAACTATAGGCAATGGGGTGCGTTTTTCTTTCGTCGATATTAGTATCATGCTGACCCACTTTCAGCCCTATTGTACATTCACCGCTGTTTCTTCGCTCATGCGATTCAAAACTACCCGAATGACCCCATCAAAAGCCCATATGCGCCCTCGTTTTTGGCCGGTTATCGAAGTGCATGCGATCTTCTAAGTTCGCTGCAGCTACAATTTACCGCTTTCCCCACCGAAATCGCGCGTTATTGGGTTCTCTGGACACATGCATTCTCTTCATCGGTGAGTTGCCATCGAGTCAATGTCTCCACAACGGGCTAAATGGATCATAAGATAATGCTGTCCTCGGTCGTTACACATGCGACGCGTTCCAAAGTTGCGAAAGCAGCGTTACTTGAGCTGGGAAAGGCGTGCCAACTGTTTGAAGCAGCGGCCCATATTTGTCCTGGCTCCCGGGCCGGGAAATTCTTGCCCATTTTGCAGCGGGTGTCGAAGCGCGCCGCGTCGTTATACGAGGATGCGCTTAATGGTGCTCCAGCACCCATCCCAAATAACATATTTGAGCCGTCAAAGGTAGAGCCCAACGACGAGCTATCGATATTCAGTGGCAAGACACACACTGTCACAACAGTCAAGAAAAAGGCCCATAACGCGCCGTCTCCGCCATCCGCTCGGTCCACATCTGATTCTCCGACCCAACAGCCGCAGGTTGTCACAGACAACCCGTCGTTTGCAGGTGTCCACCCGAATCTCGTCAAAGAGCTCAACGGCTTTGACGTGACCCTGAATGCCCAGATCCAAAATGCCTATCAGTCGAATAGCTTGTATACGGAACAAGTGCTGGGCCACGGGCAGCAGTATCCGATGCAATCTTCTTATCAACAACAACAAATGCTACACGAACAAGAAGAGTATCGACGACAACAACAACAAGAAAGCGAGATGCAGTACCGTCAAGATGCCTACAGTCGGCCCTCGACGCATGCGGGTTATGAGTCATATGCGCCTTCGCCCATTTCACCGGCCCACTCCCAGAGCCAGACCCTGATGCATTCAACATCCCATCGGAGTCTCCGGCAGGTTTCCTATCAACAACAACAGCAACAACAACAGGACATCCCCATGCCCCCCAGTCGCTCCCTCTCGCACTCTCAGTCCCAGCGCAGCCTCCGCGAATCGTACAGCTCCTCCCGCCAAGAGGTGTTCGCCTACGACCCCGCGTCATCTGTGCAGACTTCGCTGCCAATGTCTGGTTACGTAAACGAGCCCCGCACTGCCTCTTATCAAACCCAAGCGCAGCCATCGGCGCAGTACTGGGCCCCCGCGTACCCGCAAGGTCAGCCAGAGCACCACTATGAGCAACATCGGGTCCCAGTCGACCAGAATCAATACTTGCGCCAAATAAACCTGCAGGTTGATCCGGCGTATGAGCATCACTACACCCCTGATGGCGCGATGCGGGGACTCGCGGCCGAAGACCCCAGACTCCAGGAACACTGGCAGGTGTACATGTCCAAGGTTTGTCTTGCTCTCTTCCCTTTTTCCCCTACTCACGTCCGCCGAGGTCGGGTCTCCGCGTATGATTCAAGATCCTTGATTTATTCCTCGTTTTGCTTTCCTTTCATGTTCTGTTGCCCTGCTTTCTCAACTCCCATGTATCAATCTACACATCTTATTTAATTATAAGTACTATATCTGTATTTTGTATTACTGATAGCTAGTCTGTGCTCGGCCAATGTAGACTGACATTCTCTTTCAGCACCATCTCACTTCAATTGTGTCCAGAGTCCTGACCAAAGACCTTTTTGTGTGTTCCCTCTAGTCCTTTCAATTATATCTCCCTGTGGATGTGTTCTGACCTTAGTCACTGGTTGGGGCTTTTTTGGGGCTGAGAACTGAATTGGACTTCAAGTTTCCCTGAGGGACATGATATATTTCTATTACCCCCCTTCCTTTCTGGCTTTTGTTCTTTTTCACTGTCCCAGCCTCATCTTGTGGCCAAGCCACACTTATATAATGTGCAGTAATGTGCTTATGCACTCATCCATGGTTTTTGCCTCTCCCCAGTCTCTTTAGCAATTTTACACATTTATATCTCCTTACTTAGTCATACATACTATCACAGATGGGCAAAGTATGATGGGCTAGCTAGCTTATCAGTGCTCTAAGTACTATAGACCTTTGCAAAGCAGCTTCCCTCTTGAGACCTGTTGTCGACACAACGCAACCTCCATCGGCACCGCGAAGAGGGACGCAAACAGTATCCCAGACGAGTCCGCAAAGCCCACCGAGCCAATCTTAAACTCGCGCTCCTGCCGCGCCCGTTCGATGTCGTGCGCCGTCTCAGGCGACGGAGGGTCCTGGTTGATCCGGTAAAAGACGTTGACACTGCTTTTCGTTGAGCATCCCTCAACAAAGAAGAAAATCGACGCACTATGCAGAACCACCACATATGCCCTCCAGACTGATCAGAAAGAACACCAGGACAATGCTCCACGCTTCATCCGTGTTCGAAGGGAAGATGCCGATTGCGGACTCGACGGTCAAAGTGAGGAAGATTCCGAATTGGACGATTGCGGGCAGCGGCAGCAGGTGCGAGGGCAGCGGCGGGAGACCGATGGAAATCGATGACCGGGAGAGGAAGACAGTTGTCTGGTAGACAAGTTGCCAGAGCGGGTAGTAGTCCCGAATCGAATGGATGATCTTGCTCAAGAATGGATGATCTGGAACTGGGTAAAGTAGAGTAGGTGCGATTCCTTGGTTGATGGTGTATTCGAACTGTGAACACGATTACACAGCGATTCGGGCACCAAAAAGTTGTGACCATACCAGGTAGACACAAACTACAGTCATATTAGCATTTGCTTCAAGTTGGAGGACAACACACACATAGAGGAAGCATGTAACGTATTAGCATTGGCCTAACAAGGCGCCATTTGTCATTAAGCGTAAGGTAGACGTGGTGTTTGTCGGCCAGAGGCCGAGAGCTGCCCTCTTCTTCCCCTGCAATATCTTCCTCGCCGGTGGCCAGTGCTGTGTATGCTGTGGTGTTGTCATATGGAGTGGTTGGACCAAATCCCGCTGGACTGGGAAGAAGGAAAAAGTACTATCACAAGTGTTGACGGAACCGGAACAGGAAAGCCGAATGCAGCTTACTGTAAGAGGAATGATCAAGGGCATAACCTCCAATGTCGACTCAGAGAAGGATTAACGATGCATAAAAGAACGCACAGAAGATAGTCCAACACCAACTCGGACGCCAAGACCGCGGACCTCCCACCATAAAAACGCGCCGACAAGTCCAGCCGCGCCGGTTCCGGACGAGAAGTAACTACAGTTGAACTGAGCAACATCATATGTATGACGTTGAGAGAGACGAACCCCACGCTATGTCCTGCTATTGACGGCGGAGAATAGGTTGTGGAAAGTTGCAAAAACGTCAACTCGCCCAGACCTTCAAGCGATGTTACACGGGAGCAAGATGGTGGGGGGGACACGCCCACCAGACGAGAAAGACGCAAGACCGATACCCAACAACCGCATGAACAGACTGTCGAAGAACGCGACGACCTTGAAGAAACGATTAGCCGATTCCTCCCAGAAACGATGGAGCAAGTACCAGCATTCCGAAGGCACTCAGAGCACAACACCCAACCAGTCGTTGGGTATACCGTATCCGGCCTTTCAGAAAGTATGGCCAGCCGACCTTGGCAACGAGTGCGGGCGCAATATTGCAGAAGGCGATGATACCTTTTGGCGTCGACGGAGGTACCAAGTCCAATGCGGCAGAGAGTATGATGACATACAGCACTGAGAAATACACTTTGGCGTGGCAACTGAAGTGAGGGCGGACCACACACCATTGTTTATAAGCCCAAACAGAAAGAACGAGCAGCCGAGTTTTAGCAGGAGTCCTAAAGAGCATATAGCAGTGAGGTGGACAAAGTAATTGTCACAGACCTTTCTCAGACTGCTGAATAGGAAACTCGTCCTCGTCAACGGACGCATTTCTGAGCAAGCTGCGCTCGGAGGCGATGGTTGGGGGCATTTCGTAGGCTTCAGTATTGGGGCTTACAGAAGCTACCATTCAAACTGCATGCCTCGAATTACGCGGTTGTGCAACGCAAAGATAACGTGGGTGAGAGCAGAAAGAGAGCAGGATTATTACGTCGTCACTGATGATGGGGGGTGATCGCTAGAATGTCTGGAACAATACAACAGTAATAGGCTACAACCTGGCTACAGTTGGGCTGGTGGCCTATGGGCCACAGCCGATAATAATAGATGATACCTATAAGCTGCAAGATCTCATCTCCCACCTCTTCGTCGGGCCGCTAAAGGCCCTAATAGGGGAACCGGTGCGGGCAGTGGCCCCCAAGGCAAAGCCATCATCGGTCTCAGCCCCAGGAAATAATTTGGCTGAGCCTCCCATTCAATCATCTTTTGCCACTTTTTTGAACAAAATGAAGGAATAGTAGAAAAATAGTTACTCACGTAGCAGGGTAGAACGAGGTCGGTATGGCGAACGACAACAACCTGGGGACCACTTGAATACGACTCGAATTCTCCGCTACCCACGGCTATCTGCGGTATGGTGTTAGAATAAGTCAAGTCTGCTGTAGATCGTCCAGGAAGGACTGTTTTCGTAAGTTTCTGGCTCCGAAACTTTGATTTTCTCGTCCACTTACCACGACAAGCAAACATGCGGTTAGCCCCAGCACAGTAGGCAAGCGAGGTTGCAGCGTCTTGTGCAAGGTATATGCCTCTTCCGAGAGCTGCACCATGAGTAAGAGGATGGCCACCGACACCGCCAATACGAAAACCGCCAGTAAGAATGCTGACAATCTGTCAATTACTGTGGAAAGCTGTTGAAGTGCTCACGATTCGATGTTGTTGTCCGGCGTGCCATGAAACAACTCAAGCTCCTCTGGCTCTTTCCCCAAAAGTGCGCGCAATGTCTCACGAGCTGCCTCAAACTTCTTCTCGAGTTCGTAATTGACGATCCAGTGAACTAGGACGTGCGTCAAGACCATATCTGCAGGGAAACTTGAAGAAAGTCAAGTACCCACATTTCTTGCATTTGAAATGTGCAGTCGCCATGAGCCTTTGTTTCCATGGCGCGAAGCGTGCCAGATCGTCTGCGTGGGCAGGTGTACCATCCTGCAAGAGCCCCGTTTCGATATCGACAACCACACGAAACACGATCCCTTCCGCCTTTCTCTCAACAGCAGCGAGAACCTTGTGGAGCTCCGCTTCTTCCTTGTCAGCCAATTTGCGCGCGAAAGCAGCATCAGCTTGTTGTTGCTTTGGCTGTCCTCCTGTGAGCACTACCAGTCAACTGAGAGGTGAAATAGGCTCTCACGTTTAGCCTAGCCGCCCTTTCTAAGCTCTCTTCATGTTCCCTTTTCTTGCGTCTCAATTTTTGCACGTCGCGCATGACGGGGTCCGTTTCATCCACATCCGAGTCAGAGTCCAAGTTCTCGAGGAGTCCCAGTGGCATGCGGGGTGTTGCTGCCTTCGCCTTGCCTGCCGCTTTGCTCGAGACTGGACGTTCAAGGTCATCGTTCGTAAGGTCGATTATGGATAGAGCGCGTTTTAAGCGATCCTTTGCCTTCCCCCTATTTGGGTGCGAGGAACCTGAAGCCCGGGCTGGTGTTGGACCCTCCGAGTCGGAGTCGTGAATTTCGATGGTCTCGATAAGCTCCTAGGTATTGCGATAGCTCGTCGAAAGACCGACTCTTTCAAGAACTTGACGCACCGCTCTCTCGTCTTTACTCGCATCTCTGCCCTTGCTTAATGGCGGCCGTTGCTTCGTTGTTTTTGGCTTCGTCGGGCTTTTCCTCACTTCGAGGAATACGATATCGTCGTCCATCTGTGGGTATGGGTGGCCGAGTGGGTGATGGGAGGAGTCAACTTGAATGATGATCAATCACGTGGTCGCGCGGTATGTCAAGTTTGGAGACCCAAGTCACACTAGAAATGAGTTATTATCATGGTCAAACTCAACGAGTCAGCAGCGGCGGTACACATTAGTTACGATGTACTGTACAGTATGAAGTAATATAGGTAGTGTGTAGTGAATTCCCTACTCATACACCTTCTCAGGGAATCCCGGCAACACTTCTTTCGATGCTGATTTCGGTCCCAGATACCCAGTTCGCTGCCACTTTTGCTTCGCGAACGTCCACTCTTCCATCGTCGGCACCGGATTCTCACTGGCTTCGAAGGGATTCTTCACATACCCCTCCCGCTTCAGCACGGGACTGTCAGCTATCGTCGAAAGTCGCACGTGATTGTGAGGCCGGGAGAAGTACAGCAAGCCCAATCGGTCGACGTGCTGCTGGTCGATTGGCGGCGGGTGAACGCGATGAACAGTGCTGCGTATATACCCGCCTGTGAGAAGCTGAAGTGCATCGCAAGTGTTCACGGTCAGCAGTCCCTTCTGTGGCTTGACCCACTTCCATTCGTTTGTTATGGGGTCGCTGATTTGGAGGCCCGCCACTGGTTGACGGAAAAGAAGCGTGAAGGAGCCCAGGTCTGTGACATGACATCAGCACCTTGTTGATGAGAAGAAAGAAAAGATGATAAACCGGTGTGTCCAGGCACCCACGCTGCAAGCCGCTCGTTATCAGTCACCGTAAACTTGCCGCACTTCATATATCGAATATGCTCTTCGCTCTTGACGTCGTACGTATGCATCTTGACAAGATAGTCTTCAGGGAGCTCCAGGGCAATTGCGACCAAAGTCAGGAGGGGCTCAACAATCTTCTCTTGGACATCCTTCACGTTGCTGTCAAAATGGAGTCCATAGCCATGAAAGCAACATTGACATACGCGAACAAACGCTTCGATTTCGTCTAGATGTTTTGCAATGGGCTCGGGATGGTTATGAAGGAAATCGCTGCTGAATTCTCATGTAAAATATAAGACTCGAGGTTTGCTCATCAAAAAAACAAAAGCTTACTGGGAATGTTGTAAACCTCAATCTTGTCCTTTAAACCCGTGTTAGGATCGACGCTGTAGCTGGTTAGCAAGATCTCGGAGATGCAATCAAGCACAAGTCTCTACACAATTCGTCCGGCTGGCATATATCCATTAAAGCCACCCCTTGCGAAATCCTGTGCGACATAGCACATCTTCGTCTCTAGAGGCAACTCATAGAATCTCTTGCACAAATCGAACTGGCGGTCAACGGCCTCGGGAGATACGCCAAAATTTTTGACATAGAAGAAGCCTTTCTCGCGGACGGCGGTGATGAGTTTGTCAGCGAGATCCTTGCGGCCAGATGGGCATGCATAGAGAGAAAGGTCAATTGTGGGAAGGTCTGCCCATGGGAGGTTTTCCTGCGATTTATATGTCAGTAAGAACCCAGCGTTACGACACTGACCAAGACCTTTGTTTGGGGGACGTAGTCAAAACTGCCTAGGGCGGGGGCAGGAACAGGCATATCGTAGGAGAGTACAAGAGTAAATCCAAGTCTTGCCTTTATACATTCTGTTTCATTCTCCGCCGGCACTAACAGTTGGTCGCGTTCCGTGTTGAACACTGCTCGCATTCAATCCAGTTAGTATCTTCCCAGGGGAGCATTAACAATCAAAAAGAGATGACATCTCGCGCCCAATGAGTTTTGACTAGTCCTCCATAGTAACACTTCCAATTGTTTGCGGCGGCGGCGGAAACTGCATCACCCGGAAATAGAAAGAATCTCGGGAGAGTGTCGACGAGAGTTGTTGACTTTAGGCTTGATTTGGTGTCCGTAGCCAATCGGAGGATAGTCCGTGGTGAGACCGGTCAAGGCTAAACTGCGTCCATTTGCGTCATCAGAGATATGGCCCTTGACGAGATTATCTTGCCGAGGTACGATGGTCAAAAGCATTGTAGTATTAGAGACGTGCTCTATGAGCAGAAGAAAGCATTCCAGAATACACGGCATTGGCGACGAGGCGTTGCTCCCTTAGATCCCATACCTATTCACCCATTGCCTCAGACTTCGAAGGACGGAGAATATAGAACAAGGTACGCACTTCGCATCCACACGATTGAATTCCACCTGCCGCTGCTATGGTTGTACTGATAAGTCGCAGCGTCGAACCACTGTCAAGGCACAAATTAGCACGGTTATAAGAAATGGGACAATGCGATGCACAGGGTTGCAGGATTGTGAAAAGTGGTGTTCAGGCTAAGGGAGACTGGAGAAATCCCAGGGCCACCCTCCGCATAATCGACGGTTGACACAGCGGATGAGACGCATCTGTGGTTACCTCAGTTGGATGTAGAATGAGGAATTAAACGCTCACTCGTCAATTATGGTAACGATAAAGGCTTGAGCAAGGTTCCTATGCCGGTCAAGAAGCTCTAGCCATCTTAGGACCTGCGAGATGCAAGCTAAAAATACTGTTGGCTCACCTTCTGTGACCTCGATCTCACTGACCAGTTGAAGTCTGGACTGCGCGTGTTGCTCGCGATTCAACGAAACTTCTTTAACGATTGTCCTCTTAGCAGACATCCCAGCGAAACATTTTGGGGCCGGTGCGTGGTAGACATTGAGCCATTTGACTGTCATAGCTTTGACATCAAGCGGAGCAGTGCCAGATATCTGCTCAAGATATTCGTCTGAGATTGGTATGCGAAGTATTCTCATCATATTTGAGAGTCGGCGCGGGTCAGACGACATCGTAGGAGGAGGAGAGGAAATATGAATGTGACTGAGTCGGCAACAGCCCATAACCGGCCATTCAATTGCCTCCCAAAGATTTTCGGCTCTCATCATGCAGTCATCACTTCTTCTTCCCCTAAACTATGGCCTCTATTAGCGCCGCTCGCCTGGAAAAAATGTTCCGCATGCTTCCCAACGTAGACGCATCCAGCATCAAGGGCAACCTCTCTGCAGAAGAAAACCAAATCAATGCCAACATATTCGCATTCTACGTCTCCGGGAAAGGCGGTCCTACCCCGATACAGAATCCATTCGGTCGAAGTGTTGGAGAGCACCTGCAGATAACAGAGCTGACGGTGACGGAAGAAGGGGCGAGTGGTAGGCTGGAAATCGAGGTGACAGAAGGTGAGTAGTTATTTGGTTCAATTGGGTCATCGCAGACTCATAGGCCGTTCAGATATGTGTAACGTCTTCGGGACAATGCACGGCGCTTGCGGTGCGTATATCATTGACCAGTAAGTTTTCCGTATTGCCTTGTTGGTTGACTTGAACAACCAACCAAAAGCGCAACTATCGGGACTATGGTGTTGTATGGCCGTGCTGCTGGCTTCGACGGTCGCGGCGTCTCTACCTCCATGAACATCCATTGGCATAATCCCGCCAATCTGTGGGTCCTCGTTTCTTCGTATACCGCTGGCCGTTGACTTTTTTTAGCGGAGACATTCTGGCTGTTTTCACTGAATCTGTACACATCGACAACCGCGCCCGCACCGTCCGCTGCGAGATTCGCGACAAGGAAACTCGGAAACTCATTATCACCGGCACGCATTCATTCCTTAATGCAGGCGCAGCGGCCAAATTATGAAGGCTTTTCCACGGCCATATAGAGCGTGTTTATTCACTATTCCTAGAGAGTATATATTCGACTTGGCTGAACTTTGCGGACATTCTCTCCGATCCTGCGACCCAAAGAGGCGAATGGGGTTGACAAGTATCATCACCAATGATTGTTCAGGCTCCTGTTCCAAACCGGGAACACTATCTAATCAGGTTTTATCTTCTTCCAGGAAGACAACTTCATAATCAGAATAGCGCTTCGCACTTCGAGCGCGTGTATTAGTGCAGTTCTCTCCTCACAGATTCGTCAAGCATGTTCACTTGGACCTTCCTTCATGGGTTGCTTTTTTCACTCGCATGCCCCAGCTTTTCGATTGAAGTTCCTGCCAACACGAGCTGGTAATAGGTGAGGCACACTTCTAGTGCGCTTTGTTGAATCGACAATTGATGAAAAGTTTTAACGCCTGCTATTTGTCACGTGTGTGATACACGCCCACTGAACAATGAACAAGAAGTGCATCGCCACCCAACATACAACTTGCCACCTCCTCCAACACCGTTCGCCTAATTATGGCGACACAACCATCCCGGATACAGACATTTCCCTTCGAGCTGCTGAGCGAAATATTCCGGTTGTTGGATCCGACCTACCTTGACCGCCGGTTTATTGTTTGCTCTTTCGTGTGCAGGCATTGGCGGCAGGCGGCCCTCAGTGATGGTACCCTCTGGACGGTGAGATCGACTTCTGGCTCCAATACCTACTCACTCCTTTCCATGCAGATGATTCGAATATCCGAATACGACTTTTATGAAGAAAAGCGCAATGAATTACTCGCTGATCTACTCACGCGCTCGCGTACCCTGCCTCTGGCGGTCGTGTTGATGCGTTTTCGTGGCCCAAATGTCCCTGAGTACTATGATGCTCTGGAAGAGTTTCTCTACGACGTCCTCAAGCCCAACCTTTGGAGGATACGCCGCATCCTGATCATCGCCCCGCAGACTACGTGGCCTGTGATCCTGAACGCTATGGAAGGCGAGCAATTTCCGTGGCTCGAGCGGCTTTGTCTCCGGAGCGATGCAGTGAAGACGATGTACAAGCTTCAGAACGCGCAACATGAACGAATCTGGCAGCTGCCGGGCGACTATCCCATGCCCGAGGTCGATGATCTCCCTGGTATCCCCGTCTTTGACCTCGTATTTCCCCTCCCCCATGGCCACCGCCTTGAAGTCTTCGATACGCAGGGCATATCATTTGGCAACGCCTTCCTGCCACAGCTACAGTGTCTTTATATTGCCCACCATATGCCGCAGATGGTGACGAAGGGGGAGCTGACTGACGCGCTGTTTGCTACCGAAAAACTCGTGTTGCAAGGCATGTACGTCCCCAGCGTCGGTGTCAACCGCGATTTGCCGTTCGACGTCAGCATAGACAGGTCAGGCGACTGGTTCCAGCCTCTCGACTGGGAGATACGGCCGCAGATGGACTACTGTGAATATCGACGCCATGACCATTTCACCCCTATCGACGAAGGCGACGAATACGCGGAAGAGGACGAAGAAGCTGAAGCAGAACAACAGCCATCTTCAAAATGCAAGATTAAGGAGCTCCACTTGATCAACTTGGTCGCGGAGCCCATACCGGGAATGCCGGTTCTGGAAGGCGATTTTGCGTGGGGTGACCTCGGCGAAGAGGACTGCGCGCCGTTTTTCCGGCAGCTCGTGGAACACACCACCGCCTCGCTACAGACCCTCTTCATCCACGGTTGGCACGCTGACAGTCGAATATGGAAGGACTTTATCAAGGTTTATGGACCGCAAACGCGGAATTCTTCTACCGCTGCTACGACCTCAACCTGGCCACCAACGGCTGCCGGCGAAATCAGTGAACTTGTTGAATTTCCGCTGCTGGCGAGCGTGAGGATCTGGAACATGTGTGTTCCACGCTCGTTCCAACCCGGAGATCTGAAGCGGCTGTTCGCCACCATGCCCGCCGTTACACAATTGGATCTGGCGTACACTGTGGCCGCAGAGACGGCTTCTGCTGGGGAAAATGTCTTTGCGGAGTCGGAGAAGCAGTTTACGGACGCTTGCGTTCAGGTGCTTGAAGAGGACATGGTTCTTTGCCCCCAACTTCAGGAATTTCTTATCAATGGAACAGCAATGAAACGGTATGTCTCTCGGACGGATTGAATAATGGACATTTGCTGATTCTTTACCTAGAACACCACGAACATAGATTAGCTCGCTTATTCTGTTGAGATAAGGCTTTTGGTGTATGTAGTATTACTCTTGTCATGCCGTGTGATTGCCTTTTGATGCATCAGCACAACTCTCACTAAAACCACCACCACCACATACCTTTGAACTCGAAGCGGTGTGAACTGAAATTGCCGTGTGTGGACTAGAAAATGGTTCGAAACTCAAGAGGTACATGTTGCACTTTCTCACATGGTATCTTCGTTCACCTTGGCAAAGTGGAAGCAGTTGCGTCGATCCTGTCAACTTGAAGGCTATGTTTTGACAGGAGGATCAACTTACATAACTCGTCCGATTTTCAGTTCGAGTCTTGTTGGGGGAATGTGTCCATCCCAGAAGTATTACAAGTAATGCTGATCGCTCACTCTGCTCTCTTTACCAGGTTCCATATCATGGAATCGCCGCAGATATCGGCTTGTTGGCAAGGATCCCAGATAAGGTGATAAAGCAGGGTCGGCTTGATTGCCTCAAAATAACCTGTTCGAATTCGGCTATTAGCCTGCACTTTGTTTTTCTGGCGGAAGCGAGTAAGAAGGAAGTGGCGCCAGTGAACGAAGTCTCTACTGGGCTCTTCTGGTCCTTCTCCCTGCCATTCCAACTCGATTCCAGCGCCGTTTCGGTGTTTGTCATTACGACCTTCGATACGGTGTCTCGGCTACGCAATTGATCTCGGCAAAAATTTGAAAGGCAATCCATAAAAGAGGCGATGAACGGGAATGGCGTTTTTCTGCTTGTCTGGCTTTTGACCTCTCGACGCACACGCACACTCTTTTGTCCCCGCCGCTCTTCGAATCATGCAGTTTGGTGTTCTCCTCAGTCTTGTCTCCCTCTTCGCTCTTGGTACATCCGCTACGGCAATTCATGCTCGTCATGGCGGCTATGGAACTCCTCCCAGTCCTCCCAAGGGCTCATACCCCCAGCCTTCGGGCATTAGCGGTCCTTGGTACGGTTGCCCCGATACCAACAAAGACTCGCATGGAAAGGTTGCAGAGCTCTGTGACAAACCGCCGCACACGGTGAGTTGTTAGTGGTCTGTCCTCTCCGCAGTTACTCAAGTTTTGATTAGGGCAAGTCCTTCGGTTGCACGTAAGTATTTTCTTACCTTGCTCTGCGTTTTCCAACAGTCTCACAGTTATCGCACGGGCCGAGGCACTGGAACTCATACCTGCACCTATGACGCCAAGTCCGGCGAGTGCAACGGTGGAAGTGACCGTTCAAAGTGTCCCACAACGGCGACTATAACCCGTTCTCATAAAAAGCGCGATCCTCATGCACAAGAATTCTAGGCCTCTATTTCTATGTGAGTTCGTGACATACTACTCGACGCCATGTTGACTGCTGCGTAGCATATATCCGCAGTCAAGAGCTTTGCTTATACTTAATCCAAGTTGGTTACCGACATGACCCCATCCGCACATAGAATTTGACCCACTGTTGCATTTGTTCTTCTACGCATTCCATCCGTACTTTAGACGCTTTCTGATACCACTCCGTTCAATGTTGTGACATTCTTGCTAACAGTTCATCTCTGTCCATCATGTTGCCACTTGCCTGGCTCGCAGATAGCTAGTCTTGCTATCAACTCTCCATGGAGAGCTCTCCATAGAGTCTGCTGCTTTCTGAGTATGACCACAGATGCTTTCTACAGCATCACTAGCTGTTTGAGAACATATCTACAGGCATGTACAGAGGTAAATCTAGTGTTGCATCCTGAAGATAGCCTGGGCTGCTTTGGTAAAACATCTGTTGCTGACTTGATAACTTAACTTGGGCTGCCTTCTGTGACTGAGAGCAGCTGTAGCTGCTTTGAAGAGTTCTCTGATCTGTGAGGGAAAAAATCCCTTTATGAAAATTTTTCTATGCAAGAAATGAATTCAGATAGGAATATATGAATAACAGAAGGCTGGTGTGTGGAAGGATTCTTTTTCTTAAAAGAAGACCCCCGAAAAAGTAAGAAAACAAATCTCCACAGTACTTACATAAGATAAGAGCCTGTATAAAAGAAGAGACACAAGATTGAGAACATACCAATGATACCACTACACCAAGAAGCAGTGGGATAGGTGGCTGGCAGTATAGATATAGCATGAATTTGAGTGCCAGCCCCCTCCAGCTCCGTAAAGCATCTACAGCAACATTTCAAAACAACTATAGCTGCCCTTCAAGACCACCTATAGCTAGAAAACACAAGCAACCTATGCTGGCTTGACAATGCAGCTACAGTTGTTCTTACCAGTACAGCCTTAGACAGTCTGACAAGCTAGCTATAGCTATCCTTCAAGCTAGCAGTCTCCATAGAGTATGTGGAGAGTTGATAGCAAGACTGTCGATCTCCTGGCTCGCCGTTCCTCTTATCTTTACACTTCTATTCGGCGTCGTTGATTCTCCACTCGCACTCATTGAGGGCATCTCAATTCCGACGCTACCCTCGTTACATCGTGTTTCGTTAAGCATCGCCGGCCTCATTGTCCCGCTTCTCCCACCCAGTACTCGTCAAGAACTGATCAACGAGTTTGCAGTCGTCGAACGTGCGTATCCAGAGCCCAGATACTCGCTGTTTCCCCAACCAGTCCCAGATCAAGCATTCTGGCTCGCCACTCTCGTCGCTCTCGTCCTCGCCCCGCCGTTGGCCGCCACGCTGTTCTGCTCTGCAACTACTTTTCGACGTGTCGCGCTTCCAAGCATGCTGCTCGCCCTGCTTATTGGCGCTGTCCTCTGCCAGAAACCTGATGTCTGGTGGGAATTATCGGCGTCTGCGACTTTTGGCGCGGGTTTGCATGTTTTGCGAGACGGGATCTGGGAGTTCTTTAGTGGTCTGCCGACCTTGCTCGTCTCTTGGCAGGAGTCTGATAATTCATAACAGAGCTGAGGAAGAACAATATGCCTCTCGATGAAGTGAAGAAAGTCTGGCAAGCCCACATCTTTGGCAACAACACTTTTATCAAGAGCAACGCTGTTGTTCAACACGTCCTGAACTCGTCTTGGGCGACACTCCCGAGTGTCATTCGTCAACCTTTCAAGCTTAGCAACTCGACTCGTCACTTCCGACTCGGCGTCAGTCCTCGACAACTGGTTCCTCGTTTCAAAGCTCCCTCTTCCTTGCCTGGGCCGCCCCGTATTATCAACGCTTTTATGACATCTCTGCTCGAACTGCGTAACTGTGTTCATTTCAATATCGGGGCGGTATCTGACACTCTCTCAGCTAAAACGTTACTCCCACAAGTTGCTGCGACACTGCTCTGGATTGAGCTGGTCATGTTCATCCTGCCGTCAAACGCAGAAGCGGTGGCTACTGGGATCCTCGTTCAAATCTACACTTGGAGAATTGGCTTCACCCTTTTGCTTGCTGAGTCTCTGCTGCGATGTCCGTTCCCTGCCCTGGACACGTCCGAGTCAACGATCTGTTATACCTCTGGCCTAGCTGCATACATTTGGTCGCTGACTGCTCAGGGTCTGCATGCCTTTCTTGTCCGCTGTGCAGAGATTAACAAATTGAACAGGGCGGTTTGTCTACGAGGTGTTGTTCCTCCTTGTGGGCTCGGCGGCCATCCTCGCTTTCACACGAGTTCAAGGATATTCTCTACGGTTTTCGCTGGCTGAACTAGTTCACGGCCTCCGCTCAAACCTTGTCAACGCTGCTCGTTCAATGGCCAAGATCTCCACCACCGGCTATATTGATGCAAGACGTGTTGTGAATGACACAGTGAATTCGAAGCTAACTGCTGATTATCGTCAAATCCTCCAAAGAGCGCGTGCATATTTGTATCAAGGGGGCTGGCTATGGGTCAAGACGACGACCGATCAAGCACCTCTTGCGATCGAGGTGGAACGCGAACATGACAAGCTTATGTCTGCCCCGAATTTGCCTGATGCGACTGCGAGTGCGAGCGAGCAGGTCGAGTCGGAGGATAATTCGTTCCAGCTTGTACTCCCTGGAGGGTTGCCGGTAACACCACCTCGTCCGGCGCTTCTGAATGCTGGGAAGCCGCTAATCAGTGTCGGTGTGGAAGAGGAGGCGGTCTTCCAATCGAATGCGCATGGGGCGCTCCCGGTAGATCACGGTGACGACAAAACGTTAGTTGAGGGAACTGAGTGGAAGTTTCTTGGATCTTTTGCATTTGGCGTATGATTATCTATGTTGTAGATATTGTTTAATACCCGCTTGTACTACTACTAGTCAACACTTAGACAAGAATTCGACATCTGTTTCTCGAAGTAGATCTGAAGCACAGAAATCCCTTTCACTGGCATTGTTGATGGTTCGTCATCGTCATCCAAGTTTACAGCTGCAGAGATACAATGAGTTCTAAATATTTGGCGCGTGTTTGAGAAGAGTTCGAGACATATGCAGAGTCTGCTTGGTCTGCTCGAGTTGGCTGCAGAGGCCACGTGCTCCGTGACAGTTCGTGACAGATCGGTCCACAACTTGAACCCAATAATGGCCTTCGAGGTTCTCACAGCATTCCCGTTAGCGCAGATACAGTGTGTCGGTCCCACCTTCACTGCGCCAACTCCGACCCTTCATCTACAGATCATAGTCATGGTTTTGTCACCGGATCGCCAACGGAAGCACTCGCGTTAGACGAAAAACGCGAGCGTCACCTTTATGGTTTGTAAGTACATAGGAGCGCACGGGCAGGGACGGGCCTTCCGGAAAGCGCTATCCGGTTAACCGGCGTGTCAGCGAGCGCAGGCTCGGGAAGCTGAGAAGGGAAAAGCATATCAATGGGTCGGCGCTCAGGCTCAGGCTGGCACTATAAAACACGCATTTGCTATCGCCATTCTGCAAATCTTAGCTCCTCGACTAGGATTCAAGTCAGCGTTGACTCAGATGTCCAATCTACGAAGTATCGTCGTGTCTGGCGCCAACCAAGGTGTGTGTTCTCAGACCGTGATCTGTCCTTTTTTATCGTGTCGAAAGGTCTGGGGTACCATACGGTCCACCAGCTGGCGTCAACACCGAATGTTCTGGTGTTCTTAGGTGTGTTCACTCATTGCATTGGCATTCCTCCTAGATCTTCGTTTACTTCAGGCTCTCGGAAACTTGTTGCTGGGAAAGAGGCTATCGAGAAGTTTTCGGCAGGAATACATCCTGGATCCGTTGTCTTACCTATCCAGCTGGACATCACGGATGCCAACTCGATTAGCACTGCGCGGGATGTGATTGCACAAGAGCTCAAGAAACGCAACCTGGCTGGCCTCGATGTGCTCATCAACAAGTAAGTCAAAGTATCTTTGTGTCCATAGAACGATTGCTCATGAAATATTAATCCAGCGCGGGTATACTCACGCCCAACTTCGAAGAGGTCTACGCGGTCAACGTGTTTGGTACCGTCAACCTGACAGCCGCTCTGCGTCCGCTCATGAACAAAAACGGAAGCATTCTCAACATTTCTTCCGAACTCGGCTCGCTAGCAGGCCACACCAAACGGCCCGTGCCGCCGCAGTTCCCCGCCTACAACTCGAGCAAAGCCGCGCTGAACCAGCTGACGCTGGCCTGGGCTATCGAGGAGGAGCAGAAAGGGAGCGGCGTGCGCGTCGTCTCAATTTGCCCAGGTATTTTTGGTCCTGTCCGTGTTTTCTTCGTGTTCACGCTCTGACAGGTTATAACACCACTAATATCACTGGGTATGCCGGAGATTTGCATCCTTCTGAGGGATGCAAGATTATAGTGAGAACTGCACTCGAGCAGACCGGAACAACGGGCGTGTTCTTCAAGGCCTCCGGACCTATCGAGTGGTAAACGTTGGATAGCCACATCTTATCTTATCATTTCCCCGTCTTTGTAAAATGGTACTAGCAGAAATCCTGCTATATACTCAGTGCTGCCAATAATGGGAATCATCTAAACTTGAACAAACACGCTTCGAACTTCTGCAAATGGATGCAGTCTGATAAGTTATGTTTGAGATCGCGGCAGCCGGGCCGGTTTAGATTATCTTATCTTGATTATCCTTCATTACCGCGAAAGCACCCCCCACTCCTGACTTCATGGTTTGCCTTGATTGTACTGCAGACATGGGATGCGAAGAGCTAAAGGAAGCTCAACTACATGCATATGCAAACAATGTTCATCTCAATCTACTGCCTTGTACTAGTAACTTCAAGGTAGCCAAGTGGGCAACTTGGATCCGAAGACAACTTTCTCTCGCTTTCCAGTGGCCGCCGGAAACGACAGCCGCCATTTTGACTCTATATTGCCAATTGGTACAAACTCTCAGAGAGATGTTTATAACAGCGTAGGCGGACAGCATCACTTGCTGCGGATTACTCAGGTCTTGCAAACTTGAATTTAAATCACCTTTCGGCAGCTCACGGTTCTGTTGAGCATGTACTGATATCGGCGCCAGCACAGTAATCACAATAGATTAACGCGGGCCCGTCTTCCAAGAAGGCCTCGCTGAAGCTTCAAGCATCAAGTTCAGTCTTCCTCGTTGCTGGAATCCTACAGCTTTCCGCTCGCCAGGGCCAATACACGTGGTGCAGCGAACGTTTTAAAAGGCCGCATCCCCTAGGTGCATTCTTTAGACCCAGCTCAGATATGCGCTTCACAGTCTTGCCTCTCTTGCTCGCCGCCATCGGATACGCCTACGGCTCCAAAAAGGTCGTCACGCTTCGCGCAAAGCCCGGCGCTGCGCTCGTCGCTGCGACCGACATCCCTCCCATCGTGATCAACATCCCAAGCGATGTCGAGGAGTTCACGTTCTGGGACGAGTAGGTGCTGCTTACTGCGAAGCAACTTTTGACTGAGAGTGGTGTAGATACCTCAACGCTTGCGAAAGCTGGCAGCCGGCCATCGACCAAGGTCTCATCTTTGACTTCGGTTCGGTTGGCATTACCCAGCCCCGCAACGATTGTAAGCGGTTCCCAGTCTTGTCGCCGGCACTGATTGACTGTGTTTCAGCGAGAGCTGAAGTGCAATGCGTACGTTTATCAGCCTAAGATGTTCTATCCAGCTCACTGAGTATGAAATAGCAATTCGATGGCGCGGAAGGAAGCTTGTTCACCTTCGCGTTGGATGTTGCCCTCTCGCTGGGTGCTACCCCAGTTTGATCACAAGTAGCGCTACAAAATTGTCGTTGTTGATATACACTGGGTCATTTGTTTGCTACATAGTTGGAACGTCAGAAAAACTTGGAGGGCTGGAGCGACTTGAGGTTAGCGCAACGAATCTTGCCGTCGAGAACCAGCTCAGAAATTGCCTTCGCGGTGCCTGGAGCATTGCTGATTCCCTAAGTACTGTGTTAGAGAAGATCATGATGGATGAAAATATTACCCAGCACGTATGTCCTGTCGCGATGTAGAGGCCAGGAGACCTCTGGCCAATAATCGGCCCGCCACCAACACTTGAGACTGGCAGAAAACACGCCTGACGCTTTTCCACCTCGCCGTCTCGCAGTTGGTCGGATATACTGGAGACGTTGCGCAACAAGACCTGACAAGCAGTGGAATCAACGACAACATCATCGACATTGTCGGGAAGCGGCGACTCGTCACCAGGCCCACAGGCATAAACGGTTCCATCAGGCCGAGCATAGATTTCCGGTGTGTTGACTCCTTGTCCTATACATGTGATCTCCGTGAACAGGACGTATGGCGCGATTGGCTTGGTTGGCGGCGTTCGAATTACAACGCTGTGGGCTCTCGTGCCTTCAATAGGGAGACCAGGGATCAAATTGGGTGACCAAGCACCGGCGCAGATGATGACATCTGTCGCGGTAATAGACCCACTTCCCGTCGAGTCTTTATATTCGACACTAGTGATTTGGTTGGTGCTCGAGTAAACAAGTTTAGTCGCTGCGCAGCCAATTTTGACTTGCAGACCCTTCTCTTTCGCCAGCTCAAGCATACTTGTGGTGAAAAGATACGGATGGACTTGTGCTGTTGCCCCAGATCGAGCCATCGGCGAATACGACTCCGTCAGGTGCTCCTTGACCCAAATCAGATCGTCTGGCAGTCCCTTCTGTGTGCGAGTGCCGCTGTCCACAGTCAGCCCACGCGTCTTCTCGAGACTCTTCTTCCGCGCAAGGTTACCCGGGTCTTCCTCTTGTTCCAAAACTTCACCGCGCCCTTCCCAGCTTCCCACATCCACAAACCGCCAGCCCCAACGGTCCTGTCCGCCATGCTCCTTCGCAAGCTTCACGTGTTCCTCAAAAGAGACATCAACAATCTCTTTCGGATACGCCCAGCGGGCGACCAGACCACCCGCTTTCCCACTAGCGCCTTGCGCTGCTCCGTGATGCGATGCTTCGAGTAAGGTTATTGTGGAATTGTGAAAACAGGGATGCCGTGTCAGGTAGTATGCTGTGGTGCACCCTATAATGCCTCCGCCGACGATGATGATATGACGCGCGGCATGGGTGCTAGCGGACATCAACGTTGAGGAGAAGGTGGAAGTGCGAATAGAAGAACATGATAAACTGATCACATCAAGGCGGGCCGCTGACCTGCCCTCGAACCAACCTGGGACCCTTAGCGTGTTCATCCGACTTCATCGACTTACAGACCTGCTACTTATCATATCTATACCGTTGCCCAACTACTAAGTATGCTCTTAGATAATTTTGCTGTAGGCTAATACTATCAGTCATACTTTCAGGACACGGTGGACACCATCCAATCCGCTTTCAGATGATGACTGTTTGAATCTTACTTCTCACCACCATGTTATTCGGTCATCTCTTCACTGCTTTGGCATTCGCCGCCAGTGCATATAGCACGCAAATGCCCCTCCATATGTCTTCCATCGGCCATCGCGACTTTACGACCCTCACCAATGCGCGTTTCCCCGATCATCGTATCCGAATCAAGCAGACCGCATTCTGCGACCCCACTGTCAAGTGAATATGGCCACAGTTTGGGCTTCCACGTTTGTTCATACGCCAGTCAAGCGTTTATACGGGCTACCTCGATGTGGACGAAGGGGCAAAACATTTGTTTTTTTATTTCTTCGAGAGTCGGAGAGACCCTGCTACTGGTATCACAGTTCTTTCCTTCGCTCTTTCAACCGCTAAATGGAGCCCAGACGATGTCGTGATGTGGATAAACGGCGGTCCAGGCTGCTCTTCCGCCACAGGGCTACTCATGGAATTAGGTGGGAACTTGTCGTCCATTCTGGGATTTCTTTTACCGACTTCAGAACCTTAGGCCCTTGCAACATCGACCTTGACTCCAATGGCACGACCTTTAATCCCTATTCATGGAACAGCTTCACGAACATTTTCTTCCTGGATCAACCGTTTGTTTGGTACTTACTCTCACTTGATTTGTTTTCACCCAAGTCTATAGGGTTGGCGTTGGTTTTTCCTATGCCGACTTCGGTGAGACCGTAGAGACGACAGAACAGGCCGCGAAGAACATTTACTCCTTTATATCCCTGTTTTTCGAAGCATTTCCGCAATTCGAGGGTCGCGCCTTGCACTTGTCCGGGGAGTCATATGGGGTAAAGCTATTCACACACCGTTACTTGATCTTGAATTCACGCAGGGTCGATATTTACCTGTCTTTGCAAGCGAAATTTACGACCAGAACAAGCTTGCGACAATCGAGGGACGACCAGTTATAAACCTACAGAGTGTTATCATAGGTAATGGGATAACAGACATCTCTACGTGGGTGCTTTGGCTTCCCCGCCTCTCATTGTGCTCACTTTTCTGAAGATTATATCCTGGACGATACGAAATCGAATGTGGTCGGGCCGCGTTAGACGTGCCTTTCCAAACAATCGGTAATTGTGTCAGGATGAAAACTGCGGTAAGGGACGCAAACCCCGCGTAACTCCGTCTAATACTCTTTAACAGCTTCCTCGTTGCCAAAAGCTTATGAAGGATGGTTGCATCGATAAATTTGACATGGTCGACTGCGCTGCAGCAGTAGCATTCTGCGACACCCACTTGTCGACTGCAATGTGGGCAACAGGTCAATCCATGATGGCTTGTTGATGCTTGTTTGCTTATATTTCCCATAGGTCGAAACGTCTACGATATTTCCAAGGTCTCACTTCCGCCATCGTTCAGTCACAAGCTTACTTTCGATTTTAGCCGTGCCTCGGCTCCAGTGGCTGTTACCTCGAAGGAGACGCGATAGCAAATTATCTGTCCAACTCTACTATCCGAGAAGCTCTGGGTGTAGACACATCCGTGCCAACACCATTTGTCGGCTGTTCCAACACTGTCAGCCGACTCTTTGTCTCGCATCTAGACAAATGGGCTGTCCCAAACCACTTCTACATTGCTGGTCTTCTCGAGCGCGGAGTTCGTGTGCTTATATACGCGGGAACACTGGACTGGCAGTGCAATTGGGCGGCCAATCGGATGTGGGTCGACAAACTAGAATGGAGTGGGGCAAAGGAATATCGAGCATTGGAATGGGCGGCCTGGAGCGCTGGCGGGAAAGGCACGAAGGCCGGAGAGGTGAAGCAGAGTGAGGGGCTACCGCTGGCGTTCGTAACGCTATATGGTGCGGGACATATGATAAGTAGTTTTCCTTTCCTCTGTTCGCAGAATGGCTAATGTTTCTTTCCACGTCCCCCATGATGTTCCGGAGGAGTCACTTGAAATGCTTTCGGCCTGGTTAGATCGGCGTCTGTTGTAGTAATACATGGTGGTTATTACTGGTACTTAGTTTCCTCTTGGATCTTCTCAATTTGGTCAATTGATGTCATGTGATGGCCGTACCACTTCACGTCCTACTTTCACCTTCAGATGTCGGCACAGAATCTTCCTGCTCTGTTGTCCCGAATACGCCAGCTGCTGCCTGCGTCGCTTCCCCCAAGTGCTGCCTACATACTTCCAGCATCGACCTTGACTGCTCTGGGCCATCCAACGCTCTTGGGGCCGCTTTTCACCCACGTCGCAGGGGATGACCCCAAGACCGTATCGCTACACCTCCGCGATGTGCTCCTTAAAGAGTGGACACTCATTGGCATTCCTCTGGTCATCACCGCTCTTGCCTCGCTTAGCACAGCAGAACAGTCGATGGGTGTATTTCCGGACAATCTGTCCACATTCAAAAACCCGAGATGGAACGATAATAACAACGGTCCAGCACCTATTCTCTCGGAAAGATACCAGTCGGGGAATCTCGATGTCGCGCCGAATGCCCCCATCACTAACCGCGGCGCAACACACATCCAAAAGCTCTATGGTGCAGCCGGGCTTGTCACATCCACTTTTGGACAAGGTGATGAGCTCAATGTCTGATGTAGATATAGCTTATTCCTCTTATGAAAGTTATTGTATCAGACCTATAAACAACTCTATTAGAGGGTTTGCCCTCAAACCTACAGGGTAAAATTTCAAGGCTTACCAATTGAGCGGGCTTATATAAGCCTTATATAAGCGTCATGTGACATACACATAACCTGGCTGATGGTGGCTCGCAACACACAAAATATATATTATTTTAAGCCTTAAATTGATGTGCTAGTGTCTCCGGAACACAATGGTGGGACTTATACCTCTGGGAGCTGAATTGACACACCTGCACCTGGGGATTCTTGCACCCCAAGCCACCATTATAAGTGTCAATCAACTACAATGTTCAGTGCTCCCATCACTGAATTGTGTCTACTGAAACACAGTCTAGTGCCACTGTGCCTCCTCAAAATTTTCTTCAAAAAATTTGTCTGCCCTGGGATTGAGCGGCTTAGTCAGCCATTAGTCAGCTGTCCCGATTTGGAGGTGACAAGCCCGGCTGCACCATATCGTGAGCACCTGCCAGCGATTATGGCATCATGGGGCAGCCATGAAGCAGACTTCCGCTGGCTCGAGGAGAGCGTGATATACGGCCTGTTCCTATCTGACCACACCGTGCTGTCGGAGGTCGAGACCAGTTTGGTGACAGCAAGCGGCATTATGGCGCAAGGACTGAAGGCTCCTTCTCTCTGGCATCTACGTGGTTTGCGGAGATTAGGGGTGTCATCTGAGGATGTTCAGGCTGTTGTGAAATGCATCGGGGAATGTTGCGTTTGGGTCGGTGGCCGGGTTGTGGGGCCAACTGGGGAGCAATCAGAGACGGACAGTTGGGTCAGCTGGGTCGATGAGGTCGATCGTCAGCTAGGGTCCGAGTAGTGGTGGTAGAGCGCAAAGGACTCTCTGAAAATCCTTGGCACCGGTCCGGGCTTGAAATCTTTTGGCCGTCCCTACTATTGCGACACTATTTTTGGCTCACTTGTTCGATTGGTGATGAGAACGTGAATTCGGAATCAACGTCCACGTTGATGCGCGGTGCGAAGCGCGTGCAGCTGACCGCGTTTGGCGGCGCTTGTCAATTCTTTGGTAAAGAGTCCACCCCGCACCAGCTATATAAAGCTCCGGTCCAAACAACCGAAGGTTTGGGCCACCTTGCTTTCCTTCTCTTGCCTCAATGGAATCCAAGGACTCGGACGAACGAAGCAGCTTTGCATCGCCGACAAACACGGAGGGGACTTACTATCAGTCTCAGCTGGGTCCCAAGGCTAAACGAGCCCACTTCTTTTCCCCACTGGACCAGGCCTATGCCGACGCCTGCCATCGCGATGCAGAGACTGTTGAGTTTACTGAGGAGGAAGAGGTACTTGGCTTTTACTCGATCTGGACGCTATGTTGAACCACAGTGCAGAAGAAAGTTCGCCGCAAAATCGATATAACTGTGCTCAGCCTTATCATTTTTTCGTACGCTCTCTCGTCTCTCGCGTCAATTGTTCCTTACATCGTTCTAGATATATATGTGAGCTTTAACCCCGCGCTCTCTCCCACAACTCACGTAGGCGCTCGCCAACCCGACCAGTCAATCAATTTGGTGCGCAACGCGCTTCTTCTGCACGCGTCTACTGACATGGACCTGCCAGATCGTACTAACATGTGAGAGCGCCGGCTGTCTTTTCCCCAAAGCTGACTCTCGTGTGTGTCAAGTGGGAATGCACATACCCTCGCTCCGTTCAACAAGCATTTTGTGAGTGCGCCATGGTCCTGGGCCGGCTCTATGACTTACCTGTGATTGGCAGGGGATGTATGCTATCTGTCTCATCGCATTGAATCCAGCATTGAATCATACTTTTTGTAGCACCGACAACAACAAATGGACCCTCGCACTTAGTATCTTCTACGTTGGATACTGTTTGCTTGAGATTCCCGCGAATAGTACGTTGAGTCTTCCCTTCTCGGCGGCACGCATCAATCGATTCTTCTCAGTCCTCCAACGATACATCGGCGCGAATCGATTGTCTGCTCCGTTCAGCTGATCTTTCATCCAAAAGTTGACTCCCTCGACAGCTTTTTCTTGGCTCTCAATTTCTGGGGGATCGCCAGTTTGAGTGTTGTTTACGCCAAAGGATACCCGGCGCTTCTGGTGCTGCGGTACGTGAATTGCCTTGGAACTTGCTCACGACCGGTTGTTTGAATGGACTCCAGCGTGTTGATGGGCATCGGCGAGGCTGGGTACTATGCGGGCATGATCTATTATCTCTCCTTCTGGTATAAGAAGTGTGTCAGCATCCCTTCTTGACGGACAACCTTCTAACTTGTGTTTATAGGCATGAATTGGCCCTCCGTATCAGCTTCTGCATGACTGGAACACTGCCCGGCGCCATCGGAGTACGCTAAACTCGAGCCTTCAGCAGTGTTGCTGATTACATGGAAGGGCTTACTTGCATTTGGTCTGGTTCGGGCGAAGACATCTTTGCTAGATGGGTGTGTTTGTCGTCTCATACTTTGCACAACCATCTAACTTATACTGCTTAGCTGGCAGTTCCTTTTCCTCGTAAGCATGGCTTCGTCCTTCCACACGCTCTAACTCGTTTATTTTCAAGATTGAAGCTATTCCCACAGTTCGTCTTGCCAATCGCTAACACAATCTTGTCTAATCTCAATCATAGATCATCATGGCCTTCGCCATCCTGTTCTTCCTCCCGTCATTCCCCTTCTCTGCAACGTTCTTGACACCACGTGAGCGCGCGATCGCGCAAGCACGTCTAAATCGTGATCAGAAACCGACCTCGCATGGCGGAATGAATGGCTGGCAAGGTCTCAAGGCGATAGTTGCCGACCTTAATGCGTGGCTGTTCATGTTGATCTATGTAAGCTTCAACATCGGCACCGCAACTGTGTCCTATTTCCTGCCAACCGTATTTTGCGCTCAATTTTTTTTCTTGACTGGCGGTCTGATCTCTAGCTTAGCTCATCAAAAACCTTGGCTATACTGCAATCAACGCGCAAGGAATGACAGTGGCCCCATATGCGGCTGGCTGGTTTGCAGTCGTTTTCCAAGCGTGGCATAGCGACAAGACGCGGTATTGACCGCCTACCTTTTCGGTCGTTCCTCGCTTACATGTTGACCATTAGGGATCGTGGGTACCATGTCATGGTCAGCACGATAACCTCCTTCGTGGGGTACATCATCTTGGCAACATCGGTGCAGAAAAGTACCGGCGCGGCCTACTTCGCCCTCTTCCTTGTTGTTGGCGCCAACTATAGTTTGTTCCCTCTCGTTATGTAGGTCTCGGAACGCCGCCTCTATCTGCGAATAACTCTCTTTGCAGGAGCTGGGCAGCGAACACATTCTCCCCAACGTCCAAGCGGGGCGTTGGAACCGCGTTTATCGTCTCCATCTCAAACTGTGTCTCGATGTGAGCCCGTGATGCAGAACAGTGATTAGCTTGTTGACATCTGTTTCGCAGCGCGGCCCCGCAAATATACTTTGACCCGAAGGACCAATTCCGCAAGGGCCACGCCATCGCAGCTGGGTAAGTGTCTGTCCACAAGTTAGTTTGCGCTGTTGGGTTCATCGTTGCCCAGAATGCTTGCTTTGGCGACCATCAGCGCGTTCACCTTACGCACGCGACTCGCATACTTGAACAGGCGCAACGAAAAAATCTTGGCGGAGCGGGGGGACAGCGAAAAGCAAGAGATGGAGGAGAGTGGTACTGAGATTCCGGACTCTGACCCACGATACAAGTTTATGACTTGAATGAGCGATTGTCATGAGTAACAAATGAAAAAATTTCTAACTGGTCCTACGCCTATTGCGCATCTCATGCTGTAAAAATCCAATCCAATCCAATCCATGCAGATCCTCATGGCCAAACCACTCGGCGAGGATCTGGTTTGAACTCTGAATAAGTATTGAATTGCCATCAGGAACTTGCTTTTCTCTGATCTTATCTTTCGACCACCACCATTAAAACGTCGCCCAAGCCTTAGATGGCCCACTCCTCCGCATGCTCCCTATTACCGCCCTCGTTCTTTTACTCCCCGTCGTATTATGGCGAGTCTTAAGGCCAAAACGGCTTCCATTGCCTCCAGGTGCGTCCGGTTGCACCCTCATTTTGCGGCAAATCCTCAAGCCATACCTAGGGCCACCGAAACGATTCCTCACCGGAAACCTCCACCAACTGCCGAAGACCAAACAATGGCTCACTTACGCTGACTGGGCCAAGACCTATGGGCCAATAATGACACTCCAAATCTTCAACCGCACGACTATCATCCTCACCTCTGCCAAGGGTGTTTTGGACTTGCTCGATTCGCGTGCTTCCATATATTCCGACCGACCAAGGTCATGGATGCTGCACACACTCGCTGGCCAGGACGCGTCAATGTTCGGGCTGTCGTCGCGCGATTTGCGGTTCCCCCGTTATCGAAAGATGCTTGTTGCTGGATTGAATAAACGATCCGTCACGAAATACCGTCCAGAGTTGGAGAATCGGCTGAAGGGGCTGTTGAGGGGCCTTGCAGAGAATGCGAACGATTTCGAGTCGTTGTTGACGACATACACGGGTGGAATAGCTTTGAAGGCCGGTTTTCGACTCTACTCTGTTATCGCTTACCCATTCCACACAGATTGCGTATGGCTACGACGTTGTTGAGCCAGCGGAGAATGACTATTTTGTCCAACTCATCGACAAGGCGGACAGCGCCATGCCCACACTCGTTCAACCATTCTACTTTGTGGAGGTCTTCCCATTCCGTGCGTACTCTATCTTCTTGTAACGATGCCCTGATTCATTTTAGTACGATTTCTGCCGAAATGGTTCCCCACTGCGACCTTCCATCGCATCGCCCTGGAGAAAAAGAAGATCCTCGATGCAATGGTCTACGTTCCGTACGAATGGGCTAAGAAAAAGCTGGAAACCAGCCCTTCCGAGCCGTCCTTCTTCTCCCAACATTTCTTGGATGAAGACGAGAAAAAGACCAGCCAAGAAGACGCCGACAACTTGATGTGGACGTCAGGCGCCATCTACTCTGGCGGCGCTCATACCACATCATCTGCACTCACATCATTTTTCCTCCTCATTTCGACACACTCTGAGATTCAGAAAGCAGCCCAAGCTGAAATCGATCGTGTGGTTGGTCGCGGCCGCCTCATCAACTCGGACGACAAGACATCGTTACCATACATCAATGCGCTCATCAAGGAAGTTCTTCGCTGGGCACCAGTCGCACCAATGGGTAAGTTTGTGCTACACTATTTGAACTCTTCATTTGGTTTACACGGCCAGGTCTACGGCACAGTGTTACCCAGGACGATATTTATGAGGGCTACCTGTAGTGAACCATTTGCGCATTCCATTCCACTGGCTCACATGTCGTAGAATCCCGAAGGGCAGTATGATCATCTCGAACATCTGGTATGTTGGGTTTTGTTTAGCAACACCATAGACTGAACTTGTAGGGCTGTCACCCATGATGCCGAACTATACTCAGAACCATTTGTCTTCAACCCATCCCGCTTCCTGGGCGACAAACAGCAACGCGATCCATTCGAGTACGGCAGTATTCCGTCCCGACACTGCTTTCTAATCCAATTCCGATAGTTTTGTCTTCGGTTTCGGTCGCCGCGTGTGTCCTGGCGCGACTCTTGCCGAAGAAACAATCTTCCTTGCGATTGCAAACTGCCTTTCGCTCTTTAATATTTCCCAAGCGCGCGACACGGCTGGCCAGGAGATTGACCCGATGCAGGGTTTAGATTGGCGGACTGGGCTGGTTACGTGCGTATGAGCGGGATTTTCCAGCTCGCGACTAAAATTCGCGACAGGCTTGCGCTCAACTTCAAGTTTAGTTTGACGCCAAGGTCGCCTGATGCGCTCGACGCGATTGGATTGTAACCAGCCAACATAATCATTGATTCCAAGCTCGGATTTGTCCTTGTACTCTTCAAAAGAAACGCAGCTGGGAATTATGTCTGGAAAAGAGTGCTGGACATTCTCTTTTTTGGTGGTTTCTGACGACATCTAAATCTGTCGAAGTCTCAGAACTGCTTCGTCGAAGATGAATTTTGGCATGGCATTCTTATCGGGCTTTCAGTGAGGTTATCGTTGCTTCTTGTCAACCTGCCATCGCCCTGTCGGCGTCGGTACATCAGCATCGCGGACTATTGAAGTGCGGGGACAAACTTGAGCCATTACTTCGTGTTTGAATTGAAAAAATTGACTATTACACCTCGTTTAGTCTCCTCGGACTTTCACGCACGTAGCTGTAGTTGAGAATTGCAATTGAGAACGGAACTTCTGCTGCAGGATTCCAATGCATTCACAGGATATCAGTGTTCTTCCAATTCGGATCCGAACCCTAACGCTGTGCGCTTGTGAACTATATCCCAGTCATCTTTAGCATGCAGTCCACGAAATGACTCTCACAGTTGTGCGCCCATGGGCAAATGATCTGTTCCGTCGTGAAGCGCGCCTAGGCTGGAACCCCTGCCGCTGCATTTGATTGCTGAAAAATGCTACCATATGTGGATCCCGTGGGTGGTTGGTAAGTTGGTGCAACATCACGAGCAGAATTCATCAGCCACCGAGGACATGGCCGACGTTGAGCCCGACGAAAACCACCCGTAGAAATTGACTTTCCAGAAGAAATGCAGGTGCTAGAAGGTACACTACACGTTGGATATGCGAGTGGGCCTGATGCAGAGCAAGGTCATACTTACACCGAATACTTGCCGAGCACGTGCGGCCGGGAAAGCTGACAACGCAGCACGGGCCGGAGTGCCGGATCTGCCCGATGACCACGTCCTGACAACGCGGAAAGACGGATACGACAAGTATTTGCTGACGGTGATGCGCATGGGCGTCGATGGAAGAACTTCGACGAAGCGGATGCGGAAGAAAAGGTACGCGAAATGAATAAATAGTTTTAGAAAGTTCCGGACCTAAAGCAGCTGGTGAGCTGCTGTTTTTTGGGTTGATGTCCGGCTACTATGTGCACAGTGACTCGTCCTAGACGCGATAAGAACGACTCGGAGTGCATAAGCGTCGACCTTACTACCAATAGTAACATCCGGCGTTGGAGGGTATAGGGGGAAGCAGAATCCAAAATAACCTCGCTCGATGCACTATAGTACTATAGTGTCCCAGTCAAACCGCCAACAGGACGTCAAACTGAGTTTGACGTCAAATTAAAGGAACTAAAATGTCGCATTCGGAGTGTCAGAGTGCAAAATCTAAGGCAACAAATCCATATCCAGTGCGATCGTTGGACTAGTGCACAACTAGTGGACATCTGTGGGTGTGGATGTGGGGCCGGAGTCGCCGGACCGGCCTTTGGAATCTTCCGGTTGTGGAACTATTATATCAAGCGTGGTAGTTGCTGCACGCCCAGGTTTGCGAGAATATTGATACCACACTGGAACACAGGAGCTTGCCAGTGCGCATCTGTCTATGGAAGTAGTTATTAAATAATTTCCTGTTGGAACCAACCTGATTTCATGCGAGACTTGTTGTTTGCATTCTATTTCGCTTCTGAGTTGTGATTCAACTTGGATGCGTCTTCGTACAGCCACGACATCGACTTTACACAAGCAATTATTGTCGACACAATGTTGCGGCCTCGTGGCGTTGGAGAAGCCCTACCTGAGGAAGCCCGCTACCGGATCGGCGACTCTGAATGAGCGCCTGGAAGCAAAAGCCAGTGTGACGTCTGTCGCGAAGTTGAAGAACCCGAACGCGAGCAAGGTCAAGTTGGATCGCGGGAAGGGTCCCATCAAGGTGGATATGGAGTTTCGTAGTCAACCAGCAGAAAGTTTAGAATGGCCGCTGCATGTATGATCTGCGCGTGTTTAAAGCAAGGCATGGCGAGATTGGCTCGGTCGTTGGTTCAACAAGTCAAGTCCTGAATGTAAAAGACCCGACACTGTTTCAATGCGGACCACCTGCCATTTTGGGATGTTGGCGGTGAGGTTGAGGCTTCTGTGGCCCGTGGGGATGGATGATTGAACGGAAAGGGCGCAAAACACACAAGTGACACAACTAGCGTTTTGATCACTTGCGGAGCGCTGTTGTGGTGATTTTGGTAGCATTCTCGGATGCCATTACCGTTCAAATGTGCTTTTGGTTGACGATTGGAACTTGAAGCAGGACTTGGCAAAGAAAGGAGGAACAAATCTCCACGCGATAATGCGGGTCTGGGGAATTCGGAGGCAGATAACAAGGTAACCCACGGCGATCAATGCCTGACCAAATGAAGATTTTTTGAGGCTCACGGAAGGACGGAAGTCGTACGATAGTCTTTATGGGAAAATGATACATGGCGTTCGAGGCCGTGTCGTGCCGTTTAGCGTATTTTCGGCTTAGATCTAGTTCCTGATCTGGACAGTGAGACATTATTTCGTCCGCGGACAAAAGTGCGCATCAAAGCGCGTCACATGTGCCGCCTTTGCATTTTGATGTTTTGCCCATCTCTCTCTCTCCCATCATGACCGACCAAGACGACGAGCAATCCAAGGGCCAGACTACCCCAGCCGCTGGCCCGGCTAACCCGCCTCAAGTGCGCTCACGGATAACCGTCGTATGTCGCCATTTTTGGACTCGTTTTGTTACTTGGCTTGTCTACTTAAACCTGACTCTTAGGTCTGTGCGGAATGCAAACGACTCAAGCTCAAATGCGACAGGCGAACACCCTGTGGGTCATGCGTCAAACGTGACACCGTTGCTCGCTGTGTCTACTCTCCAGCTGCTGCGGAAAAAGTCGACCTCCATTCTCTTAACAACCGGCTCATTCAAGTCGAACAATTGCTTGCTCAAGGCAACAATGTTATCCCTACGCAACAGGCTGCCACCCCGAGTCCACCAGTCCCGCTTACACCTCTCGCCATTCCGTTGGTCGAACTCCATAGTGCATGTTTGGCCCCTTTGGGGCTTCCAACCCCAGCGATACCACCCAGAACCCGTTCAGAGTCGTTGACCAGCCGTCCCTCTCCGCGAATCACTACAATTCCCTCGTTAGCCCCATCGCCAGCGCTTCTTCGCCTTATTCCATCTGCTCAGCGTTTACCGGGAAGACTTGCAGCTGGACACACCGCTCTCACCTCCCTTGCCGCGGCCCCCTTTCCTTTCTCCTGGTTCGAAGCCCGTGCATATAGCTTCATATCTGGTCTGACGGGCACCGCTGACGGCAACGCCACGTCAAACACTCCATCGCTATTCAATAACCCTGCCAAAGCCGCAAAGGAGGCTCGAAAACGGGAACGAGAAGAGAAGAAAGAGAGAGCTCGGTCCATATTTTCTGGAGGCGCCAACGGGACTCACAATTTCGCCAACTTCGGTGGCTATACCGCCCTACTCAATGGCACCGGCAATACACCTTATCAGGGCTATGGCAATCCAGCATATGACGTCCCTCTAGTTCACACTCTAGCTGAACCCCAGTCTGACCCAATAGAGCCGGATCAGGACTCGTTGGACAACTCAGAGCAAGAAGTCGACGAGTTGGACAATGAAGCTGGCGAAGACACAGATGGCTTGACGCTGCGTCCAGCGGGGGCACATCCCAGCAATACAGCGATCCGCACTCAGAGGCAACCACGAGGGGATCCTCGCACTGCTTTCTTTGCCCTCTTGTGTGGTGTCTTAGCATTGTCAGCCAACTCTGCCGAACCCGACGAGCTCCCAGAAGCGGATTTACTGGCCTTGGCGAAGCGCGCAGCAACTGAATATTTCGAGCCTCCGCCCTCCGCTGTTGTTGCGGACAAGGAAAGGGAGCGCCTACAGGCAGAAGTTGATGCCATTTTGGGCATGTGGGCGGTTGGAGTTTGTTTGATGCGCAGATCATCATCGCCTGGCGAAGAGGTCTATGTTCATGTGTGTTTAGGCTCCATTGTCTCGCTTTGTGACTCATGTCTGCTTTACAGGTTGCCCAAACTGTCGCTTACGCCCGTGTCGCCGGACTTGATCAAGAAACGGTACACCGTCTTCCCGCAGACACAAGGGCCGATTTAGCTACGAAGGCTACAGCTGCACGAAAAAGGCAGCACCAACAACCACCCACAGTTGTCAAAATGGAGGAAGTCGAAGAATGCCTGGGGATCGCAGGCTTGAAGCAGAAAGACGAATGTGTTCATGTTCTGCGCGCACGCACGTGGTGGACAGTATGCTGGGGCGATATGTGAGTTTTTCTGTTTTTTTTTGGTCTGCCAGAAATGATGTCTTTCAAGCCTCGCTGCTGAAGCAACTGATATCGCACCCGCTATTGCTCTTGGGACTACAGCACAACATCAATCGGTCTCCCTTAACCAGCTCAATGGTGAAGACACAGATCTCCTCGATCGTTCCGTGGATTGGTCAGAAGACGACTTCGCCAGTTTTGCCGGCAAGCGTTTTGGCGCATGGCCTCGGTAGTTTGACCCTTCATTCCCGAAAAAAAAACTGACTTGTTTCGTGATAGATTCGCGCGCGTTCTGCACCATGTTCATACTCTCACTGGAATGGAGGGTGCTTCTTCCGCTGAGAGTATTATCCGAGCGTGGGCTGCAGCCGAGGGTGGAGGTGACTTCCCCAATACGAATGGCTTCACAAGTCCGGTTGCCAGCCCTTCCATCTCGTCTCACGTCCCCGCTTTTGCATACGGAAGCCGTCAAGAAGGAATGGAGGTGGACAGTCACAGCCCTTCCTCAGCAACATCGTCTCAGTCGTCAAGCCCAGAAATTGAGGCGATGCAGCATCGCGCGGAAGTTGCCTTACTGGCGAACCGTGCAATCTTGAAGCTGTGGATGTCATGGATGGTATGTGGGACTTCACGTGAGCGGATCCATAACCTGACTAATTCTGTAGGCATTCAATCCATCTGCTACATCCGCACGCACGTGCCCTCCGACAATACCAATGCAAGCAGTGTATGGTGCCGTTGGGGCTGCTCATGGTATCGTTCAAGCTTGCCGCTCGCTTCAAGCCCTTCCTTTGCCTGTTCAGTCTTCTTCGCTCGGGCTACTGGCTGATCCACCAATGAGATCGGTTTTTGACGCCGGCATTGTTTGTGCTCATGCCGCGTTAAGATATCCGATCGCAGTATTTGCTGCTGGAGCGCGCGAATCGCTTGCGACTGCCCTGGCCCTTTTGCGAGTGCCACCGCAGACTTGGTCAGGTCAAACAGAAGGCGTTCGTGTGTTGGAAGGGCTAGCGAGAAGAGCCGGAGTTTTGGAAGAGTCGTACAAGATAGCCGGCAACGCCCCCAAGCGGAAACACGATGCAACGGATACCCAGTCGGCGTCACACGCCACAAGCAATGGGGTTGATGTCGCCTTGCGAGAAAAGGAGATGCAGCGAGATAAGGCCTCTTCTTCGAAGGAGAAGAAGAAGCGGACAAGTTATCCCTCTGTGGGTATTCGTGTGCGGCCAGGCAAAGAAACTCCTTTCTTTGCCTCTGGCTCTGCCTCCCCTGTCGTCCCGCCACCCCCGCGAAAGGGTTCTGCGAGCAATAATGGCTCACCTTCCGCCAGACAACAAGATGAGATGGCATATTATGCTCTTTCTCAACAACCAAAAGCGGGTCCGTCGTCGAATCCGGCGCAGCAACCGCAATCATTGATGAACGCGTATCGCTCTCGATCGTCTTCAATTTCCCAAGACCCGCGTCTCCAGCCCCCGAAGGACCAGCAGTCAATACCCATGGACTACTCTGTGCCATTTTCAGCTGGCGGAAATGCTCCTCCGTCGTCACAACCTCTCGAGGATTTCTCCAGACGTTCATTTGGCGAACTTCCTCCGCCAACGTCACAGCAACCTCAGCAAGGTTATGCGAGTGAGGCTATGTATGAGCTGCAACCTCCACGAGCGGGTTCCTATGACGCTGATGCGTATGGGAATGTCGGAAGTCCATTTGGCTCCAGCAGCAGTGGATCACCGTATAACACCACTGCGACATCAGTACCTTTTGGTGGCCCCAGTCCGCCATCGTACTCCACCCAACAGCCGTATTACTCAAATGGCTACGATGCTCCACCACAACCGCAACAAACGCAGTTCGATGTTGGCGTTGGGCCATCCCCACCTCGACAGTATCATGGGCATGTCGAACAGGACGGGCGACATGACATGACGGCTAGTTGGGCTGCGACAGTACCGGATTCACATCCTCAACAACAATTCTGGCCAACACCAAATGTCAGCGCTTCAGATGAGTATAATAAATTCTACTCACACTAAAGCGGACTTGATCATTGGAAATCCCCCTTCGTTCATGCTTTCATTTTTGCTTTCGCGCCACCCACCTCTGATGTTTACTTGCTTTCCGGGGCCACCATTAGCGCGCTCCTTTCCCCTCCTTCCGTCTGATTATACCGTCTCACCCTGCTGTATCCCTACTCATGCCCCCACTTTCCCTCCTACATATTTTTTCCCCGCTCACGCTTAAGCTTACGACCGCTTCGTTTATCTTCTCGGATGGCTGGAGGAGATTTGTACACACCGTGGTATTTATTGCGCTGATTTATTGACCCTTAGAATTCGGTATGTCGCGCTTCATTCTTGTTGCGTGGATCCCAGGCTGACTGGTTTTGCTCTAGCCAATATCGATATATATTTAGAGATGTTACTATATCGTGTACTCTATGTACTACCACAAAAGACAGCGTTTGGAGGAAACAAGTCCCTGAGGAGGTCACATGTCCCGCATTATCAGAAAGTAGATGCTCAGCAGCAGCAATATAGACATGGCGATCCAGCTTCCGTTCTGGACCCTTCGCTCCATATTCGAGCCAGTGGGCGGTCGGTAAGCCTGCGCAACATCCTTCTCTGGCAGCTCCGCGTTCAACTCGTCTCGGCCAAACCAACGATATACCCCGCGTCTGCCGGGATAACCCGGAGCGCCTCTTTCGAGATCCGCCGGGAGGGCCTTCCTGGCGTGGGTGTGGTAGAACGCGTCTGTCACCCGGTTTTCATCGTGGCTCGCGTTGTAGTTTGTTGACATTGCCGTCGACCCGTCCTGCTCCGCATGCATGAAAAAGTTGGCCCGGCTGGGGCTGGGGTTGCTCGCGCGAACGGTATCAATGTCGCACGACGGCGCGGGTGATGAGACAATGATGAGTGGCGCAGGCATAGGGAATAACGAGTGAATGCTGCCGGTGGATTTGCCTGCCAACCAGCTTGGGGTTGAGAGGGCCTTATAAAGGACGACGGTGGGTGAGACCCAAGATAAAGGGCGAGGAATGCACCCTCGCGAGCCTAAAGTTGTTCCTAATTATACAACTTAGTGCGGAATAAACGATGCCACAGGAGGCAAAGGGGCTGTCAGGTACGAGGAAGGGAAAATCAAGTGTGCCGGATAAGCCCGAGATAAGAGCCTCTTGTTTTTGTCTACTTTGAAGGTTGTAAAGCTCAAGGTGAAAACAAGAATATGTGGTCACGTGCTTAACTGTCTGACCACCAGTTTGACGAGAAGGTTGCTCGCATTTGGTTTATTTAGTAGGCTAGATTTACAGTCACGAATACGCACTGGTCCCAAGCCAAGACTTTGCCCCTGTCGTCGACGCCTTGGACATAAAACGTCACAGTCCGAGCACCGGCAAACGACTGAGGGAGATTACTTTGGCGGAGAGAAAACGACTGCCCAAGTTCAGATGTCCCGATCCATTGAGCACTATGAGGGGCAGGCTGGTCATCGGCACTGGCGTAGATGTTGAAGTACATGAATTGGGAGAACCATGTTCGTGAGCTGGATGGGTTGAAAGTCACCGGCCAGGCAGGGGACGGGTCTTCAGCTCCAGTAAGCGAAAGTCCAGAGAGCGGCGCAAATGTCGCTGCAACCTCCCATGACAATAAACCATCCAGAGGAGCGTTGGGTGATTTTGCAGAGGTGAAGTCAGCCCAGAGCACGACCGGGGTATGTGAAGGTAGCATCGGTGGTGAAGTTGGATACACATTCAATTGACCGAGAAGTAGGGACATGTTGAGCGCTTCTGAGGTGTCTTCCGCAACGATGGAGATGACAAGTCCTAATGCAGCCTTCACTACCTCGGAAGTAGTAGAAGGGAGGTCGAAACGGATACGGAGTCTGGTCCATCCTCCTGACATTTCCGTTGTGTCTGCAGATTGCGGCGCAATCTCAAACAATCCGGAGCTAGTGGTAAGGTTCTTGACGGATAATGCAATGTCTAGATCAACATTTGCGTCCTCCACTTCCAGTTTATAGACAAGCGTCGCTTCATACGATTGTTGGGGTGTGATCGACGCAGACTGAACTGGTACCCATATGCAGCGGAATGCAGCATCGTCGCCTGCCTCTCCTGGAGCGGTAACAGTAAATCGCAAGGAGCTTCCACCATTCCAAGCATCATCGAGGGTAAGTTGTGGAGTCACCAGTGGCAACACAACGGTTCCGACCTCCTCTTCAGAGCCTTCCCATGTAACAGCAGGCAGCGGCCAAACCATGTCGCCAATGCTTGTTTGTTTGTCAACATCGGTCCACCCCTCACGTTGGAAAACGCGGACGCCATTGACCCACCATCCCCGTCCCACTCCAGGAGAGAATGTTGAGTGAAATGGGATATGGAGTGGGTCAGGAGGCGCCCGTTGTTCAAAGAATGATGCAATTGGTATGAACGGCCCATGAGTACAAGCTGGCTCGCCTGGCCGGTTTGACGGCATGGTAGGAAGAACCACAATTTCTCCAGAGCGTAAGCCTGTCCACAATTTGCGTTCGTCAGTGAACCACGACTCCCAAGTGAACGAAGGAGCATCTTGAGTGTTCTCCCAAGTCCATCCTGGCGCAAAAAAAGCGGTACTCAGTTGAGCAGGAGAAATGTGTTCTAGGGCTTTGTAAGAGCCAAACCCGCCTGCTCCATGGGAGCCGCGTCCGAAAACATCGATCCCAACGTAGATGTCTTGCGCTGATAGACTTGTCGATGCCACCGTCGTCAAGTATTGTTTCATTCGAGTGACATGGCTGGGTGGCCACGTATAGTTGGTGAAGAAACCGGTGGATGACAGGAAGAAGGGGAGATTAAAGCCGTTTAATCGGTCCTGCCAGGCAAGTTGTCCGTTGACGACAACACTATCATACCTAAGATATCGGAATGAGCATTAAGCTCAGAGAACGATAATAGGCCCACCAAATGACTTCTGCATGCGCACCAATCTTGCTCTTGAGCTCTGAGACGAGTAGCGTTATCCACGCGGCTACTGAACGGGTCTGTTCAATCCCGCCCCGCAAAGGACACTCGAAGTTGAGAAGATAGCCATCAAAACCGCGTTCGTCGGCCAAATTGGCGAGTACACGAGCATAGTGGGGTGAGAGGGGAAGGGATCTGAAGTCGGTTGGTTGACTGGCGGGACCGGACTTGGATTGTGGTAGACGCCCTACAAGAAGGCGTAAACAGTCATTTTCGCCGCTCCCTTCGAAGATGCTGAGGAAAGAGATCGGAAACGAACAAAGACTGAAGGTGGAGGGTGTCCTACAGAGTTCCCAGCATTTTCACGCCTTGCCTATGGGCCGTAGTTATCCAGCCAGGCGGCGGGACAGTCACTCGGTGGTGCGAAAAGCTGAGTTGGGATGATGAGGAGTTCTGCATATAATGAAAAAAAAACGAACTAGATGAACGTATCGACCGCAGACCAAAAATTAAATGTGTACCCCAGTGCGATTGGGCTTTCGTTGTAGCCACCCTTACGAGAGTTGAAGCAATCGATTGTAAGGTGGCAGATGAACGCCGCTGACCTTGTAGTCGTGGCATACCTTGAGGGCATGTTCAATACGACGAGCCGCTACAAATGCAGTCGGGTCACCAGAAGCTTTGCTCGCTCGTCTGTCGAAACTGGTCGAGGGTGATACATGAGAACGCCATGCTTCCGGTGGGGTGTATTTGCCCAGGTATCCAGCTCTTCCAGGGTTGTGAAGTAGGCCCCAGGATGGGCATCGAATGAAGTGCCGATGAGAGGCATACTGGAAGTTGGGTTTCAACCCGATCTCGCGACGACATCAAATCACGAATCTCTGCTTGAACCACCACCACTTGGCCACAAACCACACTCGTTATGTCCTCCGCTCATTCCCTCAAGACGCTCCTTTCTTTCTATCTGCGCAAACTATGCCGCTTTTTTCTCGATCTTTTCATGTCAAGTGGCAAGAGCTTTGACGACAGTGTCCGTCCGACAGAGAAAAGACACGTTTTGGTCGTCATTTGTGCGTCTTTGCTGTCGCAAGGATCTGGATCTGACACACTTGCAAGCTGAACCCGTCTTGCATCCAACATTCTGTTTGACTGTAATTCCTCCCCCACCGCCAGTCGATGAACGAGAATCGCAGTCTACCATGCCCTCAACACCCTCGCTCACATTCACCAAGCCTCGCAATGCCCCCCGACCCCCGCACAAGAGCCCAGCCCGCGCTCGCCAGCGTCAGCATTTCGGGAACCCTGTCATCGAGCATGTCGTCCATCCTCGTTCGCTCATGCCTCTCGAACCAATCATCAACCTTCCCGCTGTTATGGTCCACAAGCTGCTTCAAGAGATCGAGCTCAGTCGTGAGAGGTTGCATGACTCAAAGAAACACTTTGTGGTGGATAGACAGCTTCCTTCAACCCATGCTCCCAAGAATGAAAAGTTGTCTTGCGCTCTTGCAGCCTTCTCGTTTAGCAAGCGGAAGGTCAATAAGCGGCACTCTTTGTCTTGCTCCCGTGACACTTTTTTCGCCATCATTCCGGCCAGCCATTCGTCGCCTGCTCTACTTCGACCGTGCAACGTGGGGTCGAGAATCAGAAACGACGCAGAAGGACTTCTCACCGCAGTCATGCAAGAAGCAGAAAACACGGCTACTGCTATCGACGCGGAGGCGGCCGAAGCTGAAGACTACCCAAGTTCACGCCTGACGATAACATTGGTCTCATCCATCTCTGCATCGCGTTCAATGGCGGAGCTTTCCAGCGCTAGCTCACGGTCAATTTCAGATCTCCTCAATGCTTTTGATCAGGTCATGGTTTCCCCTTCGTGGTGTCGGATTATGGTCAGATCAGAAGATATCAAGCGACGGAGAATGGATGTCGAGGCCTTGGTGTGAGTTGTGGATAGGTGCTATGTATTGTAGGTTATGGAACTGAACTCGCCCCACGGAATGAATGCGGATCGTGTGCTTCAAGCACTCGACTTGAGGGGGTCCGGCAATCAGTAGCTGACATCATCACCGTGACACAGCGTTTCGCCTCTTTATGAACGCGTTGGTCGCACTTCCAGCATGCGACTATGACAGACTTGGACAGGGCATGGATTCAGTCTTTGCGGTCCCCACCTCGTATTTCGCCTCCTCAATCCGAGTCAGTGCGTCGTCGCTCAACCGGTATGTTATAATCTGTTGATATGATTCTGTGGGGGGCTTCTACTTTGTTGTCGGCCTTAACGAAGCTCATCTAGGCACATTGACACATCCTCGAACGAAATCGCCAGTTTCTTCTCCAAGAAGAAGACTGGTATCTCCGACCCGCCACAAGCGCTCTTCCATTGCCAAGCTCCCAATTGAGGCGACTGCGCCATGTCGAAGTATCTGTTGCACCTGGAAAACAACTCAACCGCTTCCCGACTTTGGGCTTGAGCGTGGCGAATGCATGGCCCAGCTGCGGGCAAATTGTTATCAGGTTGACCTCAACAACGAGATCCCTGCCGCAGAGCTGCATTACAGTCTTTACAAGGCCGAAATTCCGCGGATAGACAAATTACTTGCTGCCGTTTCTGCCAACCTCAAGCGACGCAATTCTCCATCAGCATCGCGGACAAGTGTCATTACGTCTACTGGCTGCCGGCGCGTTTGCTGTAGCTCGACTGTGCCTGCGAAAGCTGGCTTTGGAGAAGAACTGCGCCTCCAACGACTGCTCAAAGCATTGAAGCAGCAATACAAAGATGTAGAATTCTACCTCAAGTTCAAGCGCGGGCTCACAGCCCCTATCCGGAAGCTCTCTCCCGAGCTGCTGTCCTTGGTCTTTACGTTCGTGATACCAACACCGGACGTTTTGATGTCGGGACTCAGCGATGCGCCATTGAAACTGGCGCAGGTTTGCAACTATTGGCGACTCCTGGTGACGAGCGAAAGCAGATTATGGGCGTCTTTGTCAATCCGGCTTCCAATGGACGATCCGCAACGCCTGAGGTCCAAGGTCACTTATTATTTCCAGCACTCCAAACAACAGCCACTGAACATCTGCGTCGTGCGATGTCCCATCTCTCCGTTGCTTATGGCGTGTCTGATGACCGCTAGCCAGCGGTGGCGACACCTTACGCTCAAGCTTTCCTCCTCATTACTTGTTATTCTCGACGAGATTTTTGAGCGTGTGCCCCTACTTGCATCCCTCGATATCCAGCAGTGCGATCTCACCCGTGATGCGTCACAGCTCGTCAGCGGGTTTGCTGTCGCCCCCGCTTTGCGCCGATTGTCGTTTACGGTCCAGAGCGGGCACATCTGGCCAGCGCGACTCAATCTGCCCTGGGTACAACTGACCTCCCTCACATTGACCTCCATCTCGATCACCACCTTCACCGAATGTATTGCCAACTGTGCCCAGCTCCTCTACTTTGACGCGATGGTTTCACCTGGCCTTGCCGATCCTGATATATCGTTTCTGCCCGTCCCTAATCTCCCTGACTCGCCCTCGGAGGGAGCCATACGTCCATTGCGCACGTTACTCCTTCGTGGCTCCTTCTGCCAGGACATCCTTTTCCTTGTCCTTCTTTCAACACCGCCCAGACCGCTATTCGTCTTCCCCCAGTTGCGGGTATTGGGCCTGGACATGAACGGGCTGCAGCCTGATTTTTACGCGGCCCTCGCCCGCTGCTGTCGCCTCGAGATGCTGTCAATCCGCGCATGGAGCAGGGCCGAGATGCCCGACGTGATTCCGTTCCTGCTTGCCGTCCCGACACTCCGCATTATGCACTTCCGCGACCTCCACACGGCCATGGTCTCTCCGCGGGTGTTCTCCATGCCGCTGGATGTACAGAAGCCGTGGGACGACGAAGAGGAGGTGGACGTCGAACCAGTCTGGAAGACGCTTGCTGAGCTTGACATTGAGCGGTTTGCCGTATATCAAGACAAGGTGCTCTATGCGCTCCTTCGCGAGAAACAGAGTGTTGAGGCCACCAGGCTGATTGGACTCGGACCGCATTCCGATCTCCAGGAGGAGCTCGAGCATCTGTTTTACAAGTGATTTTATTTGTATTTTTACGAGGTCTGTAGCTGCTCAAGTACTAGTTAATGAATCCCATAGTCTAATTTAGCCAAATACATTTTGTTCTGTTCATTGCGGGGTACAGTATGGAATTTCACAAGACTGATTTGGTTTCAGATTTGGGCTCATTCAGCTGTTTAACCAAGCTGGCAGTGGCCGAGGGAAGACAGCAACATCTAAAAGCGAATTGGATAGCGTGTTGATCTTATTATTAGTCCACAAGGAAATCATCTAAAGAATTAGTAGTTGGACAACGGTAAACGTCGAGGTAATCAGTAGAGCTGCTCATCGTTGAGTGCTGGAGTGCAGAAAGCATCCAGAGTGAACTTACTGTAGAGTATCGGATAATGTAATAAGCTCAGGATATTCTGGCGCTAACAAAAGGTCGGCAAGTTTGACTGAAGGGGTTACAGTGGAGGTGCGGACCTTCTGGGGGTTGCCTGTCGCATATCCAATGGTAAAGCCAATTCGTGCAGCAGCCCACGTTCCTAGTAAGCAGCTCGCTAGTCTGGGGTATTTGAGCGATGTCAAAAGCGTTCTGTTGAGTTGAGAAAGAGAAGAGCGGACGAGGAGCATCACCGACGTTGTAAAAAAGATGGGGAGATATTCTAGTGTCTGCAGTTGCAACAGGTTAATGCTGGGAAAGACTAACCATAGTCCTCATACATTTTGGTAGGCACCTAAAGCTGATTAGAAGTCTCAGGCGCCAGATTGTGCCCTAGGCACTCACGTTGGATGCAATTGAAAACATGAGCATGGGGGTTTGCTTCCATTTCAGCCTTTTCTGCATATACTATCCCACATGCGTGTCAGTATATACTCGAAGAGGGTGTAAACACTCACAACGGGGATAAGCAACACCACTTGGCCCTCGATATCTGACAACAAGATAGGTTTGTCCAATAAGCACCCATACAGTTGCCAAGAAGGAGGCCGCGACATAGGTCATCCTGTGAAAGGAGATCTGTTCGAGCGGCTGGCATGAGTGGAATGACCAGCGCACTCTGCTGGCAACACAATTGTCGTAGGCATGTCGATGATTTAAGTATGCTCCAATTGGACGACAACGTCCGTCAGCACTTTAAATAGCCTAGATATAGAGTTGTGCAAACTGAATACATGATTGTCGATTCACGTTCCGGCGGGAATGCCAACGGGAGAAAGGGCTCAAGGTTTGGACTAGGTTCAGAGAGATTGATTGCGAGTAACGCTGCGTGACCGTGACTTCGCGGTCAGGCAAACGCGTTAGGCGCGCTAAATTGCGCAATTGAATGCGCCCACAATTGAGATAAGTTCGCAAGTTGCTTATCCGCGACTTATCCGAGTGATGAAAGAAGACATTCCGGAACTTCCGTCGGACGGCAGAATGCATACGCGTCCTGGCATCTATTTTTTTCCCACCGACAGTCCAATCGGAATCTAAGTGAATTGAATATCGACAGTCCTTGGGTATCCCTTTAGGTCCCTCCTCAAACACCAGCAGCCACAAGGGTATAAGAGCTGTACATGGATCCGAAGAAGAGGGCTGGATGGGGGTTATCAGACTTGGGAATGGTTCATGGGTCTGTCACGCACTGAAGAATGCGAAGCCATAGAGTGGCATGCTAAGGGCGCTGTTGCGCTGTGTGGCGCGTTAGAATAATAGGGGAAACTAAGGGCTGTCTGAACCTTTTTGGGCTCGCCAGTTGCGTAACCCATAGTGTATAGAACACGACTAGCGGTCCATGCTGCGAGGGCTGATGCAGCAAGCTTGGGATGAGTTAGACCAAGCACAACTGTCCTGGGTTGAGTTAGTCTCGAGGAAAGGCTACAAGAGGTAAACGAACATGATATACATCTGAGTAACGTTCTCCAACGTCTGCAGGGCATGAGTTGAGCAGTGAGAGCATAGTAGACGTGAAGGAACGAATTCACATTCTGATGAGCACCTGCAAGCCCATAAAGTGACTGCTAGGAAACATCATAAAGAACTCGTACGTTGCACACAGTTGAAGAGATGAGCAGCAGGGTTGGCCTCCATTTCCGCCTTCTCGGCATATAAACGCGGGTACTGGATTCCGGAGAGTTTGCGGTGTTTAGACACGAGCGAAGACTGTCCATAGAGGAGGAACATTGTCGAGACGAGGGAAGCCGTCACGTAGGAAAAGCCTTGGGGGACGTGAATGGTGGACATGGTAAGAGGTAAAGTTGCAGCTACCATCTCTCAGAAATGTTGGGCGGATCGGCAGCTCGCGATCCGGAAGGACGGATGGTCGGCAAGGGCAAGAAAGGAGGGTCACGTGTACAGATGACTTTTGGTCATGTCTGCCACTTGCGCGTTGTGAGTTTCTGTGGTTTGAGCGCGCAATCGATCTAACACCCCATCCAGATGCAAAAGGCAATTCTCTAAATATAATTGCCCCACCTGCAACGTTCCTTACTGCTCACTTGCTTGTTTCCGTTCGCAAGTCAGCTTCCAGCCAGCGTAGTTAAACTGCAAGAAGCTTATGAACATGTAGGCCCATTCTCAGTGTTCCGAAACGTTTTACAAGAAAGAGCTTGAAGATGGTATCCGCGGCCAGCCGTCCAAAACCGCACAAGAACGACAGCAAATGCTTGAGCTCTTGAAACGTTTTGAAGAGGAGAGTGCCGAGCAGGAGGGACTAGAGGAGGATTATGATGACGAGGTGTCCCAAAGGTTTATGAGCCTGGATTTGGGTGAGTTTTCTCTTATGCTTGTGAAGTGAAATAATGGCGCTAGATGCGACGGATTCTGACGAGCTTTGGTCTTTATTGACCCCGGAGGAGCGCGATCGGTTTCTGAAGGCTATGGCGGACCCATCCAGTGAGCTTACTGCCCGACTGCTTGCGAGTGAGGAACTACAACATGACAAGCTCGATCCTTGGTGGACCATGTCTACAAATTCTTCCCTGCCTGATGTTATTCTCATCCCACCCTCGCTTAAAACGCCGAATCGAGCCGGACCACCGCTCATCTATAACATCTGCTCTCTATTGTGCGTGCACTATGAACCATCTTCGAAGCCTAAGGCTTGCTTGCTAGCATCGCTTACTCGTTCATAACTCGGCATCTTGCGATTTCACCGCTATTCCAAGCCTCTGAGCTGGAAGCAGATGCTGCTCGTGACCTATTTTCGCAGCTGACTCCGTTTCTCACTGCTCGAGCATCCAAAACACTCCTGTCAACTTTGGATATAACCATAACAGAGATGTTATCACGGCTGCCGAGTGTTCGTCCATGCCTCTTTGCCCGAGTGTCGTTGAATTGTCTTTCAGACCTCAAATTCGCCTCAGCTGCTCGCTGTTCTCCTCCGCGATGCTTCAACGCTTCTCAAACCCGCGCTAGTCGTTGAACTGGAGCATGAAACCCCACATATAAATGCTATGCGGGTCCTTGGCGACGTTCAGGCGCTATTCATTTCCCGTCCCCATGTTTCACATAAGCTGACCTTCTATGCGGCATATCTTAGCACGTTCGTCGCGCGTCTGGCTGCGATGGAGCTTGAGGCTGCTGCCAAGACACGCGAAACAGAGGTGGAGGAAGATCAAAGGGCAAGTCAGGCGGGTAAAACAAAGCTGATAATATAGAGAAGGAATATATTTCGTGTTGTAAAATGTAAAGACACATACTTTGAAAATTTGTGACGCGATCGCGTTACTCTCTCTCTCTTCAACACTGACCGCGATGAATGGCGAACGCCGACCTATATTCTCACCGCCCACAGGCTCTAAACGCGACTCATTAGCCGCTGAACTTGAGCGCGGTAAGTTTTGTGAAAAATGCCGACTGTGAGGGCTAATTGCCGTGCAGATCCACAACTCTCGACCGCCAAACGCCAACAACGGGCCCAGGCATTCACCTCTCAAATGGCTCATTCCGCATTAGAACGCCAACTATTAGCGGCGCAAACGAGCAAGATGGAATTGGAATCCAAATTACGAGAGAAGGAACTGCAGGTTGAGAAATTGGAGCGGGACAGACGATGGTTTTCTGACCGAGAACAAGGGGAGCGGGAAGAGAAAGAGCGTGAAAGGGCGGAATACCAAGAGCAAGTGGTACGTGTACACTCACCTTGTTCTCTCGTCCCGGAATGTCTAAGTATATCTCACAGGCAGCTAGAGACAAAGAACTACGGACATTGCGAAGCACCCTGACTGCGCTACGAGAAGAGTTTGACGATCTGAAGGACTCGCATTCCAGTCTTTCACGGACGACAACACAAACGATTGCTTCCCAGAAATCACAAATAGCGACCCTGACACGACAATCCGCTTTGCTCGAAGATGAGGTTTCGCAGTTTCGGCTTCTGGCCGACGAGAGGAGCCATACTATCGAAAACATTCAAGCTCAACTTGATGGGCTCGAAAATGCTCCCAGACCAATTGCGGACCAAGAGGAGAAAGACATGCAAATTGTCAGAGAAGAATTACATCGTCAGGCGGCCTATCTTCGCACCTTGGAGGCAACAAATGCGCGACTAGCCGGGGAGCTGGCAATACTGAAGGAACGACATACGAGTATTGAGGTTCTGCGGGAAGAGAACCGCAGTTTGGAAAGAAAGTTGCAACCGATGGAAGAGTTACAAGAGAAGACTGTTCAGTTGGAGGCGCAGCTCGAGGCAGCAAGACGCGAACGGGAGGCTTGGTAATGTCGATTTTCAAACTACCAAACACGTCTAATTATTCTTAGGGCACGAACCCAACCAGAACCGTCCTCGTCGTCTTCAACACCAATCGCCCTCACCACCAATCTCTCCTCTCTGCGTTTACAAAATGCTCAATTACTCGAAGATCACGGAGCGACAACAGCTCTGTTGCGAGCCAAAGAAGCTGAACTAGTCAATGCCGAAACTCGCATCAGCGAGTATTCGGACAGGATAGCAAAGCTTGAAAATCAGTCTGGCATCTTGCAGGACCGATTGGCCCGAGCAGAACAACGTGCCTCGCTGGCGGATAGGGAAGTCGGTTTTATGAAAGCCCTTGTGGTGCGTGATCTTTGTTCTTGCTCTTTGTCTTGTCTCTCATCTTCCCTCAGTCGAGCTATTCTCTAGAGGAAGCCAACAACAAGACGGAAGCAGGTCCTACAATTATGGACGCCGCGCGTTTGAAGCAGCTTGAACAACTAGAGGCACTTTTGGAGACCTACAAAGCAGCCAATTTGAAGCTTTCACAACAGCTTAACGAAGCTGCGACCCGGGAGCCAATAGCAGTCAGTCGAGCCCGAGAGCAAGAACTCGAATCCGAGAAGACTGCCCGACTCGAAGCTGAACAGTGTATGCTTGTCTCTCTCTCTCGTTCCTTTTATGTTGACTTTCATCAGCTTTGGAAACAGCAATTGCTGAATATCGGCTGCAACTCGAGAAAATCGAAGGGCTTGAACAAGAACTACATGAACTCAGCGGAGAGATTGCTGGCGGACGGCATGTACCTCCTGGTGTGCGGGTGTTGTCGTTTGCTGATACGCCGGAATTGTTGGGTCGGGATAACCCCCAAGCGCGGAAAGCGGAACTTGATAAAGTTAAAGAGGAAAATACGGCTCTCATTCAACGTATCGAAGCCCTAGAGCAGGGTGGCGCGCACCTTGTTGGGGAGAGCAATACCAGTGCAATTCCAAAGGAGAGTTGGGACAAGGTGTGCGAGGAGCGAGACCAACTTCAAGCCCTCGTCAAGCAGAAGGAGAAGAGGCTGCAGCGGCTGCAAGAAGTCTTCCAGTCCAAAGCCAAAGAGTTCCGCGAGTCCGTCGAGTCCCTCCTTGGCGTCAAACTCGCGTTCTTCCAGTCTGGCCAAGTTCGCGTGACGTCATCTTTCGATCACGAGACGACATTTGTGTTCAAACCGTCGTCCGACGGGACCTCGTCTCTACAGCTTACGGGCACGGGAGAAGGGGGCTTCGAGGACTGCGAACAGCTGATGGCGTATTGGGTCAACACCGAACAATGCATTCCTGGATTCCTGGCGAGTGTAACTCTAGAACTGTACGACAAAAAGAAGCAGGAGAGGTAGTACTCAGTAGTTGAGTTTCTGTTTTCTTCATTGCATTCTTCCGGCCCTGTACATTATGACTGTAACAGAAACGCTCGGGCACCGTTCATCCTTGAAAGTCGCTTCAAATCGCGTCGCGATGCTCTTCTTAGGTATCAACGGGTGATATGGCCATCATTCTGGATCACAGTGAAAGCTTATCGAGTCGCGGCTTCTAAGGGATAAAACGGTCTTTTCCTCAGCGTGTTTGTTGTCCATCAATTGTAAGAACTTTCAATTCCGTTGAAGTAAGTCAACTTCAACACCCTGCCTGCTATGTGAAACAGCAACGAATCGGAGCGGTATAGACAATCTTGCTAACTTTCTAATGGACGTGAATCGGGTTTTTACCATTGGCCATCGCTTCGCTTGGCCGTAGCTTGAACGGAACCAAAAGTGACGCGACGATCACGCCTCACAATCATAGATTTCTTATTTCCTCCCCACATCACCACCCCAAAATGTTGCCAGTGCGTTCCCGAGGGCCATCTCCCAAGCGGCCGTACGCCCCCGTTCTTCTGCGCTCAAAGCCATCATCTTGTTGACTGCATCTCAGCGCGCTGTTTGGTTCTGCTTCGTTTGACCCTTCCGATGCAACCCATCCAGAAGAAAACCACCCCGTGCTGTATGAGTTGTCCATCTCTCAGTGCACGATTCTGGACTCACTTGTTTGGCTAGTTGTCAAGGTCGTGTTGCCGTTGTTACGGGGGCAGCGTCTGGCATTGGTGCAGCAGCTGCTGTGGGTGTCTTCTAACCCCTTGACCCAACACGCCCTACGCCGTGTACCCATATCGCTGACTCAGCGCTCCAGCGGGCATTTGCTGCTCTCGGCATGAAAGTGGCGATTGCGGATCTTCCTTCCTCGTCCGACAAACTTCAGTCTCTCGGCAAGGAGCTGGTTAACGTCGTCGGGGAAGCTAACGTCCTTGTTGTCCCAACAGACGTCTCGGTCTACGAAGAGGTTTGTAAATTCCGCGAGACGGTATTTGAGGCCTGGAGTGAGGTCGGCATCCTGCTCAATAATGCTGGAGTTGATGGTGGACCGGATGGCAAGCGCGGTGTGTGTTTGTGTTTTGAGAAACAGACTAAATCTGACACCGACCAGGAACTTCTTGGGAAGGTCTCGACGCCTGGCATCACGTTTTCAACGTGAATGTCTTTGGAATCGTCAACGTCCAACAGGCGTTCATCCCGGTAAGTCATCCAAACGAAAATCGCGACTCCTTTCGACCGTTCTTTTTTGCCGAAATTGTCCCTGTGGAGTTTTTCAAAATCGACCTTTGTATTGACGATACCTTATCTCGCCGACGTGCCACTCCCTATCGCGTTCCTTGTCGTCTCCCTGATTTCTCCTTTTCCATCTTTCTCTCAATCTGTTTGCCACGGCTAACATCCTGATGTCCTTGATAACGCTAGGCCATGCTTTATCAAGAAAACCCAGCTATGGTCATCAACACTGGTAGCAAACAAGGCATAACCAATCCTCCCGGTAACACTGCATATAATGCAACGAAGGCTGCTATCAAAAGTCTCACTGAGGGGTTGGCGCATGAGCTGCGAACTAAAGCAGATGCACACGGAACTGCCCGAATCACTGCTCATTTATTCGTGTCAGTGACCGATTTTGTTTGATGAATGGTCTGGCTTATCGAACGCGATTTAGGCCAGGCTGGACTTTTACTGGCTTGACTGGCGCGTCAGCAGGCGGAGAAAAACCTGCAGGTGCCTGGTCTGCCGACGAAACTGTCAAGTACATGCTGTCGCGAGTCGCTGCAGGCGACTTCTATGTTGTTTGCCCAGATAACGAGACAACCCCAGAAGTGGGTCATTTGTGATTTTCCTGTCTACAACTCTGATGAATAACGTGGTAGGCGGATCAACTTCGAATTATGTGGGCTGCAGCAGATGTCGCGCAAGGCCGTCCAGCCCTGAGTCGCTGGCATCGGGACTACAAGGCTCTCTTTGAGGAGTATATGCGGGAAGGCCACGCTCTCCAAGTCAAGGTCGCCGCAGAAAACAAGAACAAATAAATGGGGTACGTTGCTCCAAACAAATACTCTTGCGCAGACTGGAAGACATCCATCACAGACGACCTTGCTTGGAATTGGGATGGAATGGAAACTGTAGAATACTTCAAAACGGACGGTCTGTTGTTGTCACTTTGCTTTGCTATCCCGCTCTTGAATAAAAATCGAATGGAAAACTTGATAGTTCACCCACATGATCAAGGCTCAGTACCTTCAGCGGGCCACTGCTTCTGAGGTTGACAAAATCGACCGTGATCTGTCCTTTCGTAATCTGATAACCTGATGCCATCACAAACGGCAGCCGCGGCACTTATGTCTGAATCTGCCGTGCGGACCTTTCATGTTCTCACTTGGTTTTCTTCCGATCTTCGGGACATCTTTCTTATCTCTCCAAAATTGGAACGAGCGAAATCGCAGTGGAAGTCACGGGCCATTGCAACGACAACGATGTTGCGGCGCAGCCAAAGGCGCCGAAATTCCGCAGGCAAATAACTGGATCGCAGTTGACGCGCTGACGTCGTTTGACAAGCATCAAGCACCATAAAGAGGGGCTTTCAACTTGTTCCTTGAAGGTCAGAAGCCGACGACGATATGACCTCCACACCGAGTAAAGAGAAACTGCTTCAACTTCCAAACGACCGTGTGCTAGCGTACGAAGAGACTGGCGACGTTACTTCGACTGTTCTAGTCTTCTTTTTCCACGGTATGCTCGGTTCACCACTGGGCTGCAAGAGCATGCTTAGACAAACGCAGGCGTCTTTGGTGTTGGGAGGGTCCCCAAGGTTCTGTCACCCGCGCTCATCGAGAAACGGGCTCACTACATCACGCCAACACTCCCTGGCGGGGGGAATTCATCGCCTCGCCTAAAGACCAAGCCATATCATGTCGGTCTCGCGGAGGATACCATGGCACTGATTGAGCATCTTCATCCTGGGGCCGATCAACTGCAAATATACCTTTGCGGCGGGTCGTATGGCACTGTTCCAGCTCAGATGTTGTATGGTGCGCCTTTCGAGATTTTCCCAGCTGGAAAGTTCGTTCGCGGATGTCTTCTTGGTGCGCCGTTTACGCCCTTCAAGCACCATAAAGGGTATACGCGGGGCATGACTTGGGGAAACTACTTCTCTGTCGGACCTCCTTCTCAAATCGTCCCGTTCAACTTGATTATGCGTGTCGCGGGGATCGGTGTCTCACAGCAGTTTGGCGGACCAAAAGGCGCTAAGAAGGCGGAAAAGTTCTTGCAGGGCTTCCTGTTCGATGGCACGCCGGAGGAGGAGAAGGCTGCTTTCAAGGCATGGCGGGAGAAACAAGGCTTAGAAGAGGGCCAATTTGAGCGGGAGATGGCAGAGAATATGTCAAAGAGTATATCGAAGACAATGGCTGGCTTTATCGAATGTGGAGATGTCATCCACAGCGACTGGGACTTTGTGCCCAAAGACCTGGATGATGAACACACCAACGGGCGAAAAGTCGTTATTGCTGCATCGACAGACGATGAGTTGGGGCCGGAATTTGCCAATTGGCTGAAGGAGAACTACAAGAACTCGAGCCTCACGTGGGTACCCGGCAAACACATTTCCAGTCTGTTCGTTATGGACCAGCTGTTCGCCGAGCTGTTGCAAGACGCTTAGCATTAGCTCACTAGATACCCTGGACTTATCGATATATTTTATGTGGGTCCGAGAGCACTTTCCTAATCTGGATTATGCGCGTATCTTTCTGTGAACACGCAACCCGAAAGAGCAACATTCGAAACATCACGAGGCCGTTAGCAATTGCTCTAGGGACTCTCGGCTTTCGAAATAATTTGTCTCGCACGCGTCCCGATTGGAGTCGGATGATGCCGAAACAACTGATGAATTGATGATGGAAAGCTTAGAGTGCCTTGTCCTCCACTTCCATGTTGTGCTGAGTCTTCCCTTTACCTCCATCTCCCCGCCATTCCCCACCATAAGGATACCGCTTGGCGTATGCTCCATTCTCCCTGATAACAGAGTTTTAACTCGCTCTTTCCAGATCTCGCGACCCTTATCGGTTTCCTCTTTCCGCCCTCTGCCAGAGTAACGCTCGAGAATTATCTCGCGACTCCAGTCCTCCGCTGAGCGAATCGCGTCGACACAGAGAATCCCCATCACCATGACCTCCCCATCTTCTCCAGCCGCCTCCGACCACTCGTCTTCCAACTCGGTGTCGACGGGCCCTCCACAAACACCAGTCATTCCAGGCCTCCCTCTCGAAACCCCTCTTTCTGCCAAAGCTCAACCTGACAGCAACAATGCTGGAGGCGTGAAGCGTACCTCCAAGCCCAGCCGTCGCGCCAACACAGCTGAACGTCGGGCAACTCACAATGCTGTTGAGCGCCAGCGCAGAGAGACCCTTAATGGCCGTTTCCTCGTCTGTTCACTCCCTTCACAGGCCTCACAAATCCGCTAACTTTCTTTCTAAGGACCTTGCTGGGATGCTTCCCAACTTATCACAAATTCGGCGTCCCTCAAAGTCCGCTATTGTCAATTCGAGCATTGCCCACATCAATGCCTCCCGCCGTCACCGACTCCTTGCCGCCCAGCAACTGCGTCTACTTAAGACCGAATCTGATGCGCTCCGTCACGAAGTCAACGAGTGGCGTTTGCGTGCCGGCATTCCAGGTGTCGAGGAGCCTCGGCGGGCTGATGGATTTTCTGTCGTTCTTAGCGGCGAGCTCGAATTCGAGCCTAGCGACATGCTTGACGGTAGCGAAGAAGGCGACGAAGAAGAATTTGGCGCACAGTATCACCAGCAGTCGCAGCAAGGTTACCCAGACGAGTCAGATGAATATCTTCATCAACAAAGACTTGCGCAGCAGCAACAAGTTGCGCAACAACCTCTGACAATCTCGATTGGGCAACGCACCGAGTCACCCCCTCATTATGCGACGTCTTCCCCCATGATCGCTAGTCCAACCGCGCCGGTGTTCGATCCTGCTATGGCATATGACCACCATGCCCGTCACCTCCACCACCACCAGTTGATGCTTGCCCAGCAAGAGGAAAACGAAAAGTGGGCCTCATATCACCACCAACAACAGCAATTCGCTCGTCATCCCCAGACGCAGGCTTGGTGATTGACAACCTTGACGGCCCTTTCCTTCTCTCTCTCTCTGTACGACCTCTCGATGATATTCCTCCCGAATAAAAACCACCGTCCTTATTCCTGCTTGCTTTCTATCCGCTCTGTACATTGTCTTCCGCTCCCAGGCTCCACCTTTGAGCCGATCCCACCTTCTTTTTGATTTGATACCCTCCCTTCTTTGTCTATGGCCAATCTCATTGGTACAACGGACTACTTTCCGCTGCTGTTGTCACTGCTCTTTCATACGTGGCTTCTTGCACTACAGTACTGTTCGTTGATCGCGAACTCGTCTCGCATCGGACAGTTTGTGGGGGAGTTTTGTGTTCCTTTGTCGTTGTCGTTGTGTTGTCGTCGCTGGTGTGTATCATGTGATTATTATATCTTGATAGAAACAGACAAAAAGCCCAATAAAGAAGATAAATAAATAAAAACTTTGAACCCATCTGTTGTGTGTTTCGTGTCGTTGGTTCGCCCCGAGTCGTTCCGATTAGGCAACGAGTCCCTGCAAAGACAAAAACGCAAAAGAAGTTTGTTTGCCGCTCAGCAGGGGACGCGCCACCATCATCATTCATATTGCATTCATATCAAACGCCTCCGTCGACTCGATATAGAAATTTCCAGCTGGAAGTACAATTTGAATTCGATGAGTCGGCCCGCTTCTGATTCTTTCCGATTCTACCACGATTGCGCTAACCTGCACTAACCAGGCTCACGAGAAAAACTCAAACACAACTCAAAAGCCTGCCCGGCGGCGTTTACCTGGCTTATGACGTTGTTGGTGATTGCACGTGTTTTCTGCAGGACTTTGCCCCTCACTAACATCATCTAAGAGTACTGACAACGGAGAGAGTTTATCTGGTGGACGCAGGGGCTGCGACTCGAGCTGGCTTGGTAGGCTGTAACCGGAAACGCCGTGTCGAGGCTGAACACATTTCCAAAACGTGGCTTTTGAGTTGCAGCCACGTGCTCTCGGGTGCAGTTGGTGCCTGTCAAGTCGAAACTGTCTTCGAAGTCTAAATCGGGACGTCGGTGTTGAGAAATCGCCGATAACGTTGATTAGATGTTGTGGTGGTGGTTACGATGTGCGGAGCTGTCATTGTTTATCCAAAGAACAGGATGTCGACTGCGCTGATATGATGCAGCGAGTCCCTCTGGAAAGCAGATCGTCAGGATGTGAAAAAATCGAGTGGAAGCAAACCTTCAGTCCGACGATCCTTGCCTCATCAAGGCTCGCGCCGGTATACAGCAATGGTTCTAACACTGGCTTATCTGAATCGACCTCCATCCCATGCTCAGCCTGGGCTCGATACGGCGGCCTGATATGGCAGAAATAGGCCGGAAGTTCCGAGCCCACAGGCTGCGCAAAAATCCTACGCATTTCCCCGCCTATGTCTGCGCTTGCCGGGAAGTCTTTCCAGTTGCGAGTCAGCCGAGGTTGCAAGGAGGCCCTTGCAGCGACTTCATATGGTTCATCAATATAATTCCGTTGCTCAAGATGTTCAGGGCGAACGTTGAAGTCGAACATGTACACTGGGCCACCATCGGGACTGCCTACACCAAGTATTACGGCACGTTGACCCGCAGTTGTCGTAATCCAGTCGGTCACGACATCTCGAGCTGGCAGCCACCGACAACGTCGTGGTCCACCCCAAGCATTGTAAGGCAGACCAACCGGTCCGGACACTGCGAGGCGTGGGCCTCTAGTCACATGCTTGTCCAATAGTTGGAGGAATGACCGTCGATGCATAAACAACAAAAACGAGGCGGAATTGGTGACTGGATTGTTGATAGTATATGTGATGTGGAAAACGGCAATTGCGTCTGCAGAGTCAGGGGAGAAGGGGAAGCGCGATGCTGAGCCCTTGCTGGAATACACTGCTGGGTTGGGCTCGCAACGGGTGGAAATATATCGAGCATTGGCATTTGGCTGAATGTAAGGTAGCTTCAATGTCAAAAGGGGTCTGTCCCAGTCCGATCCGGAGGCCGAGATGTCCCATAGTTCGAGCGATGCATCAGAAGCATTGGGGAGCATCAAGATTTCAGGCGTTATGAAGGCAGCGCCAGAGTATGTTCCAGGACGAACCGTCATTTGCTGAAATGCCGTTAATACCAAGTCATGTAGGTGTCTTGCTCAAAACGACGCGCCTTTCTGAGGGTCCCCGTTTTCCATTCATAGACATATAGACGATCTGGTTCAATCTGGTTGAGATTGCTGGGGGGGTTGGCGCCGAACTGGCTAAAACCAGTCAAGAACACCGCAAGGTCACCAACGATTTCGATCGTGACGCGCGGCTGCCCGTTATGTGAGTTGATGACTTCAATGGGTCCTTTTGCCAAAGGATGCGGTTGAGCGTTCGAAATGCAATACGGATGGAGAGAAACGAATCCGGAGGTCGAATTAAGACCAGTCCACGAGCTGCAGACATCGTCAGTTCCCAGAGGCAGAGAGTATGTTGTGCACTGCACTCACTACTTGGCCACCAAAACTAGATCATGCTCCTCGACTGCCAGGCCGAAATCAACAATGACACTGTTCTCCTCCTCACCCACAGGTTGCAGTCTCCTCCAAATGGGTGTTTCGTGGGGATATATGGGCAGCGAAATCCATTGGAGGGCTTTGCGAGACTGTTCACCCAACCAGAATTGGCCACCGGTGAGCTCGTAAAGACCGGCGGCAACAAACGGAACTGATATTTGTCGTTTCCACGAAGGTCTTGTGCGAGCATAAGCATCTTCTCTCTTCCGGAGGAGACGTAGACGGTCAGAGGTGGAGTCCAACGGGCCCGAGGGATTGTCGATAACTGAGGCCACATCACAAGCGATTCGGTATTGGATGGTGGGCGATTGTGTCAAAGCGTGGAAGAGGGTGCAGGTTTCCTCGCATGCGCCAAGGGAGGCGGCATCAAGGTAAGATAGGACGTGAACGATGAGTTCGGGAGGCAATTCGGTGAGATACATGATCGTTTGGAACAAGTTACGTCAGAAGCCACCAACTCAAAAACACTACAACAACTCAAACAATCCTAGTATGGCTTGAACTTTCTGGCCGCTTTTAGCTTTTCCACTTTCGCCTTGTCTGCTTCCCAATTCTTTTTCAGCTCCAAAAGATCTACAATGCATCGCGATGAGAGGCAGAACACTCCAGGCAATAGAGAAAACCTCACCGTTCCGTTGTTTTTCAGCTTTTTGGAAGGCGTAAAAGTTCTTTTTCTCCTTCTTTTCCGCCTTTTTGGGACGAGTTGTTGTTTCTCCAGTTTCCTGAAACTTTTTGCTCGCAACTCCAACCCCACCACCCAGATTCTTCCCGTACGCTCCACCGCGGGTAACCAGCGTGAAGCCGTCTTCGTCGACGATGTCCTCTCCCTTGCGATACTTGCTCTGTTGTTTAGTTTGTCGTAATTCGTATTCGAACAACTCCATGGCCGAATCAGCATGAGCCCGGATAATATCGAGCGGTGGGCGGGCCGCATCGTACCGCGCAATATAGTGCGCTAAGCCGGAGGGTTCTTCGGATGTCGGCCACGGTCTTGGTTTTGAATAAGGCACTAATGCACGCTCGAGCGAAGATTGGTCGAGGAAAACAACGTGCGCTGTTCGTCCAGTTTCGCGCAGTCGACGGAGGGGAGGGGAGGGAAGCGGAATCACAACGGGCTTTTTGTTCTTGGCATCGAGTTTTCTCTTTTTTCGTGCCGGTTGGGAGTCCTCTGCCTCCGCTAGTACTTCGGCTTGTTCTTCTGCGTCACTTTCATCCTCGTCGTCATCTAGTTCCTCTATAGCGGCATCTCCGTCGAATAACACTCGTTCAACTGTCCCAGAATTCTTGAAGAGCATTATAAGTTCACGTTCCGTTGCGTCGGGAGGGACATTGACGAGAAAAAGTGTTCGCTGGTCGGGTAGCGCGTTAGAAGACGGCGATTTCTTCGAGCCGGCATGGGCGCGAGCATATAGATAATGTGTAGCATCGTGCCCATAGGATATGGGGAGGACAGTGAATCCTGAGATTGTAGAGGAAGACATCAAAATATCACGTGCACGCGAATTTTTCCCTTGCTCTCAACTTCAACTTGCCCCTTCAACTCGCAAGTTATTCAATATTTCTCTGCTCGGAGTCTAGACCTCGAAGCCTCAACCGTAAACAAAATTGCCCACGCCTCAATGACATAAGCTGCCTTCCGCTCTCCATTTTCAAGAACTTTCCGCAAAAAACAAAGACAAGCGGAAGGACTGCCCCATCGCGGATGTTTCTCATTCACCGAAAGTATAAAGCCCTTCACTATTCTCCATTCCTCAACTGGGCACGTTCTCTTCTAACATCACTCTTCTCCGTGCCACACCCATAAATCACGACCATGGTATCGCAGGTCTTTGGGTTCGTCTCTTCTACTCTTCTTCGATAACTATGTGTCTTATGTCCATACAGCACCCTTGTCGCTGCCGTCCTCGTAAATCTTGTGTTATTTACACTCGAGTTTGCCATGGCCTGCCAACTCTTCTCAAAGAAACGAGAAGAAGTCAGTCGATGGACCAAATTCAGGGTTTGGTTTACCCTCATCATCGACACTGCTGCAACACTTTCTTCTTGTGTCTTCTTGTACATGGTATGATTATCCTCCTTTGGCTCTGCATCACCCTCATTGTGGTCAAGTTCGAGGAGTCACACTGGGACGAAGACGAACATGACGAGGAGCACGAGCGTTTCTGGCAACTCATCATTGGCACCCTCATTATTGGCACTGTGTCTTCTGCACTCGCCCAGAGCTATCTTATGGAACGATTCTGGAGGAAGTAAGTCCATTGTCTGCCCACATCATCCATTTCTCATGCGCTCAGCATCCGCCACCACCTACTTGGCACTGCTTTTGCTGTTTCGCTTCTCGTCTTGGTGAGACCACCCCTTCCTTCTGTTTCACTTTAACTAAATTGTGTAGGCCGCAATCGCATCTATAGCTTCCCTTGTCACATGCGCCTACATGCAATGGACCAAGGCCGAAACTGACAACATCAAGCCCTTCGTTTGGTAAGACGGATGTCTGAAATCAAGTCATTCCACTCATCGTTTCATAGGCTTGCACTTATCTCCAACTTGGTTTACGCCGTAGGCATCACCGCTATCTCCGTTTGCCAGCGCTTCGCCATGCGCACCGCAGGCCCTAAGCCGCGATTCCTCAACAGGGTGTTCCGTGGCTTCGTCGAGACCGGCATGCCAAGCAGCATCGTCGTCATTCTGGCCCTTATTGCCTGGGTCGTTGACAACATCGCTGTCTGTGAGTAATCGTAATGTCGTTCAGCAGCAAAACTAACTCCTTCTAGACGTCATTGCGCTCTACTTCGTCCAAGCACGCATTTACTCTTGCACGATGCTCTACTCCCTTCGCCAAACCAAACTCGTCCGCATGGAGAACTGGAAGGAGGCGCTCATCTCCACAACCATCGCACAAAAGCCGCAGCCTGTACCGCCTCGTTAGTGCCCTTGTTTCGCGCCTATTTCTAGTCCTGACTCAGGAAAACTAGTTGCTCCGGAGATGATGGTCCGCATCGAGAAGTCCGGCCGGCTCACCGGCATCCCCGAGGTGTGTAAGTTGCCTATGTTTGCGCCGCCACGTGTTCTCAGACCCTTTTTCGTAGGAGAACCAGGCGAAGTGGTACAACATCGACCTTAGTGAGGCGACCCGGGCAAGCATTGAGTCAAAGGAGTTAGAGGAGGCGCAACCCAAAGAGCTTGTTGTGGGCACACCGAGGGCTATCGTTTTACACCGGAGCAGCATTTTGGACAAGCAGTGATCAGTGTTATCGTTTCTTTTGCGTTTTTTTACTCCCCTCCCCCCCGCATCCACTTACTTACTCATCTTGTATACTTAACATCCAAATTCGAATTCGCTTCTTCACGATAAATCCGCTGGACTGTCGAGTTGCACTGGGAATAAAGGCTGCAGTCCCACACACATGACGAGCGAACAAACACGATCATGGAGGAATGGGGTAAGGCACTGGCGATGCAAACAGAGGGAAAGCGACAAGGTCACGTGTTAAGCAAGGGGATTGCATTCTGCAGGTTGCATATTCTACCCCGAAACTTCTGTGTACTACGCAATGCTCGCCCACTCCGGAACCTCGCCAATCGCCTTCCGAACTGCGTCGTAAACTTCGCCTCCAGTTTTGTAGAGGCGACGGAGACAGCCCTCGGCCACAGTAGCGAGCGGCATTATAATGCCAGCCACCGGAGGAAATGAGTCATGCAGCTCATCATCGCTAATGGATTTCGGAGACCGTCCCACGCAAAGCAGCTCGCGGAGGACACAGCCAAAGGCATATATGTCGAGGTGCGGGTCGCCGTTGAAGTGAAATAACATGTCGTCACTAGGGTCCAAATACCGAGTTTGCGGGAGAACAATATTGCGGACCCAGTGCCGCGTGCCGTGCACGTCAAGGTGCCACCCAGACCCTTCAAAGTCGCTCAGGCAGATGTCGAGCTTGGAGGTGAGGAGGATGTTGTTTAGCGCGCAATCGGCCCAGATAACACCTGCGAGGTGGATGGCTGCAAGCCCCTCCGCAATCTGGAGTGCCCAACGGACTCTGTCGGTCAGCGAAACGTCAGGGTGAACGTTGAGATAGTGGTATAGGTCGCCGTTATGGGCCCGCTCGAGCCGAAGCGGGGGGAGTTTATCTGCAGACTGTAGGCTCGATGTAGCTAGGGTCAAGGCATTTGAGGATCCGCTTGTGTGTGCCAATGCGCTGGTAGATAGTCCGCTCGTTGCTGCCCATCGACGGATCCCTGTGTCGCTTGTGTACTTCCTGTCCCACGAACTCAATAGTGTTGCGCGGGTAGTCGTCGCTCAGATATTCGTTATCGTCGTCGCTTAGGTATTCGTTGTCGTCCTTGCCCAGGTATTCGCTGTCATCGTTCAAGTTCATGATGAAAAGCCGCTTTGTTAATGTCACGCACTGCTAAATCTGCAGCAGATGACCCAGGCTGCAAATGGAACAGGTTTTTCAACGCAGAATCATGTATTAAGCGACATAATGAAGGTAGAACTACGGGCCCTGGCACAGCAGACAGAACATGTTTAGGATCGGGGAGCTCCGGCAGGACGGAAACCACCAGGCTTGCGATGTTGATGAGCCGGAGGAGCGAACACTGGGAATTCAAATGAGCAATGGGAAGATAGCCAAGGAGCAGACGAACCTTGCGGAACAGTAGAGCGTCGGGGGGTTGGCGCGGTCGACCAGCCATGATTGACAACTGGACGAGAGTGCTGTCCAGCGATGAGCAAGTTTTCGACTTCATTGCTGCTGGTCGAGTGGTCTGAGGTGTTTCGGGAGTGAAAGGAGCGGTCGGCTGTTGGGGCTGCAAAGGGCTGACGGTGGGATTGAGTACGGCGGACAGGTTGCTGCACAGGAGGGTGTTGCTGCCAATTGGATGAGTAGGTTGCTGTTCGGTTCACGATGGGTGTGTTTCGAACCTGAGGAAGCTGTAAGTTTGTGCCATAAGGAAATGAGGCTGCATACGGTTGACGCTTCGACAATAGGATCAACAGCGAACATCTTGACTTTATTGATATGCTGGTGCGGGGACTCTTCACGTGGAGAAACGTTGACATTTTGCGGAGCCAATAGAGCCTTCCTCTTGACCTTATCTAATTGCGCCTGGCGGATGGTCAGGGAAAAGGGCCTGTCATCGGAAACAACCAAACCCACCTTGAGTCTTTGATATTCCTTGTCCCGTTCCCGAGCAGCTTCTTGTAGATCCTGGACTTTTCTGCGCTCTAACTCGAGATCGCGCGTGACTTCTGTGGAGTTGATGGATATAATGACCACCGGGAACTATGAGAGAATATCTACCCGCATTCTTGTTGTTGAGGAGGTTGATCTCTCCATTTGCTTCGATCTGGTCAGGTCTATCCACGTTGATAGGGATAAGACGCACCTTCACGGACGACATTATCCAGCTGCTTTTGTAACTGCGCATTCTTGTCATTGACATTGCGAACTACGGCTTGCTGGAACGAACTGCCACACATTTGAGTGTACCAAATGCAGAGATCGGACTCACTTTTCTTGATGTGATTGATATTGCCAGAACGAAATCGCGCTATAAAAGGATGACAAATGGAGGCCGGAATGAGGCTGGCTGACCGGCTGCATATTTCCAGGATGATCGAAGGACTGAGTCCAGAAAGAACGGACTGTTGAAAGTGTAAACGAGAAAGAACGCTAGTCGATGAAAGCGGTTTTTACAGTTTTGTAGTCATTTGAAGGATGAAGGGAGCACACCTATATCAGACATGAGCTAATTACACGCCCGAACGGAGAGGGGCGTACGACAACATCATCTCTGTGAGATGTAAAGTGGTGTTCAGTGAAGATCGGGAGTGAAGACGTACGGTTCAGTCAGACCAGTCTCGCAAGCTGTTGATTTAGCTGAGTCCCGGAGTGCTCCGACAAGAAACCGAGTGCTGACGCGCCTGGACAAAGCCTTGACGCGTTAAACAATTCGTTGGCGCAGTCGACTGTCAGCGGATAAGCATGCAACTCGATGTTGTTAGGAGATGAGACTGACCGCAAAATATGTGCGAGCCAGAAGGACGAGTAAGACAGAGAGAAAAGAAGAAAAACCAAAGACCCACAGGTCGTCTGTAAGGCGGTCCTAGTCAGAGCTAAGGGATGGGTTGGCAGAACGCACCACAACGGCTTTGTCGGTGAGAGCCCGGCGACAGGTCAGCCGGTTGCACTTGAGGTCCGAGTCCATTGGAGGCGCGAGGTTGCAAGCACAAGTGGTGGCTTCAACTGAAGTGCTGATTATACTACCATCATATGTTCGGATCAGTGATTGCAGAATCTTCAACCTAACGTCGGCCTGGTCTTCTCCAAATACACTCCAGCTTCGTTTCATTCAAGTTCCCAGCTATACTCAACGAGGTTTGCCACGGAGATATATTGCGAAATAAAATTCGATAATAGTGTATGTGCCGTTGGGCGTCATATGCCGCGGGACCAACATTCAGCCCATTTCCCCACCAAGCTTCAGTGAGTATGGCCGGTAAGCAAGCCGGCTACGCATTGCACTAGCGAGTCCAAGCAATGCCGGCTTCGAGCTTGGTGTGGCAACAAAGCGCCTTTGTTCCGGCAAGTTGCCTGTTTTGAGCTGACGATGCTCTTCGGCCGGATATATAGGTTGCTCATGCAGCCAGAGCTTCAGCGCTCGTCTCATCCTCGCCATGCCTGCGACACTCAAGCCCACGAAATGCTCCCCTTCCGACCCACCTGCATTGCCCCCTTCGTTATCCCTCGAAAATGGCACCGGCATGGTCGCATCAGTGTTCACCTCCCCATTTGACGACTTCAGTAACACGAAAGAAAATCTATCTCTACTCACGAATAATGCGTTCGAAACCTACGCGTCACCTCGCTCGTCGCTCAACGAGAAGAACTCGCTGCCACCCAGTATTGATCACAAATCTCAACGACCAATTCCCGATAACGTTCGGTTGCCGGGTCCTTTCGTATATCTGCACAAGATTCAGTCTGGAAGCTTTGGAGACGCAATCGCAGTCCGCGAGCTCAATTCACCACGAATACTTTGCATGAAAGTACTCCACAAAAAGGCAGCTATTGCTCAAGAGCAACTGCTCGGAATTGTTCAAGAGGTCCTCGCCTATCGGACCATTGCCCGCAGCAAGACGCAGGAAATCCTCGAAGGTGGCGCGTTTCTCATGGAGCTGGAGGCCTCGTTGCAGGATGAACGGTATCTGTACTTTATCATGGTGTGTTGCCTTTTTGTCGGTTTTTGCCCTCATTACTGACGTCTTATATAGGAAATCATGGACTGCGACCTCTTGGCTGTCTACAATGGCTACCGATACCTACGTCACGAAAATGCCCGGCGGTGGCTCTGCCAGATCGTGCGTCGACTTTAATCAAACCCGCAATATTGTAGCTAACTGCCCCCAAGAGCCTTGGGCTAGCCGCCCTCCACTCTTCTGGCATCATTCACCGCGACATCAAACCCGAAAATCTCCTTCTCGACTTGGAAGGCAATATTCGTATCACAGATTTTGGGACCGCACATACAATAATCACCAAGGAGCCGACGCCTCTTCAACCCAACAGAAAGTACTCACACCAGTTGTGGGGGACCGACATTTACATGGCGCCAGAAATGCTGGCGAACCGTGGCAAGCCTCGGGAGCAACGACAGCGTTACGGGCTAGCGGTTGATTACTGGGCATTAGGATGTGTGGCATTTGAACTTCTATCCGACGAGTCCATCGTACCTGAGGTGTGTTCATGGTTGCGCCATCTCAACCCTGCTTACATGCAATCAGGCGCTCTTTGCTGAAGCTGAATCATTGGAATCTTACTTGGAATGGGATGAAAAAGGACAACGGACACCTTACCCTGCTTTCGCCAATCTTGTTGGCGTGGATGCAGAGGCGCTCGTAACAGGCGTATGTCCTCGTCAGCCTTGGACCAAATCATAGCTCAGAATCTTACTAGCTGCTTTCTGTTATCCCTCGAGAGCGCTTTCGCATTGATGCGCTTCGTTCGCATCCCTTTTTCCGAAATCCCGATGGGTTGGTGATCACGATTCATTTCTCGACTCCCGTTGACGATGTTCTCTTAGCTCTTCAGAATTTCAGCGTGTCATCCAATCCCAAAAGCGTATGTGTTTTTTACTGGTGCAGCCTCCACAAACTAATGCGATGCTCAGCCTTGCGGCACCAAGCGTTGCTCAGCGATGTCCGAACCAGCCAAGATGCCCGTCCCTTCATTTCCGTCTCATACAACCCTCCAGAGGTGGACGACACGTTTTGTGACTTTGGCTGGATCAATCCCCAAGGCATTTGGGGACAAAAGTAGTCTTATTGTTTTAGTTTATCGTTCTCCATAGTATTACATCCTTGATTCCAGTCATGCATCAGTCAGTGGATAGTGCCATCAAACACGTCCACACGCATCTACAAGTTCAAACAAGTCCAAACAAAACATAGCTTTTACGCGTTTTCTCCTTTAATCCTTGCCAACAAAGAGTAAGAAGTAAGCTCTTGGATAATTTTACAGCTGACTTTATCTTTCAACGAGCTTTAGCTAGTCAAGATCGGCCCAGAACAAGACAACAAGGCACGTTTCCCTGTTGACGAAATGATCTGTGACATCGGCTTATGAGCGCGGTCGTCACGCGTCTTGCTCAGCACGCATCTCCTTGACTCCTCCCTTCACCAACCTTTCCCCTCCACTTCCCACCGCGACCCACACACAAATGGCCTTTGTATACAAACGAGGTGAGCAATCCACAGCATATTCGCGATGTCCTCGCTGACTTTCTGTGTAGACGGGTATGTCGCGTGTTGACGCGTCTCGACCTCACTTCCCTGACTTTCTCCCACCTTAGGCGCAAGGAGAAGGTTCTCTTCGACAAGGTGCGCCTCTTGTACCTGCTCCGGTTGTAGGCTAACACGTCGACCAGATCACTTCTCGCATCGAGAAACTCATCTACAACCTTGACCAAAACTATGTGAACCCTGTAGAGTACGCGCATATCTCGACTGTGCCACTCGCGTCTAATACGCCGTTAGGGTTACACAGAAGGTCGTCGCCGGTGTTTACAATGGCATCACCACGATGGAGCTCGATGTCTGTCGCGTCCTGTCACATCCGTCACGGTCTCGTTGACAATTCTTAGAACCTTGCCGCCGAGACCGCCGCATACCTTACCACCAAGCATCCCGACTACGCGATTCTCGCTGCTCGTATCGCCATCTCCAACCTACACAAGGAGACCAAGAAGAGCTTTTCCCAGGTGATCTCGGATCTCTATTCTTATGGTGCGTCGCTCGTTTTACATTTGCTCTGCGACTTACGGCGCTTTAGTCAACCCCAAGACGGGGCGGGCGGCTTCTCTCATTTCCAAAGAGACCTACGACGTTGTAATGGAGAATGCTGCCACACTCGATGCGGCAATTATCTACAACCGTGACTTCAATTACAAATAGTGGGTCGCGAGGGACTTCTTGATTCTCGCGCATCTTACTGAAAGGTTATAGCTTCGGCTTCAAAACCCTTGAACGCTCTTATCTCCTGCGCATCAATGGCCGTGTAGTAGAACGACCCCAACACCTGATCATGCGGGTAGCTGTTGGAATTCATGGCAGGGACATCGACCGAGTTATGGAAACGTACGATCTTATGTCCAAGGTAAGGATCCCGCTGAAGCTTGGCATACCTGCTAATACTTTCAAGGGTCTATTCACGCATGCGACGCCAACTCTTTTCAACGCTGGAACTCCACAACCGCAACTCAGCTCATGCTTCCTGGTTTGCATGAAGGACGACTCGATCGAAGGTATCTATGATACCCTCAAGAACTGCGCTATGATCAGCAAAAGTGCTGGTGGTATTGGCGTCAACATCCACAACATTCGTGCCACAGGGTTGGTCGTGCTGTCTTGTGTTTGAATTTGCTCATCCTGCAACAGCTCGTATATCGCCGGTACCAACGGTTATTCGAACGGCATTGTTCCTATGCTCCGTGTGTATGATTCCACTGCTCGCTATGTTGATCAAGGAGGCAACAAGAGACCTGGTGCCATTGCAATCTATATTGAGCCATGGCATGCGGATATCTTCGATTTCATCGACCTCCGCAAGAACCATGGCAAGGAACAAATGCGAGCTCGTGATCTTTTCCTGGCATTATGGGTGCCTGACCTTTTGTGCGCTCTCTTCTACGCTTCTTCATAAGATTTGCTGAAATAGGGTAGCATGAAACGCGTCGAAGCTGGTGGCGAGTGGTCACTGTTCTGCCCCAACGAGGCCCCTGGACTGCATGAGGTCCACAGTGCGGAGTTCGAGGCACTATACGAGAAGTACGAAAGGGAAGGCCGTGCTCGCCAGACGATTCCTGCTCAGAAACTCTGGTATGCCATTCTCGAAGCGCAGGTGGAGACCGGTGGACCCTTCATGCTCTACAAGGACGCTTGCAACTGTAAGTCCAACTCGGATGATCATCGTATCTTGCCTGACGTTCTTTCAGCCAAGTCAAACCAGAAGAACCTCGGTACCATCAAGTCGTCGAACCTTTGCACCGAGATCATTGAATATTCTTCGCCCGACGAGACCGCGGTCTGCAATCTTGCGTCGATCGCCCTTCCCTCGTTTGTCTCGAATGGCCAGTATGACTTCCAGCGGCTGCACGACATTGCAAAGGTGGTTGCGAAGAACTTGAACCGGATCATTGATGTCAACTACTATCCCATCCCCGAGACGCGTCGTTCCAACATGCGTCACCGTCCTATCGGCGTTGGCGTTCAAGGACTCGCGGATGTCTTCATGGCGTTGCGTATGCCATTCGATTCGGCTGAAGCAAAGGAACTTAACATCAAAATTTTCGAGACCATCTACCATGGTGCGCTCGAGGCGTCTGCGGAGCTGGCTGAACGGGATGGGCCGTACGAGACATACCAAGGCAGTCCTGCTTCTCAAGGGCAGCTGCAATTCGATATGTGGGGTGTAACACCGTCAGACTTGTGGGAGTGGGAGGGGCTGAAAGCCAAGATTGCGCAATACGGTCTTCGGAACTCGCTTCTCACCGCCCCGATGCCGACTGCGTCGACCAGCCAAATCTTGGGCAACAACGAGTGCTTCGAGCCTTACACGAGCAACATTTACACTCGTCGTGTGTTATCCGGCGAGTTCCAGGTGGTGAACCCATGGCTGCTTCGCGAGCTTGTCGACCGGGGGATCTGGAACGAGGATATGAAAAATCTGCTGATCGCTCACCGCGGCAGTGTTCAAAACATCCCCGAAATTCCTGACGACGTCAAGGCGATCTACAAGACCGTTTGGGAGATCAGCCAGAAGAGGGTGCTGGAGCTGGCGGCCGACCGGGGCGCATTTATTTGCCAGAGTCAGAGCTTGAACGTCCATCTTGCAGCGCCAACCAATGGCCAGCTGACATCGATGCATTTCTACGGTTGGAAGCGGGGGCTGAAGACGGGGATGTACTATCTCCGGACACAACCTGCGGCGGCTGCCATCCAGTTCACGGTTGACCAGAGCGTGTTGAACCAAGTCAAGGCTCAGAATGCAAAGGCCAAGGAAGAAAAGACAGTTGTCGTGAGTTCACCTGCACCAACAACGACCGTTCCTCCGCTGGCTCGGGTAGCTGCCTCTTCTTCTGTGTCTTCCATTTCTTCCCGCGACCAGTCACCTGTGCCGACAACACCGCCACGCGAGCCAGTTGAAGCTGAGCCAGTTGTTGTTGCTCCATCGGCGGTCGAAGATGAGGCGGCAGCGATGATGGCTAAAATGGCTGAAGAAGATCCTGAGTTCGCCGCGGCACTCAAAAAATTAGAAGAGCGACAATTGGAGCAAGCGCGGTTGGAGTGCGCGTTGGAAAACAAGGAAGCGTGCTTGATGTGCTCTGGTTGAGTACTTTTTGGAGTCTGGACGTTGTTGATATCCTTAGACTGCCTATCTATGTTGTGCATTATTGTCTGTAGTCCCTGTTGTACTAGTAATTCTTTTCTCATCACCCATGGCTTGCCTGAGCTTGAAATTAGAGGAGCTTGAGATTAGAGGGAGTTAGAGGGTTGTTGCGACTGTCACAAGCTTTGAAGCTTGTCCCGAACTTTCAACTTGGAAGTGGCTATGACACAGCTTCTGCCAATTACTGGCATTATTACCGTGCAACAACAACAACTGGCTCTCAAGTGCGTGGTATATGCATTCGTTGGTTGCATTTGATCAACGCGGCTAGCTTTTGGGATCCTCTTTCGATGTCAGCCAAATCTGAAAGGACCCGTTTTCCTCGTTGAATCGATTGCTATCGATATCACTGGCAAGTCAATGTGTCGCTTTCAAATCTCAAATCAGGTCGTGGCCATGAGGAAAGGACCCCTTGGGCTTCATTGCACCCTCATTGACATAATCGAATGCAGTCCGCTTGCCGTCCCCATGGATTCAACCATTTCAAGCGTCGTTCAAACTTTTTAACCACCTTGCCAGCAGCGCTTGATCATGATGCGCAAAAAGGCCACGAACTACATGGCGAACAAGTTGTCCAATACTCCAGCCCTGATGCCGAGCAAGAGGCAAATGCTGAGGGCAAAATCGAGCTCCCTCTCACCTGCTAACGTTCCCGTGACTGCTGTTTTTTTTTTTTTTTTTTTTTTGAATCACATTTATATACCGCGTACAAGTATGCGTGTGCTACTAAGGCGCGGTGCTCGGAGAGCAAGGGCCGGGGTGGGTTGGGTGTCATTTACTGTTTTGTGGGGGTTGATGTATGGGTTTCCGTGTGATTGGTTGAGCAGCGTCTGGTTCGCTGACGTCCCGTGAGTCGTTTTGGCGAGCATAAAGCATGGGGTCATAGGGGGGCCATAATTGGGCGGGTTGGCAGTGAAGTTTTCGTGTAAGAGGGCTCTCCCGCCGCTCTTGGTCGTCTTCAGGTCTACCTTCCATCCGTCTAACCATGATCCTCGATGCCGCCCGCATCATCTTCATCGTCAGACAATTCCGCCTCCGGCTCGTCTTCCAGCGTGGGAAGGGTCGTTTCTTCGCGTGGTCTTCCGGTCTTCGTGAATGCCCCGGATTCCTCGAGGAATTTGGACAGGGCTGCTATTCCCGAAGGTGTGCCGAGGATTTCGGTCATCGCTATGTCTCTTGATGCCTTCTTTAGATGATGTCGATGTTGGTTGTAGCGCGGGCATTCGCGCAAGATGTGTGTGCGCGTCTGAAACTCTGCCCCACAAGGGCAGTGAACGCTCTCATCTGGGACGAAGCGGCTGTAGTACTCGCCTATGTATCCGTGTCCCGTACGGCATTGCACTAGTCGCCCGAAAACCTCCCGCTTTTTAGCGAGCGCCTTGAAGTGTTTTGTTGGCTTCAGTGCCGGCCTAATCCTGTCAGCGAGCGCGAATCCGCCCTCAACCTTCCTGTTCTGTTTCCACTCACTGCGCCAGTCTCTTTGTAGCTTCGCCTTTGACCGTCGGATGGCGTTGGCCCTGGTCCCCCGTAACTCTGTGCCGAGTTCCGTGCCTCCTTTGGCCAGCTCGTCCGCCCTCTCGTTGCCCTTAATATCTTCGTGGCCCGGTGACCACGCGATCTCCACTGTCCGATCTACATCGTTGTCGAGGAACTCCGTCACCATCGTGTGGAAGCGGTGGGCGACCAGCTGCCCAGGTCGTGGTTTGGGGTCAAAGATTGTTTTGATGGCTGATGTGTTGTCGGCGAAGAAGTGCAGGTGCTTAATTGAAGCATCTTGTTTCGCCATTGCTGTTGCCTTTGCAGCTCCAATAAGTAGAGCCGCCAACTCCCCGTCGTATACTTCCGCACGACCACCTAGACCTTGTGATCTCGCAAATACTTCCTCGTGTCCTCTGTAGATAACCGCTCCCGCGCCCACTCTTCGCATCCGGTGTATCTCCCTAAGTGAGCCATCTGAATAAATGAGTATGTGTGACGGTCGTAGTGCCAGGTCCGCCACTCGCTCGAGGTGAGCTTTTGCCGCTTCAGCCTTCTTTACTCCTTTCGTAGTTGTTACCGTCATTCTTCCTCCAAATGCTGACAAGTTGCGGCGCCATGGTGGTGTCAGGAAGGGGGAAATCCTCTCGTCATGCGGGCTTGTGTGGCGGGCCAGTCTTTCTAGCTGCGTCGTCTTCTGTTGGTCAGCTGCTGTGTTTACTTCGTTTCCTTCGTGATGTGCAACGCAAACGAGTTCAAGTTCGTCAGAATTCAAAGCAATTTCGGCGCCCTTGCGTACATTTGGGCCTTGGCCAGACAGATAGTACCTAGCGCTCTGTGAGTTGTGTAATGATATTTTTATCGCCTACCTAGCTCACATACCCACAGAAGATGCCCACACGATGCAGAAAATGCTGGCTACTGCTTATGTGACAGACTGTGATGTGATAGACTGTGATGCTTACGTGTGCATGGACTCTTGTTTGAGGCGCTCAGCCTGACCTGAGGTTCAAAACTTCAAGTTACTTCGGTCTTATAATGACCCGCAATATCCTATGTACTGGCAGCCATCATGCAAACTCAGCCCGAGTCGTGTCCGAGTTGCAAACCAAATTCCACTGGCAGTGCCGATGGACGACGCGTCTACGAGTGCCGAGAGAAGACGTGCCGCCGCCGCAAGGACGCGTTGGCTCTCGGCAGTTCATTTTACTGCTGCGCTGCTGGTTCGTACTTGATTCGACTTTCCGTGATGCCTATTGATGCAAAGCCGAGTGCAGGCAGACGACCCCGTCTTTGGCGCGGAGCTCCGTGGCTGTATGCCTGCGGGCGAGGACTTCCCTGTCCGATTCACAATCGACTATCTTGCGCCAACCATGGACCCTGTCGCCGGGCTCTTCCGCCGCCTCACGCCGACTGTGAACCCCACAATGACCTGGGGACACGTTGGAGAGGGGAACCCAGTTCGACATCATCTGGTGCCCTGCAGGCGAGTGCGAAAAGCAACCTGATTTGATCATACCAAACAACAATGACAGGCCCCCTCCCCGATATGACTGGCGCTCTCCGCCTGCCCGAGATTCAGCTCGCGTTTATCAAGCAGCAGGCGCCAAGGGGCGCGCTACCTCATGTCTGCCTGTGGCGGCGCCCATCAGCTCGCGCTCTCTGGCGTCCTCTCGGGCAAACGCGCAACAACAAACAAAAAGTTGTTTCGGCTTATCACGGTGCGTGTGCTTCGTTAGTTGTCTGCTCGTCCTTTTCCAACTGGGGACAGATGAGCTCTCCCAAGGATATCGAGTGGGTTGCGCACGCGCGCTGGGTCGTCGATGGAAATGTCTGGACCAGCTCGGGCGTCTCTGCAGGTCAGCGTCTTGGGTTTTTTTGGAGGTGAGATTCTGACGCGCACCTTCTCTCTAGGCGAGGACATGGCGCTTGCGTTTGTCGAACACTTGACCAATGCGGCTGTTGCGCGTACCATCCGCGGCTTTGTTGAAGTCCGCGAGGCAAAGGAGGACAGCGATCCGTTCGCTGCTTTCCATGGGTTGGAGTGAAAAAGTCAGTTGGAAGAATAGCCGTGTTGATCTTGAGTTTTGAATGGCAGCAAAGATTTTAGAGGATCGTGGTCAGCAGAAATAAAGGTTCCCTCGCCGAAGATCATGATCAATACTGAATATAACGAGACACTTGTGGTTCTCTCACCCAATTGTCCTTAATATCTAGCTGTCCCGAGCGAAAGATATAGACTTGGAAAGGGAGTTTGTTGGCCCGTGGGGGAGAACCGGGGGAGAAAATGATAGGTCCTTGAGGCTGAGTCAGCTGATTCCTCTCCTGCTTACCACAAGTTCAAATCTGGACCGCAAATTGAACCGCAAGCGTTCTTCAATGGCAAATCAACCTTAGACCCACCTTCGTTGTTGCCTCTTATGTGAAGAATTTGCGGCTTCTTTCAGGCCCCGGGCCAGCGAATCATACTCGAATCATCGATACCATGCTTCTGAAGAATCCTAGCTGTTAAGGATGGCCTTACACTTTATTCGACCAACACCGTGACGATGCTAGAGCCCATGTGCGACCGTAAAGAGCACTTATTAAGCTAGATTCAACTCAGTTTAATCGTCAAGAATGGACCCACAACTGTCTCTCATTCTCCAGACCCTCCTTGCAGCTCTTACAACAGTGCTGGAAGCGCAGAACAAACATCCCCTTCGAACTCAATTACTCCTTTATTTATCTACCACCGACGATCAATACGACGTCCATGTTGTTTATGGCCGAGAGGATCTTCTCAACGAGGTCCAAGCGGCGCTGAGACGACACCTACCAGATCATCTGTTCGACCGCCAGGATGGCTCAAGCTTGAAGGTTTGTCACTGTCTTGAACTCTACCATCTCTAACTTGACGGCTATAGGACATCTCACGCAGTATCATGGTTAGCCTCGAGGACTGGGCGGCCAATCTCCAGACCGGCACAAAACATCCCGATGCTTTAGCGGCATTCGCTGGGGCAACTGAGCTAGATGCTAGTGATTCCACCACAGTCTGGCAAGATTTCGTCGATGGAGTGGTGAATGGTCTAGTTTCAGCTGCCCAATGGCTCCCAGCGTGAGTTTGATTAAAAGATACATAATTCCAGTTACTGCTGACACAAATGAACGATATAGAGCCACACCCCGCCCGGTCATCATTACAGGCCAATCGTCCCAGATTCAGCTGGCAAAGAGCATTGGATCAATGAATCTGAGAGAGTGAAAAGGCACCACGAGCGAATTGTAGTAGTCACCGTTTATTTGTCACGGTCATCAGTTTCCTGTTTAGAACATCATCCTCAACCACCACTGCGATACCTCTGGCTTGTTGCTCATGGATCCCAGCCTCGCCCAAAAGCTCTCTCAGACCGCCATATCATTCGCTCGAGATTCTTACTCTCACCTGGGCTGGATACCTCCGATCTTTCGCGATTACTGGGATACGATTCTTTGGCCAACCAAACTCGACGACTTGTCAGAAATAGGGCAAGGTGTCCTGAGGCGCATGATGAGGCGAATTTTTCTACGAATTGATGCTTTCATGACCCTGGGCGACATGGAGGTCCGTCATCATGATGGTTGTCGAATTATGCACTTACTGACTGAATACTTTGATAGCTTATGGTGTCTGTCCTCACCGACGCGAAGGTCGTGCGCGAGGTACTTCGCAATGAGGGCTTAGTTTGCTGGTCCAACAGTCCCTTCTTTCGCTTGCCTGTTCAAGATGTGCATCAACAATTCTGTGTATATCTCGGCAGTCTGCTCACTCGCCACCAAGACGGTTTCAGTCTGGTGATCAGGCACTTCTCTTCAGCGTTCCGTCGCTTGGCGAGGCATGTTTATAATACGCTGTAAGTCTCAACGTACTCATTCAAGTGATATACCCATTCCTTCTAGCAAGGATCACCGCAAAGAAGTCTGGAGCACCGGCCGACCCACTAGCAAGATGAGCCAACAGAATAATTCCTCAACCAAATCAAATTCTGTATTGCCTTCGATAGTCCTCCCGTCCGCAACATATTTGAACGACTCAGAGGGCTCTCGCCTCCCAGTCTTCAAGGGTATGTCACAAGATCGCCGCAGTGTCTTGTCGCTAATGCTCCCCAGACATCACACCAGTTGTGAACAGCAAGCTCACTATTCAGCGTCACTTCAACTTCAAGCCCCAGAGGCCCGCCGTCGTCGACTCGACAATATCTGATGTTCGTGCAGCCAAGCGCAAGTTGGACGAAGCAGACTCAAGTGAAAATCTGGTGAAGAACAAGAGACGACATATCCAATCATGAGCATTACTATCCCACAATATCTATCTACTGTAGATTACATGCCAATGACACAGTTCACATAGAATGCGTTAAGCCCACAGCCCAGCGACAAGGGGTGCCTTTGTGTGAGGAAGGCGATGGATCGAACTGAGTTGACGCGACCGACCGGGTTCAGCTGCAACGTCAGATCCTGCATTGTGGCCCTTTGGAATACGATTCCAAAGGTACAAAGATGGGAGGTATAATGTTTCCCGGAGTTTGCAGTCGCATACGAGGGCTAAGGGGACGGTCCGTTGTCACGTACTAGGTCAGAGACCGTTCCTTCAACAACGCCGACCCAGTGCAAACGTATCCCTGCTCTCCACATCTCCAACAAGCAGCGAACGGTGCTAATAGTCTTCCTGCCACGGTTCCCCCAGTCATCACCAGAAAAATCAGACTAACTATGGCCTGAAGAGTTATTCGGTCAAGTCGGAAGAACGATGAAGGAGAGAAACAAGAGGCGGTTAGTGTGACCAGTGACGACTCAGAGTTGCTTTCGCCACTTCGATCAAAGCGGATAGTTCGACGATACTTCGAGACTCGGATGCATGTTTCACAATCATGTGCTCTATATCAAAAAAGTAGTGATGTTGCTATTCCTTGACTGGGAAGTGTCTATTCAGTCTTCTGCATGTCTACAAGGTTGAGAAAGCCATTACACGGTATGGGTATTTCACTCACATAGCTTTGTAATGATGCCGCAATCCTTCCTCAGTGAACGTTCGACTAGAACCTTTGCAGTCGGAACAGTATATCTTGCCTGGAGAAGCAACGAGCGGCAGAAGATCTGGATGCCTGTCCAAACTATTCAGTGAACCCAACGGCGAAGACCAAAGGAACCCACATAGCAAGTGTATGACGCTCTAATCCAGCCTCGGTGAAAACTCGTTGAGATCCTGGACAAAATCCGCAATGTCTTTTGCCACTGTCTTGAATAGAACCGAAGTAAAGATGATCAGGGTTTTGGGTAGGATGTCTAGCGATTTCAACATGGTGCAAAAAGAAAATATGGGAAAGAGCCCACTTGCGGCACACATGGGAGACGAGACCCTTCGCCTTGACAGAATGAGAGCAGAATGGACATGCGACTTTATCTTGGGGAAACAATGTCGGTGTACTTGGTGGAGCTCGACCAAGTTGGATCACTTTCAGCTCGTCGAGTATCAAGTCACGATACTCGAGCCATACTAGAAGGAGTCAGAGAGCATAGGGAAAGAGTCGAATCCATACCATTTGCCGTCAAGAGAGTAAGGTCACGAGTGAACGCCTTCATGATCTTGACTACACTTGGACACTTAAGCAATTGACGAATCGCTTTCTTTTCGGCTTGTGCTTGGTATTTTAGACTGGAATGCCGACATAAGGGTACGGCCGATAGAAGAAAAAGGTAATAACAAAGTTGAATTGAGAGCATTGGTCTTCTTCATTTCGTTTTCGTATGGTTTGAGCCAGTCTTGAAGTTGCTGAGCGTTCTGTGTACATATATGAGACACTGTCTTTCGGAAGCTAGAGAACACACCTGTTCCAACGCAGGGCGCGATCGAGCACGCTTCTGATATTCCTGCCCAGAAATGAATGCAGCTTATATGGAGACACTGCGAGAGTGACTAACCTGCCCCAACTCCATGGTATTTCGACGACGAGTGTCAGCGAGAATACCAGGGCGTGATCTTCTCGTGATATTGGATTCCTGCAGCGCTGCACGAAGAGAAGACCGTTCGAAAGCATAGATGTCTTGATCTTGAGATGTCTTGCCAACGGCACAGCGAGGTAGCCAAAAGCCGTATTCGCGCATCACCACGTCTATATCTGGGTCCGTGCTGCGGAAAAACCGTGCCGGGCTAGAAGTGAGATGAGCAGACCGACATCAATCAGCACTGACAAGAAAACGAACGAGGTTAATTCTCCTTTGCACATAGACTGGACGAAGATTGATGTTGCATTGAAAAGGATTAGTCGCGATACTGACCGAGCAAGCACGATGACGTAATGCAAATAGAAAAGGCATGGAGTCGGTCGGGCGTGAGCAGTGCTAATAGTAGTGATGGGTCTCAAGTTTCGATGTAGCTGACCAAGACGCACCGTGCAAGGACCCTCTTCGAATATCCATGTGAAATAAGCACTTTGAGAATAGTTGCCTGTTGCTTCCACTTGAGGGCACGGCGGCATCAACTTGCAGTCGCCCCGGACGAGATTTTGACGAGCAGCAGTCCAGAGGGTGGCAGCGTGGTCGAAAATGAGGTTGCGGAAGCTATGCGAGGTCTTGGATAGTTGAAGAAGATCGTATGGGCTACATTGCGCCAGAATCTGTAAGTGGTTGTTAGTCGACAGATGTAGAAGAGACGAGGCTGACTGCTAGTCCGATGTCGAGCGGGAATTTGTTGAAGACGTGAAAGGTCGGGAGTCTATTGCTGGATGCGAAGGTGTATTCCAAAGGGAGCATATTTTGAGATGGAGGTCGGAAACAGAAACAGGACCGACGCCATCAATCGAAGTCAACGACATATTTCGGTCGTAAAAGTACAGGTAGACTCAAAAAGTTACAAGCAATTCGTTTCAATCAACCTGTTCGCCTCACAAAGTATGCCGACTAGCACCAGCCTCGCCAAAAGGCATATCCACGCAAGGTCACTAATCAACTTAGTCAATATCGCCCCATGCGAAACCGTAGTCCCTACACACCCGCAGTATAAGGCATGTAGTTCCTCCCACTGGCCTCGTTGCAACATGAAAACCCAAATCACAGGTGGAGGATGTCTGTGACTGGACGCAGTTGGGGCTTGTAAGAACAACACTATCGAAACAAAGGTTTGTGAACAGCCGGGCCGGTAAAAATACATTGAATTCAGATGATAGACTGATTCTACCCAGCTGGAGTAGCGTCTGTCGATCTTCCTGGCCTCTCCGAATGCGCCAGGTAATAATTTGACTGGGGTGGAGGCGCTGATGGCGGATTTTGCGACGGTTGTAAATGAGGCGGATAATGACTATACTTTGTTTCTGATTTGGGTCGCTCGGTAAGAGGATAATGGTTGACCTTGGGGGGTTGGCTGTTTTCGTTGGGGGTGATGTGGGCAGGGTAATATGAGCCAAGCGGAGTGGTGGACTTGTATTCTTCTGGTAATGCAGGAATGACTGCCGCATGTCTGCCACCAAGGGGTCCGCCCTCCACGAAATGCTGCCAAACGTAGTCCCGTAAGCGGTCCGCGTTGGGGAGCTCTTGTATCAAATGCTTGATGGTGTTTTGCCCGAATCCAAAAAAATCCGGGCCCGACACAGAATTAGAGTGCTGACGTTGACGGAGTGCATTGGCTTGTTTAACAATGTTTGACCACGCGCCGGTTGCGGTTCCCGCAATTATTGGTCTGTCTGGAGCGTCGGATGGGATGATTTGGAATTTTGGGCCGTCTCCGCCATCGAGAATTGTGCAGTGGTAGACAACCTCCGCATTTCGATCAATAGTTGAAAGATAACGCCTGTCGCAGGTCAGAACGATCAAGCCACTGCTCCGATGTGAGCGCACATACCGAGTAACTTCATATCCCACGGGAAAGATGTAGCGTTCCGTGTGGAAGTGCTCCCGCATGCAAACATCGCCCAAGCTGATAACAGTCATGATTCCAACGTTCAAAGGTAGCATGGGTTTGCCCTGTTTATCACGAGGTACCATGGGTATGTTGTAGCTCTTGCTGGTAACCGTATGTGCTTTTAAGCGCTTGGGTTTTGTTGGACGGGAGCCATCGATTGGAAGGTGTTGACTTGATAGAGATTGAGGCGGTTGTGGAGGCATCATCTGAGGTGGTGGCATATAAGGCATTCCAGGCATGGACCAGTAGGGATAGGGTGTCAAGTAAGAATAGGGCGGAATCCCACCGCCAGTCGGCGTAAGAAACGTGTAGGGATTATATGGACGTGGTACTGAGGATTCTGACTTCGCTTCGTGACTGCTAATGGGCACCGAAACAGACTGAGGGGCAGGGGGCGATGAAGCAGATGTCACCGTCTTGTGGTCGGATGAGCGTCGCTGAATTTTGGCAGTCGGGGCGTCTAAGTCTTGGTCTATAGGATTGCGAGGCCGCTTGGAGCTGTTCGGGCTTAAAATATAATCACCTGAGGTGTCTGCATCGTCAATGGTGTCCAATTCATCATCCTGAGCGACCCAGTCCAAGTCTTGCGATGACACGTCTTCCAGCCGTCCTAAAATCTGCGTCTCTGAGGTTTGGTCCAGTACCACACCTTTGCCTTTGCGATTACGCGTGTGAGGAGCTGGTGCTGGAAGAATCGGCTCCTCGTGGTCATTTAATTGGGGAGATGGCGAGGAACGACCATTCGCGGGAGGAGTGAACCCAGGCTGGCTTTCCAGTTCAGTGATGCGCTCCAGAAGTTGGCTGAGGGAGTTCTTCAATGAAAGCAGGTCATCGGGGAAATAACGCACTTGCGCTCTTCTTCCATTTGACTATTGCGCTCCCCTGACCGTTGAAGCTCTGTGCTAGTTTCTCGGTGTCTCTGGAGATTATGAGGGTTGTTCTATGGAAGAAAAACACACTGACCTCCTCAAGCTCAAAGAATCGGCGTTTTAGCTTGCGGTATTTGTCGTGCAACTCTTGCTCCGTCATCTTTGCGGGCGTTGGTAGTTGCATTGTTGCCGACAAAATCAGAGGATTGGAAACATCACTCTGGTGATGCTCTGCCGTGAGCTCTGGCATAAACAGCGCTCGTTGAAGGAGAGGGTGTCGGGTTCGGGAATAAGTCGAGGGCGTTACCCTCAGTTACAATCATTGCCACACAATGATTGATCCAACGCTTTACACCCAGTCTGAGTGGTCAACGTTGAAGAGCATGAGCCCTAACCTGATATAGCTCCTCCCAAAGAGTTGGATGATTCTGCTCTTTCGTATCCGCTGAATATTGTAGGGGAACAACACACCAGAATGATCTTTTATACCGCAAACAGATTTAAACCTCCGATATGAAATTCAGGTGGCGGATTCAATTTTTACACGGCACGGGCGCGAGTCGGGGAGATGGCGACGATCGCTGTTCAACCAAACTGGAACAGAAAATGTGGACATGGGCCTGATCATGTGACTTCGAATCCTTGGTCGCGTCTTTCAGCTCATATTTAATTGCAGCCCCGCCTGCTATTCTATCTACTTCTTCGGTGACTCCTTATGGCGGCCCATAGGGAAGGCTTCCCCGCTGTATCCATTGGACGAAGCCAAGGCTCCGAATTGTTGACAGCACATCCTCTGCTTTCACCTTCATCTCCCAATCACTCATCTGATGCCCATTCGAAGCAACGTAGCCCAAGCCCCAGCCGAAATGGACCCCACTATGTCCCCTATACACCGAGGCAACGTGGTCCGCCTACAGGCCTCACAACGACGGGTATGACAACGCACCCCTCGGTAGCTGCTCCGGCTCCCAATCAGCAGGGTGGTGCGACAAGCAAGTTGCAGATGGTCAACCTCAAAGCTGCGGCGCAAAATGTCGGTCTAGATGCCGGTAGTGTTGGTTGGGCGATCCTGGAGAAACTTGTGATATCAGAAGGTGGAGAGTGGACTGAAATTTGGAGTGCGCTGGCTGTCGGAAAGGTACGTCCTGCTCATTGCTATATTTGTTTTTCTTCCTGAGTACCGTAGGCTACATTATTGCTGCCACTGGAGCCGATTGCTCACAACGACAAGATAACCACAGAATTTGTAAAAGACCATATCATTCTGTGTGATGGACCTTCGCGCAAAAACGCTCATATTGTTACCTTGTCTGGTTTACGCGGCACACTTGACGGGTATGAACAACTCTGTTTGTCTATGTTTCGACTGAGGTTGCACCAGAAATACGCTGACGCTTCGGTCCACCCTCCACCCGTCATCCAAGGTCTTTCTGGACTTGCTTTCACCTGTAACTCGTCCATCAGCGCTGGCGAATATTGCCCCACTTCCCCATTTGCCCACCGCGACACCTTATCCTGAATTTGGTGTTCCATCATACACTTCAGGTCTCCCTCTCCCACCTAGAATCCCCCCTCCACTTCCCCCACGGCCGAGCATATCGCGGGGAACACAGCTTTCTGCGAGTCCCCAATCTCTTCCTTCCCGCCTGCCCAACCCGTTTGCATCTCTTTTTGGTTCCCATGGCGGCAAACACCCGCAGCAATCTCTCCAGACCCAACAGCAGGCCTCGCCACCAGCATCTCTTCACGAAGCAATCCATCCGGACCAACCGCTTGACGTTCCCGCCTTCACGATAGCCCGCAGCATAATTCGTAGGGACATTGCCAAATCCATTGATCGTGCTCTTCGTGCTGAATTGCACGCTTGTTGCGGTTCTCCACCTTGGGTTGCTGAACGGGTGGATGCTTTTGTTGCGCCATGGTACCCTTTTTCGCGTGTCAAGTCTGGAGGAAGCGAGAAAGGCACCCTCAGTTTTGTTGTTGGTGATCCACTCGCAGGGATGTTGCCTGACGAAATTGGCGAAATGGTACAGGGTTTCTATGCCAAGTTAGAAGATGACTTGAGAATTGGAGGTGGCAGGCGGAAAGCTAGCGACACAAGTCATGACGGGGAACTACATGAAAAAGATCAAGAAGAGAAAGAGAGCTGGATACGCGAGGTGCTTGCTTCTGTGGAGCGAGCCATTTGTGTTTTGTTTTTTGATCGGTCCGTCTCTCTTGCACCTCTGTTTTCATCTATCGAACATTGTCCAGGGTGTTTGCGCCTGCGACATCGGATGATCCGTCCCATGACCAAGCACTTTCAAGTCGCGTCGCGGCTTTGAATATGCTCGATCTCAATCTAGAACATCTGGGCGTTGATGTTCCACCGGAGGCAAACGACGGTTTGGAAAACGTAGTTAAGGCTTGTGGTCAAGGTTCGCAAGCCTATGTTCCTCTTTGCACAGGGCTGATCTTCTGTGTTTGTCAGTCCTTTCAGGCTTAGAATTACATCAAAGCCCATCAGAGAAAGCTTCCATTATGGTACAAGCACACCAGGAAGTTATCAGTGAGTTTTATCCACGATCCAGTTTGTAGTCGAAATCAATCAAATTTTAGATGGCCTGTCCCGGTTACCACGAGTCCGTTTACTCACGGAGGAAGAAGAACGGGCTCGAGCTTCTTCGAAAAAGCCGCCAACTACGAATGGTGGCGAGCAACAACCTGATATTGTAGTTTCTCCGTCACAACTTTCCCCATCTGCCGAGATCTCTGCACAATTGCCAATTACGCCGCCCCCCTCCGAACCTGCTGTCGATACAGTAAATCCTAGTATTTCTGAGCCGCCAGCCACAATAGGAACACAACCAATACCCTTAGATGAACATTTGCCGCGGCCAGAACTGGTTCCCCTGCCACCTTCTTACATCGAGGAACCCTCAGCATCAGTCGAAAAGCAATCTCCTCCGCCAAACATTCCCATTCCGACCCCAGTTTCTTCTGATGTCCTCCTGCCCCTTATCATCTTCGCGGTGGTCAAGTCGAATCCTGCTCGTTTAGTATCTCATCTGCTTTACACTCAGCGATTTCATGTCACACCCTCTGGCATAGCCCAAGGCGAAGAAGCTTTCTGTCTCGTGAACCTGATGGCTGTCGCTGAATTTTTGGAGAATGTCGATTTAGAGGCTTTGGGTCTAGGAAACGCAGGCATAAGGTTTATTCTTTGTTCGTCTTCTGATCTGGAACTCAATGCATATATAGTGCGGCAGACCTTACGCCTATCCCAATTGCGCGCAACAGCCCCAAAGTACCGTCAATCTCTCTTGCGGAGGAAGGTGCTGGTGTTCTTCGGCGTCAGGTCGACACGATCGCTGGTAGTGCCGGCCGTATGCTGACTGGTGTAACCGGTGTCGTAGACTCGTCGTTTGGAATGCTGAAACAGCTTCTGCCTGGGCAGACTCCACCGCCTGTTACTCCCGCTCTTGATAGCACATCTGCTGCAGCCCCATGGAATCTACCTCATGCTCGGCCTGGATTTGGTTTACTGCGCCGCGAAACCGGGTTTTCCATCGGTGGAATCAACATCGGGGGACGGTCAGAAGAGAAGAAGGGCGAAGAAGAATTGAAAGAAGTTTCGCGACCGGCCAGTTTACATGCAGGTGAAGCTGGGTCGGATGTTGGCTCAGAGGAAGAGTCAATAGAGGAGGATGAGGAAGATGGTCGGTATGATGGGGAAGCTGGGTCTCAGTACGACGCGCGCAGCATTCGTAGCTTTGAGAGCATGATGAGTAGGGAGCGGAGGAAAAACCGGGCACCTCGTGGATCTGGTCGAAAAAGTTTAACCGATCGACTGGCTCATGTGTCTGGCCTTGCAGGCTTGAAGGTGCATTCGATTTTAACCTCACAAAATCACGCTGAAGTCTTTCAGGGCTCACCTCCCCCCTAGACGAGAGTCACTACTACCCAACCGCTTTGACACGCCCGTATCATCACGGCCAAGCTCGCCAGCAGTCCATGGCGGTGGTTTGCGCATCTCTCCACCAAACCAGCGCTTCATGGATTGCTCGCCTGACGATTTACGGCTTTCCGAGGTTGCGGAACTGTTGAAAGAGTATCGGAGGCTGGTAGACGGGATCAGAGCTGTTGGCGGTTTCATTGGTGAGGAATAGGTGCCTTCATGTTGTACTGATATAGGCTCGTGATATTGAGATATCTTGAGCGCAATAACCGCATCTTGTTTCCCTCCTCCATGGTTCGTGCCTCTATTCATCTTTTCACCCTTGATTGTACAATTTCTGTCAACTTTCGTTGCGAAGTACTTACTATCCCGCAGTCAGACTGTGAATTTGGGGGTGAGTGTGACGACCAAAATAACAAGTCGTTACAGACTCCAGTTGTGGCCAGGTTTTGAGAACGGTAGAAGAACTGCCGCGAGTTACAATGATATAAAATGGACAAGATTTTGAATCATTTCGATTGAAGTAGTAGGTGGCGCCGAAAGGTTTGATAAGATGAGCTTGAAAGTTGCTCGAACGATACGAAGCGCTTGAAGTACTAGATGGGTATGTGACCTAGGGTCTGTCACGGTCAGCGTCTACCCTGTATTGACCGTAGCGGGTGCGGGTGACCGATCAAATCTTACCCGGGCGGGTACGGCCTCGCGCAAGCTCAGCACCCACCACCGCTTTTATAGGCCAAATATCTCGGGTGCCCCCGGGTAAATACCCGCGGGCAGTCTACCGGGTGTGTCCGCTACCCGCTGAGCCATGCCCGGGCGGGTGCGGTCATCGAACTCAATCGCAATTACCTGACCTGGGTACGACCCGGGTTATTAGACCCTAGGCATGTCAAAGGCCATATCAGCTGACTCAGCCTCAGACTGATACAAATCTGAAATCACTTTCTTCCCCCAACAAACGGTGCCGTTCTTTCGTTCATGACTCGAGCAACCTTTTTTGTGTTCTCCCTCCATGCCTCGGTATCAGCTCGAGGCTACCACTGCGCTCACTTCCGGGGCATTGCTCAGTGCCGTCTTATTTTTTGTCAACCGCACCAAAGACGGGAAAATTCGCCTAGAGGAAAACGAAGCGTCTGATCCTTTCGATGTCACGACCGCCGAGGACCTGACTGACGGATACCCGCTTCAGGAGGAAAAGTTCTGGTCGACGGTGGGCAATTTTGACTTTGCACGCGTATTTGCTAATGCTCGTTTGCAGATGAAACGGCGGAAGATGTTGTTATCTGTCCTTGCCTCTCTCCTCTTGTGCGTCCAGCTGGCCGCAGCGGCCTTGGATAGTTTTGGACAAATTTCATGCTTGCGCGTTGCATTTTCCTTCTACATTGCAACGGTCGCTGTCTTTTCTATTCGACGCCAATCGGTATTCGAGCATACTGAATCTATATGGCATCTTTCCGCCCTCAATTTCGTTCCCGTCCCGCTGCTTGGGTTCACCGCCATCATTCCCGACGATTACCATCCGGTGTCCTCGGTGTCTGTCCACGCCCCAACCATTCTGTGGTACACGGCGCTGGGGCTCCATCTCGTCGTGGCCCTCATCGCTGCCAACACCCCTTGTGGTCCCGCTTTGCATTACCCTCCAGAGGCCATCTACTCTGAAAAGATCGCCCAAGCAATAACAAACACGGCTGAAAACAATGTTGCGGGAATTTACGGCGCCTCACCTCTCGGCATCCTGTTCTTCTCCTACTCTACCAAGGTCGTGATGCTCGGAAACACGGCCGCCTCTCTCGAGATCGGCGACCTCCCCATTCTCACCGTTGATATGCGCGCCTCCCACTTATACGACTCGATGAAGCGCGTGCTCCGCACCGTGTCGCTGCGCATTCCTTTCCTCTTCTGGAGTTGGCAGCCGCGGGTTGGCTCCGGGATAACGCTAGGATACCAACTACTTGTTACTAACAAGTCTGGATTCCTGGCCCTGATTTTGCTGTCCCTCGCGGCGGGAGGCATGTTTTACATGCCACCACTGCTGCTGAGCGGCCTTCTTCGCTACTTGGAGAGCGACCTTGAAAGGCAAGACTTCCGATGGGGACTGGTCTGGGTTGCTGGCCTGCTCTGTGCACATTTGACGCTGTTCACACTCACTGGTAGGCCGGCTATTGATTCTTCGACTGTTTCTGACAGATTTGTCCAGGCCAAGTGTGGTCCCTTGCGACAGCGACGCTCCAGGCGAAACTCCGAAACCAGCTAAACACGGTGTTGTTTGCGAAGACTCTGCTTCGCAAAGACATCGCCTCTACTGCTCCGACGTCTACTGCGAACGAGGAATCAAAAGAGGATGGGGCCGAGAAGTCTGAAGGGTTTTCGTCAAAAGCGCAAATTATGACCTTGATGTTCGTGGGTTTTATTTTATGTCTTTGGTTGACCGTTGACTTGATTCTCAGGACCACGGACGTTGACCGCGTTGCGAGGCTTACGATGCACCTCTTCAGTGTTATCGGCAAGTTCAATCTAGTCCCCGTTTACTGTATATATCAATCTTTGCATAGATGTCCCCATCGAGATCATCGTCGGTACCACCTTCCTCTACAAGCTCCTGGGTGCGTGTTAACAATGTGATTTAAGATCGACTCAATTGTTTATTAGGCGTCTCCAGCCTATTTGGTCTCGGTATTGCTATTGCCTGTTTACCACTAAATCATTTTGCCGGCAAAGCTGTCTCGGGTGCTCAAGATAACCTGATGAAATCTCGTGATCAACGAGTGGCACTCATGAATGAGGTATCCTACTTCGTCTCTTCTCATCATTGACGAACTCTGGTGAATAGGTTCTCGGCGGTATCCGTATGCTCAAAGTAAGCCTTGAACGTGGACCGCTCTCTGACGAAATGTTCCCAGTTCATGGCCTGGGAAAGAAGCTTCGAGGATCGCATCCTCAAAATCCGTTCGAAAGAACTCAAGTACCAACGTTTGAACTATATCATTGAGGTACGACTTTCCAGCTCAGATGAACATACATGTGAAAATGAAATCAGTCACTACTGGAAGGGTTCTGGAGTGGCATTCCTGTGATCATCACACTGGTCTCATTCTACCACTTTGCAGTCATACGCGGCGAAGTGTTGAAGCCATCGATCGCGTTTACTTCAGTGAGCTCGCGCTATTCTCACTCAACGACTTGTTTACACTGCATTAGATCATTGGTAGGTACCAAGGTCTGAAGCTTCTTTCCATGTTGAATTGTGCTATCAGTCTTCAACGAGCTCCGATTTGCTCTGTCTTTGCTCACAGGCACATTCATCAACATTGTCCAAAGTGCTGTTTCCCTTCGCCGTATAGAAACAGTAAGCCATTCGCCGAACCGATCTTGGCATATATTTATGCACCAAAACTCTAGTATCTGGGCACGCGTGAAATCAGCCTGGTACCAGACCTCTCTGTTCAAACACGGCGTGTTGCATTCAACTCCTGTACTGTCACATGGCCGCAAGACACATCAACGGGGTCTACGCCAGGCACAAGCGCGGCATCAACTCCGCGACAAAAGTTCCTTCTTCTGGACCTCTCATTTGAGTTTCCCGAAGGACAGTTATCTCTGGTTTGCGGGAAGCTCGGGTCAGGGAAGACTTTGTTGCTCCTCGGTATGCTTATTTGATCTTTTCTCGTGATGAGTTGCGGGTTGACAGGCATTACCAGCGTTGCTTGGGGAAGCTGATGTTGTCGCGGGACAACTTTCGTGCCCGCGTTCTCCGGCAAACACGCTTGCATCATTTGCAGGATTCGACCCTGCAAAAGAAACCTGGCTTGTTGATGGCGTTTGCGCATATGTTCCTCAGGTAGTGCATTTCTTAGAGCGTTTGATTTGGGTTGTTTATCTTGCTCAAGACTGCATGGCTGCAAAATGCTTCGATCAAAGACAATATTCTCTTTTCATTGCCCTACGACGACGAGCGTTATCGTCTAACACTTGAGGCTTGCGCCTTGGTCAGCGACCTGGCTATTCTTGACGACGGCGACGATTCTGAGATCGGAGAACGAGGTGTATGTGTGATCAAGGCTTTACATCTCTTATATATATATTTGGTGCGCATGGCGAAGCGGTGATGAAGGATGCGCCGGCCTGCGGCCTGCGGCCTGCGTCCTCCGCGTCCGCGTCTGCATCCGCCGGCTCCACGTCGGACGCATGCCGCAGGCGTTGATTCCCTCCGCTGTCCACCTCAACGCTGCTTGCTCACCCATCGCAAAGGCTCGCAGCTCGCTAAGGCTCGCAGCGAGCGCTCGTAATTTATGCACCTAAGGACAAAAAATTTTACAGGTTATCCGACGTGTGAACAAACCATCCGACGCGTAAACTACGTGTTTGACGCGTAAGTGCAGTTCCTCAAAGGTACCCGACGCGTAAACTACCGTGTTTGACGCGTAAAAAAACTACCAAGTATCCCCGTGTAGCTCCCGATCCGAGTCCCCCCTCCTGCCTTCTCCGCGTCAAAGTCCAGGTTTTCTTGGCGCGTGTATGTAGGTGTCCGCGCGCAATGGCCTCAAGTGTGCCAGATTCCAACTCACGCCGGGGCCACGCAGCACTCCAACCCGTTTCTACTCCAATAGGCCCGCCCCACTATTGTCAACCTCCCCCCGTTTCCAAGACCATCGGCAAGCACTGGGATCCAACGATGCAGCAGGTAAGCACGCGTTGGAGTTGGGCGCTGAAGACGGCAAGTCTTTGGAGTCGGGTTTTCAAGTTGCCAATGCACCGCAGGCAGAGCTCCCGGGTGGTCCGGGGCAAGTTTTGGAGACAAACGGCGCAAGCTCGAGGTAAAAATGGCTGTTTGGGGGAAGGGAAATGAGGTTAACAACAGCGACACGAGAATGATCATGAGGCCACTGTTGCTTGTTGCTGAGCGGAAATGGTGGCTGCAGGTTCATCGGCGATGTCACCCACAGAAATCAAGCCCAACTGCGCCGCAGGCGAGCTCTCGCCAAAATGTAGTTGTGCGGGGGCCGAATTTTGAAGGGGAGTGGAATCGGGTGCTGCCAACGCGCCGCAGACGGAGCTCCCGCGAAACATAGGTGGTCCGGGGCAAGGTTTTGAAGGGGCTTGTGAATAGAAGCAATGGCTTTGCCGTTGCTATACCGCTCGCGCAAGAGCACACATTGGAGTCAGGCTGAACAGCGCCGCATGCGAGAATAACAGTTGCAGGAAGTCGGATTGTGCAAACTGCCGAAATGTAGTCGTGCGGCTCGGGGGGCGAGTTTTGAAGGGGAAGGGAGAGTGAAGTCGGGTTTTGCAAACGCGCCGCAGGCGAAGCTCCCGCGAAATATAGGTGGTCCGGGGCGAGTTTTTGAGCCGAAGTGACAAGTTGAAGCATTGGCCACAACGGCGCCGCAGGCGACCTCTAGGGAAAAAATGGTGTTGCGGCCAGCGAAAATGGGCTCGGGATTGTCGTTGGCATCAATAGAGTTGCTGCAGGGGCAAGCTTTCGGAGATTGAAGTCGGGATTGTCGCGATGCTTGTGTTGGTGATGGAACGGCGCCGCAGGTGAGCTCGGGCGCAAATATTAGTGTTATAGGCAGCATGAAGCGGTGATTGTGTGCAAGTCATGGCGGTGGAGGTTCAACGGCGCCGCAGGCGGCCTCCAGCGAAAAATAAGTGTTGGTAGGAAGGAAAATGGCCTCGAGATCGACGTTGGCGTCAATAGCGCGTCGGGAACAAGTCGCGGAAGTTTTGCCGACCAGGCTGAGGATATAGACTCGGCGGTCTCCAACAGCGCCGCAGGCGAGCTGCGGCAAAAATGAGTGGTGCGTGGAATGGATTTCGAAGGCTCGGGGGGAGCGATAAGGAAGCGCTTGCTGTCGTGATTTAGGCTGTGTAGTTACGTCTGAACGCTGAAGCGCCGCAGGCAAGCTCCAGCGAAAAGGCGATCTTGCAGGGAACGGGAAGCGAGGCTGATGAGCATAGCACTTGCTTGCAGCTAGTCGTGAAAGCAATTGCTGGCATTATTGGGCTGTGTAGTCACATCTGAACAAGAAATAAGTATTCAAACAAATGCAAACAGTACAAAACTTACGCGATGGCGAGAGTGGAAGCAGGGACATTGTATTGGCGGTGCAACGGCGCCGCAGGCGATCTGCAGCGAAAATTCGCTGTTCCGGAGAGGCGAAATGGTCTCAATCGACGTTGAGCTTGCTGTTATGTACCTGTCGATATACAGTTAGAAAGCATTTCGAATAGATGAGAAGATCACATACCTGGGGTTCAACACAGATAGTGAAGCCGTCATCACACAAGCCCAAGGAGGCAACAGCGCCGCAGGCAGCTCCGACGGGGAAAAATGTTGGGGGATAATGGGATGACGGAAAGGACCTTGTGACCACGCGGCTTTGCCGCGCGGGACGCGTCTGCCAATGGAGAGAGGCGACGTGAGTGTTGACATCGAGCAGACTGCTGTCGCAAAAGGTCAGCAAGTCTTTTGGAGAAGTCAGAATCACTCACCAAAACCGGCAGCAAACAGCTGCCAACGCGACGATGCCAGCCCAGCTGTTACTCGTGCCTCCGGCGGCAAAACCCCGCGAAAATTAGGCCGACTTAGCGTGTTTTTAAGCAGCAAAAGTGCAGCCGAAAAACATCGGGAAATCCGGATCAATGATCGGATCCGCGGCCGGCAGCTCCGGCATCGCGGCCCTGCGCTATTCTGGCACGGAAATCAGCTCGAGATCAAGTGCGGAAGCCAAAGAGACTAACCGTGTGCTGAGCAGTCGGAAGGCCGTTATGCATCGCCTCCGGCGGCAAAATCTAGCAGACAATGAGTCATTTCGAAGGCAAAATGAGGCCGAAAAGTGCTTACGTAATCGCCGCGCAAAAGCGCGTACAGCAGAAGGGAGTGAGCACAGTGTCTACGCTTGGTTCCCGTGCAAGTGGCTCGTCAACACGCCCCTGGGCGCAGACTCAGAGAATACAAGACCAACGGCTGCAATGACAAGTCAGCACATAAACGCGACTTGGAAACGGGGGGGAGACCTACCACGCAGCGTGAGGAGGTCGCTACAATAAGTGGGCATCGGCGCCTCTGAGAGCGAAGTCTTGGTGCATCTAGCTGCTGGGGACAGAGTCAGCAAAAAAAACATCGCTTTTGCAATGAAGACATATGGGAGCACTGACTTGGCAGCCAAGTCCTGGCGCATTTGCTCGTTGCACAGAGGCAGCAGAACATGGAGGTCATTAGGGAGCGTGAGGTCGGGGGTCCCAACAGACGACAAGAAGAGCTCGGCGGGAATGTGTAGTGCTAGTGGTGGGCGATGGCAGAAAGTGAAAAAGTGGAGGGAGGTGGTGGTTTTGAGGAAAGGTCCGATGAGGCGTGACTGCTGTCAGAAAGGCACACGTGTCGCAACACGTTTGTTGACGCGTTGGGATGAGTAGTGCCGTCAGAAAGGTACGCGTCTGTTGACGCGTTGCTGAGTTGTCCGTGACGGTGGGAAGAAAGACGGTGACACGGCGTGACAAGGCCGATGGCCAAGGAAAAAATAATGAAAAATTATGGCGCCATATCGGCGAGGCGCGTACGAGGTTCCCGAAAGCCTAAGCGAGTCCCCGAGTCAGGTTCCTGTGGTGACATCAGGAACCAAATACGGCACAGGGGTGATACGACAAATGATACCGCTTAAGCTCTTCAGCGTGGAAACTTCGTTCGGCTGGCTTTTGGCCCGATGTCGTTTCGTACCTTTTGTTCGAGGGGTGTGTCATTTTTGCCGCTTCTGTCTGTTTTTTTTCTTGGAAAACATTACTCAGAGTCTTTTTGTCACGCAAGTCTCGTCACGACTAGTTCTAATTTAACTTGGCTCTCCAGGATTTTCTGAGCGTTCACTGAAGGCCACGAAGATAGCATCCCAAAAAGGGAATGGGCACAACAATTGCTCATTATATGGTGTTCTGCCCTCGATCAGAAGATCTGAAGCGTGGGAAACAATGTTCACTATCTATAAATGTTATCCACCGCTCCATCCCCGCCATCCACAGTCTCAAACCCGCTAGTTCCCCCTCCATTGCTTTCCACTCTGATAATACTCTACCACCCCATCGTCGTTTCCGATTGCGCCGAGCGTGTGTGAATATGATGTTGCCATCACCCCTGACATGTAGCCGCGAGGATCGGCCGGGAAGCACATCTCCGCGCGCACCGTGCGCGTGGAATTGCGAACTACGCGATTTCGCGTATTTGACCCTGAGCAGCAACCGCTCCCGCCGCAACATCCCCCAGCGGATGGATATCACCTTGGGAAATGTTTCAACTGCCACGTAGCTCATCCGCGCTGCCTATAACAGCTGGCCGACATCAAATTACGCGCCAACTCTCCTTGTTTCCCCCCACTCATGGCCTTCTTCTCAGTGACAACATCCCCAAGTCTCGACTCTCATCAGCTGCTGTTGGTGTCTTGCTCATTTGAGCTTTCTCTCATTCCCATCTACATACTGACAATTGGTAGTTAGCTCCGCCTCCCACCCCTGCCCGACGTTGTCGCGATCGTCTTTGACAAGGTAAGTACTCTGACCAAAAGAACCTCACCTTCATTTTCAGCCAGCGACAACGAGCTTGGCGTTGGACCTGGTTTGCAGACTCCATGGCGAGCACGTTGAGGTGGTGAGTGTCGCGTTCCCTGCCTTTGATCCCGACAACTGACCTCATAAAAGACCCACTTTCCCGACTCGCTTGTTATCGTTGGCATTGTCGCACCTTGTCCTGGCTTGAAATCGTTGCGCGTGACATCTTGGTATGTAGACGGCAACAGGTCTGTCAGTATTCTGTTGATGTCAAGACAAGTTGCTGGTTTTCGCAAGCGGACGGTGTCCTTGTTGCGCTTGCTTGCAACCTTGACGCGCCCGTCGTTGAGAGCAGAACAGTGTCGAGGGACTGGGGTTGCAACGCTATAAGGTGAGCAATTGTTCAAAGCCGATGAAGAGAAGCTTACATCGTTGATTTAGCTCCCTATCAAGACCTCCGCTGACCGTGACGAGCGGCTCTGAAAGACAGGTTAGTCGCCAAACCCTGTCGTTGACTGAGGCCATGTGGAAAGCTGGCGCAATGCAATCCTTCGCAGCCAACCGCTTCGCGTTGAGTCATGAGTTTTTCTTTGTTAACGGAGACTAATCTGACCGCTATAGACCCACTTTCGGCCTAAATGCCCAAACCAGTCAGGCGGAGGGCGAGCCGGGTTTTGGTCCAGAGTAGTGGTAAGTTGACTTGTTAAAAGAAAGAGCCGTCGCCGAGCCCCGATTTGCAATTGGCAGCGAGTTTGCGGTGAGTTTCTTCCTCAAACTCAGAGAATCCGAGCATAACTAACCATTATAGGCCCACTTTTGCTCAAAGCAACCCCGAACCTCCCCAGAGCGCTCGCGCCGCAACTTTCCAAGCGGCGCCGAAGTCTGGGCTGAATTCAGGGACTTGGGCCGTCCGGAGAGCGGGCCGAGCCAGAAAATGGAGTTGGGCTAGCCAAAACGCATTATTGCGCCAAGCCCCGGCTGATTACGCCGCGAGGTCTTGGATGCAATGCTGCGATTTGCGAGGCCTCAGTTCACCGTGAGTTGCCGCCGGCATAAGTTTTGAGGGAGTTGGTGTTGCCGTTTGGGCCGGAGAGGGGCAGTTGGCGTGTCAAAGCCGCCGTTAAGCGCTGGATGCTGACTGAAGGCCCGTAAGTCCGCAGTTCATTTCCTTTGACTGCTTGCTTACCTCGTCAATAGTTTCGCTGAAACAAATCAGTAACTATCCAAGCTGGTTGCTAGCGTTCGCGCTCACCGTTGCAGCTCGCGAATACAAGCCCATGCTTGCAAGCTCTATCTAATGACTTCAATCTTACCGGTTGGCCCTGCAGAGGGTGAGTCTACGTTTGGACAGATACACTCTTACCCAAGTACCAGGTTACGATCGCGCTTCCGTTCGACATTGCTGTTTGTTGTCTTTGCTTCAGGTGAGTTGGCTGGTTAAGACGGTATTTGTCCAACTTTACGGACTATGCAAGTCAATTGGTCAAACCAGACAGAAATCAATTCTTACCTGCTCTCCGCCTAGCCCAGCACTCCCCGATTCATGTCGAATATTTCAAGAGCGAGGCCCGCAAGTCGGGCGGCAAATCGCGCTGGTTTGCAGGTGAGTTTTTTTTGCCAACTCAGCCATACCTAATCGTTTTCTTTGCGCTCGAAGCCTTGGCAGCGAGTTTGCGTGCCGAACCCACGAGTGGTGAGTTTCTGCACCAAACTCGGACAATCTGGGCATACCTGACAGTTGTAGCCCCACGATTTCGCCCAAAGCCCGGCAAGTGCTGCTGAATACAGAAAACACGCTTGCGCCGTTGACTGCTGGTGAGTTTTCCTCATCAAAATCGGATGATCTGCCATACCTGACCATTTTAGTCCCGGTTTAGCCCCAACCAGCCCCGCAGGTGCCGTCCGGAGACGACACGCTGGCGCCCCGGGCGACGGGATTTGGGAGCGAAAAGCGGGCCGTAACGGACTTGGGTGGTAAGTTGACTCGTTGGGTGTATTCGGCTCCCCTTCGCAGCCGAAACCAGTTGTTGCGCCGAGCCCAGTCCGTTTTCGGAGGAGGTGGGGTTTGCTGACCGGCCCGTTGCAGAGGCCTCCCAGTATGTAGTCGTGAGGAGAGTGTGCCGCGATATTGCGCTGGCCTGAGTTTAGCCGTGACCGTTGGTCGTTGCTGCTGCCAGGGCCGGGCCGCGAAATATCGCCGCTGCAAAGACGGTTAGCGGGCCAGTCGGACTGACACGCAACGTGTTCCGCAAAATGGTGCCGCCATCTTCACTTGTTGTAGACTGTTGTAGATTTGCGAGGCGTGCCGGTTGTGATCGGAGCCCGTAGCTCGCGCTGAAGTGGTGGTCGCCGAAAGAGTGTCATAGTAGTGCTGATGCTTGTCGGAGGGCCGGAAGACAGAGCCCTTGGCCGGCCGGCCACGTTTGTGGGAGCTCGGTTTCGAGATGGAAGAGACGTTCGTGGTGGTTGCGGAAAGAGTGTCGGTCCGCGTCCCGGCGCCGGGCGTCACACCACTGCCAAAGCTGTGACGCCCGGCGTTCAAGCTTTTTCTTGCGCCAACGCCGAACACCACCACATTGCGCTGGCCAACCGTTCAGCTTCGTCTTTGAGCCCTACGACTGCTTGACAACCAGGTTAGTTTGCCGCTCGCTGTCACTATTTGCGTGGCTCACCCGTTTTGCAGAACTCGTCTATTTCCTTGAGCAAACTGCCGTCCTCGAACACTGCCGACATGTACCAACGACGCGCGCGGACGAGCTGGACACAAAAATTCTCCTCGATCGCGTCGCTTACGTAAGCACTTTTCTGCGGCACTTACATTTTGCTCAACTAACTAACTTGTTCTTTTTTAAGTAGGATTCTGTCGCCAGAACCGCGAGCAACGCCTCGGGCTTGAACGGAAGGGGTGTAGTCTGGACTGTGGAGGTCGTCGCTGGTGTGAGCGCTCGCCCCGATGCTGCGTGCCAGGTCGATTCCTGGTGTTTCTGCTGTTACCATTGTCGGAGGAAGTGATGTCCTGCCCACAATATTCAGGTACCTCTGCATGGACCTCATCAAAGCACATACTGCGAAAATGCTTCTGCTACTGCTGGGGCAAGACCACGAATGACGCCATCCGACGAAGTTTATCCACATCTCCTGTTTCTTTTGGCCGATGTATGCAGAGAGGCTGTATTGATCCGAGTCAGCACCATTTAGTTGAACGGCCCAACTCTCCAGTCGAGACACACAGAAATCCGTGAGTTTCTAACAGGACCAATCAGGATCATTCATCTTTCTGTTTGCGCGCACAGAGCATACAACGTACCTTGCTTCGTCCCGGAATGGCAAACAAATGGTGTGGTATGTGACGCAGAACGGCTGCCATGACTTCGTTCTGCAACTCTACTCTACCATCGGTGGCGTGGGCCTTGTGGTGGACATCTAGTTTGGAGTTATAGCGCGCGAGATCAGCGTGTAGCTCGTGGTCTTTTTGCGCTGCGAGAGCTACGGGAAAGGCGGCAGAAAGCGTTTGGATAATGACCGGAAGGGTTGGATCCATCTTCTCTTAAGTGTGCAGATCATTTTCGTCGAATTTGGGAAGTGTAAGCCCGGATTTGCCTTTCCTACGTGATTGGGAGTTGAGGAGCGGGATTCTCTATGTACTAGAATAGAGTAGAAGCGCCACTGCCAGTGGCGCGCTTGGCCAGCTGATCATGGGCATACTCGTTACAGACTCCAGTTGTGGCCAGGTTTCGAGAACGGTAGGAGAGCTGCCGTGAGTGTACAATAAGATGGACAAGATTTCGAATCATTTCGATTGAAGTGGGTGGGGTGGCGCCGAGAGCTTTGACAAGATCTAGATGAGAGCTTGAAAGTTGCTCGAACGAGACGAAGAGCTTGCGAAGAGCTTGACGTAGAATTTGAGATGCGTATGTGACTGTCAACGGCCATGACTCAGCCTCACAGCGCCGCCTGATACAAATCTGAAATCACTTTCTCCCCCCCCCGGCCACCAACAAACGGTGCCGTTCTTTCGTTCATGACTCGAGCAACCTTTTTTGTGTTCTCCCTCCATGCCTCGGTATCAGCTCGAGGCTGCCACTGCGCTCGCTTCCGGCGCATTGCTCAGTGCCGTCTTATTTTTTGTCAACCGCACCAAAGACGGGAAAATTCGCCTAGAGGAAAACGAAGCGTCTGATCCTTTCGATGTCACGACCGCCGAAGACCTGACCGACGGGTACCCGCTTCAAGAGGAAAGGTTTTGGTCGAAGGTGGGCAATTTTGACTTCGCACGCGTATTTGCTAATGCTCGTTTGCAGATGAAACGGCGGAAGATGTTGTTATCTGTCCTTGCCTCTCTCCTCTTGTGCGTCCAGCTGGCCGCAGCGGCCTTGGATAGTTTTGGACAAATTTCATGCTTGCGCGTTGCATTTTCCTTCTACATTGCAACGGTCGCTGTCTTTTCTATTCGACGCCAATCGGTATTCGAGCATACTGAATCTATATGGCATCTTTCCGCCCTCAATTTCGTTCCCGTCCCGCTGCTTGGGTTCACCGCCATCATTCCCGACGATTACCATCCGGTGTCCTCGGTGTCTGTCCACGCCCCAACCATTCTGTGGTACACGGCGCTGGGGCTCCATCTCGTCGTGGCCCTCATCGCTGCCAACACCCCTTGTGGTCCCGCTTTGCATTACCCTCCAGAGGCCATCTACTCTGAAAAGATCGCCCAAGCAATAACAAACACGGATGAAAACAATGTTGCGGGAATTTACGGCGCCTCACCTCTCGGCATCCTGTTCTTCTCCTACTCTACCAAGGTCGTGATGCTCGGAAACACGGCCGCCTCTCTCGAGATCGGCGACCTCCCCATTCTCACCGTTGATATGCGCGCCTCCCACTTATACGACTCGATGAAGCGCGTGCTCCGCACCGTGTCGCTGCGCATTCCTTTCCTCTTCTGGAGTTGGCAGCCGCGGGTTGGCTCCGGGATAACGCTAGGATACCAACTACTTGTTACTAACAAGTCTGGATTCCTGGCCCTGATTTTGCTGTCCCTCGCGGCGGGAGGCATGTTTTACATGCCACCACTGCTGCTGAGCGGCCTTCTTCGCTACTTGGAGAGCGACCTTGAAAGGCAAGACTTCCGATGGGGACTGGTCTGGGTTGCTGGCCTGCTCTGTGCACATTTGACGCTGTTCACACTCACTGGTAGGCCGGCTATTGATTCTTCGACTGTTTCTGACAGATTTGTCCAGGCCAAGTGTGGTCCCTTGCGACAGCGACGCTCCAGGCGAAACTCCGAAACCAGCTAAACACGGTGTTGTTTGCGAAGACTCTGCTTCGCAAAGACATCGCCTCTACTGCTCCGACGTCTACTGCGAACGAGGAATCAAAAGGGGATGAGGCCGAGAAGTCTGAAGGGTTTTCGTCAAAAGCGCAAATTATGACCTTGATGTTCGTGGGTTTTGTGTCTTTGGTTCTCCGTTGATTTGATTCTCAGGACCACGGACGTCGACCGCGTTGCGAGGCTTACGATGCACCTCTTCAGTGTTATCGGCAAGTTCAATTTGGTCCCCGTTTGCTGCATATTAATCTTTGCATAGATGTCCCCATCGAGATCATCGTCGGTACCACCTTCCTCTACAAGCTCTTGGGTGCGTGTTAACAATGTGATTTAAGATCGACTCAATTGTTTGTTAGGTGTTTCCAGCTTGTTTGGTCTCGGCATCGCTGTTGCATGTTTACCACTGAATCATTTTGCCGGCAAAGCTGTCTCGGGTGCTCAAGATAACCTGATGAAATCTCGTGATCAACGAGTGGCACTCATGAATGAGGTATCCTACTTCGTCTCTTCTCATCATTGACGAACTCTGGTGAATAGGTTCTCGGCGGTATCCGTATGCTCAAAGTAAGCCTTGAACGTGGACCGCTCTCTGACGAAATGTTCCCAGTTCATGGCCTGGGAAAGAAGCTTCGAGGATCGCATCCTCAAAATCCGTTCGAAAGAACTCAAGTACCAACGTTTGAACTATATCATTGAGGTACGACTTTCCAGCTCAGATGAACATAAATGTGAAAATGAAATCAGTCACTACTGGAAGGGTTCTGGAGTGGCATTCCTGTGATCATCACACTGGTCTCATTCTACCACTTTGCAGTCATACGCGGCGAAGTGTTGAAGCCATCGATCGCGTTTACTTCAGTGAGCTCGCGCTATTCTCACTCAACGACTTGTTTACCCTGCATTAGATCATTGGTAGGTACCAAGGTCTGAAGCTTCTTTCCATGTTGAATTGTGCTATCAGTCTTCAACGAGCTCCGATTTGCTCTGTCTTTGCTCACAGGCACATTCATCAACATTGTCCAAAGTGCTGTTTCCCTTCGCCGTATAGAAACAGTAAGCCATTCGCCGAACCGATCTTGGCATATATTTATGCACCAAAACTCTAGTATCTGGGCACGCGTGAAATCAGCCTGGTACCAGACCTCTCTGTTCAAACACGGCGTGTTGCATTCAACTCCTGTACTGTCACATGGCCGCAAGACACATCAACGGGGTCTACGCCAGGCACAAGCGCGGCATCAACTCCGCGACAAAAGTTCCTTCTTCTGGACCTCTCATTTGAGTTTCCCGAAGGACAGTTATCTCTGGTTTGCGGGAAGCTCGGGTCAGGGAAGACTTTGTTGCTCCTCGGTATGCTTATTTGATCTTTTCTCGTGATGAGTTGCGGGTTGACAGGCATTACCAGCGTTGCTTGGGGAAGCTGATGTTGTCGCGGGACAACTTTCGTGCCCGCGTTCTCCGGCAAACACGCTTGCATCATTTGCAGGATTCGACCCTGCAAAAGAAACCTGGCTTGTTGATGGCGTTTGCGCATATGTTCCTCAGGTAGTGCATTTCTTAGAGCGTTTGATTTGGGTTGTTTATCTTGCTCAAGACTGCATGGCTCCAAAATGCTTCGATCAAAGACAATATTCTCTTTTCATTGCCCTACGACGACGAGCGTTATCGTCTAACACTTGAGGCTTGCGCCTTGGTCAGCGACCTGGCTATTCTTGATGACGGCGACGATTCTGAGATAGGAGAACGAGGTGTATGTGTGATCAAGGCTTTACATCTCTTATATATTTTTACATATCGCAGATCAATCTCAGTGGAGGACAACGAGCGCGGGGTAAGTGATATATTACATACATAACTAATCCTGGATGCTTATTTCTCAATAGTCTCATTGGCAAGAGCTGTATGTGCGTGTACTGGCCCCCCCTCCCTTTTCTTCTATAACCTTGTTATTTTAGATTCTCGGGCCACCATCATCTTGCTGGATGATGTTCTCTCTGCTGTTGATGCGCATACAGCCCACCATCTTTACCATCGCTGTCTCCGTGGCCCACTCATGCATGGTCGCACGGTCATCCTCGTCTCGCATCACGTGCAACTGTGCGCTCCCGATGCTGCTTATGTTGTTGCACTGGACAATGGCCGCGTCCAGTTCAAGGGCGACTCTGCGGCCTTCCAAGCATCGGAGGTTATGAGTAGGCTGGTCCAGACAACAGAAGCCGGAATGGGGAAGGAGGAGGTAGATGCCAAAGAAGAGGCTGCCATCGAGGAACTTGACGCAGACGAATCACAATCAGGAGCGAGCACAATCGCTCAGTCTGTAGTGGCGACACCACAAAACAAGAAACCTCCACGAAAATATGTCGAGGAAGAACAACGTGCTGTTGGCCATGTCGCGTGGGATGTGTGGAAGACCTATATTGCCGCGGCTGGCGGAGCGGGCTATTGGACGCTGTTCTCGTTTGCCTTTATGGTCACAGCGTTGGCGAGGATTGCTGAGAACTGGTGGTTGAGCTACTGGTCGCGCAGCGATAATGAAGAGGATGCGCTGTTTTATTTGTCCATTTACGCTTCGGTGAGTTGCTCCGTTTCTCTTTTGCTTCAAACATCTTATCGCATCTTATCAGCTCGCGTGGGCCGGAGTCATCTTGATCGTCTTCCGCTCTCTGGTTCTCTGTACGTCATCGTCATGACAGCGCCGATCCTTCAGCTGATTTGTGCAGTTTTTGGTGCAATACATGCATCCAAAGGGCTCCATAAAAGTCCGCTGCCGCGTATATCCTGTGCTTTTATTGACCCTTCTTCTTCTTGTAGCCCTCCTTGAAGCTGTCTTATTTGCGCAAATTCGCTTCCATGACACGGTATCACGTGGACGGGTCCTCAATCGGTTCGGCAAGGACTTTGAAGGTACCTGAACCTCTGATTGTCTGGACTGCGAATGACCTTTGCGCTCAGGAATTGACAGCAGTCTTCCGGAGAACATTGGCAACGTCTTACTGCACGTTTTATCGGCGATAACCACCATCGTCGCGATTAGTTTTGTTGGTGGATGGCCGTTTGTGGTGGCCATCACCTGCATTTTGTACGTCTACTGGGAGGGTATGTCGCTTGTCCTTGCTCCACATGCTTGTTTTCATTGCTTTTACAGTTGGAAAGGTGTGAAAATTTCTATTCCTGGCATCTGTGCTCATGCTGCTCAGATTTACGGTCAAGCATGCAGAGATCTCCGACGACTTGGTAAGCACTTGCTTCTACTCTCTCTGTCCCTACATATCTTATCCTGACTTTAGATTCGGTTGTAAGTGTACATATATTCATTAGTACTTTGCTCATCGCTTTTCTAGACCCGGTCTCCTCTTTATTCGATGTATTCTGAAACCATCGCTGGGGTTACAATTGTCCGTGCGTTCGGCGCTTCGTCCAAATTTCTCCGTGAAATGATTAGGAGTGTCGACACGGTAAATGTCATCGCTTGGCCTCTCTCCTTTGCTAAACTGTGCCAGAACTGCAATCCTGCATATTGGACTTGGGGTACTAATCGATGGCTAACGGTGCGGCCCTTTTTGCTCGAAAAAGTTGATATTCACAATTGCACAGATACGCATGACATGCCTGGCCAGCCTCATCACGGCTTCGATGGCGCTGATATCGGTATTAAATAAAAATATTTCTGCAGCTACTGCAGGCTTCGCGCTAGCATTCTCGAACACAGTAAGCTTGTCTGCTCGTCTCTTTTATCAAAGAATGACTGACGGTCTGAGGTATTATATGACCTGCTCCTCGTCGTCCGCGAGTTTGTCAGCCTGGAACAAGCGATGGTTGGGCTCGAGCGCGTGAAGGAGTACTCAGAGCTTGTGCAAGAGCCAGCAGAGTTCATCGAGCCCCGACCCGGCAAAGAATGGCCGCAAGAGGGCGTAGTTAGCTGCGAAGATCTCGTCATACGATATGCGCCGGACCTACCGGATGTGCTCCACGAACTCTCATTTAAGATCAAGGCGGGCGAAAAGGTACATGTCTTCTGTATTGACGGCCAAAGCTAAGACGTGGGTAGATCGGGGTCCTCGGACGAACAGGGTCAGGGAAGAGCACGCTCGCATTGTCCTTCTTCCGCTTCGTTGAAGCCACGTCTGGCCGGATCGTCATAGACGGTGTCGACATTTCAAAAATCGGGCTGACAGATTTGCGTGGGAAGCTGACCATCATCCCGCAAGACCCGACGATATTGAGTGGGACACTGCGCTCGACGTTGGACGTATTCGGCGAATACGAGGACAAGGATATTGTGAGTGCTGTCTTCCCCTCTTCATTACAATTTCTTGATGGCCCTGTCTAGTTTGAAGCTCTCCGTCGCGTGCATCTCATTCCCAGCGCAGCAGCTGCGAGCGAGGTTGCCGCTGACGGTGTCAACGAGAATGTATTCCGCAACCTCGACTCGCCGGTTTCTGAGGGAGGAGAGAACTTTTCGACAGGAGAAAAACAGCTGTTGTGCATGGCGCGTGCAATCTTGAAGCGCTCCAAGGTTCTACTAATGGACGAGGTAAGTACCACCCGTGCTCTGATAAGCATGGAACTGACGAAATTGACCTAGGCGACTGCGAGGTACTACATAAGGCCCATGGTTCGCGCGAGTGCAGCCGGCTAACCCTCCCTACAGTGTTGACTACGCAACTGACCAGTTGATTGGACAAACAATCCGAGAGTGCGCCACTTAGGTCCTTTTATTTCCGTGCCTGACCCTCTTCGATAGAGAGTTCAAAGACAGCACGATCCTCACCATAGCGCACAGGCTCCGCACCGTCATCGACTACGACAAGGTCAGTCGGCTACTCATGCGCAATTATGCAACTGAATTCAGCGCTCAAGGTCATGGTCCTCGAGCAGGGTCGCATCGTCGAGTTTGATCGGTTTGTTGATTCACTATCGGTGCCACAACGCAGATGTACTAATGCCAGTTACCCAGACCTGCTGTTCTTCTCAGAGACTCCTCGTCTAAATTCCACGGGCTCTGCAAAGCGACTGGAAAAAAGGAATTCAAGGTCCTCAGAACGATGGCGGGGGTCTGACGCTCAAGAAAGGTTTAGATGTTGCTGGAGATTCTATTATACAGTCCATGAGTTGTCGACAGGATATTGTCTCTCAGATGTTAAGAACACCACTTGCAATTGTGTGCACTGGCCATGAGATGATGGAAGATGTCAGGGAGACATTCCCGGACGTCAGTGAGTCAATCGCTGATGCAATTGATTGTGGCGCGGTCATGTGACAGTGAAGCAATTTCAGCTTGCAAATATGCCTCACTTTTCGACCCAGATAAGAAGGCGAAAGGCCGTCGGGCTATAGAAACACGATCCAGAGAGGTATACAAGCTACTAAGCCAAGGCTAGCATTACTCAACGAAAACGCTCAAGTACAAATATATCCAGGGGCTAGGTTATTTTGGGTAATTCCCAACCTTCACTCACTGACCCAGACTAGAGCGGATATGACTACGCTTCGATGCAAGAAAACAAACACCACTCACAGGCAAGCGCGATGACAAAATACAGTGTTAGCAGCATGAGACCCTCCATGTAGTTTGACTTGCCGTCCCTGGATTGCGTGAGCTTCACATTGTGGTCAAGAAAAGCAGACGGACTGGATGAGTGTGTGAACGAGGAAAACCGACACGAATAGCGTAACAGTCTCGAAGTTCGCGAAGAAGAGAGTCATGCCGTGGTTGGTCCTGGAGTTAATATGTTAGCTCAGCAACAAAAATCCAGACACGAGGACGTACGCCCAGCCAACGATGACGAGCAGCGGGATCACGAACGTTGCAATTTGCTGTGCCCCAACAGGTCAGAGAAGATGTGAAAAGTAAGACTGATGGCTCACAATAGAGCTTCCGACGCAGACTCCGATGGTGATTTCCATTTGTCCTTTCATTGCCATCCATACAGAGGTAACATGCTCTGCAGCATTGGCCTGAATGCATGAGATCTTGAGAACCCTTTGATACCATGAACATACCACGATGGGCAACAAGATCAAGCCAATGAAGGGTTTGGGGATCGAATAACGTTCGGCCGTTTCTTCGATGGAGGCAACAACTGTGAGTAATGTGTTGTCAGCATTCAAGAACTCCCGTTGGTCGAAAGAACTTGCGATGGTCGGCGCAGAACGAAGTTATTATTGTCGTTCCGAGAAGAGCGACGCCAGCGGCAACGACACTCATTTCTGGCTCCTCGCCCTCCTGCTCTTCGGCCTCGAAGAGATAGGCATGTGATCGTAGCTAGTTGCAGGTCAGATGTTTGCGAGTGTCCGACATCAAAAGATGCACCTGAAAGTAGAGATAGGCGACATAGACAAATAACAGGAAAATTGCAGTGCCGCGGGAGATGGTAAGCAAGCCGGAGCTTGGCGTGAAAACATCCGAATCAGGAGACTTCATAGCCGATTGCAAGGAGTTGATGCTCAGTCCGCCACTAGTGGTACTGTGGTACGCAGCGGGAATAACAAGCGCTGAAAACGATAAGACTTTTGTGCCAAGACAGTGATGGTCTTACTGATGCAGGCGAGAGTCATAAGCTGGAGAATAGATATAAAGTCAACGATCAAAGGGAAACAAGCATTCATACCGAACTAGAACTGGAGGACAGATTGAATGATAGCAAGTATAGAATACAACGACGTACGCTTGAGCAGCAGTGACCTGGAAGTTACTTTCTTTGAACTTGAAGCCAGCTGGTTGTTGTGTCAAAGATGTGTCCTTGATGCTCGCAAAGACTGTTACCTGCCAGGAACGAACAACCGAGCACCAAAAGCAAGTTGGACAGAATGGATCCCAGGAGCTGCACAGCGTATAAGCTAGAGACCGGCGCCAACGATGATGTTATACTGAGGTTTGGACGATGCGAATCTCATCTGGAAGAAAATGAGCTTATTGAAAACATTTTCAAAATCACCTACTTTGCAGTAAAGCGGCAATGCTGACGATAATTTCAACCGCATTGCCGAACGAAGCATTGAGCAGGCCAGCGAGGGTTTGCCCTAGTTTTGCAGACATCTGCTCTGTCGCGTCTCCCAGCAACTATTCACAATTTCATTTCAGTTTATGTACGCGTTGCGCCACGGTCACGCACCTTTGCCAGCGGAATGATGGCGATGAAGCTGAACGAGAACCGTAGCGCTGCGTCGAGGTGGAGATAGTACGCAATAAAGGAAAGTGGGACGAATAGTAGGAGAATGTTGAGGTAGGACCCAAGGAGGAAGTATTTGTAGGACGCGATCCAAGATGGTTCGCCTTCAGCCGCTACTAACGCCTTGACGCGGTGAGTGAAGGACGTGTTTGGTGGGGAGGCGCCATTCCCGAGTAAGGGAGATGATTCGTTTGAGGGCATGGAGGGAGGTTGAAAGAAAGAACGGCGTGGGTCGGGTAAAGGAGCGATATGTACGTAGGTCAACGAGGCAGTGCGTGTCAATTGGCGTCACCTGAATTTCGAGGTCGGTCGATGACATAAGGACTGAAGCGGAAGCTTCTGAATCAATTACAAGCTTCAAGACTCTTCAAGATCGCAGTACTTTTCTTTTCTCTTCTCTTCTCAACACCATCGTGTGGCTGCGAAAGCCTTTCGTAAACCACTATTCACTTTCTACATTATGCCGAAGCAAACCTTCGTTGCGCTTAACTTTGGGGTTGGTCTCGATATGGGTCCAAAGCTGTTGTGCCAAGCCACCATCGGATCGAACTCCAGTGAAAATTTGTAAGCACAAGGTCGACGGGTACGTGGCCGCTACCGAGCCATACGCTCGCTCGTTGAGTAGTGGTGTCGTCCTCTTCACGAATAAACGTTGCGGTACGTACAGTATCGGACTATATAGGAAAGCGGAGGCTACAGAGTATCTCTGTTCATAAGTGATCTTGATTGGAGGAGGAGACTGAGGGAGTTGAGTGAGTTGGGTATTCAGTACCATTCGATAACGGAGGCGATAGTAGAGATTCGAGAGGCAGCATTGAAGATGAGACTATAAGAGGGCGAGACGGCGGGAAGAACCCTTGCTGCGTTTCGTTGGAGTCGCAAAGGTTTGCATGGTTCAGCTGGGGAATATCTTGAAATCGGATTTCTGGTTCGTTCTGCACCAGAGGGTTTGAGAAAAGTTGGAGAAGGCCAATTATCCTCAAGATCTGGAATTCAAGGAATCGACTATTGAAAGAGAATCGAAGGCTTTGAACGTTGGGGAACATTGCCGTCATCGGCAATACGAGTGATCGTGCTTGCCCTTTTCCGTTGGGTGCTGGCATAAGCGAGCCTAGACGACACGTGTCTAGCTTTCCCCCAACTTTCGCTTTAGCGACCAAACACTACTTTCGTTCCTCCTCGCAATGTTTTCCGAAGAGCTCAAGGCATTCAGAAGACTAGGGCTTCGCCATGTATTTGCTAGCCTAGGTCTCAAGTGTCCGCCATTGATTGGCCATAGGTTTTGCTACAAGCACTGAATTTCGCCTCGGTCATCGCATCTGGCTTGATGATTTGGAAAGGTCTCGGACTAGTAACAAACTCAGAGTCCCCCATCGTCGTTGTCTTGAGGTTTGTGGCCACACTGCACTCCAACCACACTGTTCAATCTGCATAGTGGCTCAATGGAACCGGCGTTTTACCGTGGCGACTTACTGTTCCTCACGAATCCCTCAAGCGAAAAGTATCACAACGGAGACATAACCGTCTACAAGATCCCTGGCGCAGACATCCCCATTGTGCATCGAGTGCTTGAAACCCATGATGCCAAAACACGGTGCGCTTCATTTGTTATCACCGCAGCCAGCTCTCTTACTATGCCCAGCACCGGAGACCAATCTGTGCCCAAACAACGATTGCTGACCAAGGGTGACAACAACGAGGTGAACGACATCGAGCTGTACCGTGGCCTTGAATACCTCGAACGGAAACATATTGTGGGGAAAGTGCGAGGGTACGTCGCCGTGGCTTGTCTGAAATGTTCTCTTCCTCATGTCACTCCAGCTTCCTGCCTTATATCGGCTACGTGACGATTGCCATGGTTAGTCTCTCAAATACGCCTGTTTTGATATAAAGATCTTATGCTCTCAACAACAGAACGACTTCCCTCAACTAAAATACGCGCTGCTTGGTGGCTTGGGGCTTCTAGCACTCATTCAACGCGAATAATTTGCACTCGTTTACATTATACCGGACGCACCAGTGTGTAATTTATTAGACTTGCCAAGATGTAGTTCTTCACGTGACCCATTTGTGTCTTCTTTCACGCAACGACCTACTCTTGACAATCCGATGCATTACTTGCAAGACTCGTGTAGGTGCGTGCATTGTGTGCATTGCGACTGAGGCTGTATAAATTCAGGGCATCTGACACTTGGATCCAATCGCAACCCCGCCTTTGACAGGTCTCTCCGACTCTCTCGCAACATACGAAACACCGAGTGTCGATCCTCAAACTCGGCGCTCACAGAAGCATGACTTCACAGGTCAATGGCGTTCCGCACCTAGACCAAATGCATACACAACGTAAAAACAGCGCCCGACATTTCGCTTACTGGTGTTATTTAGCCTGTGAAGCCTCTATCGATGCCATTTTTTTCACTCTCCACTTTTACTGTCTATCCGACAAGTAGACGACTTCCATGCCGCTCCCTCATTTATTCAAGAGGCTGAGTGAGAAGAGCCTCAAGAAACGCAATCGCACTCAATCTTCCAGTTCAAGTAGTGCCGATGCACCTCCCATGCCAAGAACCGCCGCCAGCGAAAAGTCGTTCGGAGAGGTCATCTCTGGAGGCAGCACAAGGTCACTGACGCTTAACGGCCATAGTGTCGAACAACAACTTCCCCCACTCCCACCTCTTCCACTCAACGGCTACATGTTGCCGTCCGGCCCGCCTCCGCCGCCCGCCATCGAGCTCGACATTCCCCAGGACGAGCTCTCCATATCATTGCAAGCAGCCTGGAAATCTGCCAATACCGATCCCAAGCAAAGCAAGGCAGACAAGTTACTGCAGAAGGCAGAGAATGGGATAACCGGTGCCATGGCAGCGCAAGCCAAAGGTGTGGTAGTTGTGACGGCAGTCAAGGCAGGGCTCAATGCGGTTGGTGGACTGGAGGGAATCGAGAAAGGCATCAACGCCCTAATGGAGGGCATGCCGGTCCTCATGAGTGCTTTGGATGAGCTGACGAAGCTTCACCCGTGTGTCGAATTATGCTTCACCACATTCTGTTATCTAACTATTACAACTCAGATTTGTCGGAGTCGCGGTCATGGCCTTCAAAGCTGTTTGGGCGTTGGAAATGAAGCGCCGACAAAATGACCAGAAAATACTGGCCCTCCATGTAGAGATGAAAGACATGATGGGTGTTTTGACACAGTATGCATGCACGCATCCTCGTACATGTTCTCTCAAGACTAATGCATCGTTTTCCATAGGCTCAAGTCCGTCAAGGATGCAGATGCTGTAGCGCCTGATGGCTCTACTATCAAGGGACGAATGCAAATTATCATCGAAAACACTGCGAAAGACATCAAGGCCTGTGCCAATGGTACGCGCCAGTATACCGAGTCGATTATTCTAACCAGCGGTCAGCCTGTGATGCATATGTCAAGAAAAAACTCGTTGTCAAGGTCCTCAAGGGGCCTATTTGGGAGGGAAAGCTGGCAGCATTTGCGGGCACTTTCACCAAACGAAGATCCGAATTCGAATTCGCCATGTCGATCCACACGGCTCTTGGTGTCGATGCTGCGAACCGCGCCATCAGCTTAGTCGATGAGACCACTCAAGGTGAAACTGCAGTTCTCTCGAAAAATTTGTGCTTATGAAGATATACTTCAGCCATGAACCAAAAAATGGACTTAATGATGAAGATGTTTTCCCAGATGATAAGCCCAGAACAAAAGGAAATGTCAAGGTCGGTTTTTTGGTTGCGCTTTGATTTGTTCATATACATATGCTAATTCGAAGCTCATCAGGCTCATCGACCAGAAAGGCGGTCCTTCGTGTGTTGACAACGAGAGGGTACTGAAGGAACTCAACGACTTCGAAAACAAGTCTTCAAGCGCGCAAAGAGCGGTTGGCAGTAAACTCGGAGCCAAAAGTGGTGACCTGGACGACCTCAAAGACGACCTACATGCCAATCCGGACCAAGCCATCGAAGCCAACATGGAACAGTTCTCCCGCAAATTTGCTATCCAACAACGTCAGATTTTGGATGAAATTTCCCGAGTCGTCGAAAGACAGGGAGACAGGATCATTGGCGCAGTAAATCTCTTTCGGTTCTACATGCGTTTTATCTCAGTTAACGTTCGTCAGGTTTTAGCTGGACCCGGCGACCGCATTGTGGATCCAAATATTCATGCAGTCTGGAAAGAAATGGTAGCTCATCTACACCTTCCGCAACCCGACCTAACCACGATAACAGGGGTGGAAAGGAAGTGTTAAAACCCGCCATTTTGTCATGGCTCTTCGAGATCATTTCCAAGAGGACCACAAGAACCAAAACACTCTCAATCTCCCTCAAAGAGTGGCTGAAGAGACTGAGGATGGCAAGCCTAAATCCGAAGTCGTGCCTCCCTTGGCCCAGGAAGATGAATGGACTCTGGAATTCATCAATGTAGTTCGTCTCCAAGCCATATCAGAGGCTTTTGATGACGACGCTTCTGGGTTCGTCACTATTGCAGAGGTCGGCTTGTGTTATTTTGAAATGAGCCCTCTGATGCTTGCTAGGTTAACGCCTTCACGACGGCTCGGCCTCTGGACTGGAGGTATATCATAATTCCACATTACAATGGTGATTGACCTATTCTGATGTGTTGCAGCCTGGCACGTTGGATTGCCTATTGGTCAGTAGGCCATCATCAAGCAATGCAGGAGTATGCGAACAAGATCAACGGGTTGATTGGGAAACTGTTTGCGATTTTACCTCGTATCTTGCCTGCCAACAAATCCGCCGCCGACGAGTACCTCACGACAGTTTATTGGGGTGTGCACACGATTGTCCGTTCTCTGAGCTATGCCTTTATCAACCCTGGTTTGCAAGTCAGTGGGCTATGTCTGACCGAGATGAGGAGCTTTACGTGTTGCAGGAAAAGTTTAAATCATACGTTGCCTCCGAGGAAGAACGAATCAAAGGTTTGTCAAACCATCGCTTTTTGTTCTGCTCCAATCCATATATCTAGGAAATCTTGAGGCTGTGAAATACGATATCGACGCTAGCGACACCTTGGAGCTTGTTACAGGTCCGCTTACCTCCTGCTTCTGTCTTTCGTGTGTTCACGCTTTGTCAAAGGCGAAGGCCGAATCGAAAGAGTACGCAACTGGCCTTGATTTGCAATGCTTCATGCTCACGTCCATTCAGTATGCACTCCCCATGATATACCTATTGCTAGAGAAACATCTTGAAATTTTCCGCGTTTGCCAAACCCGTGTTGTCCACGCTGACGAGCTTTGGGATGCGGCAGATACGGTCAGCTGGGTGCTAGGCGCTGTCGCAACTCGCCTGGAACTCTTGAGATGTTCGTCTTAAAAAAATATTCAGCTTCCCACCAACCTGACGTTTTCGAAGCTATCTTCAAGCAGCAGAAACTCGACTTGACCCAACAATTCAAATCGTTCTCGTTCGGAATGGTATGCATCTCTGTTATAATAAGCGAGCTTCATCATTCACAGTATTTCAGTACGAATATCTCAACGAACCAGATCTACTCTGGGCCGCCAAGATCGTGCAAGAAACGTAGGCGGTTTACCCTTTCCGCCGCGCTCTGGTTAACTTGGATTCCAGTGAATTCGTAGACTACAGCTACGAGGAAAGTGTGGAGTCCCCGCTTCCTGAGCTTGAAAAAATTCTCAACTATCCGATGGACATGGACGAGCTCGACTATGCTGCCTATGCGCTGTCTCCGCCATCTGCCAAGGTTAACGACGCGACAGTGACCCACATCCTACCCGCTCTCACACAGCTCCTTTCATCTCGCTGGCACGGATTTCTGTTCCAGCCAGCAACGGCACGTTACCCCAGCGCAGGAATGGTCTCCATGACACTCGTGCCAACCTTCGTCGACGGTCAAGTCCAGCATTTCACCGCTTCAGAACGTGCAAACAAGGCAGAATTCGAACTTGTTGGGGAATGCCACGTTCAGGACGACAAAATATCTATCACATTCAAGCGCACGTTCTCTGCCCGTTTCTCGACGCAATTCTATAATGGTATCTGGAATACAGAAACAAACACCTTGAGTGGTACTCTTGGGTTTGAGGAGGACGTTTCGACGCATTTTGGAGCGTTCTCGTTCAAGCAGTTAGAGCCAGAGTATGTCTGTTATATGCCCGCGCCAGTCGACCTCGAGCCACCAGCCAATGATGGGGGAGATCCGCTCGGAGAGAATGCCAAGGCTCGCGCCTTGTGGTCATTCGCCATATCTTCTGTGCTTTTCCAGGTCCGCCGAGATCACTGGTCGTGGTCACTGTTCAAGGAGCGGAGGGACAACAGGAAACGCTTCATCGAGTTGCAAATCCGATCTGGACAAGCCAGCCATGCGTTCGGAAAGGAGCTGGGAAGCGCAGAGTGGGATGAACTGTCGAAGCTGAAAAAGTCTTTCACCACAAACGACTCCAGATTTTACCATTCGCTGGCCGAGATGCAAATTCGCGCGACGACAAACCATAATTCTAGCTGCGACAGCTGTGGAGGCGCTATTGGAGGCGCGAGACTGAGCTGTCTTGTCTGTCAGGTCAGTTCTTTGTCATGCTGATGAGTTAGCTGGTGATCAACATTTCGGCCAGATGAAAGATTCATGGAATACAGTCGACTTTGATGACTCTCCTGCCTGCATGGCTGGCCGTGTCAACCGTGATGATATGCAAAAGCCGCATTATCCTCATCACGACCTCATCAAACTACGTCGTGTTCTGCACATTCGGGAATTCGGCAAGGCCTTCCGAAACGCCAAAGCAGCTTTAGAGAAAGCGAGGGGCATATTCAAGGCTGCTGGGATTGAAACCAATGACAGCGGCGATGGCGATGATGAGGAACAGCCAAGCGAGGCTCCAACGGCTCAAATACACTCTTTGATCACCCAACTATCGATAACCATTCCAAATGCTCCAACTGCTGGTGCCCCGTTGTCTGCTGTCTCGGTCGCAAAGTCACGTGCCGAACCCCTTCCCAAAGGGCCCAAGTGTGCCAATTGCAGCAAGGCACTGACGATGCCCTGTTGGTTCTGTGTCCAATGCACCGAGGAGACGTTCATCTGCTGGGAATGCGATGCCAAGGGCGAATCAGGCATATCGTCGCTGCTGGAGAAGAACGAGCATACCCATAATTTCTTTGCGCATGACCTTGTGCGGGTGCAGGAAGCGGTGGAAGACAAGGACTTGACGATGGAAGAGAGGATTGGGGCTTTGGAGGATGTTTTCAAGGCGCACGAGCAGACGGTGGGCGATAGGCTGACGAGGATGGAGAAGACTGTGGAGGAGAGGATGGCGCGGGTTGAGATGTTGCTGGAGAAACTTGTGGCGAATTACAAGTAGGCCAGAAGGGACTTGTTTTACCTACACTAGTATCTGACTAATTCAGGGAAACAACACTTGTTGTTTATCGGTCTTCTTTATGCGCATACATGGAACATCTTATACGCGAAGTTCAGGTGCAATACGCGAATGGATATATTAAGGTCAATAGTAGCAAGGTTAAATAATACAGAGTGTACACTAGTAGAGTTCAAGAACCCCCCAGGCCTCATCTTAATATGGCGGCGCGGGTGAAGACCGTGATCGGACGGTGCGAGTCGGGCCTGATCCGGAGCCTGACTCTCTTGGGGACGCGCGGGATTTCGATCCGGAGCCAGACTTGGACGCCAACTCTCCTGATTTCTTTGGAGTCGCACGGGATCTCGAACCGGAGCCCGACTTGGACGCTGACCCTCCTACTCGAGCTTTTGCGACAAAATCTCTCGTGCGGTCCCTTGGCACCCACCCATGTCGCTTCAAAGACGCATCATAAAGGTCTTGCACAATGAAGTGCCGAAGATGTTGAACTCGTTCATCCCCAGTTTTCTCCGGAAGTTGCGATCTGGATCTGATCAGCTCGTCGTCATCTTCATTTTGCGCCCAGGGGTTCTGGTTCATCACCCGTATTCGAAAACTCTCACACAGCCGAGAGAGAGGCGGATTCTCGCGAGAGAGGGACGGACTCCTGATCTGGAGAGGCTTTACTATGAACGAGATCTTCGATTCGCCATCTGCCCAGCCAAAGATACGGCTGCAGGCACTATCTTCTGATGCGTCTGGACTGGGGTCGTCCAAGTAGTTCGTGTATCGTGACAGCATCCAGATCTGAATCCAAAAGAAAGACTCCAGGTCGTGATAAGCCTTATGGCGGAGCGGAGTTCGTAGCTTCATGCTGTCAAGGAGCCCGAGCGCCATGAAAGGTAGAGTTCCCTAAAAGAAGTCATTCGAAGAAGCTATAAACATATGTGTTACATACCGTAAATCGCATGAACCCCTCCTTGAGCCCAACATCAATACCAACAGACCGTGTTGGAAAATTCTGTTTGAACAAAGCGGCCCCATCACTGTCATCGTCTTTGACAAACTCTGCATAATCCCAGTCGATAAGGAAGACTTGAGGACGCTCCGAATTCATCGTCTTTTCATCGAACATCAGATTGCCCTCGCTGAGATCACAGTGCTGAACACCAGCATTGTATGCGACTTCATGGTCTGTGGCAAGGTTAGCCATGCACAAGGAACCGCAAACAGAACGACAACGCACGGAAACACGCCGTCATGATTCCCCGACAGAGGACCTCAGTGGAGGGAAATTGGTTCAAAGGGCAGCCCACAGGCGTGATAAGGGCACGAGTATGATAACGCTCATAGAGAGCCTTGTCGTCGTCCGAAACTTCATCTTTCTGGGAACTGGTCTTGTGGAGCTCAGGCCGCCACTGCCAGGGTGCCTGATTCGGGTCATAAGGTTCAGCAAGGTTGATCATCCCATGGCATTTGGCCATCCCGAAAGCCTTCGACTTCTTTGTCCAGTCATCCGGATCTCCCGGGTGAAATTTCTCGATGTCGTTGAGATTCTGGACATACACCCTGATTAAGTCGTAGAAATCAATCTCGTTGCGACGATAGCCTTGTTTCCACGCGTCTTTCAGAGCATATATCTTCAGAATAGGAAGATCTTCCAGAATGGCAACACGACACACACGAGTAGCACGACTGAAAAGACCATCGGAAAGCGATAGAGGTTCTCCAAGTTGAAGGCATGTGACCAGCGTTGAGGCGCTATGCGGATCTTCGGGGGAGACTCTGCGTGCCGCAATAAATTTCTTACAGTGCCCGTTGAAGATGACTTCGTCTGTGAATATGGTGCTGTAGAACTCGTCGTCACAGAGCGCTGTCCATAGCCGCTTCTTTTCTTCTGGGGAGGCAGGAGAGATAGTATCGTCAACACCTTCAGTGTATTCGGGCTGGAGAGCTCCAAGCGTTTGTGGAACAGACAGGCGGTGTAGCAGGGTAGCAAAAGGACGAGGGTTTGTGATCCATGGAAACCTTGGCGACGCCTTGAATCCGCCATGGTCAAACCGGTATATTCGCGCAAATTCATGTTGGAATACGGCGGATACAAAAACATGGGTGCCGCCTAAGCTGGCGAGGATGTTTCGTGCGCTCTTGGCCAATTGAATGGCGGCGTTTATTGACGTGCCGTCCTCTTTGAACTCGCCATTCTCGTCGATGAAATCAGTTTCGAGAAATTCGACAACAGACTTGGTCGCATCCCACGGTCCAGGTTCGACGATGACGACGTCGGGCCCAGTGACATGATCACCTCGGAAGGGAGAAGATAATCGTTTGGCATGAGAATCGATAATTTTCGGCCGGGTGTTATCGGGAATACTTTGGACCAAGGACTTGCAGACTGAAACCTGAAAAATACAAGTTGAAAATGACCAAAAGGTAGATAGAATACCAGACCAGTGACGGAAGCATATCGTTTTCATCCTTGCGACCACGAGCTTGCACAAGCTGAGGTATGTTCTCTAGCGTTACTGTGGCGGCGGCAAGGGCTAGAGCGGACGCAGCAATCGCTGCATCCACGTCTTGATGACAGAACTGGTCGTCAAAGAGGTGGAGTGTGCCCCCATAACCGGCGAGTAGCATGTTTTTCCATTGCTGGACGGAGTTAGGGTCTTCGTTGGTTGTGTGCAGAAGGACAGACGTGTTTTGCGATGGAACGAGGTTGCTCCGCCGATGAGAGATACTACTGTGGTCGGGTAACTCGAGTTGCGAGGCCAAGGCCATCACCTTGCTTTGCAAGGTCCCTGGCCCGTCTATACTTGCCAATCATGATGATAGTTTGATCAAGCTGATTGCAAACAGCAACAAACTAACCCGAAGGCCAAAAAGCCCAAACCTCCGTAGAAAGCTCGGCGAAACTATGCACAGCCTCTGATGTCGGTCTTGATCGATGATCCGCTCGTAACCGTGATTTTCATGTCCTCTTTTCCTCCTATGCACATAGGTTTACGCCTTCACATGTGTGTGTGAGACTTTTGCAATTGCCAATATGGTTATCCACCCACTAGTCGATGGATATTCTACCTTTTCTCATATCATTTGTCCCCCAAAAAAATGCTATTAGGGTATATAATTGTCTGTCTCCGTCTGCTCTCGATTCCCTCAGACGATTCCGTCGAGGAAGGCAACTCGCGTAACGTCCGATGTATGCCTTCTGCCTTCCTGGCCACGAATTGCCCATGACAACGTCAACATCTACTCTACGCTCGGCCATGAGCTTCTTCACCTCCGAGTTTGGATCCTACCCCTTGGGATCATATAAACTAGCCTTTGTCGATGAGATGCCGATGCAGAGATTCGCTAGCTCAACATTATCGCTTCTCACTGTAGACTTGCTGTATAGCGAGGATGCTATCGAGCAGGCTCTGGAAACTCGACACCCTTTGGCGCACACTTTGGTTTGCCACAAAAAAGTGTAGTCCATGGGCCTGTTATTTTACTTATTATGTAGAAGAATACAAAGGTTGAAAAGAACTCGGCGGGAACTAAAGCGAGATTTCAAAGCAAGGTCCGTGACGGCTGTGGCCGACACCTAGTTTTACATAGCGATTCGATATCTGCGATGCTTTTGCTCAAGGGGTTTCGGTTCGAGTAGGTGACAATGCGGCACCGCCACCGTCACGACCTTTACTCACCAGCCACGACATTTAAGCGTCCATTGTGCTTTGAACCGTTTTGCCCTTGAACCACTACGATAATGAATACCGGGCATCCACTCATACGAAGGTATTTTGTTATTTTCTGGTTTTCGAGTTTCCAGCCTTGACAAGTTTCCAGGTCGATTTGTTGGATTTTTCTGTTACGGGGCAAGACTTGAATCGTCGTCCTTCCTTATCCACGCTGTCTCCTCAAAGGCATCTTCAAACGAATCGTTAAACAGATTGGGCTTGAACAGTTGAAATCAGTCCTAATCACGCTTCTCGTGACACAGATGCGTCAATGCTCTCGAAGCCCAAGGCGCTCATGGAGGACCTCCAGCATATAAGGACTAACGCGATTTGCTTGTCGATTTCCGACTTTTCTACGGCATGCATCTCCCTCATCTGCTCAAAGAGCTCAGCGAGAAGAGTCACAAAGAACGCTCCACGCCATCTTCGACGCCTCCACCACCACCACCACCGATCACCCCCCCAATCGAGCTCCCCATTCCTCATGATGAGCTTTCGGTGTCGTTGCGGGACGCGTGGAACTCCGCAGATACCGATCCCAAGCAGAGCAAGGCGGATAAGCTGCTGCAGAAGACGGAAAATGGGATCACTAATGCTATGGCGGCCGAGGCTAAGGCCATCGTTGTTGTTGGAGCAGTGAAGACGGGGATTAATGTGGTGGGGGGCCTAGAGGACATCGAGAAAGGCATCCACACTCTCATGGAGGGTATGCCCGTGCTCATGAGTGCTTTGGACGAAGTCGCTAAGCTTCACCCGTGCGTTTCATCCGGCTTCCGTGAGAGATCTTACCTCGATTCCTAGATTCATCGGAGTTGCGGTCATGGCTTTCAAAGCTGTCTGGGCATTGGAGATGAAGCGTCGACAAAACGACCAGAAAATACTCGCCCTCCATGTAGAGATGAAAGATATGATGGGTGTCTTGATCCAGTACGTATGACTTCTGAAATTTTGTCGGTCTCCTAGTTGACCGTGCCTCCAGGTTGAAGTTCGTCAAAGATGCAGATGCTCCAGCGCCAGATGGGTCAACTATCAAGGGACGAATGCAGGTTATCATCGAGAACACCGCGAAGGATATCAAGGCTTGTGCCAACGGTGCGTGAAGCTTTAGCGCTCCCTTTTTTTTCTGAATGGAGTCCAGCTTGCGACACATACATCAAGAAGAAGCTCATTGTCAAGGTTCTCAAAGGTCCAATCTGGGAAGGCAAGCTAGCAGCGTTTGCGGGCACTTTCACCAAACGGAGATCCGAATTCGAGTTCGCCATGTCGATTCACACAGCTCTTGGTGTCGATGCTGCGAATCACGTTATAGGTCTAGTTGACGAGACGACTCAAGGTGTGGAGGCAGCGAGAAATACGATAATTAAATCATCCTCCAACAGCAATAAACCAAAAGATGGACTTGATGATGAAGATTTTCTCTCACATAATGAGCCCAGAAGAGAAAGAAATGTCCAGGTTTGTAGATGCTCAAGTCGTGGCCTCTCCTCACTCCAAATGAACTAGGCTAGTCGATCAAAAGGGCGGTTTGGCTTGCCTAGACAACGATAAAGCACTGAAGGAACTGAACGACTTGGAGAACAAGTCATTCGGCGCACACCGAGCAAATGGTAGCAAATTGGGAAGCAATGGCGGGGATTTAGATGATCTCAAGGACGAACTGCATGCCAATCCGGATCAGGCCATCGCGGCCAACATGGAACAGTTCTCACGCAAGTTCGCGGTTCAGCAACGCCAAATCATCGATGAGCTTTCGCGTGTCGTGGAAAGACAAGGGGACAGAATCATTGGGGCGGTAATGCTTCTATGTTCATGATACACATGAGTTTGACTGACCTGTGTCAGGTATTGGCTGGACCTGGTGATCGTATCATCGATCCAAATGTGCATGCAGTCTGGAAAGAAATGGTCCTTAGTCATGTCTGTCTCCCAAATGACTGGACTAATGACAATACAAGGGATGGAAGGGAAGCGTCAAAACTCGGCACCTCGTAATGGCTCTTCGGGACCATTTCCAGGAGGATCGCAAGAATCACCACTCTGCCAATAATGATGAAGAATCTATCCCTCTTTTAGCCGCCGAAGACGAGTGGACCTTGGAATATATTGACGTTGTTCATCTACAGGCCATTTCAGAGGCCTTTGACGGCGACGCTTCCGGTTTTGTGACTGTGGCAGAGGTTCGCGATATGTTCCAGTGTAGTCGTTGGACTCTCAATCAAGTTGATTAGGTGAATGCATTCACGATGGCTCGACCTCTTGACTGGAGGTGAACCAGGCATGAATGCCTTTGCCTAGTTCTGACTTCTTTCTCGCAGTCTTCCGCGGTGGATCGCCTACTGGTCACTAGGTCATTATCAAGCAATGCAAGATTATGGCCACAGAATCTACAAGTTGTTTGACAAATTATTCGCGATTCTGCCTCGTCTCTTGCCTGCCAACAAGTCTGGGGCCAACGACTACCTCTCGACTGCGTATCGCGGCTTGCATACGGTCGTCAAGTCCTTGAATTATATCGACATAAATTACAGGCTGCAGGTCGGTAAAGGGATGACTGTAATAGTAAACCTCAACTTTCGCAGGAAAGATTCAAGTCGTATGTGGCATCGGAAGAAGAACGAATCAAAGGTCAATTTGAATGCCACATGACTTGACGACGTCTTATGTTGAGAACTATTCAGGCAATCTGGAAGCCGTCAAATATGATATCGACGCTAGCGACACATTTGAGCTTGTTATGGGTTGGTCATTTCTTTCTTTACGTTGTCTAGGCTACTGATATTTTGCTGCAGGCGAAGGCCGACTCGAGAAAGTAGGCATCCATGCTCTCCTATGCCTGAGACGCTTGATGTCCATTGATCTAGTATCTGCTCCCTACGATATACTTACTACTGGAGAAACATCTCCAAATTTTCCGTGTTTGTCAAAATCACGTGATCCATCCTGATGAGCTGTGGGATGCCACAGACACAGTACGCCGGTTGCTTAGCGCCGTTCGGGATCGCACAGATCTCTTAAAATGTTCGTCCTCCGAATGCGCCTCGCTCATATCTGACTAACAACCTTCAAGCCATCTTCAAGCAACAAAAATTCGATGTGTCGCAGCAATTTAATTCGTTCTCGGGCGGATTGGTTTGTCCTACATTGTTTTGTGAGGAACTGCATCGTTGACAATGTGCTCAGTATGCTTACATGAATGATGAAGAGCTACTTTGGGCTGCAAAAATTGTTCAAGACACGTCAGGGTTTTCTTTGACTGATGTCCTTCGTTAACACGCACTTCCAGTGAATTTGACGACTATACATTTGAAGAGAGTTCAGAATCACCGCTTCCGCCACTTGAAGAGATTCTCAATTATCCTGTCGATGCGGACAACCTCGATGATATTGTTTATTCCGCTCCGCCCGTTGAAGTTATGGACGAGCCTCAAACTGATCTCCTGCCTGGTCTTGTCCAGCTGTTTTCACAACGCTGGCATGGATTCCTCTACACTTCTGCATCTGTAAAATACCCCGCGTCTACTATGATCTCCCTGACATTTGTTCCAACCTCACACGACAACCGAGTCCAAGGTTTCGCTGCTTCAGATCGGGTAAATCGGTACGACTTCAAGGTTGTCGGTGAATGCCACACCGAAAATATCGGCAATATCATCACATTTCAGCGCACATTCTCTTCCCGTCTCCCCGCTCAGTACTTCAATGGGAGCTGGAACGCGGAAACCAGTACTCTGAAAGGGACATTTGGCTTCGAAGAAGATATTTCAACGCATTTCGGGGTGTTTGTGTTCAAGCAAGCTGCCCCGGAATACGTCTGCTTCATGCCCGCGCCAGCTGAGCTCGAGCCCCAGGCTATGGAGGGGGACAACACTTCGGGGGAGAGTACGAAACCTCGTGCCTTGTGGTCGTTCGCGATTTCTGCTGTCCTCTTCCAGGTCCAGCGGGATCGCTGGTCGTGGTCATTTTTCAAGGAGCGAAGGAACAACAGGAAACGTTTTATTGAGCTATATATCCGATCGCAGGAGGGGAGCAACACGTTTGGGAGGAATTTGAGTAATGAAGAGCGGGAAGAACTGTGGAGACTGAAAAAGTCGTTCACAAATCATGACTCGAGATTCTACTATTCGCTGGCTGAGATGCAGATCCGCGCCATGACAAATCATGGCACCCACTGCGACAACTGTGGGGGAATAATCGGAGGGGCCAGGTTGAGTTGCCTTGTTTGCCAGGTCGGTTCTTGTCCTTCAGCCAACAAGGTGCTTTATGCTCACGGCCTCTGAAGATGAAAGACACGTGGAACACAGTCGATTTTGACGACTCCCCGTCCTGCATCGCCGCGCGTGTCAATCGCGACGATATGCAAAAGCCGCATTTGCCCCATCACGACCTCATCAAGCTGAGGCGGGTTCTGCATGCGCGTGACTTTGGCAAGAGCTTCCGCAACGCGAAGGCGGCTTTGGAGACGGCGCGGGGGATATTTAAAGCCGCTGGATTCCAGACGACCGACAATAGCGAACCTGTTTCAACGCCAAATGGCCAAGGTCCGAAATGCGCCAACTGTGCCAAGCGCTTGACGATGCCGTGCTGGTTCTGTGTCCAATGCACGGAAGAGACGTTTATCTGCTGGGAGTGCGACGGCAAGGGCGAGTCGCATATATCATCGCTGCGGGAGCGTGGGCATGATTTCTTGGCCCACGATCTTGTGCGGGTACAGGCAGCTGTGGAAGACAAAGCGTTGACGGTGGAGGAGAGGATCGGTGTTCTTTTCAAGGCTCACGAGAAGATGGTTGAGGCGCGGTTAACACAAATCGAGAAGACTGTTGAGGTGAGAATGACTCAGGTTGAGGAACGAATGGCTGAACAGATGGCGCGGGTTGAAAGGCTTCTGGAGCAACTTGTGGCTAATACAAGTAGGTAGGGAGGATCAGTTGGAATTTCAATCTTGAACGCCGTTCCAACCACATCCGATATAGTAGAAAAAGAAAATTATTCTCGTCCAAGGGCTGTAGAGAGTATCGGATCTCCAAAGGAGAGAGAACACAAAAACTAGCCACAAATTACTTTTTTTCTCTGAACCTACATTTCTCTGTGACCTCGGCGACCCATTACCACGCCACGGTGGTTGCCAATGATATATCGTCTCATTTCGGCAGGTGGGATCTCTGATACGGACTTGCCAACCCACTCTGGGCGTTCTTCAGATGCATGAGGAACCTGGCTAACACTTCGTCTGAGGGTACGGTTTTGGGTGTATGTGCGATATTCGTCGTCGGAGCATGTGACCTGGATGATGTCCTCATGATTGAATGTGGTATCCCCCCCTCTGATACGGTCCGAGGACATGACGTCGAAGAATAGACCCATCTCCAGAAATTTGCCCTTTTCTACTGCATCAGCCACTGGTGCGACAGCAGACTCCCGATGGAGTCGTCGCCATGTATAGGTGTGTGGGGCTACACCAATCAGGTACATCTCAGCTTGAGACAACTCTTTCGAGTTGAGAGCTACTGTAATATCAATCAGCAGACAGACCAAGTCAATAAAACTTCATACCCAAGGATGCACTCAAGGTTGTGCCATAACGAGAAACTTCGAAGTAATCGCCTGCTTCGCCTTGCACATCTGCATCATTTGTGTCCACTACAGGCGGGGGAAAGTTGCCCTGGATGAGGGGTGGGGTTTGATATTGTGTACCGAATAGCTATGATTGTCAAAATATGTGGTCAAAGAGGAGAGAAAAACATACAAGGGTTGCCACCATGTGCCGACTCTCATGGACGATACTTTTTGCTACCATGATGGCCAGACAATTACTTTCTGCATTCTTGACGTCCTCTGGGGCATTGTTGTGATAGTTCAGCCAGTACTCCATAGAAAGCAGTGCAGGGAGGATGTATATGGTCGAAGCGGTGTCGTCTCGACGGATGTGCAGTGCCGCAGACATGAGCCACTCCTCGTCTTCATCGGACGCAAAATTGGTGAACTCCTTCCGGCTCCCTGGAGAAACGATCTGCAGCTTGCAAGATGCCAGTTCACAGCGAATCCTTCCCAAAAGCTTCTCCTCGTTGTCCGCCGACAAACCTTGGCGATGTCTAGACACGAAGTCCAATTCCTGCTCGACTGCAGAAGCCCTACTGCCGGCCTGTGGTCCCTTCCAGTTGGAAATTATATCTCCGAACGTCTTCCATATGACATTATCCGAAGCGAGAGCAGCAGAGCGCAAGGTTTTCAGGGCAATGTAGCCAATCTTTGTTTGCTTAAGACCCTCAGAAGCCAATCCAAAGGTTGGAAGTGCAGCTCCACGTTGATTGTCTGAATAATTGGCCGCGGTCTCTCGCTTGAAGAGTAATTCCTCAATGTGAGGAAAGCGAGACATGGACGGAGGAGGCTGGTTCGTGACTGGAGCATGACTCAAGCGTGACTTGTATTGACCTCCAACAGCTACTCAGCGAGGAGAGCGATGCTAGTACATAGTCGAGTAGTAGAAAGATGGTTGGAGAGCAGGTCTTGCATTTGGTATTTTACAGATGTGCCAGAGTCCCTAGTGATACAAGTGTCCGTCGATCTCGTCGACCAAATAGTCTCGAAGCGCCCACATCAAACGACGGGCAGCAGCCTCCAGAGGCTCCTCCCGCGTTCGCTGTACTTGCACCAGTGTCCGTTTGCTACTTGTGGTACGGCCCGGCACGGAAAGCAGCAGGCCGACTGTGCGAGAGGTGAACGCTATTGATAGCGCGGAGAACGGCAGTGGCGTGATGGTGACTTTCATTGGCGGGGGAGGGGGAGCGGGCCTGGGAGGTTTGGACTTCTTGAAGCCCCAAAAGGAAGAGCCAGAGCACGAGGATGTCATCGACATCATGGACAAACGGTGGGTTAACGAGGCATGCGAGGCCGCTGACCGCAAAATCGTCGTGGTAGGGGGGCGGAGTTTCTGGCCGCAAATCGGCCGAAGAGGATGTCGGTGTTCGTGCTCGGTGTTGGCGGGCAATATATACCAAACCCTCCTCCATCGCAGCATCCCTAAACAGGTCCTCCAACCGGCTCCGCGGCTGGGAGAGGTTGAACAGGTCGGCAAACGAGTCGTCTCTTTCGAGATGCAGCTCCGAATCGTCGCTCCAGACGTCTTCGCGGACCTTGAGTGCGATAAACAGGTCCAATGTGCTTGTTTCGCGCTGCAGCGAGGTCAGGGGGGAGTTAGCGTGTGAGTGTGGTACGCTGGTAAGGGGGAATGGGTCGCTCGAGTATGGCCTTCGGATGTGGGAGTCGTATAGCGGGAGGTAGAGCGAACGGAGAACATTCATCGAGGTTGTGTAGAGCAGGCGATTGACAAGACGCAGACCACGCGATAGCCAGTAGAGAGTCTTCCGCTGCTCGGCAATGTCTACGGCGTCCGAGAAGGTGGAATAGACGATTTGGAGTAGGAGATGGGGAGGGAGTGCTGAGAAAGTTCTCCAACCAGTTGCTGGCGGAGTAAGAATTGCCCTATTAGTCGAATATGGTGGAGGCGGCTTCTCGTCGAGGATCATAGCGTCCAGCTAACCCTCCGAAAAGGGCTATTTGGCGGTCGGGGAGTCAGGTCGAGGTTAAGTAGCAACTGTGCTGCGTGATCGCAGCGTGATTTGTCATCCACAGTCCGCAGCTCCCGCCCGTCCAACAAAAAAATTGTACTTGATAAGTACCAACTAAAAGTATTCCTACAATTGAGACGACTATGTTGTGTCGATGCATTGTTCAAAGTGTGATTCCAAAGCCCGTCGAAAGCGAAAAAATTAGTTACTGATAAGTTTGTTTGCCAAATTCGGATTCACAGACGAAGGTCGTCTGCCACGCTTCGCCACCAAGCACATCGGCGCGCATAGTCCACGGTTCTGGCCTGCATCGCGCTGCTCGGCGCTGTCCCGCCATTCTGGTTGACGTTGGCAGCCATGAAGCCGCCTTGTGAGGCTGGGTTCCAAGTCGGCGACCCGGAAACAGCGCGGGTATTGGGATTAAGGGTCATCGCAAAGCTCGACCACCACCCGACAGCCTGGCGGGCAAGCGCGTCCTGCGAGGCGTTGAAAGCGCTGAAGACTGGCTGGGCAACGGAAGCGCTCGGGCCGGAGTTTGTTCCGTCATAGAGGTAGAATAGCTCGGAGGTGTGGGCAGCGCCAACGTACGCCCCACGCGCGGCAATCAGGTTTGGGTCTGGCGCATCCCAGCGGTAGTTGTAAGCGGGCTGGCCGCTCACGTTACCGATGTAGTAGTCCCAGCAGCCCAACTCGCTCTCCATATATGCGTACATCGCCCGCTCCCACTGCGTCTTCCAGGGAGTGGTGCTAGACGCAGGAGGGTAAGTGACCAGCATCGCGTCGGTCGTCGCCGTCGACTATCCAAAAAAGTCAATTGCTGCTTGGTCATTTGGAGAACATTACCAAGGTAGGATACCGATTCTTGATGGCAGAGACGATGTTGGCATCGGTCTGGACATTGTCAGGCCTGCCGACGAAGATCGATCCGTCTTGCGCCGTGTGCCCAGCAAGAATGGGGACCTTGCTGAACTTGCCTGCAGCAAACATCTTGGTCGTGATGCCTGGGATAAACTTGCCATCGATGACGGGCAGGTATTTGCAGCTCGACGGCTTGTTGTTGACCGCAGACACAATGGCACCAACTATCGCAATTCAGAGAATGAAGACGAAAAAACAATCAACATACCAGTGGCCTTCCGCAAGCAGCCAACGACATCAGAAGACGAAGAGCAGCCGACTTGCTTGGTGACGTTGCGGAAGCAGAGCTCAGTGCGATCGTCGGTGTAGAAGGGGTCGTTTCCTGGGCTCTCGATTATAGCTGCCCGGAAAGGCTAGGTTCCGATGATCAGAACATTGCTATTGCTGGACTTCGAAAAAACTTACTGGACGCTTTTCGCCACCATAAGCTGTCAGATGCAGCGCAACAGCGCCACCACCCTGCGACACAGTCAATAGTTGAACCGGGAAGAACGAAGATACACATACACTGCTCTCGCCTCCAATGGTCACCTTGCTCGGATCGCCGCCAAAGGCCACAATGTTGCGTTGAATCCATTCAAGGGCTGCCCGCTGGTCGAGCAAGCCGTTGTTCGACCCAGAAGTTGGGTTGTTGCGGATCGCAGAGCCAGACAAGAAACCGAGCAGCCCGAGCTGCAACAAGTTTTAGGCCGTTTAAACGATTCACGCGGGCACATACGCGATACTGCACGGCGATGGCAATGAGACCACCGTTTGATCGCGCGACCCAGTCGTTTGCAGGGAAGCCTGATCCGAGAATAAGCCAAAGTTGAACCATCAGAAACAGAAGAACTTGCCTTGCGCGCTGTAGACAATTTGAGCATCGAAAAAAAGAAAAGGCCAAGTGCACGCACGAGTTATAGTAATACCCCCCTCCGTGCTGAGGAAAAATGTGCGTGAGAATATGCAAACACAGACGAGCGCCCACAAACGCACGAAATAGACGTAAACAGGAAGTTTGCTCTTGGATGTCGCGTTCGAAGGGACCCAGATGTTTAGAGTAGCACAGTCTAGGTGGTTGAGAAACTGAAGAAAAGCTCAAGCAAGGCTCACCTTCACTGCCTATTCCGACAACCGCAGGTTGTTGAATGCAAATCGGACCCCAGTTCCTTGCATCAACAACGTCGTCGTTGGTCAGAAATATGTTCAGAGTCTCGTCAAGTTTCTGGGGTGGCGCGAATCGTAGTCTTCCGACTGGGGGCCGCATATAAGGTATCCCGCCATAGAAAGTGAGACTGGGTAAAGTCGCGTTACCAGCATAGGCGGCATAGCTATTCAAGCCAAGGCATTAGACACGCGCAAGGCCCTAGGAAGTTGCACGCACCCTACGTCGACAACTGGCCCCAAAGTAGATGTGAGTGGGCCAAAAATGCTGCGCCGTTCCACGACTTCGGCCGTGGAGAGGGAAGTCGATGCCTTGGCAAGGATTGGGAGTAAAAGAGCGACAAGAGACGGGAGGAGAACCATGGCCAGCGAAGGGGTAGGTTACACGCGACCAGGTGGTCTGACGAAGAAAGATACGGGCCGCCTTTTGAGTCGGCCGCCAGCACCTTGGCCAGCACCGGGCCGGACAAAACCTTGATCCCAGCAACAATTTTAGTCCATGTTGCTAGGCACACATCAGAAAAATGGATTCGCAAATTGCTCACAAATTGAGGCACAAGCTTAGGATTGGATCCGACCAAATATTCCTAAGCCAGACTTACCTCTACCAAAGGCCACGACGCCCTACGAAACTGACCACTGGTCAGCTGCGACAGCTGCCCTTCTCCCCCTGCAAGTGGCGCCTCCTCGGCATGCCAACGACTGTGGGCGTGAGAACTCCGTAAGTCGGTGAAGCTCCACTTTGAATTTCTGTTGATCTACATATGGATCATTGGATAGGATGCTTTTGGAATACCTATAGTCGCCCTAAACCTTCGTTTTGGGGCGCTCAAATGCGTTCAGGGGACAGATTCGACCGACAGCACTTCCAAAGTGCTCCACGGTGTTCTCTGAACGGTTGACGCCCACAAACACAACGCCACACTGAATTGCTTCCGTGCGCGCTCACGTGATGCACACTTCTTGTTCTCGACTGTCAACTGCGGCGGCTTGGCCAATTCGACTTTTTTAGGCTTTTAGACAAGCTTCAGGGAAGCTTTTAGCAATTTTTTAGGCTAGGCACGGCAAGAACAAGCAAAAAGTGGAAGAACCCAGAGAAACTACGCGACGGCGAAACTTGAGTTTGAGTTTCAGCTATCTCTAGTTCCATTTTACCGCTCCTAAACCTTCCCGCTTTCAACAACAAGTCAATCCATCCGTGATTACTTATCGAGGCGTCGAGTTCGTAGGGGCTAGCTTGCCACTGCGCCCAAACCCCTGCGTTTCAGCAGCTTGACGACGACTGCAAGAAAACTGTTCACGCCTGCTAGGAGGATCAAAAGAAGCACACCTAACTGGGATAGGGCGTGGATCCTCGGGTTTTCTGATATGTCGGTGCCAAGTTGGTGCGGAAGCGATTGACAACATTTTTTCACTTACGCGAGTCGGAGTCCTTGCGGACTGGACGTCGATTGTGGCGTCTCCAGCCTCGATCACTCCATACCCGGTCAAATCCATAGCGACTTCATCATTGACATTCCCGTGCGGTGGACCACATGGCTATAAGTATCGCTCTCTTTTTCCTCCCTCAGTCCTTTTTCTTGCTTCCACCATGGTCAGCAGCAAGGCAAATGTGTTCCGCATAATGTGAGTGTCTTGCCGCCCGCCGCAGTCTAGCATCACTAAGTTTCCTTCTTTCTAGCTCGTTCACACTTGCTGGCGGAGACGTCTTGCAGACGATACCACCCACGTATCAGCTCTACAAGAGACAATGGAAGAATCGCACATTGAGCCCAGTGCGTGACTCTGCTTGAATTCCGTCTGACTGCGGCTAATATATGAGCTCATCAGGTCTGCTTCTTCTACGCTGCTGCCCGATAGTGCGCTCCATATCTCTTCCTCAACCGTCCTGAGCTAATTAAATCCCAGCCTTACTATTATTTCACTCGTTTCCAATGCCTATGGTTTCTATGGGACGCACTACACGCTCGAGACTTGCAAGCCTTGGTATATGCTGCCCAACGTTACAGCGAGTGAGTATATAACCAAGATCAACCAATGTCAAGATCTGAATCTTATCCGTAGTGTTGGCTGGCATGGCTGTCCAGGTCCTTCTCTATATCAGGTGCGCGCATTCCACATTGATGCAAAACCCGTCTGATCGAGGCCAAGGACATATGCTATATCTGGTCGCTCGCCATGGGTCAAATGGGGACTCGGTGCATTCCTCCTCCTCGGTTTCCCCGTCCAGGTGTTTGGAATTGTCTTCCGTCGCGAGGTATGTCCGATTTTGTCCTTCGAATTGCCTGTCTAACCGTCTTGCAGGCCAGAGTCAAGGGTGTACGATAAATTCTCTGAAGCTTGTTTCAAATTGACAAATCGTAGGGCGATTGTAAAGGCGTGGTTCTACGTAAAGGAGACGTGAGTGCGTCTTCTAATGACTCTTGGCCGAAATTGACGGTCCATCAGCCAGACTGGAACATTGTTTATTATTCCGCTCATATGGCCTACGATTTCGTCGTCTGCGCCGTCGCCACATTCTTTATTGTTTATACTTCGCGGCTGCACGGCATGTTGTGGGTTAAATGTCTGAAGCTGTTGGTTCATCCACTCATTCAACTGCTAGCCTGATGTCCAAGTTCATCCGCAAAGTCTTGAGAAACGGCCTGCTGTATGCAGTCGTTGTCTTCATCGCGAATCTGTGCGGTCTATTCTCCCTCTTTCCTCATTAGTTGTAGCTAACCCGACGCCAAGTTGGGTTGTCTTGGAGTTCGTCAAAGTACTCGACACTGGTGTTGGTGCAACATTGCCACTTGCTGTGGTCTTGATCGGTAATTCGTCGCGTTCCTCTTGCCTCTTCTGGATCGCTAATAATGTGCAACTTAGCGGCGCAACACCTGATTCTTTCGACTCAACGCCTCAGCGACGACCAGCCATCGACAACTGACGAGCACGGGCATTCACACCCGAGTAGTGGGCCCCGTAGTCGGGGCGGGGCACCTGGGGGTGGCTACGGCTATCCCCGATCGCCCCGCGCCTACACAAATAGCTCGACGGTGGTATCGCGCAGCGACAGCGGCCGGAACACTGCACGACAAGACGTCGAAATGCAGCCCGGCGTTTTTGTCTTCACAGAAACGTACGACACAAAAGACCCCGTCGACTCCCCGGGACAAACAACATATACGAGGGACAACAAAGTAAATTTCGGAATCGGTGTTTAGTCTTTGTTCGTTTTTTTACTTGGGTGTAGATAAGGCATCATTATTTATATCCATATTTTATTCCACGCACGCAGAAATGAAAAGAATTCTAAATCATAGGACTACAATTAGGAAGTCATTCACAAACAGAACACAGTTTATGCTTCGGCCCGATAATCATGATGTCCCTTTTCTTCGGCCCGAGGTTTCTCGCCGTGGCTCCCGAGCTTACATTTGGCTCGGCTTCAGCCTTGAACCTATGCCATTAACACCGGATGGCCATAATTACCACAGTTTGGGCTTTGAACTGGAAGCATAATCTCAGAAAGAGGAAAACGATCACGTGCTCTCGCGGCATCAACTTAACCAGATGCCAATCCCTGTCCCCAACGACGAGCAGCTCTCTGAATGTGTGCGGTTGCCTGACCCGCCACATGACCCACCAACGTTGGAGGATGTCGGAGCCGCACTTGATCTGTCTGCCCAAGCCCATGTCCACTACAGTACGCCAATCCTACCCGACCGTGGATCTGGTTCTTACACATCGCAGCGCAGCAACGTCTGAACAAAACACAGCTTGGAGAGGCTACGGCCTATTTCGTGAATGTTGCAACCTCACATGCGACACATGGTGTGTTGAGCGATACTCTGAATGTGCCACTCACAGTTTATGTTCGCGAACAACGCGCCATGGTTTGGGGAGGGCCTCAGAAACCATTTCCCGGCCATTAGGACAGAACTCGTAGAGGCGATGACAGAAGATGTTGAACGCGTTGCGAGAGAAACTGTCCCTGGAATCGTCCAAGACTCTCTCCCAGATGCGTTGAAGCAGGCCATTGATCTCGCACTTGCACAACAGATAGAACAACTGAGTCAAAGGCTTGACACCAAGATCGAAAATGTGGGGAAAAGGTTGGACGAAAAACTCGAGCAACTGGATGGAAAGTTTGAGCAATTGGATGGAAAGTTCGAGCGATTGGATGAAAAGTTTGAGCGACTCGATGGCCAAGTCAACAATCTCCAGGGCTCAGTCAAACGGCTTGAGAATGTGGTGGTTGAGTTGAATCGTCTTACTAAACAAGTCAGTCTTGGTTTCTTAATCGCGTTTCTTCACACCAATGTGACTGACTTGCTCTTTAGAACATGAATCGATTGAGAGGAAAAGGAAATATCTAATCCTACGAAATTGTACCCTTCTTGAACGGCTCCCAACCGCATGCGAATCTTCCAGCTTTGACCAACATCGACAAAATTCGCGACCTGAACGCATCCCATGCAACTCGCTACTGGCGAGGACATTACGAGGGCCAGGCTCCGGCAACCACCGAGGAGCGCCTTCGGCAGATAGCGCTTGCTGTGGGATGTAGTGTCTGGGGTGATGATTGATGGTGCTCGTGTATTGTACTTACTTAGGAAGCTTGGGAAAGTGTCAATGATGATAATGGTACCGGTAGCATAGTGTTATAATTGTACATGTCCAGAATTAAACAAGTGATTGTCTGGATCATCTTCAGTCCTTCATGAAGAGGCGACTCTTTGCCAGTCCTTGACATGAAAGCGCCGACACCATATATTCCACTGCAGCCAAAAACTTTGCATCTATCTTCTAAGCAGGGTGTTCTATAGCCTCGCCAGCTCGACAGCCTTTTCACAGACAGTATCGATATCCCAACGCTCCTTCAACGGCAGCCCATGCTTCAAATCCAGCACATCGCCAATCACCTCGCAGGCCCTCAACACCTCGTCAATGTCCTCCTTCGTGTGGGCAGCACTGACACAGAACCGCACGCGGGCAGTCATCAAGTCGCAAGCCGGGTAGGTGACCTGGGTCTCACGTGAGAAAGGCTATATGGCTGGCATTATGAAAAGGTACTGACCACGACAGTGATGATGGGGGTGCGCCACTCGCGCATCATCCGATGGAACACGATCATCTTGCCGGGGTTGAATAGCAGCAATGGGACCACGGGCGACATCGAGTGGCCATAGGTGATGAACCCAAGTTTGGTCAGACCCGCGCGCAGGTAGCGCGAGTTGAAGGCGATCCGGCGCAAACGCGTACGACCTTCGATGCCGGATGCAAGACTGGGGTCGAGGGTGAGCCATGATGGGAGAAGGGACTGTGGTGCCGGCCCGGGATGAACGTCAGGGGCATCCGTAATGCTCAGGCGGGCAGGGGAGTTGTTGGCGGGAAGGATAGGGTTCGCAATGCCCATGATGCTGGCCATGCTCGCAACGATTTGGACAAGCACAGGTGGCGCCATCGCTTCAGCGTAGGGTCCAAGATACGCCCGTAACCGAAGACGATCAATAACCGTTTTGCTCGCAGCAACATACCCACCAGCAGCACCGAAAGATTTCGTGAAAGTACCCATGAGAATATCGATTTCGCGCGGGTTGATGTGGAAGAAGTCGGCGACACCGCGGCCATTGGGACCAACAGCACCAATAGAATGGGCCTCGTCAACCCACAACGCGAATTTGTACTTCTTCTTCAACTCGACTACGCGGGGTAGGTCGACGAAAGTGCCCTCCATGGAGAAAAGACCCTCGACAATGACCAGGATCTTCTTCCACGGACGATGTGTTTTCGGCTGGCCCTGACTAATCGACTCGCGCAAAACGCTTTCAAGCTCCTTCATGTCGTTGTGCTTGAACATGCGGACATTGGCGCCGCTCAGACGAACTCCAAACCGAATACTTGCATGGTTGAGTTCGTCAGAGATGACGAGACAGCCTTTGCCCACCAGAGCAGGGATAATTGCCGAGTTGGTCGCGAATCCCATCGAGCTGATGAGGGAGTCTTCCTGCCCAACAAAACGCGCAACCAACGCCTCCGTCGTGGCATGCAGGTCGCTCGAACCGCCCATCAAACGGGTGCCTGCCGAGGTGACACCATATCGCCTAATCGACTCCTCAACTGCGTCGGCGCAACCACCTTTAGACTGAGCAAAGCCGAGATAGTTGTAGCTGCTGATGTTGAGAGCGCGGGTGCGGGAGTCGAGAATAGTTTGGGTATCATTGTAGTCGGTGGAATAGCGGTCAAGCAAGATCGTTGTTCGCCCTGCGACACCTGTGATGGGCTGACCAAAACAGTCGTCCATACGTTGCTTCAGGCGACGGGTATAGAACGAGTCCCAGTCGCTGTTGAGAGGAGCGTAGCCCTAGACGAAAAGAGATAAGCACCATATAACGCTAGCAGGACTGACAACGTACGTTTTGTTCCATTAGATGACGATAGGCCTTTGGTCTGAAGCGCTTGCCGAAAAAGTCGCGAATGTGGCCGATGACAATTAGAATTAGATAGCTGCAAAGACGACTGAGGAGGGGGGGGACCAGCAACGGGCATCGACGGACCTGATATAGGTTGTAAACATGATATAGTATGGTCCTGGGGTCGCAATGTGCTTCAACGGCTCCTCGGGAACGTATTCCGACTTGAACCGGTAGTCGTCGTTCGTGCAGTGGCCGTACTCTGAATGGACCGTGGTGAAAACTTGTTCGGAGGTAGGCGGCCGAGCAGGGTATTCGAGCGCGTCAACATTGTCTTCACGCAAAACCGAGTCCTCTGACTCTGCTGTTATTGACGACGACATAGAGAGGGCGGGAGTGCCGATAGGCGGGGGAGCGTTGGCCCTAAGACTGGCCCGCCGAGCGTCAGCCTCTGAGAGCGCAGAGAGGTATGAGGCAGCGGTCTTGTGGGTGAGCGTAGACGTGGACCGCTTTTTGAAGATGGAGGAGGTCGGTGATGACATGTTGAAGGCAATGGGGGACGTTGGAAGAGGGGACCCAGGCATCGTAGAATGGAGCGACCGAAAGAAAAGCCCACTAAACAATTCAACGTAATCGCCTGATTTTGAGCCCGCCCGGCAATCATCTTCCTGTCATCTCCTATGACCATCTAGGTCTAGCTGCTTGCTCCCAGCTCCCTGGCTTACTCTGAGAGAGTATGGCAACTCACTACGAGCTCAAAGAAGAGTGCAGTGGAAAGTGCAGACCGACATGTGGAACACGTCAATGCACGGTCACATGATTCCCATCTTGCGTGTTCACTTTATGGATCAACAGGCTTGCTGAGCCTGACTATATTACTGAAAGTAACTGCTGAAAAGGATACTCGCCAATGAAAGAGCACTTGATTCTAATTAAAAATGTCCGTCTCCCAGCTTGGTGCCAACCTCTCAAGTCGATTGCACCGTCTTTTGCTGCTTGGAAGATACTAGGGAATGTGGGAGAGTTCAAGGAAATGAATTATTTTAGTTGTTCAGTCATGTTACAACATACGTGTTTATGCAGAGAATCAGAGGAGTGACATTTCGACGGCGGTAGTACTATCAGTCTACGCACATTGTACAGTAGTCCAGATTAATTAGTAGGAGGTTGCACCTAACCCGTGATCAAGTCTTCGATGTTCGCCTTCTTCCAGCGCGCCTCGGAGATGACGAATGGCGCAGGTACGGTCGCGTTGGCCTTGCTCCCGAGGATCTGGTTGGCAACGGCCTTGCCCGAGAGGTAAGCATGCACCATTCCCTCGCCCGAGTAGCCCGCAGCAATCCACTCGCCAGGGGCAGCGAGTTTGTCGGCGCCCTTCTTCTTGGGCTCGCCGCGGCCGGTGATCTTGGTGGGGACACGGCCAACCCATGGCCGCAAGTCGGCAGAAATACCGAGAATGCCGGTCCAGACTTTGAGCACACGGCCCGGGTTGACCTCGGCGGGCTCGTTATTGCCAGGCTGACCCTCAGCGCCCCACTGCTTGCCAAAGTAGGCGCTCAGTGCGCCACTCAGATATCCGCCAACCGAGAGATCCGGAGGGCTGTGGTCGTCTGCTGAGCCGATTTCGGGGAAGACAGTGGCGAGGGAGGAAAGGTCGAGGCCACCACCGAACATCAGCTCTCCATTGGAAGAGGGGAACTTGCCGCCGGTGGAAGTAGGGGGCTGTTGGGTGAGGTAGTTGTAGGTGCTGACGCCAGAGATGGTGAAGGAGCGCGTGCCCGCCCAGGAGTTGTTCGCTTGTGGGCCCGAGCTGCCGGGGAAAGCACCAAGGCCTTGACCAGGACGGTGGGCAGTCATGTGGCCGCGGATGGGTACGACTTTGCCGCGCATCTGGGGGAGAAGGGTGGAAGACCAGCCGTTGGTGGCGTGGACGACATGCTTCGCACGGATTTTCCCTCTCGGGGTCGTGATAATGTATTGGGAGTTGTCCGATTCAATCTTAGTCGAAGGAGTGTTGGTAAGGAGCTGGAAGCTATTGACCAGTCAGCAGAGTAGCGATCTCAAAAGAGGAGACAAACTTTTGAGGGTACTTGGAAAGAAGGTTGGACAAGACGGTTGTGACAAATCGGTAGGGATGCATGGCGCCAGCAGTGGTCGTAATGGCGCCGACAACAACCTCGGGGTCAACTTGCAATGTCTAACGGTGATTTAGTAAAACCTGGCATGTAGAGACAAACAAAATCTAACCTCGACTTTGTCGACAACGCGCCAGATCGGCTTTTGCTCGGGGAAGTCTTTCAGATAGGCAGCGAGGTTGACTTGACCGCCCTTGAACTCGTCCCCGTCGAGGTAGAGGTCGAATGTTTCGACTTTGCGGCACTGGCTGTCGACGAGAACGTTTTCCTCGGCAGAGACACGCAAGAATTCCTCGAGATGGCCAAGACGAAAGTTGATAATTTGTTTCGCTACATCCTTGCCATATGCAGTCTTCAGGTCCGTGTAGTCGTTGTAAAGATTGGGGGTGATGTGGCCGCCATTCCTGAGAAAATGTGGGTTGAACGCCCGAGCTATGAGTTGGAACTTACCTGGCAGTGGCTCCAGAGCACGCGTCTCTAGCTTCCAGCATGACGACGCGTGGTTTGTCGCCAGTCGCGCTTTGGAGCAGATTTCGCGCAACAGAGGCGCCAGTAATACCGCTTCCAATGATGACAATGTCCGTGTCCTTGGGCACTGCGTCATCTTTACCGTGTTGGGAGATCGCGGCGACAGGAATGGTCCAGTAAGGCAGTGTCGGTTGCCCAACAGGAAGGCCGGGAGAGGTTTGGATGCGTTTCTGCACTCCCTGGTATTCCTGCTTGATCCCGTCGATGAGGGTATTGAGCGCGCCAGAGTTGAGCGCCACAAGAACCCGAGTGAGAGTGGCCCACATGGTGAAAAGGTTTTGGAGTATGCACAACGGATGGCGGGATGCTTATGTACTCCCCCACCGTCGTTCTTCTGAGCTGCGCCGGGCATAATTTTCTTGGTGCGTTTTGAAAGTTGACAGGCAGAGATGTGCGATGAATAGGGGATTGGTCAGAAGGGGAGGTTCGTGAAATCGCGACATCTCTTACCGCATTCCACGACATCACGTCTTCTATGAATACAAACGAGCTCTTCAGGCGTCAATGACGACCTTGGCCCTTGAGAATCAAGCAGTCGTATCCACATGGTTCCAACGATTATAAATAACACAGTGTCGTCCGAGTTGAGGCTCGTTTTTAATTGAGAACACGAATCCGAGGCTCGGAACCTCGACACCACAGTGTTGGCTCGTGTTGGTAGCCAACAAAATTTCACGTGGGCGAGGTTCATGACTGGGACGGTCCTCAGCGAAACCAAAGTGCTGCGGACTGCGCTCACTGGGCCTTGCGGGCCACGGCCTGCCGCGGTCCACATCACTCAACGTGGGGAATCAGAGGTCCGGAACGCAAATCCAAGTAGATCTTCATTGCATGCCGTTTCCCCCGACATTTTCCCATCGAAATACTTTTCCAAGTCTTGGACGCGTGCCCAGCCAGCGACGACTTCGACCTCTCATTTTACCCCGAGAGTCTTGTACGACCGTAGTAGAGATTGGAGGTGTAGTGGTTGCAAGTTTCTCCTCGATTATGTGTATGAGTTATTGACACTCAACTCGTAGAATGCAGGTCTATCACTAATATGAGTCCAGCTCCCGGATGTTGTCGTTGGGAAAAAGCGAGCGGCATGTTGTGAATGGAAAGCGATCCATTTCGACTGGGACACAAGGCTAAATATAAAAAAAATAAAGTTACCTGGCACCGACCCAGCTGACCACCACCTCCCTGTTCATCGCTGACTTGTCGCGTTTGCTGCTCGAATAGGCTGCTAGTACTCTCTCGGTCGCAAGCTGTTCGATCACGTTGATGGACTTTGGAATCGCTGTGCCTGAAGCAGAGGGTGGCGAATGAAGAATTATTCGACGAGCACACTACGTCGTGGTGAGCGGTGGAAATCCTGACACGTTTTCTTCTCTTTCTCACCAATTTGACACCCATCCACGCTCGAACAGCGAGACCAGTAGGTGGCGTGGTTTTGATATCGTCCAGGTCGCGCTCGCACATGTCGACGACGATGAGGTGATATTTCAGGGCGAGGGGAAGATCTCCAGCAGTATAGGCCGTCTCCGCGTATTGCTGGAAATAGAATGGGTTTTGAGAGGCCAGCAGAAGCACATGCGAGAGAGCCTGGAGAGCTTGGGTGTATCTAGGAGGGTGTAAGCAACAAACGGCAAATAAACAAAGGTTGCGCAACTGGTTGCATGAAGCGTATAAGTCGGCTAACTCCAGCCACCCGTCGACATCCGTGTAGATGGTGTCAAGTAGTTGAGATAACTCCTCCACAGCCTTTTCTACTTTCCCAGTTCTGCGAAGAACCGAAATCTTGCGTTTCCATACCGCCTAGTGCACGTAAGAAGAAGCAATGCAGGCAAAACAAAACGAACAGCATTAGCGGAGTCTGCTTCCAGTAGGCCGTTATAGTATTGAAGAACTACATCGGGGGATTCTGTTGCCTCCATCCGGATTCCCGTTAAGACCTCGACGCGTGGCGAATCCGGGAATTGCGTGGAGAGCTGCTTCAAGCATTCCTGGAGGGGAGTCGGTAAGAAGTCAAGTTGGGAAAGTGAAACACACACGTCCGCAACGTCTAAACGACCGATGTCGACTGCGGCAAGAAATAATTGCTCGAGCACGGCCCAACCTGAGTTGCAATGAGTGTGTGACAACAGGCAACGTTTCAGAGGTCCAACCATCGTCACCAATCTTTTGAGACGACTTTATTATCACAGAGGCATGCTTGAAAGTCTCCTGAGACGACCGAGAGTTGTTTGTACGGAAGGTAGAAAGTTGGTCAAGGGCAGTTGCAAGAGACATCAACGCCATCATGATTTTCATCAACACGAACCAAGTTGTCTTTCGCCGCCAACCTCACCCACAAGAGCCACAATCGCGACTACTGTCCACTACCGATATTACAGATAAACACAAGCCCCAGGATCTTTTTCGTTCTTGATTTGAGTTTTTGCAATAGCCCTCCAAGGCTCTTAAATAACATATCGACTTCACCTACCTCGTTGCAGTGACCGTTTTGCTGTAGGCACTATTCCTTTACTCCCCGTGCCAGAAATTCGAAGCAGCGTAGTATAATACTCATGATAACTGATACAGAAATAGCTCTCTCCAATGGCCACGCAAACGTACAACAGGTCAGCCATTCTTCGTTCCCGTCCGATTTTCCTGATAATTTTTTTCTGCCCTTCAGCAAATAGCTTCCAGCGATGATATTACTGACCGCGATACCACCTCCATCTCGGAACCGCTACATCAGGAAAATAACTTTCGCCGTCTAAACATGGAGTTGGATGTCGACCGTGAAGGATGCGTGCAAGCCGCAACCAAAACCTTGCAGGACACTCAATGCCCAGAGGTACGACCCCCCGTTCAAACACTATATTTCGTCAACCTGACCACACGCACTCTAGATTTTAATTTTCGACGAGCATGGCGAAAACCATCGTCTGTATGAACCCGGCTTGGAGTCGATGTCCACTGCGCTCCCTGCTCTCCCGTACCCTTCAACGCAGGAATCTGCCACACTGAATGAATATGCCTTCATTCAGCCTCCATCCTATGCACGCACCATCTACTGCAAAGAGAAGCAAATTTTCGGCAGCGATCGAGCACTCGTTGGCCGCCAGCTTGCCGCCGATGCCTGGGCAGAACACCGTTTGTTGGCAGAACGAAGATTGGGTTTTCGCGTCGCTACCAATACCGTCAATCCTACCACTGCGCGCGGCCAGCTCCCACCCCAATCGTCCAAGCAGCAAACTAACGAACAACCCGCGTCACAAGAAGGCTTGAAAGGCTTCCAACATGAACAGACACCAGACGAGTCGCCGCAGGACTCCCTCATCGCTGCTCCTGGCCCCAGTAATCTCGATGTTGTCTCAGTAAATCGCACGAACGAAGATGGTGAGGAATCGGCGGGGGCGAAACAGATTTCAAGTTCTCCGGCGACTATAGCAATTCAGACCCTTCCAGTTGTTTGTCCCGTTCCGGATGCAAGTGCGACTGAGGCAACCGGCAAAACTCCCTCCAGAAAGCGCGTCCGTTCTATCCAGCCTGTTATGCCTGGTATGACAACACGGAGACGAGCGGCAGCGGCTGCGGCTGCAGCTGCCTCGGCCAACCCTTCGAGTTCTACATTGACATCAACATTAGCGCCAATTCTGCTGCCAGAAACTACCGTTCAAAGAAAACAACATTCCGTCGACTCAGCGGATGAAGAGATCCAAGCCACTGCGAAACGCAAAAAGCCGAACGATGTTGCAGACAATGGAACGGTCGGACCTAGTGTCACTCAGAGTAAAAGTAAGGGTAAGAAGAAAGCCACCAAAAGATCGAAAAAGAGGTCAGGTAAAACGGGAGAGTCCTCCTCGAAAAGTGTCATATCTGCTGATGACCAAGATGCGGCTGATGCTTTGACTGCACTCTCGAGATCGCATATAACCGACAACAACTGTGCGGGGCCAAGCGGGTTCACTGAGAAACCAGTCGCCATCGACAGCAATGCCATAGGGGACATTATTTTAGAAGACGCCAATGGCAAGGAGGAAAATGTGTTGAAAGTGGAGGAAGATGTCGCCCTCGCGTTGGACACAAATGACGAGCCTTCTATTATCGCTACGGGTGGTTCAGTCGGAAACATTGGAACCACAAGTGATCCAGACAGTAGGTTGCGATAGGATAAGATAACTCTTTTCTCGAAGTCTCACCTGAATACAGCACTTTTCACTGCTTCAACTGAAATTTCGATTGACGATGACTCGAATAGGATTGATGTCGGTGTTGATATTCCACAAGAGGCTGGAAGCGTGGAGGACAGCCTGCCGCAAATTGAAGAAGTCGTCGCTCCAGAGTCTAATATTGAGCTTGCCATCGACTCAAGTATTCTTGCGGCAGGTGGCTTGTTAACAGAAAACAGTGGATTTGAATCGAACCGTAGGCTGTGTTCAGAAAACCTCTACAGCATCTTACTAGAATATAGCATCATTTGCTGCTCTAGTTAACGAACCATTCGAGGATTCTAACACCATCAACGATGACGAAAAGCAGCCTACAACGGAGCCGCTAACGACGACGATGGGTGAAACATTGGACTCTGATCAGGATGCAACATGGGAGTGGGATGAGGACGATTCGAATGGAGATGTCGACGCAGAGGGAGAGCCAGATTCGGACGTCGAAATGGATGTCGTGTAATTCGTTCGCTTTCGTGGATATACTTAGAATTGATGCAAAGGCTCGTGTAGTCTTGTTATACAGATCATAGCTGGCTTGGGTTGGATTGAAAAAGGAACAGAAGGAAAAGCATGAGTAGGTAGATGCATGAGAGGTCCAACTGCCCGCCGTGTACGACCCATCCCCACACTTGAGCCGCTACCCCCGTCAGCGGATTGCAGGTCCTGCCGACCTCTAGAGAGGGGACTTTTACTTCTCCGGGTTGGGGTTCCTGTGTAATCAATCGTCGTCAGCGAAATTGCAACAAACGCAAGAACGAGAATAAAAAAAGAAGTGGGTGATTCAGATAGGAGCGAAAGACGTAGATGTAGGTTTTTCAACAGTATAAGTTCAGTGTGAACTATGCTTGTTTTTGGTGTATCATCCGATGAGGCAAGGGAGACGGAAATGAGCACTGACATTCTCCGCTTGCCGCCAGGGAGTGTTGTTACATTGACGAAGCTGTAGGAGCATTCGATGAGCAAAAAGTAGTCCCACGTATGATACGGGCCAACGCACCGACGGTTATAGATGATGCGCTTCTTTGCGCGGCCCTTGGGGGTCTTTTTCTTCTCCTGCTTCTCAACTTTCGGTGTTTGGCCTTTGACTTTGCCGGCACGAGCAAGAGAGCCGTGAACTATGGCAAGTCAGTAGGGCGATGGGCCAGCAGCTGGAGGCGGCACCTTTTCCCATGATTGCTTGAGGAGAGAGTGAGTGCGAGCCTCAAATAGAGGTGCGAGCTAGCGAGAGGTGAATGACAGAGATTTGGTCCCGTGCGAAAGGATAGGTCACAGATGGCTAGACTACACGTGATCAATCACATCGGCATGATGTGTCGGCGCCGCTGTTGTTTTCTCGTTCCAACAACCAGGACCGGATTCTACCATATATGTGGGTGTACATGGTTCTTCAATGCGAAGCATTCTTTCAACTCTCCGCTTGTCAATTTCGTGAACGATGATCTTCATGGGTCAGCTATACGCATTCATCGCCAAAAGCGAGACTAGGCTGGGACTGTCAAACGTGTGCGGGCCGCTTTGGACTATCCAATAACTTGAACAAGAAATGCTCACTTGTGTCATGCTGCTGAGAGCGAAGTTCGAACCGCTTGTCGACTGCTTCGCAATAACGGCCGTTAAAAGTGCAACCAAGGATTAAAAGGATCAGGATTCCATATACCGCCTGCTTGAATTTGGCGGAAGGAAAGCGGTTAGTAACGTTTTTAAGTTCATAAACGCCATGTATTCATACTCAAAAAATAACAAGATTAGATACGTCTACTCGCAAACTTTGCGGCATCTGACAGCGAGGCTTCCAACGACTTATAAAAAAAACGAGACTGCTTCTGTCCATTCGACAGTGGTGTCCTCGTCTCCATTCTCGCGGAGAACAGCTAAAATGAGCTCTGATACATCATGGGCCTTGTCGGAAGAAACTGAGCCAGGAGAAACCGCTACCCAGACGACCGGCGGACCACCGAAATGCGCTGCGCTGATGCTCGTATAATCGATCCCATTTGCAACGACGAGGTCACAGATCTGGGGAAGCACGATGTGCCAGACTTCGTTGAGCCGGGTGTTCCATACGCCACAAGCAGCTTTTAGCCCGCCTTGGGTATGAGGGGACGGGTTGGTGAGGGCGTCGGAGCGGTATATAAGGTCTGGGTGGTCATCGTTGGCGCCAGTAATCCCTTTATAATAGGAGCGTCGCTCGAAGTCGCTTGGGCTGTGCTTGGATATCAAGTTTGGATTGACCACAGATGGATTCGGGGGGGGGGGAGGCGGAGACGGAAGCGGAAGCCTTCCTCCACTTGTAAGTTTTGTTGGCGCATTGCAGGGCAAACAGCGAGAAATCTATCGACGGTTGATTACAAGCATTCAAGCCAAGTGAAATGACACACTCAGCTGACCCGGCTTTTCCCTCATCTCTTGCAGGATGTCCTTCACGAGCGGGGAAACGTCTACGGGATACTATCGGGAAAGAAAGTGCAACTCGAAGAGGGGGAGACTTACCTTCACCAAGGAGACCAGCTTGCTCTAGTTCTTTGTCCGAGTATGAGACAGCTTTTGGAGATTGGTTCGGCATCGCCAACGAAGCAAGTTCAGCTAGATCAGATGCTAGATCCATTGCGGACGGTATGGTTTCTGTGTGAGTTACTTTATTTTGTTGACGTCATCATTCATTTGGAGTAATTTGGTGACCTACATATTATTTTTATGCGGCTTTCTCCAATTCTTCGTCCGAGTACGGGAAAGCTTTGGAACAGGCCCGGAGTCAGCGCCGAATTGAATATTTACGACCTGAACCTCGTCCTCGTTTTCTTCGCGCTACATTAGTCTTCTGGGTGGCTATCAACCGATCCAAGTTCCATTCCAAGACAACCTCCACCGATATCAAGCGCCGAACAAACGGTCCCATCGTCAATTATGCTCAAAGCTTGAGCTATCGATTCAATAGGACCAGTTGCCTGGGGGGTGAGCACACTGTAACCTTTAGGAGATTTCATAGGTCAAACGTGCGGCTGTAGGCCGCTGCACCGAACTGGAGAAGCAGTGAGCTTCGGTGCAACTTAGCAGCGTTCGGGTTAAACGACTTGCAGGGAAACATGGCTGGAGGACGAATAAGTAGTGAACTGTGTTCAAAATAAGTCAATTTCACCAGTGCAGCTCTGAGACGGTGCACATACAGCCGGACTGAGAGCTACTGCTTTCATCCGTCCTTATGTACATATATGTCGCCAATTTCAAGTTGTTGACTCGGACTCGGAGGTTGTCGCGTTGTGGGTATCATCTCGATTCCCGATTTCAGCTGGCAGTAACATTCGTTGGACTTTTCTCTCAGCGGCAATTTTACGTCTGACCGAGCATCCTCCTAGCTTCAACCTCGACGAGGTTTGTCGAAAAAACATAGTCGTAAGTAGGATTCGTAGCCTCGCCAGTGATAAGGTTGTTATGATCGCGCGTTGACCGCAACGTTGACCGCCACCTTGTGTCCAAGCTGCGTCTTGAACGCAGGTAAAAATAGTAGTCGATGACGAATTATGTTCCTTGAATAATTGACGATTTGAGATTTAGAATATTGCAGGAGCGTTGGGAGTATCGCCAAGTATCCAGTACCACACAGGCTCACAACACCCGTAAGAATCGGTAAGATTGGTGGCGGCTCATCGAACGCGGCGCGCGCCGAATTCATATTGATTGAAGTTGCAGCTGCTGGCCAACTATGCCACTTTCAAAGTAGGTTCGACGGCATCCTTAATGTCCGTGGTCGGTGGGAGAGCGGAAATGTTGACGTAATATCTCACACCTTGCTGTTCAACTCGTGGACTCACCATGCCTCTGGTTATTCCAGTCTCCAGCGCTAAGACACCATGTTCAAAACGCTCTTAAACAGCATTCTCGAGTTCGTTTTTTCACCGCCAAACCCCAAACGACGCAAGATGGATCCCTACATCCGAACTCTTCCTCCTTCCGAACCAATCGACAGCCTTCTGGGTATCATTCAGTATAATCTGACAACCGAGCAATGGTTGAAGAACCTCTGCGTTGTCGATATGCGGGAAATGCAGCTCGAGAGGCTAGATAGATGCCATGTTGACGAGATTGTCCATACTCGACAAATTGAAGGAGGGTTCAAGCTCCACGAGCAGGCTTTGCTCAAGTTCCACCTCGAGCCGGCTAACCCTCAAGAGTCTCAAGAAATTCCTGCGAATGACCGCCGCGCGGTGTGTGTCGAAAGAGCACCAGGCGCTCCTCGACAAGATGCATCAAAGTCTGTACCACTATTTGCTTCTTCGGACTCAAATCTGACTAGATTATTTAGGCATCTATTCCGTCTCAAGGCCAAGAGATTCGCGAAGAATACCTGCGATTGCATCCGAGTTGACGCCGACTATGCCCATCTACTCGAGCAAAACAAGACGGACCTCGACTGCGGCACAGAGGGGACCGACTCGGGCGAGGTTTTCCCACCGAACAAGTTACCCTGCATCCAGTCTTTCCGCCCTCCTCCAGGGAGTCTCACGGCATTCGACTGCGCGGTTTTAGCAAACGTAATTACCACTGCTGCGAGTCCGTATAGCATCCACGCGCATATGTGCATGTGGTATGCGACTGTCTTCTTCCTGGCGGCAAAGCAGATCGCTTCTGAGGCTGCCAAGGCCCCAGTTGCTTCTGTCAACGGGACGCTCTTCAAGGAAGGCGGCACTTTCATGGGTATTCGCATCGTCGACCTCGCCACAGCCAACTTGGAGATTTTTCGCGCCACTTCCATCACCAGCAGTGTGCTGGACGCATTTTCGGCGCTCCTTGTAAAATTCGAAAAGAAGCGCTCATCGGCAACCGCTGCTAAAGACTCGGACTCGGACTCAACTACAACTACGAGCCAGCCGCCACCCGCAGTCGAGGTCATGGTCCCAAACAATATCGCCAACGACCGTCAGCAGTGGGCCAACGATCAGTTAATGCAGCCAGGAAATACAATTCCATCCATTGTCGAGAGCTTTTACCAGGAGCGAGCCGTCAGACGAGCCGAAATAACTGCGAAGATCGATGCTTTAGTTGAGAAACGAATGGCCTGGGAGTTGGAGCGCCAGCGGCAAGTGGAGGATGCACAGGAGTTGGCTCGTCAGCAAGTGAAGGATGCACAAGGGATGGCTCGTCAGCAAGTGGAGGATGCCCAGGAGGTGGCTCGTCAGCATGTGGAAGATGCCCAGGAGGTGGTTCGTAAAGCAGAAGACACGGCTCGTCAAGCAGAAGACGCAGCTCGTCAAGCAGAAGAGGGCAGACTTCGGGCTGAACAACAAGCTCAACTCTACGAGCAGCTGTTCAAAGACGATCCACGTCTCAAGGCTTTCCTAGCTAACCGTGATTTGGATGTCTCAACCTAGTTTGCTCGTACCTAGTTACCTACGCCTCTTGACCGCACACTAAATCTAGACTTTTGAATGATATCGTTTGCTGTTTACAACTTGGATAGACTGCCAACCAGTGCTGCTTATCGGATATAATAGGTGGGCGGTCCCAATCGACAGGGCTTAAGCGCTTACGAATGTCACTGCTTCCTCTGGTGCCAGTGGTTGACACTCACCTTCACCGAGGAGACCGGCTTTCTCCAGTTCATCCGAGTGCTTGTATGGGAAAGGCTCGCTGGTCATCATGACATAGCTACAAGTAAAACGAACACGTGTTGATCCAAAAGACTGCGTATACGGCCAGTAAAACAAGCATCTTCTTCAAAAGAAAAAATTTCGAGTCCTATCGCCTTGTCGGTGTGTCCGACCTGAACCCCTGCTTGACATACGTAGTCGTGCTGCCTAGTGGACGGCGAGCAATCCCTATATCGCCTCCAAACGCTCCGCGCGCGATTACCACTAGATGCCACCCGATTTCGACAACAAGGAATACTGGCAGCAGCGGTTTGCACACGAGACTGCATTTGAATGGCTCGTGTCGTCAACCGACTTTATGCGCGTCCTCGAGCCCTACCTCGAGAAGCTTCCAAAAGCTGCACGCATTCTGCATCTTGGGATCGGGACGAGTGAGCTTCACAACCACCTCCGGATGCTCGGCTTTTCGGACATAACAAACATCGACTACGAGCCGATGGCGATAGAGCGCAGCAAGCAGCTCGAAGAGAAGGCATTTGGGGACGTGAGGATGCAATACCTAGTTGCAGATGTCACTGAACTTGAGTCAGACCGTTTGAGGGGCGGGCTATTTGACCTGGTCGTTGACAAGAGCACGGCAGACGCCGTATCTTGCGGTGGCGAGGAAGCAATCGCACGCATGGCCCGAGCGGTCCGGCGATGTCTAGGTGACGGCGGGGTATGGGTATCATTAAGCTATTCCTCCTCACGGTTTCAAGTGGAATGTGAGGGTTTGGATGCAAATGTGATTGCGACGATACCTACGCCCAAGCATAAAGCAACCGACCCGGACATTTACCATTGGTGCTACTTGCTACGGGCTATATAAGAGGGCATTTGTTCTCGCAAAACAAGCTTAAATACGATACTGTAGTTTGAACTGTAGAATTCAAAAGGGCTTCTGTAGATAGAAGGTCTAACTTCCCGCCTGAAACGCGGCTCTTCGCATTGACTAGCGCATATAAACACCAAACACCATCGTTGACACCCAGTTAAGATGAAGGTTCTCCTCTGGTTGCAGCTGCTTGCAATCCAACAGGTCCTTTCCCTTTACGCGCCACGAGGCAGTCCGAAACGCGGCGTGGCTCTTGTCGCAAGCAGTAATGCAGATTTGGGAAGGACAACACACCAACAGTGCAGTTGGGTCTACAACTGGAGCCCGACCCCACCCCCTTTGATGCCCACTGGATTGACCTTCGTGCCCATGCAATGGGGGCGCGACAACGTCCACGCATTTGCTGACGCCGTGCACAAATCCGGTGCTCGTACGATTTTGGTCTGCCATTTTCACTCAATTCCGATAAGCAGTTGAGCTTGATAGGCATTCAACGAGCCGGACATGGCAAGCCAGTCCAACCTTGCTGTCGGTGAAGCAGCGGAGCTGTGGCAGCAATACATCCAGCCGTTGAAGAAAGACGGTGTTCGACTCGGTAGCCCGGCAATATCCAGCGCGCCGAGCGGTCTTCAGTGGTTGCAAGCTTTCCTCCAGGTCTGCTCCGGTTGTACAGTTGATTTCATTGCAGTCCATTGGTAAGTTGTGGCAGAAGTATTGAATCCGGACCGACCGCGTCGCCAGGTACGGCGAAGGGGCGAGCAATTTCATCCAATACCTCCAAAGTGTCCATGCCCAGTTCCCCAACAAGCCAATTCGGGTCACAGAGTTTGCGGCTACGTCTTCACGAGCAACAGGTGCGAGTGTCGCCATTTTATTTGACATCGGTCTCAAGATGTTTGCCAGATGTATCGACTTTCATGAATGACGCCTTGACTTATCTCGATAGTCAGTCCTGGATTGAAGGCTATAGCTGGTTTGCATTCGCAGTATGGACACTCTCTCTAGCTCAAACATATTTGACCTGACATCAAATCAGCGAGCGGTCCCTCCTTTACAAACGAGTAAGTACACAAAAAACAACCACACCTATCAAATCAAGCACCGCTTAGATCTCTTGGACGGAGGTGGAAGCCTGAATGCCCTCGGCCTGCATTATATGTAGTGTCGCGTTCAGAGCGCCTAGGATAGAAGTACATTTTTTTTAGGTTGCTACTGGAACTATAAGCTTTTCAAGTTTTGGGAGAATGAGCAGCACACTTACCGTAGAACATTTTCTATCCACCATGCAGAGTCGAGATGAAGACGACTTCGTCGCCGTTCTTCAACACATACTCGCCCTCGCCTTCGAGCTCCCAATCTGTGTCGTTCACAAGCACAAGAATTCCTGGCCGTCTAGTAGTCAACGGTCAACGATAGAGTCAAGATCGAGGAGTGGAACCGCGACTTACACAGTCTCGTTCTCCATAAAGAGCTCCTGGCGCTCCTGGAGAAGGTTATCCCGCAGATATCGAATGAGGAATGTGATGTCGGCTTGTTTCGTTGCGTTATCCTCAGTCGATTTGGGTACAGTTGCAGGCACAGTGAGTTGATGCGAGCGTTTATTTGAGAAGAGAAGCTCGAGTCCGCCGCCGAACTCGACTTTGAGCGAGATGGTGGTGTCTTGAGACATAGAGCAAAATCGGTCACGTGCGCACGAATAACTTGTTTTCGATCAGTTGCTCGTGTGTTGCTACAGATTACATGCTAGTGGGTGTATAGACGCGGGTTTATTTGTTTACAGCCCTTCATCGTACATCTTCCGCGACAACGCAACATAGAACCGCTCCAAGTCAGCTTTGCTCGCCAACTCAGCTTTCTTTCGCGCCGTCTTGTCCTTCTTCTCCTCTCCATGAAGAGCATCAACCTCTGCCTTTGTTAACCGTTGCGCATCCTCAACCGCCTGGGTTTTGCCGCTCTTAGGCCCCCCAAGAAGCGGCACACTGGGGACCTGTTCAAGTAGCCAGTCGAATGCAGACGAGGCTTTGTCGGTCGAGTTCTTCACCAGCGCCTCGTCTGTTTTCTCCTTGATTTGCTCGTCTTTCAGGTCAGAAGCCGGTTTTGACGCCATGGCAGCATCACGCTGGCTCTTTTCCTCCTTCTTCCAAGCACGAACAAATCGGCCCCAGTCCATCAGTCCCCAACCATCGCCTTGTGATGAGGAAGAGGAGTTACTCGAGCCTGTACTGAGTCCAATTGCAGGTATTGCTGGGAGGTCGACGCCAAACTCAATTCCCCTTGCTCCTCTTATCTCCCAGTCTGTGCTGATTTAGCCTGACGATTGCTGGAGACTCTTTGCACTTACGATCGCACCCCTCCATGATTCCCAGAAACTCGCCCCATTTGGCGCTCTGCACCGTCACCAGCCCATCGTTTCCCCACTCACGGTCGTGTTTCCATAATGGGTCATTCGACGTGCCGCTTTCCCATGACTCGCGCAGTTGCTGTCGTTCCCGAGCCTCAACCCCATCAAGCACCATCTTCGGTAACCAAAACGGATGCCAGATATTCACACCTGGCGCCCGCGCTGCAACACTGAAGTATTTGACTCGAGGATCGTCGGGAGTCTGCGGATTGAACACTTCCGTCAAATATGACGTTCGCAGGTTCGCGTAAGCAGGAGAATCAACGAGGTTGAGGATGAGGCTGGTGAAAGTGGAAGGGAGCTGAGAAAAGGAGAATGAGGTTGACTTGGCAATGAATTCTTCACGCTTCAGCTTTCCGATGCCAATATTTTCCTATTTGCTCATTAATGGCTGGTAAGCAAAGAACGAATAACACACAGTACACCAGTCCATAAACGGGCTTCCTCGATGAGGAGTGCTAATGCTCGTCAAGGACAGTGGCACGTATTCCGAGGGCTTTATGTGAGAAATCAAGTGTCGACAGTCTAGACCGCCCATCGAGTGGGCCAGGAAATTTATCCCTCGTCCACGCGCTTTCGTTTCGAGCTGCTGGTGAAGAGCTTCGGCACGAGAAGCAATTGAGCCGGTTCTGGCACGGGTTTAGTGTCTGCACAATGCGCAAACAAGCAACGCACCCAGGCACTGATGTAACGACCACCTGCGCGCCAATCTTCTGCCTGAGAATCTTCAAAACATTCGCCCAGTAGTGCATACGCATGCTTGGAAATGAGCTGGGGCCCCGTTGGTCAAACCCGTAGAGACCTGAGCAAATATTGAGAGTGTTGTTTTGCATTGGAACAAGGACGCGCACCATGGCAAAGAACAATGGGGTATCTAGGAGTGCGAAGAGGGTCGAATAGTACGGGGTTATGCAGGAGCTGGTGGATAATGTCGGGGGATTCTGGTGGGACCTCAGGATCTTCCCGAGTCTGTGGTTTGGGCGGGGGTGGAGATTGTCGCGGGTGACGGTGAGGTTTGGGTGAAGAATGCGAGGGCGGGATTGGGGAAGGATATTCCGAGTTGGAATGAGGGTCAAGTTCGAGGTGGGGCGACAAGGAGGCAGAATGCAAAGAGCCTAAAACGTCGTTGGGTCGTTTAGATATACGTGGCATTGCAACATACTATTTCTCTGCTGCGCTTCAAGTGCCTTCCTCTGTTTGCGTTGTAAGATATATTCCTTCGACACCGAGAGGGTAGAAATAGCGTTGAACAGCCTGCGAAGTAACACTACCACCGGAACCGAGATTCCCGTGCCCGTCATGGCAAGCGGAGACTCCGGAATAGCGAGGGTCGCGACAGCTCAGTGAGAAACAGTGCCAGAATGCGTGGTGGTGGTGGTGGTAAGAGCAGACGGGAGGGAGAAACAAGGTCCGAGTTGGGGGCACAGGAGAACACGTGCGCGTGTGGCCCCAACGATCAAAGGTGATTAGATAAGATGACATTCAAACAGCTATCATTGCATCGAGTCCATCCCGCTCACCCAGAATCCCTTTCGCTCTTATCGAAAAAGCCAGCTTCATTTCCTTCCAAGCTTCGTCGTCCAGCTCGTGCCCGTCCACGGTAAACCGAGATAGACAGTCCTGTAAAGCGACTCTTCGTAGATGAGGAAATAGTTCCAACCAGTGAATGATCAGTTCAGGCTGAACTGGGCCTGTCGCGCCAGACAGCACAATCATGTCCATACGATCAAGACTCCGAAGCAAATTCTGCGCCATCGGATTATCGAAGAATCCATTGATCCAGGGTCCGGCAGACACTTCCAAGTTCACCTTATGCCGTCCGTCTTGTTGTTTCCATAGTTGGAGCACCCGAAGCATTTCTGAAAACTCTGTAACACCCGTCAAGCGCAGTACAAGGAGCTTGGGAAGCACATCCTTTTGGCCGAGGAGACGACAGGCTCCACGAGCGGTTGTTGTGAGTTGACGGAGACGCGGTAAAGTGAATGATATAGAGTGTCCGTTGAACGTTCGCTCATCTGGCTGGTAGAATATCCTCGTCAAGGTAGGATGGCGCGCAAGAAATGCATCGAGTGCCGGGGCGGATATACGCTTCCCGTTTTCTCCACTAATGAGATTTGCATCCATCCTCACCACAGGGAGCATCTCGAACTGCAGCTGAGGCAATACAACGTCCCATTCCTCACTATCAAGTGGGGCCAGGAGCCTCAGCATGTTGGGCCAGTGAACGGACCCAGCGTTGAGCAACACTAATGTCCACGGAGAAGGAAACTTTGGGGAGAATGGCCCGATGACGCGTCGCATGTGAACAGAAGAAATGGAGATGAGGGGCGAGACGAGCGCAACAACGCCGTTATGGTGTCTCAAGGGAATTCTGTGGCGCAAGGGACTCTTGATCGTCGTTATAGGAATGAATCGGTCTGCAAACGTTTGCAACCCCGCGAGGAATCCATGAGTCCCAGGTGGATTGAAGATATATTTGTGAAGTTGCCAGTAGCGAATGTCCTTGGCTGACGATGAGAAAACCTCTGTGCCAACAAGAACAACCGGACTATCGGAACCACCCCCAAAAGACGAAACAAGCTCACAGAACGCCGTGGTGAGTGAGCGATGTGGTGTTAGGGGGATGATGGTTTTGTACGCAGACAGAAGGTCTCCGCGGAATGTGAGCTTTAGTTCCTCCACCGTGGTAGCACGGTTGATAGTGAAACACTCTAAGGCGTGAAGTAGATATGGGGTAGCGCCGCTATGAGCGTCGTAGCTGCATGTTATGCGTCGAACTTGGGGCAATTCGACAGCGTGGCTGAGGAGGGGGATGATGTCTGGCTCGATAGTCCAATGTCCAGAGTAATACTCGGTCTGGGTAGTCTTTCCTCCACGTTGGACGATAAATGGAAGGACGAGCGCGTTAAACCGACGGCATGTCGCAAACAGCACAAGCAAGTCTCGTTTGCATGTTAATTGGTGGAATACAAGAGACCAGAGCTCTGCGGGAAGTTCATAGTTGGGCGGAGTTGTGTGGTCTGTGCGGTCAACAAGGAGCTGGTTGACAGTATAAGCCAAGTGAAGAAGCATCGGATGTCTCTCTTCATTCGTCACTGATGAGCTCTTGGAATTGGGGTCTTAAACCTGTCCCGCAGGTCGCCCGACCATTCGAAACGCAGGGTGAGAAGATTGCCAGGAAATGCAGGGAAAATCCATATGTGCCTGTTGGTGTGTCTCTGGGATGGTTGTTTGTTTCGACTGTAACTCAAGCAATGCCCATTCACAGGCGCATTCCTCACTGTCGGAAACCTCGTCATGGCCGTCGTGAGCCTCGCTAAAGGACGCTCGCGGACAATGAACTTATGGCTTCGGGGCAGAGTTGCAATGCAAGGCCTGACCATCGTCGCACTCCTTGTTGGAGCCTCTCGGATGGGTGAACTCGATTGGGGGCCCGACAGATTCCAACGCGTTGTTCACTGGGACCTCCGCCAACTTCTTTTGCAGGAACAAACCGCATTTTGGGCCCGAAAAAGTGCAGCTCAGTTGATGGACGAAATCGAGACAAATGTCTTTGGCAAAGGCGTCATGGCCAAACGAGACGGGGAGCTGGCCGACGTAGAAACGTCTGGAGGGCCAAAAAAGTCTCGGGGGTGGTTGGGCGGACGGGGGAAATCGAAACCACCGCCAAAAGTCGACGACGAAAATGCATTGTAATACTAGAATTATGCTCCCCCAGCTTATATCCTACATCGTGGGGAAGCCCACCGTCTATATGCTCTCAATGTGTTGCGGAGTTTTCTTTGGCTCCACTGCCAGTCGCCACCCGCCGTACATTCGGTTTACAGCGGCACTTCTTCGTAAGACAGCGAGCTCTGCGACGGCGTCGTCATACATGGTCTGCACTCGAGCGGAGTCTTTCTCATTCTGCACTAATCTTAGCACAAGCTAAGCAGGTAAGACTCTTTGGCAACACACCTGAATTAGTCTGAACTTGTCTTTCGTGCGATCCACAAAATAGTTGCGAAAGTTGTAGGAGCTGAAGCTACGCGATACACGCAGCATGGATGAGTAAAGGTTGAGTATCGACCGACGCGCTGGGAGAGCCGACATTTGGGGTGGCTTCGTGGAAAGCGGCAAAAAGACGTGATTAGTCATCAGATTAGATGTGGTGATTTACGACGTTCCGGTCATTCGAGCCGAGCCTGTTGACGAAACAAAACTCTCCCGCAGCCGAGACCATGTGCCTGAAAACCTCCTTTGCCCTTTTACCACCATGGGGGCTGCTCTCTCGCGACTTCGTCTGGCTCTCGCGTCCCTGTTGGATGAAATAAGGGAATACCGCAAGGTTCAAAGCCGGATTGAATCATCTCCTGGGCTTCCTGTTGCCCAACCGACTACGCCGTACTGGTCCATCCCCGTCTCGTCCATATCACAACACGGAAAAGATGACAAGCTCCCTGAAGACGTGGATGTCGTCGTTATCGGAAGTGGTATTACTGGAGCCGCTGTTGCGCACACGCTATTTTCGACTGGCAAACTGCCGAAAGTCGTGTTGTTGGAGGCTAGAGATGCATGCTCTGGAGCAACTGCTAGGTAAGCTTGATTCAATACCCAAACGCTATCTAATTCCTCAGGAACGGTGGCCACATAACGCCCAACCTCTTTCACGATTACCAAGACCTGAAAACTGCGTATGGCGGTGATGTCGCAAAACAAATAATCCACTTTCGGCTTGGCCATCTGCAAGAATTGCTCAAAGTAGCTACTGCGGAAGATATTCTTGTGGATAGTCAGTGTCGCAAGGTTGAAACTTACGATCTGTTTCTGGACGAAGACAAATACGAAACAGCGAAAGTAAACCTTGACGCTTACTTAAAGGACTTTCCGGAACAGGTATCGAATTGGCGGATTGTTAAAAACATAGAGGTGAGCCGTTTCTCCGGAGTCCGGAAAGAGTTATGTTGAAGCGGTTCGCAGTCATTGCAAGTGTCGCCAGAAGTCATTGTCGGCGCCATTACCACTACTGCAGGCGCAATACATCCATATCGATTTGTCACGAGCCTGCTGTCCCGCTTGCTCTCCAAATTTCCGCAGAAGTTTGTGGTCAATGCATTGCTGTTTCGTCTTTCCTGATGCATTTTAGTTTCCAACTCTTCACGAATACGCCTTGCGTTTCCATTGCGTCTGACTCTTCTCGCTACATCGTTGTAACACCCAAAGGAACAATCCGCACAAAGCATGTCGTTCACGCTACCAATGGCTGGGCATCCCACTTGCTTCCTAAGCTGCGAGGCAAAATCGTGCCTGTTCGCGGTCACATGTCAGCTCATCGGCCGGGAACGGGCCTCGGCTCCTTTCCCGATACCGACTCTGTCCAAACCCTGGCAGAGAAGAAAGACTCCTGGCTCGGCACGCGCTCGTTCGTCATGTCTGGCGCCAACACCTATAACTACCTCACTCAACAGCCCCCATCCTCCGCGTCGACCAGCGGGGGCGCTTTCCCGCCCTCGAACGGTGAGCTGATGTTTGGCGGTGGGCTCGCTTTGTCACTTGCGACGATTTTACCTGAACTCGGCGTGGCGGACGACCACAAACCGATTGATCTCGCTGTGGGTGCATATTTGGGTGGCGCGGTTAGCATGTATTTTGGCAACCAGTGGGGCTCAGAAGGACAGGCAGAGTCCAAGTCTGAAGCCGAGGAAATTAATCCTGGGCGCGTGTTGAAGGTCTGGACGGGTATTTTGGGTATATCGGCCGATAGACAGCCCTGGGTCGGCCGACTGCCCACGAAGATCACTGATCGACGCGAACCCAAGGCGCAGTCCATGTCTTTGGCTGCACCCGGAGAATGGATTGCTGCTGGTTATACGGGTGAAGGAATGGTTCATGCGTACTTATCAGGCAAGGCAGTCGCGAATATGATACTTGAGCAAGACTCGACATTCCCTGAAGTTTTTGTTGTCACCGAGCGGCGGTGGAAGAAGGCAAATATTGAAGACCTGGCCCAGTAGAAAGGGACTCAAATATCTATGTAAACTATCAATTGATCTCCCATAATATGTTGTTCAATGTAAGTCGCGAATAGCATTCGATGGGTGTAAAACTTCTAGATCTAGTGTGTGGTCAACAGTCTTATGGACGAGCGGGCTAGGTTGAGGCCATGCTATCACGGTCAGCAAGTAAAGCCTTGAGACGAGGATCGTCTTTGAATAACTGCTCGTAGAGTTGAGCCTGTTGTTCAGCCCGGAGCCTACCCTCCTCTGCTCGACGAGCTGCGTCTTCTGCGTGACGAGCTGCGTCTGCTGCTTGGCGAGCTGTGTCTTCAGCTTTACGAGCTGTGTCTTCAGCTTTACGAGCCGTGTCTTCAGCTTTACGAGCCACCTCCTGTGCATTTTCTACTTGCCGCTGGTACTCCAACTCCCAGGCCATCCGTTTGTCTGCCAAAGCCTTGATCTGCGCGGTTATCTCGGCTCGTTTGATGGCTCGCTCCTTGTAAAAGCTCTCGACGATGGACGGGATCGTACAGCCAGGCTTCATCAGCTTGTCGCTAGCCCACTGCTGGCGGTCGTTGGCGATGCTGTTCGAAACCTCGACCGGGGGCGTGACTGGCCTCTGAACCTCCGTCTGGCTCGGAGTCCGAGTCCCGGGCCGACTGAGAGTGCTGACACTGTCGGAGTCCGAATCCGTGACGGCGGAACGCCCGTCGTGATTCAGGAGGAGTGTTGCGAATGCGTGCCATAGATTGCCAGCGCTGGTAGCAGGAGTGGAATGGAAGATCTCCAAGTTTCCCGTCGCAAGGTCGACAACACGGATACCGGCGAAAGTGCCACCTCGGGTGAACTGCAACCCGTTCACGGAGGTGACTGGAGCATCGATTGCCTCGGAGACAATCTGCTTGGCCGCCAGGAAGAAGACGGTTGCATACCACATGCACATGTGCTCGTGGACGCTGTAGGGATTGGCAGCAGTGGTAATGACGTCGGCCAGGATGGCACAATCGAATGCCGTGAGACTCCCTGCAGGGGGGCGGAAAGACTGGACGCAGGGCAATTCACTCGGCGGGAATTCATCAAATGAGCGTAGTCGACATCGATGTGGATGGAGTCACAGGTGATCTGAGCGCGCTTCTTGCTGAACGAAATACGACGTTCCTCCCTGTATCGTCGAGTCAGTTGTGCAACAAAACAAGTTCAAAATAACCAACTTCTTTGCATCTCGTCGAGGAGTTCCCGGTGCTCGCTCGACACACACCGCGCGGTGGTTGTTGAGGATCGTTGTAGAGTCAGGTGTAGGGTTCGCCAGCCGCGTAGACTCGGAGTTGGCTGACGGTGGTCGAACCTCAAGGTGAAACTTGAATAAGGCCTGTTCATGAACCCCGGCTACTTTTCCACCTCGTCGAACATGGACAATTTCGTCGACCCAGCATCTATCCAGTCTGTTTAGATGCATCTCCACCCCACCCACATTACAGAGATGTTCAATCCAGCCCGCCGTCGACAGACTAAACAGTTTGGTCGTCAAAAGGCCATCGATGTGTTCAGACGGAGTCAGAGTTCGAACGTAAGGGGCCATCTTGCGCTGTTTGGAGTCCTGCTTGCGCAAGATGAAATCGCGTACACCGTTTAAGAGCGATTCGAACATGGTGGATTAGCGCTAGAGACTGGAATAACCAGAGGCATGGTGAGTCCACGAGTTCAACAGCACATGACATTACGTCAGCATGTCCGCTCTGTCACCGCCTTATGGATATCGAATATCCTACTTTGCAAGCGATATCAGCATTAGATAGCAGTAAATTTGATATGAATTCAGCGTGCAGGCCTATCTAGCAGGCCGCTTCCGTGGTTTTTGTTAATCAAATCCGTCGACAACCGTCCGGGTCCGTCCCAGACTCGACTGGAAAACCCTCCCGATACTCCTTCGATACAGTCAGTCCTGCCTTGAATCATGGGAGCCTTAGTATATGGCCCACTGCATCTCTAACTCTGCGTTGCTTTGGCTTAAAGACGTAGCACCAATGTTGATGGGCGGGGACTCTTCCTAAAGCCCAGCAATGGAGGTTATTTTTGGCAAACCTCGAGGTCAAAAAAGGTTCACAGAGCGAACGCTGTGGGAGAATGTCAGCGGGAGAAGTGCTTTAGTTTAAGGTGAGCTGCAGAATGCGTTGACAGACAGAATGTGATTGCCCAACGATTCCCATGATGGCCTACAATTTCGAGTCAAGGTCCAGGTTAATCGATACAATGTTCAAGGACGGATGAAAGCGGTGGTAGTCAAGATTAGACCAGCGCAAGTCGGGTCGTCTGCGTTCCATTCCAGAGCCGCAATGAACAGGCTGTGGTACTGACGCACAACAAGTTGTTGTGAACGCAAGCTGCTACTTTGCCTCCTATGGTTTCCTTGTTCTGAAGCCTAACGGCACTTGAAGCTGACTTATTTTTGGTGCAGCACAGGCACTACTAGGATGAAATTGCCAAAAGGCTACAGCGCGTTCAAGTTATTGACAATCCGGCATAGTGAACACCCTTGAAGGCAACTTGAGGCACGGTATTTGGGAGGAGTGAGTCGCTTGCCAGGCGGGCAGTGAAAAGATTCCGAAAGACATCTATTCTGGGACAAGCGCGAGTCTGAGCGGCGCGATTGGATCACTAGCGTTGTCTTCTACAACAGGCTATCAAGATTCCTGGTGGAGACTTTGTATCAAGTTGAATGGTAGGCCACAGTACTTGTGCATGCTGGGGATGTATGGGTGCTAGCGCTTGCTATAATGCATGATGGTAAACGGAACGAGAAAGGGTAACGCACACGTGATGTGACTCCTTCCCTCTTCCTCATGTCCAAAGCCATGCTTCGCCGTCTCTCAGTTGCTCTCAAACCTGCTACCGCTAAAGCTGGTGTGGCTCCGCTAGAACCATCATCCCTCGCGGCGTTTCTTGTTCAAAGCAAGGAAAAATACCTGTCGGAAGCTGGCGGGGAATGGACCGTCGTTATGGGTAACGAGGCAGGCGGTACGCCCCTTATTCTATTCACCCCGAATATCTTGACGATTCATAGGTGTGTAGATCTCGACACGCTTGCTAGCTCCATTGCAGTGGCGTGGATCCGGTCGGAGGTCCACCAAAAACCGTCTATCCCGTTGATCCAAATTGCGCGCGACGACCTCCACCTTCGTGCCGAGAATTTGCATGCCCTACGTGTCGCTGGAATAGCTGACCCAGAAAAACAGCTGTTCAGTATATCGGATGCCCCTAAACCTATCGCATCGACTTCTTTTGCCCTGGTTGACCATAATCGGCTTGGTGCAGCGTTTGGCAGCGACAACGCGCATGTGGTGGCCGTTCTCGACCACCATGCGGACGAAGGACTATACCCTGATGCCGACCCGCGGAGAATTGAACCCGCCGGCAGTTGCGCCTCCCATGTCGCAACGGTGTTGGCCAAGGATGTCGAGCTTCCCAAAGAACTTGCCACTCTACTACTTTGCGCCATTCTCATTGACACCGACGGCCTGAAGCCAGGAGGAAAGGCCCTTCAGGTGGACCACGATGCCGCCGCATACTTAATCCCTCTTTCAAAACTATCTACAAGTACAACCACCACCACCGGCGTCCTTCCTGCACCAATCAAAGCTCTCTCGGACGAGCTCGCTGCGAAGAAGTTTGATGTCTCGCATCTCGGCGCGTGGGATCTACTGAGAAGGGACTATAAAGAGTATTCTTTGACCCTGAACTGGCACGAATCGAAACTGAATGTCAAAGCTGGTCTTGCAACTGTTCCAGTCAAGCTCAAAACTTGGGGTGCGGGAACAGGGTCTATGGAGCGGGAGGCGGTGAGGTGGATGGACGAACAGGGGCTTGCAATTCTGGGTGTGCTCACTTCTTTTCGTGACAAGAGCAAGTTTGGAAAGAGTGGTAAAGGAAAGCATAAACGAGAAATGGCGTGGTTTGTGAAGGACGATAAGATTGCGGATCGTCTGTGGAAAGGGCTCGAGGCGGACCCGGAAGTTCGCGTCAAGAGCCACAAGAAACTGAAACTGGTTGTGGACGGTGTCCACTCGCGGGTATATAAGCAAGGGAATGCCCATGCTACCCGCAAATCGACTGCGCCACTACTGAAAAAGATCGTAGAAAGCGAGTCGTAAAATTACAGGAAAATAATACATGCGACACAAGTGGTCGTTTATTATTGCGTCTGGTCACTTTTCTCGTCAGTCTCGTCAGTCTTCTTCTTCTCGCGTTCGACCCCGGCATTCCCAAGCTTGGGACCCGCTGCATCCGGCCAAAGCCAGTCCGGCCATGGGTAGGACAAGTCAACTAACGGCTTGCCTCCCGAAGACCGAATCCGTGGCTTTTCCCGCAGTTGCGGCCGGGATTGCTCAGTCGACGAGGTGGAGTGGGTATTGTGGCTGCTCGGTGTGGAACTTGTCCGTCTCCGTCTCCGCTTTCCGGTGAATTGCGGAAGATCATGCCAACTCCAAGGGTCTTTTTCGCCCGCAACAGATGCTTTCTCTATACGAAAAGCTCAGTACAGCTCTGACGATGGAGAACGAATGCTTGGCGCACCTCGACAGCGCGGCGTTTTGACCCCCGCATTGCTCTCATAGTACCGCCGATAACCACCGAACACGATTCGAGGGAAAGTGTCGAATAGATTGGTTTCATTGGGACTCAGAGGTGGGGGCTCCTCTGCAGACGCCCGATGAATACTGAGATCGAGCGAGTCCAACGAGCTCAATATATCGGCGCAGTCGTCATCCTTATGGCGATGCACCGGGAAGCGAAAGCAGAGAAGGGGCATTTTGAAAACCAAGTTCGCGAAGATAAGCCGGGGCTTGGGGGTTTATATACCGCGTCATGGGAACATAGCCGTGTGTAGTGCGAATCATGCGGGCGGTAGCGAGGGAAAGTCCGAACACAGATGAGCAGATCGAATTTCGCGGCCGACATCAAGCCGTCACGCGCGCCTTTGCTAAGTACGACGACCACCGCAACCTACCCCCGAGTTTTATTTCAGATAGCCTCTCATCTGGGTCGATCTTGGGCTTGTCATGGACATGTATCGTTCAGCGTCTGGTTACCGATATGTCCGATCAGAACAAGTTGAAATACTCACTTTCAGTTCCCGGTTGGGCTCACTCAAAACTCAAGAGTTGCCACAATCAGCGATCTCAGGAGCATTCGCCCAGTACCTCCCGCTCTCTGCCCTGGAAACCCGCCCTGGACCGCCATGAATGTTTCTTGGAATCCTGTGCGAGCTTGGAGTCGCGGACTGTGATTGAAAGCGGTAACTAGCTCCTTCTAAGCCACCTCAAACTCCCACCTGTACTCTATTGTGTCCTGGCACTGCTCCGAAGCCCAACTTCAGAGCGCCATTAAACGCCGACGGCAAGAATGCTGCGAATATGTAGAGGACTTCGTCAGACAACGATCTAAATTGTTTGACCTTGGATTATTTCGAAGCCATCGAATCATCGACACCCCAGCACTGCGTACGGTAGCTTAAAATATGAACTTCAGCTCCGATGTTGACTCCTGCTCAGGGCCCAAACGTGGACGACCGGTATGTGCCCCAGCATCAACATTCCCTTAGACTCTGTACCTGGTGCCTCCCTAGTTGTATGGGCTGGGCGATAGTAATCCCGCATTTAACGTCTACATCAACACGTACAGAACGCTGCACGAAATTTCGAACACTTGCCAGCACTTTAAATGGATGGGTTTCGTTTGATTTGTGAAAGTTGTCAAATTTGAAGGCAATTAAATTGTTGCTTATGTAGTACTAGGCTTTCTGCTAAAAAGTGGTACACGGTTTATTTATATATTGGCCAGTCGAGTAGCTTTACTACATATGCAATAAAAGCACATCTGGGGGGATATGCACCGAATTTGGTACAGATTGAGGCCCACCTTCAGTTAGTTTTATTTTTTAGTTATCATTTATAGTTATGAAATGCACCATATTTTCGTCACACTAGGAAAAAAAGCCTCCTTTGGATTGTTTTTGGTCCAAATACTAAATAATATGTTACAAGAACCCCCCTCCATCCAGCTCTATACCCAAAAATAAGATACTACAGATAATACATACAAGTTTGCAAAGAATAAAGATATTGCGTCCCGGAGTCGTTGAGTACAACATCAAATCGATGAAGGTTTATACAAGGTTGGATGTCACGAGATTCTCGCGCAGGACGCGATCCCGAACTAAGACTTGACTAAGCATTGGAACAGTGTGAACCAAGGTGAACTTACTGGAATGGAGCGTCTTTGCTGTCGCCGTCGTGTCCTGCCCACCAAGCTCAACACTACACAAGCAAGCTTTGAAACGAAACTACTCACCGTCACAGTGGTGGTATAGATGTACGACACCCGTGGCTCCGGCGAATGTTGCTTCTGGATCTCCTTATATTTCTCCCGGAGATCTAAGAAAAACGACGGTTAACAGAGACAGGTAGAGATCCGGCAGATAAGCTGACATTTGACGATTGGCATAACCTCGTTTGGCCGGTCACCGTAGCTCGGCAGGTATGTCTTTAGCTTGATTCCTCGTTTCAACTTGCGTTTCAGCAGGTCGCATTTGTTCTAACCGGAAAGTTGGCATGTCAGTCGTGGGTAGACAAAAGGAGCCGAACCAGGAAAAGGATAAGCTGCGTTCTGGTGAGCAGTTTGGAGGAGCATATCGAGCGCCATAATATCGTCGAGTCTTCTAGGCGGTTTACACGTTGATCTTCGTCCAGGCGTTCATCGAAGCAAGAGACAGGACAGAGAAATATTATGACATCAGTGTTTTCGAAAAAGGGCAACCATGCCGCCCTCTGAAGGAGATGTCAGTCGTGAAAAAAAAATTGAAGAGACACTAACCATAGTTCTGCAACCTCCAACATCGTAAAGTCTCCATATCCATGCGTTATCGCCACCTTTGGGCGTATTAGTAACCTTTTGGAAATAAAAAAACGCCACTAACGCAGAGAGAAGCCGTCATTAATTCGCAATAGGTATTCTTGGATGCCAACTGTGCGTAAACGAGCGCGGACAATATCGTCGTCAGTTGCCGTGTAAGACCGAGTCGCAATGCGGTCAAGGTCATTGAGAAAGAAGCCTGCGGTATCCGCAAGACGAAGTTTCCTTCGTTCGAGAGCACGCTGGACAGCAGGGTCGGTCCATAAAGCATGCATATCGTCTTTACACCTCATGAGTGTGATCGTTGATGAGTCTGCGTCAGCTTGAATTTCCGGGTCGTTATTGTGGCCGCCGTCAATTGCGTCGCTCCAACTCCGAACAAAAAACTCGGTTCGTTGTTTGGGGGATGGTAATGGCGCTGGGTCTTCGAATGGTGTAGCTGCCAGCGGAAGAGAGGGTCTATAAGGCTCTGCGCCTGCTCCGAGCCGCCGTTTGAGTGCAGCCTCCACCCCGCGGAGAGGAGCGAGTCGAATCATTAGCAGTCTATGCTTGTCGGTCAAAGCGTCAGGCGTGGTTGAAGAATCGGAGAACCGACGAGAGGAGTCGTCATCTTCGAGGGGTGGGCCAGTCCCACTCATTTCGGCTTCTATGACCTCTAGAATATGGATAACGGATCGTATCACGTTGAGCTGCACAACTGAGCGCCAGCCATTGCGCTCCTGCTCCCAAGTTTCCCGGGCATACTGCATGCGGAAGTCTATAACACTCGTGTTAGGCAGGCCGACATCACAGAGAAGGAATGTTTACTCTTCAGTGTTGTGGACTTCCCTATACCCCCGTTCAGGTACGAGACTTGAGAGAAGAAATGTATGACACACCACTCTCTCCCTGACCAAGGAGTAGTATTCGGAGTTCTTTACGCGCCTTGCGTTGTGCAGCACGGTCGCGTTTTATCTCCTCGTCAATGTTGTCGCTGATTCTCTGGGCATCGGCTTCTCGTTTCAGGCGAGCGGTGAGTTGTGAGGGAGTTTCGTCGGGCGGAGGACGAGTGAAGATGGCGAGGGGGTCCGAGTCCATTCGCAGGGCATCAAGAACGGATGAAGGGGCCGAAAGACGGTGCTTTTTATGCAGATCTCAGGCTCGACATCAACGACGAAAAAGACAAGGGTTATGGTCACACGCTGTCTGTCAATTTCTACCCTTGCCTTCCTCAACTGTACACAATGCGACACTGCATACCATTCAGCTACCGCCTCTGCGTCGTCATTCTGCTATCCGGTTATCGGGCATTGAGCGGCCCTCCATATCGCTGACAGAAAGACATATCACGACAGAACTTGATTGCATCTTACATCTCAACTACACTCTCATCAGCACCTGCTCCAAATAGCTGCCCAACGGTCCCTCTGTGATGTCTCGAATCCCTAACTCCTTGTGTCTGTCGTGCTACTGCAAGGGCTCGAACTTTCGGTCAACATTCATGGCTTTTGTCAAAGCTCAACTTCATGGACGACAGCATTGGGAAACACGAGGTGTCTCCGCGATGCGCGGGTGGTTTTGTCCTTGGGGTTACCAACTCTGAATCAATACAACTGACTCGACCACGAGATAGCAGATTTGCTATCGATGCGTGGCCTTCAAGTCCGGTTAGGGTAACATCGTAACTGCTGACTCTGACTGAGATAACAAACACCCTCCGGGAACTCTAGGCTCACAATTGTTGCGCACTTAGCCCAAGTAGCTGCCAAGTATTGCCAATATTCAGCCGACTTCACATGACTGCCGTTAGCTCAACTCGTCAAGGGGCGATCCAACGGACTCCAACTATGTAGCTTATTTACGGCGAACGTTCAACGACTCTGATGCGGTTCGAATCGGAACCTGGGCTTTAACGCAAGAAATTGATTTAACGCCTTCCCCTTCCAGAGCGCGACTGGAGCTTGTTCTCAAATATCTTCAATTAACGCTCAGGTTGAGGCCTCCACTTTGTAACGGCAAACATGCTCAGATAGAGTCGACTGGTCAGGTCAACGTTGGTGGTCCGAAATCTACCCAAACGGATAGCAAAGATACTTCATTAGAATCCGTTCTCTCAAATAACCGAATTTTTTATGGGTTTCATGAGTACTTATCATATGCACTTGTTATTGTTAACTTGTTAATCCACGAGCCATTCACTATTTCCCCTTCACAACTTTTCGTTGAGCTTGATCGGCTGATCGCACGGATCACGTCACAACCTCGACATGAGACAAGCGCCCACCTGCTGGGAGTCAGTGCTCCTTTTCCTAGACGTCCACCATCGATAGCAGCCGCTCTACCTTCCACCTACCTAGCTATGCCTATTGCAGGCGGCAGCGCAAACGCGAGCGGAACGAGAGGCAATGGCAAAAAGGTCAAAAGGTAGCGTTTTTTTCACTTCCTTTTCGTGATAGACGCTTTTGACGACTTGCTTGGCAGATCCAATCCCAGCACGATCCAGGACAAGTTCATGGTTGGATACCAAGGCTGGTTTACCTGTGGCGGCGATGGTCCGCCGATTGGAGATGGCCACCATGGCTGGCTGCATTGGGTTTCTGAGCCGATCAACCAACCTTTCAATGGCCGACCGAACACAGATTTGTGGCCTGATACGTCTGCGTACGACCCATCAGAGCTCTACCCCGTTGAGGGACTATTTCACAAAGAGCGGAAACCAGCAAAGGTCTTCAGCAGCCGGGACCCCAGAACAGTACGGCGACACTTTCGATGGATGGCAGAGTGTGGTGTTGACGGAGCGTTTCTCCAACGCTTTGTCGGGCAGGTCGACAGGGAGGACCCTGGGAATAAAGATGAAAAGTTTGGGGGCACATTGAGGCTGCGAGATGAGGTGGGCCAACGAGTCCGTGAGGCTGCTGAAGCTGAAGGCCGAGTCTGGGCCATAATGTATGTTCTTTTTCTCCTTTATTCTTGCTTTTTTTTATCAAAGAACTGGTTAGGTACGATGTGTCAGGAGTCCCAGCCGACAAAATACAGCGCATACTGATGCAAGACTTCACCCATCTTCTCCACGATCAACGAATTCTTGACTCTCCATCCTATCTCCATGAGCGGGGTAGACCGGTGCTCGCCATCTGGGGCTTTGGCCTGTCAGATTCATCGGTTCACCCACATCTCGTCCGCGAAATTTTTGCTTCTCTTCGGCTCGTTTACCGGTCTTTCACTTCTCCTGACAAAGACTTGTACATATTCGCTGGAGTTCCATCACATTGGCGTCAGCCAGGCCAGGGAGATGCGCATGCTGGCGATGGATGGTCAGATCTTTGGCTTGGGCCAACTGGCTGTGTCGACGCATTATCACCTTGGTCGGTTGGCCGATATGGAAACATTGAAGAGGTCGAGAGATGGGCAAACGATAGATGGGGTCCTGATGCCGAGCTTGTGGCGACACATAATGCTGGGATTATCGACATGGGTAACGCAGGAAGGAAAGTGGACTATATACCAGTCGTGCTGCCTGGCGGTTCAGTGCGTGGTTTCGTGTTTTCGTGGAGCAATCGGTCAGTTGACACAATATGACCAGGGATTCAACCTTTCAGAGGGTAAATGGGCGTTTAACGGAATCAAACGAGTCGGGGGAAAGTTTTTGTGGTCACAGGTATTCCATGTGAAGAGGTTAAAGGGCGTGCGGACGATGTATGGCGCCATGTGGGATGAGTAAGTGTTTTTCTTCTTGCAAACGAATTTCAATCCAATTTCTTTTCCATTACTCATTGTCAATCTAGATACGATGAGGGTACTGCCTTTCTTCCGGTAGTGCCAAAATCGAGTATGCTACCGGACAGCGAAGGTGAACGGTGGCCATTCCTCGCATTGGATGAAGATGGATTCGACTTGCCGTCTGATTGGTGCGTGTTTATTTCTAGCACCACACATAAGACTGCTTAAGCTTAACCACAGGTATATGCGAATTGCAGGTTTTGCGGCCGAGGGTCTCCGAAGTGAACGGCGCATTCATGACACATTTCCTAACAAAGAATTGCAGGACTTCTGGGGGACACGACCACAGTATGAGGAAGACGATATTCCGTCCTCTTCCGCTTCTTCTTCTTCGACATCGGCAGTGACATCCCTCCCGACTACTCAACCATTAGCATTCCCGTCTGCAGCTGAGCGTGCTCGGCAGCGGGAGGAGGCGAGGGAGAGAGAACGAGAGCAAGCGGAGAAAGAAGCGAAGAGGCAGTTCGAGGCGTGGGTGGAGGAGCAGGCAGAGAAGGAACGAGAGAAAGCAGAAATGCCTCCGCCGGCTTACTCGTTAGAAGACGATAACCCGCAGCCGGAACCAGCAGCGCAAGTTGCCTCTCCAGCACCACAACAGCAGCAACCGCTGGCGACACAAACAGCAGTATATGCTTCTCCGCAAAGCCAACAGGCTGCGCTACCACAACCCTCGGGACCGGTTCATCAACAAACATTGCCAGCACAGGCAGTGTATTCTCCTCCAAGTCAACAGACGACTTTTCCTCCTCAAACATCGATACCGGCGCATCAACAAACACTGCCGGTCCAAACAGCGGCGTATTCCTCTTCACAAAATCAAATCTCAAACCCAGTTCAGCAACAGACGCTACCCGCACAAACGTCGGTGTATTCTCCTTCGAGCCAACAAACAACTTTCCCTCCGCAAGCGGCATATTATGGATCGCCTCAAGGCCATCAAGCAAGTCTTCCTCCCCAAACAAATCCTGTTGATGGGCTTGCTGCGAGGCTCACGCAAACGACGCTTTCGTCTCCCCCTCAACAAACACCGCCGCCGCTTCCTGATCGACGCGAATCGAGTTCAGGATCTATAGAAAGACCGCCATTACACCCAAATCACCCACAAGCCTGGCGGACGAACAGCTCCGGCTCTTCAAACTCTGGTGGACCACCTCCGCAACATCCCAGTGCAGCCGGGAACCGCACAAATACGATGGGTGTTGGAACTGGGGTAGGATTCGCTGGTGTAGGCGCGGGAGTTGGTAGGGTTGCTAGCCCTGAAGTGGTTTCTCAAAGCCAATCTTCGTCTCCGTATTCGAGCCGCCCTTCTAGTCAAACTTTCGCCACCGGTGGGGCTACGATTGGAAATCCATTTGGACAGGGACAAGCAGGCTATGCTGGGCCTGCGTCGCCGACCGTTAATACCACGACGTATGGTCAACCTCAGAGGACCTCGGGGAGCTATCCAAGCCAATCGACTTCAAATTATCCAAATACTGGCCAATCCCATCAATATATGGGACCCTCTTCACCACCACCAAATGTAACGTCCTATCCAGCACAATATGGACAATCACAACGTCCTCCTTCGACCCATCCCGCGCACGAACAAGTACCGCCACAACATACGGGCTCATCAGGTGGAGGTTATTTCGACGCGGCAAATCCTACGAGCCCTTCGTCAACAAGTTTTTCAGGACCAACATACCAAGCGTCATACAGACCACCCTCTTCACATCCTGCGCCTCCTGCACAAACCCCGTATGGTGACCCAACTTATAACCCCGGGCCGGCTCGTCCTTCGACAACGGCGCCAATGGGTTCTGCTGGTGGACCAGCTGGTGGTGCATCATTAAGACCCAGCACCTCTCTATCCGCACGACCAAGCAACCCGCCAGCAAATGCAGCCCCATTACGCCCAGCCAGCGCATCACTTTCCGCTAACCGACCCAACTCTTCGTGGTCTTCATACCCAGGTCATGGGCGGCCCGTTACACCAACTGCGGGGTATACACCTCCTCAAGGGCCCCCACAACCACTGGGGCCCATTGCTGAATCGACACGACCAACATCATACCAGCCCCCATCACATGCTCCCCATTCCTATCAAGCCTCACCTCCCGCTCCGCATTTACCTTCGCCAGATCTGCCGAGTCCTTCGTTCCCTTCTGCAGGCGGTTATCCTCCCCAAAATCAAGGTCCATACCCACCCAACTCATCGTTCCCTTCGTATCCTCCATCAAACAACAGCCCCCCCATTGGCTTCCCCGGTTCTACGCCGTCGTTTCCCCAAGTCGGGGGGTATCCTTCGCCGCAGCCACAGTTCCCTCAAGCGGGCGGATACCCAGGAGAAGACTACGGGTACCCGCAACCACAGCAGCAACAGCAACAGCCTGGGTGGGGTCCACCACCGCCCATGCCACATCGTAAGTCGGGCCGGTATCAACTGATTGCATACTTATTTTTTACAAAGGGCCTGGCAGCCAGCCATATCCTGGCCAACAACAACCCTATGGCTACCCGGGCGGTCCGGCGGGCGGACCGAACTTTCCCAATCCGCAAGGCCAACAACAAAGTTCTGGCCCTTTTGGGTTTTCCATGAGCAGCATGGATAAAATCGTTGGTCGGAAGACGCGTGAGCAGCTGGAGGGGCATGTTGACCGGCTCGCGGATTGTGAGTGCCTTACTTTTCCTGTTGGATGTTTCAACTCAGTGCCGGTTGTTAGCGACGGGCAAGTTATTTGGAAAGTTTAAGTAAAGACGGTGCTAAATAATGCGCTCGCTTGAGCGCGCTACTTTTACATCTTTGTTGTGGTCATATTCCCCTGGGTTGGATTGGAAAGAAAGTCGAAATCTTATACTGGGGAGAAAGTGGCGAGCCATATCGTACATCTGAAAAGAAGGTACAAGCAGTTGGTCCCACATCGCTCAAATTTAAACGACTTGTTGTTGATTTGCAAGGATTCGGGTTTGCGCCGCCACATTGCTGCGAACAACTTGAGTAACTGAGAACGAAGAGGAAAGGGTGTTTGGCATACGGGGCATTAATTCTGCTTTCCGGGCCGTTGAATAAAAATATGTCATAGTACAAGGCGCCCGCTTGGGCGCCGAGGATCGTCGCAATAATTGGGCACCACAGCCAGTATTGGCTGAAAGAGGATAGTAAGATTATGAGAAAAGCAATAACAAGAACGCACTTTCTGAAGGAGTAGACGGCAGAGCCATAGCCGACCATGCTGGTAAGTAAACGCGGGCCTGCGCGTGTTCAGATCGCCTTCAGAGGTAAGAGAGAGCGAATACCAAAATCCCGCGCAGGGTTGATGGCGAAGCCAGTCTCCATTCCCAGGCTCGAGCCGATGCCGACCACGAGGATGAACAAGACGAGGGGAAGCAGCCCAGATGGCGGGGGTGCATTGTGCTTGTCGGTGGCGGCGAGGATCAGTATCATGAGTACTATTTGACATTAATTGGTGCAAGCAGATTGGGAGACAGACGTACTCGCGGTGGCCAGGAATTCCGAGAAAAAGCATGCGGCCTGTGTCATGTAATCGAGCTGTTTGCAATGAAACTTGGAACACGCGGAAAACAGATAAGCGCACGGCGTAGGTGGCGAATAAGCCAGCTGTTTTCAGTGTCCGAATGTTGCGGCCTCCTTCGAAGGTGTCGATTGCGTGGACATAATTGCCATATGTTAACGCGGCGCCGACTACGCCACCCAAAATTTGAGAGAAGATATAGACTGTGGCAAATAAGTGTCACAGAAGCGTGATAGACGGCCTTCTTTACCTGGAACTTTTCTCCAGGGAAATCCGCGCCACGTAGCCAAAGCCTAAGGGCATTGATAATGAAAAGGAGACGCAAATCGAATTAGAACTACCAAAGTGACTGCGGGATTTATGTGTCCGCCAGAAATTCCTGCCGAGATCCACACACCCATGGCTATTCCTGCAGAGGGGGGTAAGCCAACCAAGTGGTGAAGTAGCAAGGCATGAACCTATTCCCCATCCCAACGATATCGAAAGATAGTCCTGAGAACTCTAAGTATTGGGTTAGAACATAGAAACAAAAATACTAACTCCTCTTTGAGAAGACGCGACAGCAGGAAGCGTCGAAAGCACGACTTGACATGTCGCCCCCGTTCCAAAGATGACGAGGATCGCCACGCCAGTGAACTCTGCAGCAGCTTCGCGAATGATTTGTCTGACACAAGTTGAGAAGACACAACATCCAGACAAACAATCAGATACCGGTATTTCCACCACCAGTTGGGCGGCACAAAGATCTCAACAACAGCAGGGGGCGTATAGTGCTCCTCATGGGAGATTTGAAAGCCTTTGTCTGTGGGAGAGCCCAACGACATCTGCTGTGTTGTGGAGGACGTCCCAGACTCCGAGTGCCTTCTTAGCTCGGACATTGGGTGATGAAAAGCCCGTTAGGGCACGTAAATGGGTTATAAATGGAGCGATTTGTATGAGGTGCATCGTAGACCGCGGAAGGCTCAGCGGGTTTCGAAATGGACTTTGCTGGCGTTGGAATGACGCCCATGACGGAGAATTGTAGTGTTCAATTGCAAGTTTCTTGAGACAGACCAAAGTAGGGGGGGTGAATTGGTTAGAATTCTTGGAATGCAAATGGAAAAGGAGCCAAAGGGTCGTCACGGCACGTGCTCTTGAGTCACAGTCGTCTGTCCACTCAACTTTCTCAGTTTCTGAGGAATTTCTGAAACGCGCGACTCTGGCGAAATGAGAATGCATTAGCCACACCCAGCAGTTTCCGAGCACAACAATACCCGCCAAGCCGAGGTTTTATCTAATTTCTCCGCCGTAAAGTGTCAATGCTGGACTCGATTATACCCTGGCCCTAAACTTTCTCATGTCGCTTCAGTCGACATCCATTTCATCCCGCTCGACTCATCGACAGGGAAGACACATACAACACGCATTCAAAAAATGCACTTCCCGTCTGGTTTACATATTGTCACCATACATCTGTTAGTAAGGTGCAAATCGCCGGTACAATCATGAACCCAGGTAATCTTTCCGCTAGAACCGTATGTACCACAGTGACTGCCAGATAGGTCGTGTGATTCCTAGACAGGTCGATGTTCGGCCTCGACCACTTCATTTCCACGGTTCCATCCTGTAAACTGGCAACGGCGGCCTCGACGACCGTACTGAGCAAGTCCATGGCTTCGCGGGAACGGGAGCATCGATGCCGGCTTCTCTCACTTTTGTGACGTTCCCAGCGGTGGTGCAGATCACGCTCAATCTGGGAAGGGCCGGAAGGCACCTCCCTACCCTCCTGCGACATAAGAATTCTTGACAACGGTCAAACGTGTTTCTCAGCTCCCAGTGGCACATGGGGATGGGAGCAGAAGAGCTGACGGTGACGGGACCGAAATGAAAAGGAAAAGATATCGCAGAAAGGAGAATAAGATGCTGTCGCGTGCAGGCGGCTGAGCCAATCGACTCGCGAGTGCTTTTGGCAGGCGACAATTGGTTCTATTTTCTCATCTTTCCCGACACCGTGGCTGCAATACTTACAGAAGCGACCCCCCGGCTCGTGTGCTTCTCTGAATTCTTCAAGAGATCCACTGACACAGACCAGACCAACGAAGTTTCAGCAACAAATGACTGGCACAGGCACGTCTGGCGTTACTGGCTAGTCAACTAGGAAAACATATATTGAAACGCTAATTAGGCATAGTAGATTTTACGGGATTACTCATATCTAATCGAGCGATTAGTAAATCTTGAAAGTGCCCTCTAAGAAGCGATGCAGCAGGCTGTCGGCGACCAGTCCGCCAAGTACCCACTGTCCGATACGCGGTGTAGCGAGGAAGAACTTTTTGCATTCGGCTGGATTGTCGACATTGGTTCCCAGCAGGCCCGAAAAAAGATCCACGGCGGCAACTACCACGCTTGCAAGGAAGGTAATCCCGTGTCCGTTCATGACGCCTCCGTAAGCGAGCAGAAGGAAAAACCCGACTGCCGTGGCGGCGCATACTGGCACAGTCCGCTGCAGAAGAAAGAGAGCTGCAGAGTAAATCCCAAGGTTGATGTCGTCCATTTTGTCCTATCAACAAAGTATCAACAATTATCCTTATCATTTGACGGGGGACTAACCTGGTGTTGGTAGACGGTTTCGTAAGTAAAGGTCCACAAGATCGTGCTGAAGTAGATTGGGACCAAAATATGCCAAGGGATGGTCCCGTCGAGGCTGACGTCGCTCCAGCCCATGAAGACACCAACCGTGAACATGAATCCCTAATCATATCAAACAACCAGCAACTAGAGGGAAATATATTCACTAGTGGAATAGGCGCGAAGTACGTCCAGCGCTGCAGCGAAACGTCAGAAATGTTATGGGTACAAGGAGGGCGACCAACTTTGCAAGTCGGATAGATGATGTAGAGTGGCCAGACCGCCATGGAGATGAGCAGACTGTCGTTGCACGTGTCAGCGAGAAAAATATTTGCAAAACATGCGCCTACGCACGCGGTACGGCTGAGGGTCAATAGAGCGAGAGGGATACCGATGATGACTTGGATTACGAAGAAGGTCCAGGCGCGCGGAAGAGAAATGGCGCCGCGCGGGAGGGCCCGCCCTTTCGTCCTTTCGACAAGGCCGTCGATGTCGTAGTCAAGAAGGTCATCAATAGTCATGATCTGCGAACACTTAATTGTGGACCCGAATGACAGAGGGAAAAACTTGAATTACCAGAGACTTGACGCCGAAGCAAAGGGGAACATAGGTCATTGCGCATACAACGGCCTCTGCGAGCGTCAGATCTGGCTGGGCGCGAAAGGCCATTGTTATCGACCATGCTAAGTACATAGGAAGTTGTAAGCGTGACAATAAAAATCGAGTTGGAAAAACAAACCTGTTGGCAACCACACGACCCAGAACCCGATGTTGCTGTGCAGTCGGCAAAGTTCCCAGCAAGCTTGGATTTCTGTGGGCGTCGGCAGAGCCAACAGGGACACACAAGTCGATAGAAGACTGATGAAGCGAGTCGAAGCCTTCTGCATCGTTGAAGGGTGTGGGGGCGTTGAGGTGAAGCGACACAAGATAAAGGGCCAGTCAAATAAATGCATTTCATGTTTTTCTTTCTATCTGAGATTGAACCACCTGTCGGGGTTAGTAGCGTCATCCGTGCTTTAAAAAGCACACACCAAATGAAATCAGGGAGAGGCAAGAGAATCTCAAAGAAGCTGCTGTCCTGGCTTCCTGTGAGAGATTCCTGTGCCATATCGATCGTGCACGGCGTGCCTTGGTTGTTGTGGGGGAAAACCTCGTCAGTTTAGTGCTCTGTCAGCCAAACAACCTTCGCGCCACAAAACAAGTGGGTGTCGATGTTGCTCGAACGCTGTTCTTGCTTTGTTCTGCATGACACGCAGCATGTTATCAACATAGACTCCGCTAATCTTGGCACTTGTCGCCCGCGCAAAGTCCTCGCGGTCTTCTCCCGTGAACCTGGCCGCACTGGCAGGCAAACATATTTAGAGCAAGTTGAGGTGATGCATGTCCTCGTGTCAGAGTATCCAAATGTCCCTCGTCAACCTCAGACTCCTTTGCGTAGCCGCGAGCAGCATTAGCTTGCATCTGGCTTCGACGGCCCCTAATCCACCATTGCGCTCAGAAGAGCGCATCACCAAGCCGACGCATGTGGAGAAAATCCTCGGGTCCTGGTTTCTGAGGACGGCACAAACTGTAAGCGCCGATGGATTTCTGAACGACATTATTTAATTTCCCTTTGCAGACGTTATTCTGGGTCTTGATGGTGGCAGAAGGCGTTGCGACAACAAACCACCTCGCCCGTCCCGAGTCCGGGCTGCTCAATATGGCACTGGGTGTGGTGTTCATGGTTGGTGGGGCGTCGCTGCGCCGCTGGTGCTACCACGAGCTTGGCCAGCAATTCACCTTTGAACTGGGGCTCCTCAAAGACCACCAACTAATCACCACAGGCCCCTACCGATTTGTGCGACATCCCAGCTACGCTGCGGCGTTGTTGGTCTATTTCGGCCTCTTTGTGGCTAGCCCCGGCTCCTGGGTGATGGACGGATTCTTTCGCAGCAGCATCTCTGGCAGGCTGCTTGGGTCACTGTACATGTGCTTCGTGCTCTTTGTCATCACGGGTCTCGTCCTGCGAATCCCCAAGGAGGATGCCAGCTTGAAGGAGAAATTCGGGGAGGAGTGGGATCATTGGGCCGCAAAAACATATGCCTTAATTCCCGGAATGTTTTAGCTACAAAAACCTATGTATCGAATTCGCGACATGAACAACGTCAGTCAGGGCTTGAGTGTGGTGAACGCGGATAACGAGGGCAGATTGCTGGACAGCACACGCGACGGCTGACGCAGTGGCCCAGTCTCGCTCGTTCGGCTCGGTTTTCCTGCCGGATGCTTGCTCCAGAATAACACCGAGAAAAGATTTTCTCGAGGGGCCTATCAGCTGAGGGTATCCACTCAATGGATTGCGTTTTCGAAGAGAACCTAGGGTCAACAATGAAATGCATCCGCCATCTCGAAGAAGACGAGCACGTACCCGTGCCAATTTGGACATCGGCCGTGATAGAGGCAGCGCTCCGTAGGAGCTCCAAGTTTCCGTCTAGTGTCTTGCTAAACCCAATGCCCGGATCAACGATAACAAGCCATCGGCGGATACCCCCTTGCCCCTTGACAATCAAGTCAACTTTCGCCCCGAGTTCGACGCGCACGCCTTCAACAACGGCGCTTCTAGCGCCAGCGTAGTTATATGCACCGTAGTCCTTGTTCACACCTGCGTCGCCGCGGGAGTGCATTAAGATAACAGGCACGGCAAATTCCCTTGCCAAGGATTTCATTTCCGCCATCGACTTGTGCGACGTTGAGACAGCCTTGTCCGAGAACGGATAAGAGTCTGGTCCCGTGAAGGCATGAACATCATTGATGCAGTTTGCGCCAGCAAATATCGCAGCACGCGCAACAGCTGGTCTGAACGTATCGATGCTCATCGGGAGTTCGGTATGGGCCTTTCTGATTCCTGATATGCAAGGGGAAATACGAGCGACTTCTTCCTCAGGGGTAACAAACGCTGCTCCTGGCCGTGTAGAGTAGCCACCCACATCCAGAATGCTGGCACCTGCGGCAACAGACTCCTGCGCATATTGCATTGCTGTCGCCAACGTGTTGTGGGTTGAGCCATCGGAAAAAGAGTCGGGGGTGGTGTTGAGCGTGGCCATGACCCGAGTTTTCGATGACTCCGCATGTGTCCAAGATGTCAACGTCGAGGGTACTGGGTCAATGAAGGCATGGGGGTTTGTATCGTCTGCGGGAAATGGACACCGCGGGAAAGGAATGACCTTTTGCATAGGAGGCACAGATATGTTGAGAGCAGTCAATAATGCAGCCATCTTTCGATGGAAGATGGGATGTACGAAGTCAGGCACCATGCTATGGAGGCTTCAGGTCAGTGTGGCATAATTGAAACTAACAACGCACTCGTTCAACGGACGCAACACAAACTCTCGCTCTGATAATCGAGGATGGGGGATGACCAGTTCGCCATTGAGATCGTCTAGTTCCTTCCTGGGGTTGCGTCTGGTATCGACCACTCGATTGCCATAGAACACAATATCTAAATCGATCGCCCGAGGCCCATTCCGAATTGAAGGTACTCTGCCCACGAGTTCTTCGATTAGCTTGAGAAACTTGAGGAGGTCCAGAGGTTCCAGATTGGTGTGGATCTAAACTATATTTGAGATGAATGCGACCATATTCAGTAGAAACCGCCGCACTAGACATGCACAATTGAGAAATGAGGGCTGTTCAGTGACATACATGGGAGCAGTTTCGTACAGGAAGCTCGTGTCGACGACGGTTGCGAAGGAAGAATCAAACCCAAGGTGCTGCGGAGCTTCGAGCAGACGGAGCGCAAGTTCGACATTATAGAAACGGTCCCCAAGGTTGGAACCAATTGCCAATGCGACCAGTTCAGGTTCCTGCTTGACCATGAGTCAAAAAAACGCATGTGCCGCCATGGACAGACCTCATGCGAGGGTGCGTTGAAGATTGCGGGAAAGTCGGAGAATGTTCTGGAAATCTCGATTTCGGAGGATGCAGCGAAGACTATTGCAGAAGGCTTGGCGGCTCTAACGGTAACCAGTGGGACTTGAGAAGTTGGATTCAGGTAGCGTAGTGTTTCTTCCGCTATATACGAGGCCAAAGCTTCAAGCATTTTGAACGAGGACTGGCTGACTTTCTGGACGAATTAGAGGGAAAACGGTAATCGGGCACGCCGATACCTCATATAGCCGCCTCGTCAATGCCCGAAAGTCCAGCTTTTGAACGCCACAGTCCTTCCATTCAACGTCGACGTTGAAGCGCACAATTTGCCGCTCTTCGCGTTCACAGTCATTCACTCCAATGATGGCAGAGCATTCCATGTCTTGACAAGAGTGTGCTGTCCAGTTGGCAACCCACGATGCTCCAGAGGATCGTTTTGCGGTGACTTCTATCCGGGCCGACTTGCAGTTTAGTGGCGCTCTTGTTTGAACCAGTGTTAGGTTCACTTCATCGAGGGCAATATCGTGCCGACTGAAAAGGACATCGAATATCATGGAGGATAGCGTTTCGAGATCTTCTATTGGGAGACTTTTGTCGTTGAAGGAATCTCGAAGCGTGGAGCAGAGAAGGGAGTAGTTGATCGTGTATGTGAGGTCGTCTGTGGCCGCTGAGGCTGATATGTCGAATGGGACGACGAGGGATACCAAAATGGGTTGCAGAGCCGGTTGCCCGGGAGGTTTTGGCCAAACGGCACCGGTGAGAAGAGGAACGGTAAGAAGAAGGTCATTAATGCGGATTTTGTCGCGCCCCATCGCCGCAAAGAGCAACCACGAAAAATGGGTGCAGATCATTATGATGGCCGAATCGGCATTGTACCGTCACAGCGCTTGTCTGGAGCTCCCACTATCTCGCCGCCGTGCTACTCAAATAGCGAATGGCGGACTCAGAACCCCTCATAAGGCTCACGGCAGACGAGATTAATTGTCTGGTTTACTCGTTCCTGATCGACTCCGGTGTGAAACTTACTACCTTGCCGTGTCTCGTTTTGACGTATCTCCCAGGTTTCAAACATTCCGCGTTTACTCTATGCATGGAAGCAAAGCTGGATGAATCTCCAAATTTCTCAAAACACATCCCACGTGGAGAGCTCATCGACTTGCTCAGCAAATCACTACTCTATCGCGAGGTTGAATCGCATTGGAAGGCAGACAACTTGGCACTCAACTGCAAAGTAGGGTTCACTCTGCTAGACCCACACGTCTGCTCTCTAGAGCCACCTAAGAAGAGCCAGTATCCCCCGGCACTCTACACACAACGTCCCCCCACGCAGTCTTCGCGTACAAACGGTGTCGATGGCAAGCGCAAGGCAAGTCCACTTGGGAGTGGTCCTGCAGAAAAGCGTCCGAGACTCGACGAAAATGGGGGTAAGTACCATAACTTACACAAATGAAGCTTCTCATCTCGCTCAGACTCCTCCCGACGCCAAATTAAACCCAAGATTCGAGAACCGGGACCAGGCGACAATGAGACCGACCCACGGGCCATACTTTTGCTCACGGACCACGAAACAGAAGTAATTGCCTTCCAATATAAATATAGTTATTGGCTGACAATCCCATAGGTTTTCGTTTGTGCGTTTAATCCCACCAAACCATCGCTCCTGGTCACAGGGTCTGTTGAATTACTACTTCACAACGTTTCTTACGGTCTTATAGATCGAAAGATGCCGTTTTACACCTGTGGGATCTTCCCCAACCACCGCCAACAACCTCCCCAGAGTTCGCCCAGGCTCCGCTAAGCCCACGTAGACTGGAATACGTGAGTGACGCAGACCCCCGCGACATAACCTCTCTTCACTGGAATCCGGACGGTACTCTCATTGCCATGGGCTCCTATGATACTGTTTTGCGAATATGCACTGTGAATGGCGACCTGTATTTCTCCAGCAATCAACACACTGTAACTTGAGTTCTTCTTTGCCGCTCATTCACTCACACACACACATCCAGGCCGGGCTTTTTGCTGCTCGGTTTTCGAAAAGCGGCAAATGGTTACTTTCTGCGAGTTTAGATGGCACCACATGCTTATGGGATGTCGCCAAACGCGAACTGCATACCCAATATCGAATTGCCAATGGTCAGTATCTAAAGTACCTCAGCATAACCTGCTCAACACTTGATTTAGAATGTTGTTTGGACGTAGACTGGCTATCCGAAACCATGTTCGCTTGTTGCACTGCAGACGGCAAAATTCAAATCCTGGAGGTCGGGAAACTCGAGCCAATCCGGACACTGACGTATGTCACTCCGTGTTTCTTCCTTGGACTGAACTTTTTTTTGCAGAGGTCATTCAGGTGAAATCAATCAGATCAAGTTCAATGCAACTGGCACCAGACTGGCCTCCGGGTCCGATGACCAGACTGCGCGGATATGGAAACTTGACGACCTGGATAAGCCCACGTCGACTCCTCTGGTTCTTTCTGGTCATACTCATTCGGTCAACACTGTCCACTGGTGTCCTCAGGTGCACGCGGAAGATAATCCTATACTTGCGACGTAGGCTGATTCTTATGTAAACATCTGCCGCTTTTGATTCACACTATTTTTAGTTCCTCCTTCGACGGCACTGCCCGTCTTTGGGATTCCGTCACGGGTGCCTGTATTCACGCCTTCGCTGACCACAAGCGCTCGATCTACACGTTCAAGTTCAGCCCAAATGGGCGCTGGATCGCGACTGGGAGCGGCGACGGCTGGCTACACATTTATGACTACAAAACTCGCGAAATGCGTTGGTCTTGGTTTGCCGGGTTCGACAAACCGGGCATATTTGAAATCGATTGGCAGATGGATGAGGGAGTGGACCGGATTGCTCTTGCGCTTGAGTGTCGAACGGTGGCTGTGATTGATGTCCAAAAAGTCCCAGCATTGCAGAGATCATAAATAACCTTTTGTCTACACTTGCGCAACTGCACTCACCCGCTATCCAGTTTTGATCATGTTTTCGACCTTTCGAAACTTGTTGTCACCGATCCTGCGATGTAGCAGCGAGTACTGGAATCCTGCGAGAAAGTTAGATCCCATGGGTAAACGGAATGTTCAATCGGAAGTATCGTCAAGCTGATCTTACAGTCTGACTTAGGAAATACTAGGACTTTCCCTCTGCTCTGTGTCCGAGTTTTGCTGCTTCTTTTTCGTGGGCAATATGCCTTCAGTTGTTTACGGTCACCGTCATCTTCTGCAAATGTGAACCACTCAAGGGTTGTTGCAGTCACATTCGGTAGAAGTCAAGTTTCTTTTGTTGCCTGTGCCAATTTTTTGAGATTCCCCAGCTCTCGAAAAGAGATTAATCTTAGTAAATAGGCAGTCGTTCTTTCCGAAGTCAAGACATAGAAAGGACAAAGCCCAACTTACGACAAACATATGGCACGCAGAGACGATATCGGCCTGAACTCGTGCCCTTCAAGTTCTGGATAAAATTGCGAAAAGTGGAATTGACTCAAGTTGACGCTTCACGCTCCATCTGGGTTAAGCTAGTGATATGAGAGGTCTCTTTCGTAGCTATGTTATTTAGGAGTATGCAAATGACTGGCGTTCGCCATCTTTCATAGTGGTAGTTCGAGAGAGCCTTGATCAGATGATGAGATCAGGCTAAATACTCAGCTTGGATTCTGCCAACACACTGCTTTCGACACCAGCCAAATTCGATCGTACATTGCTCGCTGCAGCCAAAAATGTCATGAGTACAAGCCGCAGCCGCCGAGGGTGCTGACTCAGTTAACCGAGGCCACCTACTTATACTTGTTTTTTGACGCCACCAGGGACAGTCAGTCTCCCCTCCAACAAACGCCGACGCTCGGAGCTATGCTGCATCCTGGCTGTTAAATACGCTGAATAATATCCAACACTGAATTCCACGATCCAGCACTCGAATACTTATGACATGCATGGCTGCTTTGAACGGGCTTTGACCGACTGTCATGACGCATTGCTCGTCCAGACTGTTCCTCGACTATAAAACTTGCCCTGACTCTCTGTCTCCCCCACATCCTTTGCCTTCGACAATTTTTCATTGCTCTTCGTGAACTCATCCGACCCTTCACCAAACACCCATTCCAACTTGCAGATTCATCTTCATGTCTTATTCACACCAACAACAACGCCTCGAGCCCCTCCGCCGTGCGGATGTGGACCCGACTTGCAGCCGCCAACGAGCACACTCGTCGTCTCGCTCCAAATCCCGTTCCCGAACGGAGTCGACCCACAGCTCGCGCCATGCTCCCCAGCCTATGCCACCTATGCCTGCTATGCCCACTATGCAACCCGCTTCTCACCACTCCTCTCACAGTCGCACTCACCTCCAGCCTCACTCCAACGACGACGAGTCATTGCGCTCCGCCTTTGACGACGATTCTGACGATGAAGTCGCCAGGGTCGAAAAGCCGAGATCCAAAAAAGGGTCCTTCTTCGGGATCTTCAAGTCGAAGAAGGACCACCCAAAGGCCCCATCACAGCAGTACCTCGCTGAGGCTCATGCTGCGGCTCAAGCCAAAGCCCAAAAAGGCCTGCGTCGCCGATCACGCTCTGTTGGCTCGTTCGATGTTCATCCCACTCTGTATTACTCGCGCTACGCCCCAGTCCCCATTGCCAATATCTACGGGAACGAGCAAGCCACTCGCTCGACAAATGCATTGTCTCCCCAAAGGGCCCAGCCCACGACTCCCCAAGGGCGTTCGCGTCTTCATTTGGCTGTCCCTTCCCCGCTTAGTCTTGGCCAGAGCAATGGCAGGACGGATACCAAGAACACCTTCAGCAAAAGCTGCACCCTCACCAAATCGCGTGACCCAAATGACCCAGATCTGCCCAACGACTACAACCACCCATGGTTCTATCGCAACATGCAGGAAGCCAGGGCGGCAGAGCAACGCCAGGCCCAAGATTTCGAGCAGCGTCGGGCTCGCGAGGCTGCCAGGCCCATTCCTAAGCGTGTCAATGCGCTTCCTCCCGACGATGTTGAGCCCCGGCGCAAGCGACCTGAGTATTTCGACCAAATGGCTGCTCCTGCTCAGTATCGGTCGCGTTGAATCATTATTCCCTGTCTCGACACTATTCTGTATCTGTAAAGTAAAGTCTACTCTAATGTACCGGTTATAGGGTAATAGGCTTGTTGAAGCTCGTTTGAGGTCAAATGAAGGTTATCATTGGGTCCTCACAGTCATGGCAAACCTTAGGCATTCATTGGCCCTAAGCATTGTTTTTTCATTCATGGAGCAAATAATACAAAGAGCTCATGATTAATACTTCGCCTTGCCTGCCCCCACCGCAAAACTCCAGCCCATCATGCCCAGAGCAACAAGCGCAACAAGTAAGATCCAATAACACAATGCCCTGCGACATCTCCCAATCCATGGGTCAATCATCATCCTCGGCGTCTCCTGTGCGACTTTTACGGCCTGCAGCTTAGACCGTGTTACGTCGTCGAAGTAACGGTGTAACAAGCCAAACGGCTTGGGTGTTGGCCCAGTGGAGACATACCCGGGTGGGCGGGAGACGAATGGGTAGTAATAAGCAATCCCATCCAGGGCTGCGAGTTGGGTTGGGTTGCGGACCCAACGAGGAAGAAGCAATGTCTTTGGTCTCGGCAACCGTTTCGCGGGTCGCAAGGCTGCAGCGTTCGCGACAGTATGATCTCGATCCCAAGGTGACACGCCGAGTCCACATGTTAATATCGCCCACCAGCGGGTGTTCCGCACGTAGTGCTCCCACAACGTCCGCGTCGCCGGGGTCTCAGCGAAGAAGGTAAAATACCACCCGCCGACCCACCAACACGGAGGGAAGAGGAAACCCAACCAGAACATGCAGAATGCTGGTGTCGCAAAATTGAATCGCTGGCGCTTTCGACGCAGACTGCTCCCAACGGTGGTGGAGGTGGCGGAGCCAAATGTCCCATGTCTATCGAGAGGTTGTGATTGTAGGGCCACAACCGACGCAGTGAGATGAGGTGAAAATGGAGTCTTGTTGGAGATGCTGGCCGGGCCGGCGGTTGCCGGACGAGCCTCAACATCGTCTGGGAGATCTTCGATCTCAGGGTAGTCTTCCTCGCCGTTTGGTTCAAAGCGAACTGATTTCGCAGTAACGAAGCTGTCTGCGTGCAGGGAGCCATTACTGCTTCCAGCCGCACTGTGTACTGAGTTCCGAGTCGGTGGAGTGTAAGCTTTGGGTGGTCGACGAGGAGGTCCAACAATATCCTGACTGGGATGGGGTCCAGGGAAGTATGGTGCAAAGTTGAGCGGCGGTATAATGGGCGGCTCTGTTGCTAGTGGAGTTGGTATACGTTGCGATTTCGTTGGCGACTTCACAACAGGACCTGCATTCGTCAATATGTAACGATTAGAACAATGCAGTATCCCTACCAGCTAGATCCAGTGTGGATATTTCACTGTCTGCAAAAGCACTAACCGGAGAGACATAGCTTTGCTCTTGGATTGGGGACAGAGGCCGTCGAACGTCAATATGGAGTGGTGAATGGGAGTTGGCTCGGGCAGCCGGTGGTGGAAGAGCTATGTCGGATTCGTCTGACACAGGAGAAGGAGACGGTGTTGGAAGGGAATAAGACCGAATCAATGGGTAGGGCGAATCCTTGTCTCGAATCGGCAGACATGGACGGATCGTGCCACGACTGGAGTTTGTGCCCAAGCTGCCCGACCTGTTGATAGCAGGAGTCATTGTGTTGTCGCCCGCGTAGATTTCGAATCGCCGCGGCAGCGAAAGCAAGACTGGGGCACCAATGTTAGCCTTGTTTACTTTCCGACCTTGCTCTCGATTGGTGATTGGGAGAGTCGAGCCGGAATGGGAGTCGGCGCGGTGCCATAGAGAGAAGTGAATGGGCATGGAGAGAGCTGGGGTTGGGCTGGATGAGCCTTCAGGTGTGGCTTAAATAGAGCCGCAACATACTTCATGAGTGCGCAAGACGCCTGGCGTTCCAGCGACATCATTTTAAAGATCTGGTTCAGCCAGTCATGAAGGCGCAGTAAACGAGCCGGTAGCTGAGTGAGCCTGACAAAATGTGTTCAAAACGTCAAGACTCACTGAACACGACTTCAACGTCTACGCTTCTTGTACCTCCGAGCAGAGCCGGCAAACAGAAGCAGAGATACATAGAGGTCACTAAATACATGCGGTGCGGATGCTTGAGGCAGTGTCCTGGTCACAGATGTGACGCCACGCGTCTTCTGTTGAACCGCAACGCGTCCCAAGCATATGCCTTCACCTACCATCAGCATAATCGCACCAACACCACCGCGCAATGCATCCCGCTTCCGACTTCTGTATCGTGGTGCACTCTCGCTGCCGGACTCCCATCTACTACTCGATGGCTTGACTTTCGTCTCTCAAACGCCAGCAGCAGAAGACCTGGCTTCGGGTTCCGGGTCAGGACAGAATCAAACCCTTCTCGAAAGCCCGCTGGCACTGGCCCTAGAGAGCATGCGAGGCGTGACGAGCTTGAGATGGATGGGACCAGTTCAACTACGAGACGTTTATCTCGACGAGTCCGGTGGAATCACAATGTGCGTTTACTTGAACTATTTGACAAATAGTCCTCCTAAGCCGATGGCGTTAGGGATATTCACCCTGCTGCCACCCTCTCTCGCATATATTTTGAAAACACATTCTGTTTGGAACCTTCATCGCTTGCGTGGGGTATTAAGGTCGCTTTGGGGGACACAGGTATGCATTTCTGCTTCCTGCCACGCAAATATAATCTACTTTGTCGGTTTAGATGGCCCGGAAACGACTTACATGCTCATATACCCGCGTACCCAGCCGCAAGAAACCGAACTCACACTCGCTGTTGCACGTATAACGCCGACTCCCCCATCTACCACAAAATATCGTCTTCCCCGACCTGACGACCCTACTCCTCGGCGCCCGCCACATCTGTTTTCACGCACCACCTCTGCTGCCGCCCGACCCCATAAACGAACTTCCAGTATTGCTGCTGATTTGGGTAGTGGTGTCCGTCTTGGCTCTCCGCCTGCTTCTGGGTCTTTCCGTGTACCAGAACTACCTTCAGAACGCTCAACAAAGGGCAAAGAACGTGCAATTGAAGATGAAGATGACGTTTTCGGAACTGCCTCATCGTCGGTGGTACCGATAGAAAACAAGGGAAAGCGGAAGCGTCCCGCTGAAGCGATCGAGACCCCCGGGCCGCAGCAAATCGACGTAGAGAACCAGATGGAAAAAGCCAATAAGACTGTAACCTTTATCCCCTTATTCCGCCTCTTGCATTGCTAATTTCTCCGCCAGATAATCAAACAGTCCACCATCCATCTTATGCAGCTCCCGAAAACACATCCGGACTACAAGGACCTGTATGGAGCAGTCTATCGGGGTGTTATATTTGCTCTGGTATGTCGTTTCCTTACTTGTCGGGCCAAACCTCAAATAAGCAATTTAGCGCACGGAAATGAAGAGAACAGCTGTAGATCTTAAGACTGTTGAACGATTAGTCAAGTTACATCTCAACATGTACTCGCCCACAGACGCAAAACCTGCTAAAAGAACATCATCATAAACATTGTCCGCGCTTGACATGCTTGACATTCGACTTCTTCAAGGTCCCAAGTACAAAATTGCGTGTTAGCGTTCAATATAAGACCGTAGCTATAATGTCCTGGGTATCATGATCTTCGCCTTCTTACTTGGTATTCTCTTCGACATTCTCCACAAAACGACCAGTATCTGTTGCTGGAGCTTTGCCCTTGCCCTTGCCTGACGAGCCTCGGATAAGGAACTTGGATAGCCCGCGTTTGGGCTGTTTCTCTCCGGGCACCACTTCTCCCGGCTCTTTGCCTGCTCCAGGATGGATCTGCTTTATATCGTCTGGCGGAGCAACAGGCCCATCTTTCTTCTTATTGAGCTCTCCTGCTTTCGCTTTCTCTATTTTGAGGAATTCCTCTCCACGGATACGCAAGTATTCCTCCAACAAGGCTGCATTGCGCGAGTTAGCCTTGAAAGCAGCCATTGCCACGTCTCCCGCAAGAGGCACCAGTCCCATTAGAGCTGACGCTGCGTTGTTCATGAGCATGCGTTGAATAAGCCAGTTGGGAAGGTCGGCTTTGCGTGCTTTGCGGACGACGAGAAGGTAGTTGAGCGACGCGTCGGCGACATCGCCAGCGCCAGGAATAATTCCAATAATGAACGTCCAGCCGAAACGGAAGCCACAGAGCGAAAAACCCTGGGTGGGATGAGGATTTGCCGGAAGAAAGTGGATGTTTGGCTCACCTTATCGAGATAGTGGGCTCGTCGTTGAACAGACTTTAATATCTTGGCATCGCGAGCCGACAGGCCTTCGGGAATCGCACGCTATACTTCACGTCAGCTCTTGTTGGATTTGGAGGAAACGAGGGAGTTGACCCTTCGACGCTTCTTCTTGCCCTGTGCAGTCGTGTATTCTTCGTACATAGGGTCGGCCGGAGCATATTGCTGGAGGTGTTTCTCGAATAAAGTTCTGCCGGCTTTTCTGAGTAAAGCGTCGGACATGGTAGTGTTGGTAAGTAAGATAGAGGGAGCGGTTCATTGGAGCCTGTCGGGTTTTATAGCGCCTTGCAAGTGAGGCAGTGATGATGTCATGGCCATAGATTTCCTCCGTGTTTGTTTGGCTGTGTTCCCGGCAATGAGAGGAAGAGGGTCGGAGCTCGTCGTCGCATCGAGTTCAATGTGGCCTGAGCCAGGATGTGTGGGCTCTTGGAAGCGGCAAATGGAAAGGCATGGCATCACACGAATGTCCAGATATGGCAATCGCCCAGGCGCCTCTGGTAATCTTATTCCTAACCTCCACCTATCGGACGTCGCGGGCCTTATCCTTCCCATTTACTCCGTTGCGCGATGGCTGCTCCCGTCTCACAAGAGGGTACGTGCTGCTGCTCGTGGTTTAGAGAGACTGTACTGATAATCGTTGGACAGAGTTACCTATCCTGGAGGCACTTATCAAGTTCGTCGTCTTTACCTGCTCTTCTGCCTACGGGACCCGGATGAAGGGAAATGAGAGAGTCTGGGAGCCATACTTCTGCTCCCAATAGTGCCTGTGGCATGTATGGATGTCCATTACTAACGGACACTCTTCCCAGCATCCGAAATCGACTGGCCGTGCTCAAGAAAGACCGCGCAGAATACATTAAGGCGTCTGATGTGAATTCTCTATACCAATCCGTGGTCAAGCAAGGTCCGCACAACACTCTAATCTTTGTCCTCAAAGGCATTAATGCTGTTTCCTAGTGACAAAACTGAACGACGTTCGAGACGAGAATACGACCTACAACAACCGACTGGACACTACCCTCGCCGATGTATTCAGCTTACTCTCACTGTTTTACCTCACGATCGGGAAAACGAGGGATACCCCGGCGACGTATTCACAGATCGCGTCTATGCGGGTTCGTTCCCGGACTCCTCACTAATCTTTGCTGACTCCCTGATCAACAGCAAATTCTTCGACATATGGACGAGTCGGCCGTCTACAACGAAGCAGACCTAGCCCCCTTCAGGCGACGGGTGGGAGAGCTGCGGCAAATAGTGCAACATGAGAAACACCCCAATGCTGTCACGAAGCTCCTTGACCGCCAACTGAACGAATGTGACACCAAGATTCACGCGCTGGAGGAGTCTCTCAAAGTGTTATCGGTGGAACTCATCCCAATTCACGAGAAACTGGTCACTATCAGGCGACAGCTAGTTGCACTGGCAGCGAAAGACGCGCCACACAAGGCGGAGTTAAAGCCTTTGCAGGAGGAACTGAGGAAGATTGACGCGCAGCGTGTTGACGGTAAGTTTCTTGGGCCAGGGGGCATCGTACCCGCCTCCCAAGCGATCTGTTCGGCCCTTCTCGAAGAATGCTTCGATATTGCTCAGGAAATCAAAGCTCATGAAGACTCGCGGCATATTGTAGAGGCTCTGAAGCCAATCCACGAACGGCTGGCCGAGATTCGGGCGGAGTTGGAGAGCCTGGTTATGACACATCGCTGGACGTTGAGGGAGACAGATCTGTGGAACTATTCGTCCGCGCTGCACGAAATTGATAAGATGAGGGTGGATGGCAAGTTTCTCGACGCAGATGGTGGGAGGCCGGGGGGTCAATATGTGAGTTCCAGGTTTAGTTTCCTCTGATGCTTATAGACTCGACAGATTCTCTTATACCTCCTGCGACGGTGTTATGGGCTGATCTACAGACTGCTATCATCTAGCGAGCCTGTGTCGGAAGAGCTCATGCCCATCGTATGTCGCGAGTTCTGCGTCCACGACCTCCCTCATCCTTTATTAGGCCAACAAACTGTCGACAGTGAAGAAATGTTTAAATGAAGTCCTCAAGTATGGGGGAACCTTTAGTGCCCGGGATCTTTATCCAGTTTGTCCTTCTTCCTCAATTTTGCAGATGGCCTCACAATGCCCAGTACCAACTTGCACTTTTTCAAATTGACTCGATGCGCAAAGAGGGCAAGTTTGTGGGTTCAGACGGATCGATTCCAGAAGGCCAGGGCACGGTTATGGCGCACTTGAACGAATGCCACGAATTGTTGGAGATGGTGCGTCTTGTGGTTTTCAACTGCTTGTTGTTATTGATAGTGGGTTGCAGTTGAAAGAGTCGATGGATGAAGATGAGGAGGAATACGATGATGAGGAGGAGTATGATGAGGATGATGATGAGGAGGATGATGAGGCGTTTTCCGGATATAGTCTGAAACGACGGGCAACGCCTCCACCAGATAGTGACGAGGACAGTCAAAGCGATGGTGGAACTGGATGAGGTGAATTGTTGCACATTATCGAATATTTCTGTTTCCATGAAGCACAATCTTGTTCAACACGTAGAGCCTTTTCCTGCAAACCGTGTAGACTATCTTCCGCTGCTTGTAGCCTGACATCCATGTCAGGTGAATCGTCCTCAAAAGGAATCTTTCAAGAGTGACCTTTGTTCAGCAAGTTCAAGCTCTGTAGATAATACTCTCTTCCTCTCCAGCAAGCCAGCATAAGTCTCGGTCAGGCTGACACGTTCTCGAAGCATTGAGAGAGTTTCGTCTTTTGCTTTCAGTGCACGCGATTTCAACACTAGTTCGTGGTCTGCCAAAAGAATCCGGCGATGAAGTTCAGCATTCTTGTCTGAGAAAGATTCCAGGAACTATGAAAGTTACTATATCAGCTAAACAGAGACGGGCAGAGTATGTACTTCACGAATTCTGTCCATCGAACAAACGTTGTGGCAAGCACGAAGTCTGTGTTACTCGTGACAACACAACTTTATCTCCCCCCACCTTGCTGTTAGCTTGGATACGATGTCAAAGCTGGCTGAGGACCCACGCGACGCGTCTCTGGAAGCCAAATTCTCACTCCCAAATACGTGGACTCAGGATAGTTTCGGTGTGCCATCTCGTCAACCTCCGTTACCCAAACTTGAAATATTCTTTTAGATGGCCTGAGCACGTCGGGCATGTTCCTCTCTGGTCTCATTATGGTCACTCGCAACCGGTCGGTTGCTCGCTTGGGAATATGATAAGCTCACCTAATATATGTGTGAACAGGTTTCTTGCATGGCCGTCAGTCATATTTGGTCTCAGCAGCAGCATAAACGCCCATCCACTGCGGACAAAGGAAGGAGGCGGCTCGGCATTGCCCAACCTTGCGTGCGTGGCCTGAACTCTTTCGCTTGATACGCAACCTTACTCTACTCCAGCCTCTGTGTGATGGCTCTCTTCGCGTCTTATATTCCCCTCCTTATGATTTCCAATTTCCCAAAACAAACGTCCACACCGCTGTAACGCGACATCTATTGTTCATAAAATTACACCTTAATACAGGACGGCCATTTCCGCAGACACCACCCCCAGTCCAACGACCGTCATCACGAGCAACGGGAACACATTCCACCGTGCAAACACCCCTTGCGTGATCTCTAGCCTTTTCGCAAACTCGTACGCTCCGGGCGGTACCTCTTGTCCCCTCTCCCTTACGTGTTTGATTTTCAAGACCTCGTCCGCAGCGATTTCGTCTTGCTTTTGCTTCAGAATCGTCTTCCATAGCAGTCCCGCGAGACTGGCCGAAAAAGTCGCACTAACGGCGCCGATGTTGCTCGCCAAAGCGAGGGAAACACCTGCCGCGCGTGTTGTGTTGTGAGGGAGGTCGGCAGCACGGACAATCTTGGTGAGAAGGATTGTTGCACCAATGTTAGTACCAGCCAGGTTGCAGAGGACAACACCAAGCACGCCCGTAAGCCAGACACTGGGATGAATGTCACCCTTGGAAGCAATCGCGAACCAACGACCAAAGACTTGTATCCAGCCTTGATGAGCAAGCGCCTCGATCAGGATGAATTGAGAGAATGCGAACGGAACTAATGCAAAGGGCAGTCGAGGCAGAGCAGTGAAAAAAGTTGGGAAGCGCAGGGATAAGCTATCGTATTTGGCATTGAAGCGCGGTCCCAGTCGCTGTGGGAGAGTTTGGTTTTCTGGAGATGAAGGTGTCGCTGATTCGGGGTCTGTTGCCAGGGTCTGTTGTCTACCTATGGTGCTTTGGAGCGTCATGGCACGCTGCATGTCGAAAACATCGTCCTTTGACGAGTCTGCACTTTCCGGTGGCTTCTCGGTTTCGTCGATGGCGTTTGATCTTGGATGCGTATACTTCCAGTGATCCCAAATCATATCGAAAAGGAATTTGGCGACTGCGAAAGGTAGAGTGATTTTCCAGACATCGACTTTGAAAAAGCTGGTTACGAGCACCACCACAATGCACACAAACAACAGCGACGCCCCAACAACTGCAGCCAACGGGTCTCTAATCGCCGACCGCACGTCAAATTTCTCTATGGGCTTCATGTGGCGCGGGATATGACTGATATCTCGGAACTGGAATGCCAAGGCGAAATAGCAGACCACATTGCAGGCAAGAAAGACCAAGATTGTGTAGAGTGTGAATGCGGCAAAGTTGATGCCAAACCCTTCGCAAACGACCACGTTCGTGGGGTTTCCCACTACCAAGACCATGCTAGCAGTGTTGGCAGACGCGAACTCGGCCATCAACCAGGGGAGTGGCTCGAGATCGACCCCGCGTGTGTAGTAAATGAGAAAGACGGTTCCGGAGAGGATGACGGGGTCGTTCCCCAGACAAACACTCAGCAGAGTGAGCATCACGTAAAAGTAGAAGTATAAGCGTCGTCCGTTGGTACCGCCTTTATTGGAGACCCAAAATGCAGCTGCTTGAAGAACCCCGCTAATGTCGAGCGTGATGGCCATGTACGCGAGAGAGAAGAACAGTATCAGGATGTTGTATGGCTTGACGCCTTCCGTGCCCACAATCCCGTCACGGATCTACAAACGTTGGAATATACACCCACAAACTGACGTTTCTCACCTGTGTGGCCCCAAGGCATTGTGCAGCCCATAGAATTGCTATTGCAAGTATGGGCGCGGTCGTCAGATTAATGGGAATGCGCCGTCTGCCTATGCGGATTTTGACGGGGTATATGACGAACGTGATAGAGAGCACGAAAAATATGAGAGTGACGATGGAGAACCGTGTAATCGCCATTGGAAAATTGACGCTGAGGAAGAAAGGGCGGCTTCTGCTCTGAATCAGTTAAAACGATGCGTGAAGAAGAGGCAAACTAACCACAAACTCTGCGCGACCATGGCTGTTGTGGCCAAGAGGCAGAACGATCAGCCGAGCAACTTTCGGTGGCAAATCTGACCGAAGCGACGTCATAATCACGCCGTCACGTATGTCACACTAAGGGTCCTTGTCCGAGCAACATCCGAGCTTATCGTTTGCACACGTCTGAACCGCGGCTAACATACTTACGGCCACCCACAGTCTTTCTTTTGGCTGCAATCATGATATCCCGCTTTGCAAAATCTTTCATTGCTATTGTTGTCGCGCTCCTCCTCCTCTCGACCATCTCGTTCATCCATCCAAGCTCTAGAAACTATAGCTACTTCGATCCTACGTCTGGGGAATTTCTTGCCAACGGGAATGCCGCCGCAGAAAGGAATCACAAGCAAGACCAGCTACAGCACGATGCACACCCACCTATTTCCGGTGTTCAAGGCGGTGTTATCATGGAAAAGCTGGGGAACGCGACAGCGAAGTGAGTGGAAGGGCAAGAATGACAAGGAAACACTGAGGTTCTATTTAGAGCCGCACTAGGACGAGCAACGTGGAAATTGTTGTACGCCGCTGCGTGTCCACCTACTCTTTCTTGCAGCTCACTCCTTCACAGACATACCATGACTCTACGATACCCCGAGGTAAGCATACGATTGGTTTCTTTACCTTCGCCCTCTTATTCTAATCCCAGAAACCTACGCAAGACGAAAGAGATGCTTTGAACTCATATTTCCATTTATTATCTCGACTGTACCCTTGTGGTGAATGTGCCCACGAATTCCAACAGCTGTTGAAGCAATATCCACCACAGGTCTGCTTTCTTCACTTCCTCCTCTATTCTCTCTGACAGCAAACAGACATCATCTCGTCGCGCAGCGTCATTATGGTTTGTTCTTTTACGCACCCTTTCATTTTTATTAGTGACCAGCTTTTAACACTTGGTAGGCTGTGTAGTGTTCATAATCGCGTAAACGAACGACTTCACAAGGAGGAGTTCGATTGCGCCCATCTAGACGAAGAGTATGATTGTGGTTGCGGTGACGAGCCAATTGGGGCTTCTGCTGTTCCTGCTTTAGATTTGGATATGATGCGAGGCGGCCGTTAGAGAGTGTGTTTATTTGGGTGTATTTAGCATGGATCAAGTCTTTCCGGGCCTTGTGTTTGGCCGTTACTTACTCAGGCCCGTTAGGCGCCACGCTTATGCGTTTGTCAATCGTTCGCGCCTTGCCCTCTTACGACCAACAGCTCGTGGCATATACCCTCCCTCTCTGGCCACGACGCTACCTCCCTCTCTAGCCACAAAGCTACCACCCCAACGAACGACATGTCCTCCCTTCGCCGTCGAGTGCTTGAGTCTGAAGAAAGAAATTTAACGCGCAAAGAATCACCGCGACGACCGCCACCTTCACATCGACATAACTCACCAAGTGCTCCATGGTTTGTCGTCCCTCCCTGTTTTTTTGTGGGTTTTCAAATGTCGTTGTAGGCCGTGGATCAATCTTCATGACGGTTAGGAGACACAGTCTGGGACGTAACATCAACTTGAACTTTTTGGTTTCGTAGAGATCGATCAAGAACAACTTGCCTCCCCACTTCCACCTGTACCAGCCCCCTGCGACCACACAACATGCGAGGGCAGCTGTTGGAAGGGCTACCCACAGTCCCGCTTCCCGAACTGGACACCGTCACAGCTTCGCCGCAGTCGCATTCAAAAGGCAATAATGGACTATAATAAATCCGCGCAGGCCGCCATCTACTATGTCGACGTGGATTCGGAAGGCGTCTTCAAAGACTCTGGCAAGTTCGTTGCTAGGGAAAAGGAAGACGCGCCAGAGGACGAGTTATGGGACCAGTTAATCAATGAAGACAAGCAGCGACCAGACAATGTACGCGTGCGCGCTCTTTTCCTCGAATCTATGAGCGGACCAATGTTGCAACAACTTGGGGCGAAGTATAACATCGAGCCGTTCTTTTTCTCTTCTTCGTTAGGCTGGATACCCTCTCGTTACCAAGAAGAAGTACGAGCAAAGAAGGGAGACCGTAAGGCATCTACCACAATTTTATCTGAGCTCTGAATCCTCTTAGATCTGACAATAACCCTAATATTCCTTCGAACCATGGACCACCCTGACGCAAAATCGCTGCACACTTTTCCCGACAGTGCGAGCAGTACCATGACCACGCCATTCAGCTATCACGGTCTGTATGATTTTAGAGACGTGGAGCCCGAGCTAAAGATTTGAAAGAGCAAATAATAGACACACAAGCACCATTATTTCTCCACTCTGGCGGCCAGTACCTTATACTCGACCTCCTCGCGGTCCACCTCGTCCGAAGCATTGACGGCAACACGTTGATATCGTACCATAATAGCGATGCGGACACAACAGCGACTTATCTTCACGAGCGCATTCGCTTTGCGGGACAAAGTGTTTACTGGCAGAACATCTTCCAGAGCTCCCCAGACCCAACATTTGTTCTGCTGACATTCATTTGGCATGCGTAGGACATCTTTTGCTGCCGATGTTGCTTCGATTTAATAGTCACTTAGGATGTATGCTTGGGACGAGGCCCTGGAGCATCTCTACGCGCACATCTGCTTCATTGTGAGTCCTTAAGTTGTCCCAGAATTATCAAACCCTTTGCGCAGGAAGCACAAGTAATCAACACCTCTGATGCAAACCTTACCCGCGAGCTACATGTAATCCGCGCACATTTGCTACACCACTCGGCACTTTTGGAAGACTTCCGCAAGGCTGTCGAGTTCATCATGAACACGCCCAACCCGGCGATGGACGCGCTACCGAAGGACTCTGACCGGGCGTTCAGTCGAGGTTTACTGGAGCGGGAGTGCAAGAATCTTTTGAGCGAGATTCAGCGGCTGGAGGGGAGTCGGACGATGCAGGACAAACGTCTGAAGAATGTCATGAATCTGGTATTTTCATCTGTCAATATCGACGACTCGAAGAGGATGAAGGAGCTGACGGAGGCTGCTGTCCGGGACAGTGCTGGTGTGTTTCCAAGTCCATTTGCTACGTCCACTGACGATTCACAGCTGTGAGTACCTTCCAAAACTTGTCTTGTGATATTCATTGGGTCACAGATGAAGCAAATTGCGTACCTTTCCATGGTCTTTCTTCCCGCGTCTTTTGTTGCGGTAAGACTTTTCTCATCGTAGTTACTAAATACAACCGGCACAGGCTGTATTTGGCATGAACGTCGGCGAGATCAATCCTGGCACGAAAGGCACTTGGGGGCACTACTTTGAAGTAATTTAGACATCTTCTCATTGCGGGCCAACTGATGAATCAACAGACCGCCTTGCCACTTACGCTTGCGACGATCTGGGCGGTGATGGTCTTCCAGGGGAAATATCTACTTGGGCGGGATGCTACGATATGGATGCGACTTATTTGGCCCGTGACTCTCCTCCAGCAAAGGATGCGGACTCGGCAGCAAATGAGAAGGGGCGGGGCATTTGATTTAGATGCCCCACTGGTGGCAGACTCGAGATGGCCTGAGACATTCTAACTTGTTGTTGTACTGACTTGAGTTTTTTTGTAGCCCTAGTTCCTGTAGAATCGCTCTACCCATCTAACTCCTTTTCCCGTTTCTCGACCCTCGCAATCGTCTCTTCTACGATTAACAGTGCAGTAATGCCAACATAAATGCACAAAAACTGCATGGATGAGAGATGGTCGGCGAGCGGAAGCAGACACATAGCTATTCCTGCCAAGTACCGGAACAAGATGACGAGCTTGCGGCTGATTGTTGTTCTTGGTATATTTCTAGGAGGGGTATGCTTCCAACGTCGTTGCGTTGGTGGGTCCTCGTCCTGTGGTCTAGCGCGGTTGAGCTCTTGCTCATCCAAGTTCCGATGTAGCGTGCCGATGGTCGCCATCGTGCACATGCTGACCCCGAGCCCGGCCCCAAAGAACCATTTCAGTCCACCCCCGTGTTCTGAGTCGATATGGTTACTTTTAATGAGCGTGCTGACCGCTGCCGATGCGAGGAGGAGCGACATGCAAAGCGGGAGGTGGAGGAAGGTGAAGAAGTAACCAGAGATCCAGTGGCGCCGGATAGCGTGCACGAAGTGTTTCGTCAGAGCGGAGTCAAAGTACAGCCAGTTCAGGTTGAATGCGAGCATAAGGCTAAGCATGGCGCGACCGGATTCCCTGACCAGTATTGAATATTCAATGCGCCAGGTTAGGCAAAGCTTACATATTCAGCCCAACATGGCCACTCGAGGAAAAAAACACGCTCATGACCATTTCTCCTGCGAATTCGTTATTATGTAATAGCAGTTGCGACCGACACATCGACTTACCCAGCACGACAGTCACGAATGCTCCAAGCCTTTCTATTTGATGCTCAATATTGATTGCTAAAACGCTATTAGTTCACGGTGTCATCTATATAGCTAAGAGTGCCGACCTGGTATCCTGAGAGCTTCACGCGCCGCAAGTTCTCGGCACATTTTTATATCGCCCATTGACATTGGTGGTTGTTCGTCAACAGCTGTGGTAGAGTTGTTCATCGTTCGGAATACGTCAAGCAAGACTGGGTCCTCGAAAGCAGCGGTCCCAGAATCAGGATCAGGAGACGATTCAGAGAGACCAAGCTTCTCCTTCCGAATCCTCTCGTATCTTTTGCCAAGTACTTCGAAGGTCTTGTAGAGCACGATTCCGAAGAAGCGGACAGTAAAGTCCGCAAAGATGCCGACGGCGGCGAGGGTTATTGTGGCGCGAAGGGGCGTGAATATGCCAATGAAGAGGATAAGAGCCATGAGCAGTGGGTTGAAGGCAGCAGCAATTAATGGTCGGCGGGAAAGAGGTAGAAAAGCGGAGTATATGAGCAGAACAGCGGCCCTTGAAAGCTTGGCGACAGCGAAGAAGCCAATGGCCCATTTGAGTGAGTTGAGATTGGCCGCGAACGCAAGGTCCACTTCGCCCTCCGCATTTCCTAAGCCCTCCTCCACGCGGAAGTGGATAGAGCTGGCATTGTTTGCGTAGCCAACAAGGAGAAGCATGGTCCAGATAATGTACGCTCGCTGAGTAACGTCGTCGTTGGCGAACTGGTTGGCCATGTCTCTGATATCTCCCCAGACGCTAAACGCTGGCGCGAAGGTCAAAACATAGATGGCGAAACCAAGGCCGGTCGGCTCCTCTGCGGCAGCCTCGGAGAGCTGGTGTGCCAGCCCAACGAAGAGAAGGTCGAAAAAGAGCTCAAAACGGGAGGATTGGAGGGCCTTTGCCTCGCGATAGAGTTTGCCTTTTTGCATCCATTGATGAAGAGTGGGTCGTTGGAGGAACTGGTCGATGTTGTAGCGCACCATATAGCGACATAGGGTGGCAGCAGCCCCATCGCCCTTGGATATGCGGTAGATTAATCCTTGGTCAAGCTCCTCTGAATGGACGAAGATGATGTTGTCGGTGTGGCCATACCAGGTCAAGTTTTCAGTAAACTGACGACGGTGCTGTGTTTCAAGTATTTCATTGGTTGCGCTATGAAGTTGTGTCTCTAGCTCTGCTATTCTGCGACGTAGTTCATCCTGGTCTGGAGTTGGAGTTCAGAGAAAGACTTCAAATAGATGAGAGGAAGGATTGACCATCGTGGGGCTTTTCCTCAGCACTGGCGCTCATGCAGAAGCAAAGCTAATGGGACCTAACAGCGCCGGGAAGGATGACCGACGTTGGGCCCCTTGGTTAGGAAGGCCATCCCGAGATAACGTGATGGGACTTCGTAAGCGGGCCGGGATCGAATAACGGAAGCTGACGGAAGGCCGGGCCGAACGATGAACGGGAATTTCGACATTGGATCCCTTTTTGAGCTTGTTTTGAGGTCGATCCTAGGTTGTGGAGGAAGCTGTACGAAGCTGTACGGCTGCGCGGGAGCTGCGTGGAGGCAGCTTCAGATACCCCAGGGCCACCAGTCCCAAGGCCAGTCCAACACTCGTTTTAGTTTTCCAGAAGACATTGTAATTTCAAAGCACCCACTGAACTCTGCCAATGAGAGAAAGATACCTGTTTCAAAATTCAAACGTCTTAACTCTTCAAATCGAGGGTGCTTCGACATATATCGATTCCATTCAAGAGTTACACGATTCCCAATCTCATCAAGTCAATGAGGATTTGCATCCGAGGAAGAAAAAGGGCTTCTGAGGGCTCCTGGACACTTCCTGGACTGGCAAAATGTCGAGATACTAGATGTCGTGGTACGAGGCTCGAGCGGGATGGGTTGATGTCGAGGAGCTTGAGGTGAATGATAGAGTTTGTGTCTCCGCGGCTTTTGAAAGAGTTGCTCGAAGTTGCTCGACAACTTTGAGTTTGAGAACACCATGATTAGCACGTCATTTCCCGTCACTCCGGATGCGGACCGGACTTGGGACCGGACAAGACACCGAGTCTCGTGACTCACACGTGAGCATAGGTTGATGCCCGCGGCCATCACTGAAATTTTTCTGCCTTTCCCCACCATGCCGGAAATCGCTGTTGGCGCACAAATCTTCGACTTGGTTTTCCATCCCACACAATCAATTGTGTACTCTGCGCTACTTTCTGGCCAAGTAAAGGCGTTCAAATATGGCGTCAATTCACACGAAGAGGCTTTCACACTTCGACCGTCGAAAAAATCATGTCGAGCATTGACTCTCACTGAGGACGGCACAAAGCTTTACGCTGCAGGCAAATCGAAGGCTATACAGTGAGAATCGACATTACTCCCGTGGTCTTGAAACTAACATCCACAAGCACAATTGACACTGCTTCTGGTCAGCTAGCTGAGACTCGAGCCACAGCGCATGAGTGCGTATACCTTTGTCACGTACAGTGGTTTAGCTTATATGCGAAAGAGATCCTATAAATCGCATCAAGCACGTTATGCCATGGCTTATAGCAAGCGGTGACGATTCAGGCGTTATCAAGGTCCTTTCAAAGTTGTTCTCGAAACCAATGTTGACTCTACCCCAGCTATGGGACCCTCGGCAACCCACCGAAATTCGTACCCATAAACAGCATTTCGATTATATATCGGATTTTTTGTGGCTACCGGACAAGCACCATCTGCTCGCGACAAGGTATGGTTGCGGTTGTCGGACGTTCATTACTAACGAAACATAGTGGGGATGGTACGCTCTCGGTCATGGATGTTCGCTCGAAAAAGTCCACACCGTTTGCCCAATCAGAGGACCAGGAGGACGAGCTTCTAGCGGCTACGACTATTCGAGGGTTTGTCGCCCGTCTTTCTTTCCCTTCGCGAGGCTCACCGCCATTTGTTGCAGCGGGACGAAAATTGTCGTGGGCACACAACTCGGAATTCTTTCCATATTCAACCGCTCAAGCGGGTATGGTGATTGCGTAGATCGCGTTCCGGGGTATGTGTGTTTGTTTGTGGGTACCCCCCGCTTAATCAACAACCAAGGCATCCCTCTTCGATAGATGCTCTCTGCTCACTTCCTCCCGCTTTCATCGCCTCTTCTTCGAGTCCTGGCATGGAAAACACCGTCCTTACTGGGTCGTCTGATGGTCTAGTTCGCGCAGTCCAAGTGCTGCCCACCAAATTGGTTGGCGTCGTTGCAGATCATGGAGAACTCCCTGTTGAGCGGCTCGCAGTTGGAGGGGGAGGGACAGATAGCGACACAGCCCATGAGGAGATCAAAACGGCCAATGCTTCAAGAGTTGGCAAGAGCAGAAACAAGAACGATGAAGAGGACAGTGACGACGAAAGCGAGAACTTGAAAACAACGCCAGGCCGATGGTGGTTGGGTAGTGCTGGTCACGACGAAGTACTGCGACTTACTGACCTCGAGAACTTCTTCCGCGATCCTGGCGCGGTCAATATCGAGAACGTGAGTGAGGAAGGAGACTCAGACGCGGACGCAGACGCAGACAGTGACGAGGAAGGGGTAGAGGATACTCAAGAAGCAAAGTCAGAGAGTTCGGACAGTGACGAGTCAGATACGGAAACTGCTCCACGCAAACGTAAACGCAAACAACCTAAAGACGTTCTGGAGCCAGAGACTAGACGTAAGAAGGGCCGCAACGAACTCGATGTTCAAGGCACATTCTTTGACGACCTGTAGCAAAACCCTTGACTCGCGTATCGCAATTCAACACGCTTCTCCCGATACTATATGGTTGCTGGATGGGCTACAGTCTCCATAAACATTCAAGTGTCGTTCGGTAAAACGGCCTTTCTCTGACTGGCCCCAACAACCGTCCGGCGTTGTCCTGATTCCCACCGACCTGGCTCCCCAAGAGAACACGCCCTTAGAATATCGCGACGACAAAGTTCATACTTGGGATTGTTCTCAGTATACTTCGCTAATGGCGCATATCTACTGTTATCGGAGTCTCATTGCTCTCCTGTCGAGGAGGCCAAGAACACATCATCTCTGTAACGGCTGACGCGCCATGGCTACCGACGTGCGAAGCGAGATCTGGCAGATGGCTGAAAAGAATCTCGATCATGGCAGCGCTCCTTAGGTAAGCAGCCACACGGAACAGCCGCATTCAGAAAGCCCAAAGCTTTAGTTACATTAATACCAGAGCTATACCATCCACTGTTTGTCTCTACCTATGATTACTCTCGCTTCCTCCAGTAGTCTTACCGCCACCATACCCAAGTTCTGAGTATTCAACTGCTGCTATCCAACCTACATAAATGTGTGCTCACGGCTCAGGGCACCCTTCTATCATCGTCGTCAAGTCGAAATTTAACTCTAAGCAAGGGCTTCACGCCGTCTGCAGCATGTATAGTACAAACAAACAAAGAGGAGCCTCGCACCAGCCTCTGCTGATCAGAATCGTATGCTGTGACGTCACGTGACCGGATCTTGGTCGCTCATCGTCAAAGCTTCGTCGTTCCACTCTTCATTGCCATGTTTCTCTCGCAGCGGGCCCTTCCTGCTCTGCATCTACAAACTAGACGAAACATTTCTACTCGAGCTGCTAATATCCTGTCCGCTCTCGATATTCCGACATCCAGCGAAGTGAATGGTGTTTTCGATGGTGAATGGAAAGGGGCTGGCGATGTGGTCGAAACTATTTGCCCGACCACTGGCGAGGTCCTCGCACACGTAAAAACAGTGCGCAAAAGGCCCCCAGTGCTAGCACACGTACAACCAATCTTTAGGCGTCTCCAGAGGAGCTGCATGTTGCCATTGGCAAAGCGCGCGATGCCTACGCGTTCTTCCGTCGTATGTTTTAAGTATTTTAAACAAGAGCCACGTTTGATACCACTGTCAGATGTTCCTGCACCGCAACGCGGCGAAATTTTGCGACAGATTCGCGAGGCACTTGCCAGCAAGGTTCAGTCTTCTCCTTCTGCTTTGTTGGCAGCAATGCATGCTCAACTGTTTTCTAATTCTAGCGCTCCGAGCTCGGCGCTCTCATTTCACTTGAGATGGGTAAGATCAGAACGGAAGGCGTAGGTGAGGTGCAGGAGTTTGTTGACATTGTAGGCGCCTCCGTGATGTTGCCCGCAAGTTGCGTGAGGATTAACCTTGCCGCAGTGTGACTATGGCGTGGGGCTGTCTCGCATGATGAATGGGCGTGTCATCGCATCGGAACGTCCCGGTCACTCGATCCTGGAAGGCAAGTCCTCTGATCTTATTTCTATTCCAGTCTTCTGATTCACATGGCCTCGCTAGTGCCCAATCCGCTAGGGGTTGTTGGAGTTCTTAGTGCATTCAACTTCCCAGTCGCCGTTTACGGCTGGTATGTCTATTTTGCTGTTCAACGTAGTCTATGCTCACAACGTTAGGAACCTTGCTCTTTCTCTAGCCGCGGGAAACGCCACCATCTGGAAACCCTCACCGACGACACCTCTCTGTGCAATCGCTGTGACGACCATAATCTCGCGCGTCCTCGAAAAGAATGGTATGATCTATTTCTATCTTTCATTCAGCTGATCGTTGAAACCGTAGCGCACAGGTATCCCTGGTGCAGTAGCGGGTTTGGTAACTGGAGACAGCGATGCCGGCGCAGCGATTGTCGAAAACCGCGACATACCACTGAGTCAGTGTGACTTTTCTCGGCTTAGAGCTTTTTGAAGCTAACTTCGCATAGTCTCATTCACAGGAAGTGAGCGAGTCGGGCGTATCGTGGGCAAGACTGTGCAGTCGCGATTCGGGAAGACGATCCTGGAGTTGGGCGGCAACAATGGTAACATTTTATTTTTGACAAGACTTCCATCTTGTTTGACCGCTGTCTTTCCTCAGCTGCGATAGTCATGCCCGATGCCGACCTCAAAATGGCGGTTCCGTCGATATTCTTTGGCGCGATTGGAACAGCCGGCCAACGCTGCACATCGACACGACGGCTTTACCTTCATCGGCAAATCGCTGACGAGTTCCTTGAGCGGCTTCAGAAAGTTTACTCGAAGATCAAGCCTGGTGATCCGCTAGAAGAGAAGACGTTACTAGGTCCAGTTCACACTGCTGCCAGCGTCGGTATATTTGAGAAGGCCGTTCAACATCTACGCGACATTGACGCCAGCATACTTGCTGGCGGCGCACGGTACACCGCCTCAGACATCTCAAAGAACCTCCATGGCGGCTTTTTCGTACAACCAACCCTGGCGGTCCCGAAAAGCAGTGACCCAGCCGATGCATTGTGGCAAACAGAAACGTTTGCACCTGTTCTGAACTGTGCAGTGTTTGATGAGCTGGAAGAAGCAATCGAGTGGAATAACGCGGTTCCACAGGTTGGTCGCGAGTCGCATATAGCTATGGTTGTATTGCTAACTGTTGCTTAGGGCCTATCTTCGAGTCTCTGGACGCGCGACATGAGGGGCGTTGGCAAGTGGCTAGGGCCTAGCGGATCTGATACTGGGATTGTCAATGTGCGCATCGAAACGTGGCTGGACGGCGTTTTACTGAAATTCGTCGATCATAGGTGAATGTAGGGACTAGTGGAGCCGAGATCGGTGCTGCATTCGGTGGCAACAAGGTTCGTTATCGCGATTTCACTTCAGAAGCGTATTGATAGTGTCTGCTCTACCAGAGTACGGGATGGTAAGTCACAAGTTGGAATCACTTGAGAGAACTGTTGCAAAAGATTGAATCTAGGGGACGTGAATCGGGAGGCGATGCGTGGAAGCAATACGTGAGATGGAGTGCCTGCACTGGTACGTCAAGGGAGAGGGAAAAACTGGTTTACACCTCTGACTGCGGTCGACAGTAAATTTCTCGGACGCGGCGCCTTTAGCACAAGGGGTAGATTTTTCGTTGTGATGGGGTTTTGGAGGTCGGCAAAGTAGCGCCGAAGGCTCAGTTGGAATGAGGCCCTATCTTACCCCGTTTGGTCACGTTTGAATTGTCATCAGCACGCGAATGACGCGGCGTGGGAATACAGTGGGGACATGGTTACGAAGGGGGGCTGCACATGGGAGCCCGGCAAGTCAGCAATTCGATGATCGATTCTAAACGAAATGAGCGATCCGGTTTATAAACTTGGCTGGTCTGTGAGGAAGCGACTTGACTTTTCACCGACACGACAATGGCTGCAGCGGACGATCTGCCCTGGCCCGAGCTCGGAAACGTCTCCCGCGGCGCAACAAGAGGGAATCAAGGCCAAAAGGGTGTACTAGGCCCTCCAGACCGGGAAGGGCGCTGTGTTCTCCAACTACGCGTTCAACCGGGGGTGCTTGCTGTCCGTCTTAATGCCCAAGCCAGCGACTGGTACCGCACTCTTGACAACGAGGTTAACCGCGCCCTCAAACTCACCAAAACCTTCTGGCGAAAGGCTCGTAGGAGACAGGACTACGATGCACGCGCTGACCAAGACCACATGGAGCTTCACGAGTGGCTACAACAGCTAAAGGACAAAACCATGTCCCACCTCGAACTCCTTATGCAAAAGGGCGACATTCAGGGCCCCCCATACACCATGCCTGACGACATCGAGCTGACGTTTTTGCGCAAGTTCATTGAGCGGCAGGCCGCCGGCGTCGAGCATAACCCTCGCTTGAGAAACCCGGGCCATTCATCTTCTTCCCATGCCCAGCCGCCCCAACCTCCGCCACCCCCCGAATCTTATCCTATGCGCCCCCACTCCAACTCGGTCGACTCGCCATCGCCTGAACCCTCAGAGCGCACATATCCGCCCACTTCGCGCAACTCCGGCTCCCCAGCGGTCCATTCGGTCGACTTGCAAGAATCAACGACAGCTGGTGTGTGGCGTTTATTAGACTGTTTCTCATCTCCTGACTCATTTTTCAGCACTCCACAACTGTCGAGCAACTTTCTTGCGTGCGCAAAAAGATTCCCAGGAGGCTTTCATCCGATACACCAACTGCCTCGAGGCGGAACGGCAAGCCAGGGCCGCTTTGGGGGCAGCCGAGCAGCGCCATGAAGATTACAGTGAGTCTCATTGGCTCTTTGATTGTCTAGGCCATCTAATGTGTCCCTCCTAGTGGCAGCGCTTATGGCCAGAAACCAGGCAGGCGGGGCCGATGCCCAGTCTCGCCACTCTTCTGTCTCTGGCGATGAACCCAGTCCACGCTACGATGTACCCTCTTTACTTGTTCCGGCAACAACGTGCTGAATGGGCGTGTTTTTTTTTTCTCTTCAGGACTTCCGGACAGCCGACGGGATGCGATCGACGCTGCCAGCTTCGAAACAAATGGACTGGCCAGTGGATGGAAGCCAAGGCCTCTACCCGACCGAATCTTCCAGCCATCTCGATGTGCGCCTTCTTCTCCCTGGTTTTTCTATTTGATGGTCTTATCTGATTTTTTTCTAGGACCAGAGCAAATCCCGCAAGCATTCACGCACGTGGGAGCACCACAATGGTCTGCAAGACGCGCATTATAACGATGGGCCATATTGTCACAACGGCCAAGACATGGCGGGACTCTCCGGCCAGCCACCCCGAAAACGAGTGCATCACATGATGCCGACCTTCGACGTTCTTAGCGGCGCCGCGCTTCAGTCGAACATGCTACCGTCATAACCTCTCCCTTGCATGTACTTGTAATTATCCCTCATGTATACCACCAACCCAAGTCCAACGCATGATCCTAGCCATTTTGCTTTGCTTATAAAACCTAGTTCTTATATCGCTCGGTGTAGAATTTAACACGTCCCTTCATCAGTATTAATAGTGTATTATAATATTTTTTGTTTCTTTTTTTTTCTCTGCCTCTCGTGAAATGGTATTCAAGCCGGGAGATCGTCCGCCACCGTTTTTCACGCGAGGTAGGCCAACATTGGAGGCCCATGCGCACAGCGTGACCCGGGGGTGGTGGCTCCGGAGGATCTTCAAGCTTGGGAGGATCAGCTGAAACGGCGATCATGTAAGCGTGGACCAACGATGATCATCTGCAAGATCAGACTGCCCCGCAGCCCCCTCTGAGTCTAAGGGCCCTCTTTGAGGTTTGGCCAAAACAAGTTCCATCATGGATCACATTTCGTAGGTCAGGGCGGCGTTATCAGGATGACTATGGTGGTTGAGCTTCTATGGTAGCGCTCAGGCTGTTGGAGCAGAAGGTTTTTTTTACTTTGTTTACTCTCTTGGATGCATCCTTAAACCAAGAATGTTTGTTATCTGCTACGGGCCACGGTGGAAACGCCAAGCGTGTGTATCTGAAATGCTTCTCCCTAACAACAATGGACTGCCCCGTGCGACTGCAGATTACCTGGGCTCACAATTAGCTACCAAAAATGTGAATAACTCCACGATTTCATCCAGAGAATACTTGCCATTGTTGAGCAGGCATTTCGCCAGTCATGCAGTAGCGTAATGGTATGTGCTAGTAGTGATCCAGACCATGTAGTCTTCGCAGGCCACCCTCGTGGACGCAACCAGTTACGTGCTCGAGTTTTGCTTTGTGGACCCTAAATGCATCCGAGAATCGCAGAGGTGCGACGGTCGGGTCCGGTTGCTTTCTCGAGGGAAGGCGTAACAACAACAACAAGTCCTGGACTTAGGACTGAAATTAAAATCTGTCTTCGTTTCAATCCATTTCATGGGTTCACTAACGGTGTCACGGTAACTTCGAGTTGTATTGCATGCCGATTCAGACCAGTTCTTTTGACCAGTTTTTTCCTTTCCCACTTCAATACCACTTGGGCCTTGACTTGGGCGATCATGGACCATGACTTGGACCATGACCGGCAGGCGGTGGCGTACGTTGCCTTGGCAGACGGAGAACAGTCACCGGCGACATACTTCGATCGCCACTGATCATCAGATCCGCCCACCGGAAGGCCGACGGAGGGCGGGATTATTCAATTTATTAGCGGGATGGATCACCGAAGATTGGAAGACTGCAACAAGAAATTTGTCGGATAGGAACGGGCTGCGACTAGCAGAACGAGCACATGACCTCCGAGGTGAGACCGTCTGGCAGTCAGCCAGCTCTGGAAGTTGACTCTTTGAAGGATCACGGATCGGATCCGGAACTGTGAATCATCCGATAACTCTCGGCTTCGGCGTTTTCCGCATGTGACACACCGGAGTCGCCGATTGAGCTACTGTCGGTGGGTTGATCAGAATTAATTGCCTACTTACAGTAGAGATGAAGCGAAGTAGGTACAAGTTGTTGGTTGCTGGTGGCAGCATGCGCCATGCCACTTCTGGGAACAGTAGACATTGCTGTGGATCGAGCCAGAATAGCTATTTTGAATTGTGCAACGGGTTTATCGCTGCCGAGCGTGTTCACTACATCGGCGCAGATTAGCGTTCCAGCGCCAGGTGAAGATTGGACAACGTCACCGCGGAGAAACAAATTGTCTTATGTTGGACAACTTACTCAACGAAATCAACAAGAAAAGAATACGCCAGATGAAACGCGACGTGCAGCTTACGCGGCGCAGCAGGTTCGAGTCTTGCGTCAACAGAAGAATCTCAGGACAACCGTGACGCGAGAGGCAACAAGGAATGATTGAAGTCAGATTGAAGTGGGTGGACCTTGAGAGGCATTGATCAGCCTATCCGGAATCGAGCAAGCCAAACAGATTGAAATCGGAAAACTTGAGAGCAGTATAAGCAAGCAGCGTGAGGCGGCGTCACGATGTCACGCGAGCTTTCTCTCAGTTTACAGTCATCAACACGCTCGGCCACGGATAATGCTCGCAAAGATTTTCTGACGACACACAAGCCACTCGGGTACCTCTCACTCTCACCATGGTCTTATCGCCTCCGATATCTTGTGCAAAATCCGATTCATTTTCGCAAAATGACGAGTCCGAGTCTAACAAGATCTTTGGCATGCCTGGCCCGTGAGCGGGAGTAGATACTAAAAGCGTTACCCTTAGAGGCCTCCGGCATCACGGATTATCAATGCTCAGCTGCGAAAGTTGACTGCAATATATTTTCTACCAACACGTAGCCCAACATTGGTAACACCAGATTCAATTTTATCAAATCTTTGGAGCTGCAACTTTGGAAGCTTTCCGGCTCTCTGTCATGTCCTAATTAGGGTTCCTACTACAATCCCATTGCAATCTTCGCTGTCAATCGCTCAAGTGTTCAACCCATCCAAGCACCAAGTACACACTGCATCCCGATCAGTGGCGGTCCTCCCGATCGGACGAGGAAGATTGGAGAGCCCGGAATCAACCCCCTACTTGGTTGGGGCGGATCAAGCCCAAGGGTCCCGAGGCAATTGAGCACCAAGACTGAGCGGGTTTTGGAGTCCACTTTTCCCGTCGACGATGGTGTGACTTGTATGCGACAATCCGAAGTACTCGGAACTAGTCAGTCCTCGCGCCGTAACAAAACACCCGCCTTGGATTCGCAGATTCAGACTCGAATCAGACGGCAGTTCCGACAATTCAAGTACATTCTGAGTTACTAGCATCAAAGAGCGAAAGGAGTACATATCAAGTCCCTGTTTTCATCTTCTCTTATACTATCATATCCTTCATCGCTGCGCGTTGAGCCCAAAAGGTTAGCTGTCAATTGCAAGAACGATTTGTAAGGTTCCGAGTCGGTAGTTGGCAGGTGTACATTGGGCGACTTCCGGAAGCCTCGCGGATCGAATTTATTATATATAATGGACCTAAAAGCGCCCACAAGCATTTCGCCCTCGATTAACCTCACAACAAATTGAGAGAGGAAGACTTTTTGTCGCCACGTCGCAGATGCAGTGTCCGCACGTGATCGACAATTTCTGAGCTCTCCCACTGATGCTTGGCCCGGCTGGGTCGCTTCCCCTGCATTCCTCTGCCGTCCGGGAGAAAGAGCAGCTCAGGCGTGCCCACAATGGAGGACCATGGATACAACCTGTCCTAGTACCCATTCCTGGTGTACAAAATCGTCGTTTACGTCTGCCTTTGCCTGCACTTCGTTTACGACGACAACGAGGGCCTTTATTGGTCTGCTTCGCCTGCATGGCAGTCGTCTTCACCGTCGTTCTTGTCTCTCGGTCCTTTGGACGAAATGAATGGGACCAGTCTTCACGAGGAGAACCACCCACGCTCGTTTTCCGCAAAGAAGACCTCCAGAGGATATGGCAGTGGGAGATTGCGAGCGGGCACTTCCCGAGTCGGCACAGCAGTCCGTTTAACTTTGCTCTCGCTCATTTTCGAATTGGCTAACGTATATCAGTCCCGAAACAAATTGGCATCGTCGAGCCTCCTGTTAACCCTGCTATACCACCGAAATCCCGCACAATAACCCCCTCGAGATATAGGCCCGCCTCCCCCGATGCTGCTAATGCAGACACAGATACCCTTGGAGTCGGCCCTAAACGAAAATACCCAAACATTCACAGCACACCTCCTCATGTCTCATTTCCCCCACGCCCGATACCAGGGAGCATTGCAGATTTGGATGTCATTATGAAGCATTGCGACTTTTCGCAAGGGAAGGTGTGTTCCTATTGTTTCTGTTGTCTTTCTCAACTTGATCCGGCAAAGTATGTCCGCGATTGTCTGGAAGTGTTACGGATGGGCGCCGGTCTCGACAACGGCCGGAGAAGTCGACGCGGAAGCTTCGAAGACTGGAAATACATCTACTTAGAAGAAGCCAACTCTACAACGTCCGACGTTGAACCCACAGACGAGGACCCCCTCCAGACGCCCATTTACCGGCCCGCAGCTGCCAAGGAAAAGGTCAAAGATCGCGACAGCGAACTCCTTAGAAAGCAAGGCGCAAAATGGGAGCCTGCCCTCACACTTCCTCCTCCCCTCACTCCTCGTCCCCCGACTTCGCTTAATGAATCCTGCGACTCAGACGCCGAAAATCCACGCCTCTTTCATATGTTCTGGACAGGGCCATTCACAGACAAGCCCTATTTAGCTTTGCTATCATTTCTTTTCTCCCAAAACACGCGATTACACGAACCTGCAAAAACCCTGGAATCTACCACTGTGTGTCGACCACAGTTCTGGTTATGGATTAATCCTGGTCCAGCTGCGTCGGTACCTAACCCGACGGCACTGCAGGATATGTTTGCAGAGTTGAAAGAAAATCCATGGGCAGCGCCATTTTTGCACCCTCGCTTCCACGATGTCATCCGGTTCAAGTTGTGGAATACGACAGAGAGACTTGATGCAATTGACGAAATTAGAGACGAATGGAGAGATCTGCGCGACATGCTGTTCAATTCGGGCGGGCACATCATCAGTGTTCCGGAAGTCGAGGAAAGCGCGGCGCAAAGCGTTAGTGATACGACAAACACAACTACCGATGCCCAGCCAACGAAATCGAACGATATGCTACATCGTACCGGCTCAAAGTCGTCCTCGGAATACGACCGCATGAGCGTGATTCTCTCTGACATGGCGCGTTTCGTTCTATGCCATACTTTTGGCGGGGTTTATTTGGACGCCGATACGATCCTTCTACGTGATTGGGAGGAGCTTTGGAACAACAAACGGGCGTTCGCATATCGATGGTCGCGTTTAGAGAAGTACAACACGGCAGTTTTACGCATGAATCGCGGGTCTGCGCTGGGAAGTTTCCTTTTCCGGACCGCGTTACGCAACGGACTGGATTTCCATCCTGTAGTTATTATCTCTTTATCTTCCGTCTCTAGCTGACCTTGTCGGTATCAGATGACGGTTTCACGATATACCGCAGACGCATACCTCGAAGGTCTTCTCCTCCGTCTTCCAGATGCACTGTTCGATGCTGCTTGGTTGAATACCGAATACTTCCAGCGGGACCGGCCACCACAACCTTATTTCACCGAGTGCGTCTACTTGTTCTTTAAGAAGTGTTGTCTCATTCATGATGTAGATTTGGCGACTTTTTCGACACGCCTGAGCAAAACAGCGCGGCGCCACAGGCACTGGGGATCGAGGGCTTCTTCAAGGGCTCATATTCATACCACTTCCACAACTTTTGGTGCATTTTCTTCGTCTTTTAGTGTTGTGGCGTGTTCTGATCGTATGCAGGTGGAAGCCATTTGACCCAACCCGCAACTGGCCAGATCTTGGTCCGCAATTCATCAAGGGCGAGACCGCCGCCCGGAAGGCGCAAGCGCTGGAGCAGCAACAGGAGGCGGCGGCACAGCTTGCGCTCGACTGGAAGGAAGACGACGAGCAGCCGCCGAAACGACAGGAATTGGACCCTTTGAAAGAGAGCGAGACCGTCGCTGATGACAAACGGGATCTGGACTGGTCGGCGGTGATAAAACGGACGTTCGAGTCGTACATACGGGGCGAGCGGCCAAATCTCTACGGAGAGTGGTTGATGTGGTAGGGTCATGCTAATAGATTAGGTTCTTTAGTTGTACGCATGTTATTAATGTAGCTATCGAGTGGATTTTTCGGGAATTCAACAGCCACAAAAGTAGTCTGAGGAAATTCCTCTGTTGCGTGGAAATAGCTGGAGTTCAATTCTAATTACCAAGTACAGTATCTCTAAATCCCTGTGAAATGAGACCTCAGACAGTAAACCCCCAGCGATACACTATAGATACACACACTGCCAGTCTAATCCAAATCATGTCCGCTCAATAAGATGCACAAGCTCGTCTAGGCCCTCTCTGCTCAATAACCCCCGCCAGCCACGCTGCAGCCCTTCCGGATCCTCTTCCGGGATATCATGCCAACGCCAAAAGAGCCGATGCACCCTTGTCGCTGCCGGGTCTGCCTCACTGCTCATTTCCGTGTCCGTTTCTGTCTCGGGGTGGATGTGGAGGTATAGAAAGAGTCCGATACTGAATGCGTCGACAGAGCTCTCTGGAGGGGCCACTACCGCGATGCGTGTGGTCTTGATTCCAGCGACGAAGGAGGATAGCAGGTCGAGATGGGTTGGCAGGAGTGTCGTCATCCCGTTGTCGTGGGTGTTTCGTGGTAATTCTAGAGTAAGCGTTGAACTTGAGTCCTCTGAAGGCCCAGATATGCGGACAACACCCGGTAAGGCATCTTTACCCGTGTCCAGAACAACAAGTAGCCCGGATTGTCGCCCTAGTTGTTGGGTGTAGATGGGAGAGGGTGCTGCCTCTAGGCTCAAGTTGGGAGGGGACTGTAATATACGCGGCACCACTGGAACGACAATGGGGCTAGTTGCATACTGGGACTTCTTTGACTGAGAGCCCGATGACGAGCTCGACGCGTTATGCTCGCCCGCTGTTGTCATCCGCAGATTGCATCCTGTCGCCAGCATCGTCGATATGCCTTTTGCTCTCCTCGCGTGCATATTGGGATTGCGTGGCTGCTGGGGCTTCCGTCGAGGCAGATTGGAGATGTGTGGCTGCAGTGGTCCCTTGGCCAGCGGGACATTGGCTCTTGCGATGTCAATGGGTGGTGGCGTCATAACTAACGTCGATGAGGCTGACGAGGCCGGGAGGGGTGAAGATGGTTGGGTGGACATTGCAGAGACAGTGAAGAGGCAAAGAGTGGACGGCAGGGCACGGCTGCCTCAGCTGAACGTCGTGGTTACTTGATAAGAGCGATGGAGCGAAAATAACATGAGCCAAACGCGTTTGATCGGAGATTGACCTGCCGTTGCCGAAAGTGGCTTCTTTCAAGATATGCAACGCCTCGCTGCGTTATCTTTGACATGACCCCCAATTTACCGCGAGTGAATCATTGATTACCAGACGAGACTACAACAGACTATGATACAAAAATCCAAACAACATCGCACTCAATGACGAGGGGAATACGAGGGCTTCAAAAAGGTGCTGAGGGTACGGTTACTAGGCGGATAGTAGTTGAACACCTCGTCTGGGCGGATCGAATCCGGTGGGGAGACTGGCGACTGGGAGCGGGGACTCGCGTAGTACTTTTGTGACCCAGAGGGGGGGGGAGAAGCAGGATCCCGAGCGGGAAGGGCCGCGCGAAGGTGAATGGGCGGGCGTTGTGTACGGGGTTGAATAAGGAGACGATCCCAGCCCCAAACTGGAAACGGACGACTGTGTTGGGCTCTGGGAGGGTTTCCGGCTGCGACGCTGGGACGGGACAAAGGGCGGCTCTAGGAGATGGTCGGGCGTTGGTGACGGAAGCCGTTTGACTGGCGTCTGCGGGCCTTTGTACATGAGCGGCATAGGGGTAAGCGGTTTGGGGTTTCGTGCGTAAGGGCTTATGTCGACGGCGTCAACATCAAGGAAGGTTGGGGCGGGTGTTGGTCGTTTCGGCTTGGTCCTCGGGGTGGTTGGTGCTCCACGACCAAGATTGGGCATAAATGCTTCGACAGGACCTTGCCCGATAGGATTGCGCGCATAAAGCGTGATATCAACCGGAGCGACAGTGAGGAAGTCGCCTCCGACAGTTTGAGGGGAGCTATGTTTTGACTTCTTGGACTTGGAAGGTGTCACGGGGGCATATGGGTAAGGTAGGCCAGACATTCTTGAGATGAATTAGTTGTGGAATGGAACGAGCAAGAGGAGCAATATACTTCAAAAAAATTGAGAAATGAGACTTGAAAGAGAGTGGAGCGAGCTAGCGCTGAGAGACACGGCGACAGAGAGCGTTGGGGTGGAGTGATGTTACAACGGGCGACCACAACTGCTTTTATAGACAGGCAGACAATGCTTCTGAGGAAGGCAAGAGGTTCGTGGTTGTGCATTGATCGCATGGTTGCGCTTTGATTGAGAGCCGACCAACAAAGCATGGTCTATGCGGTCTTCGTGGGCTACAGTTACAGTGCTTTGAATTCCGGGAAAGTGAGCATAGAGATTCGACAAATTGATGGTCTATGGGCATAGTTTGTTCATCTCAGTTGAAAGTCGCTCTAGATTTAGTTGATCATGATAGATGTTCTTGCTGTTGACAAAACAAGTCAGTCAACAAATGTCACACCTGTGACCGCTACACACAAACTTTGCTCTTTTACTTAGCGACGCCAAAGCGCATCGCCTACTTAACCTTAATCTCTTTACCACCCACGACAACTATGGCCTAATCGAGCGCAACGAATCATGTCCAAACCGGCCAGCTCTCGCAGCAGTAGGCGGTCTTACCGTCCAACGAGCTCCACGAGCTCCACTGGTCTTACGACAGAATACGATTACGCTGCTGCCTATGGAGAACCAGCACTTTCGGATGCCTCCTCTGACGAGCAAATAGCGAGAGCGATTTCAGAGTCAAAGAAAACGGTCCATCATCGAGCACCCCCGATTTCGCGCACCTCTTCGGCCTCTTCTTGGACATTCGTTGGGGAAGAATCGCCTAGTCGCGCAAGCTCCATTTCCAATGGATATACGCCCACCCCAACCCCGCGATATGCTGCTGACGAGACCGTAGCACGTAGTCTTGCAAGGTCATGGAATGTGGCTTCCCTCCAATCGGACATTATCCACAATCCCTCATTCTCTCCCTCGAGTGGCCCGCCACTCGTTGTACGCTCCCCTTCCCCAGCTAGGTCGTCAATTTCCGCTTCGACCTCATATACGTACCGCTCGCCACCTCCAAACCGGCCTTTGTCCCCATTATCTCTTTCCGCGCGCTCACTATCGAGTGTTGCGTCACGTTCTCCTTCCATAACCTCCATTTCCTCCGTCGCATCAACACACTCTAATGTCTCTGCTAGCATTGCTTCCATCATATCCAGTGTCGCCCGTTCCTCCCGGCATGAACCACTTGACACTGCTACCCGTACCCTCCGAGCATCTCTCCCGCCCTCTCTGTCTCGTTCCGTATCGTCGTCCTCATCTTCTATCAAATCACCACGGGCAGGTTCCGTCCGCTCGTTGGCAACATCTTCGTCACGAAGAAGCACATCAAGTGTCTTGGACGCGTCAGAAAAAACTGCCCTAGCCCGCCTCCACGCGGTCGTTGCAAAATCCATACCTTGTGCCAACCCGGGGTGTGGCGCCCTGATCCCGCCAGCTACATTAGATACCGTATGTTTCTTTCTCGCCATATTTCTTGTTTATTGACACCTTGACCACAGATTTCGTTCCCAGCTATTATCTCCGACCTTTCGCCTCCACGCGCGTTGTTTGCGGCCCTCCACGCTCGATGTCCAACTTGCACACAGAACCACTGCCGCGGTTGCGGCCAGCCAACGGGTTGCGCTGCCGATTGTTGTTGTGCCCCGACACCAATTTATTCGTCGCCCGCTCGCCGGTTAATAACTTATCCCGCGACCTCTACTGCCTCACCAAATTACGACGAACAATTTACCCCGCCACCGTGTAGTGTCCCCACTCATTGTCCCGCTGTCCGTGCGCTTGGGGCACTTTTCGCGCTGTTTGCATTTGACCGAGCCCATGTCGCAATTTCCCAGCATGGCCGGTCAGCTGACAAGGCGCTCATTGGACCGCTGCACTCATTAACATTCTTCATTGCGCCACCTCCTCACCATGCTGGGACTCCTCGCGGAACTCAAGAGCCTGTTTTCGAGGTGGACCCGGCATTACCCGTGCTGGTCCGGCTTTCCCGTGTGCCAACCTATGCCGCGAGTCTCTTACGAGCGGAGGCAGATGTGGGGCGCTGGATAGACCGCGCGCCGGCGTATAGCGCGATTCTCCGTGTTTTACGGGCATTGGGGGACACGGCTGGCTGTCGCTCAGTTTTGACCAAACCCATAGCTGTCTCCGCCGAGTCGGGGTTGCAGTTGTGGACTCGCAATGGGGAAGTCTCTGCTGGCAGTGCATTTGATAAGGACACGCTGCGTGGACTGATCAGGCGGCTGGAAGGCGCGAGGGCGGCGCTGTTAAGGCTGGCGGGGGCCCTGGAGTTTGGCCCGACAGTGCGGCAGGCACATGCGCTGTGTGATGGGGTGTTGTATCTTTTGTTGCAGGATGCACTGGGGGATGCGGATGAGTAGAAAATCAAAATTTGTAGTGTTGTTGTAGTCTTAGATTGTATCTCCGAGTTGTTGTTGCCTGTGTTTTCAATGCCTTGGTGCTTGTTGTCGAAGTAGCTCACTTGGAAAAGTCATTGCATTATTGTTTGACTGTTTGCCGTTACATTTGTTGACGAGTTCATCGATCTCGAATTCCCTTGCTGCATCAACGATGCTGAGTCCTGCTAATCACAAATAACACCCGAGAGTTCTGTATACCTTGCAATTGAACACAACCATTCCAGAGACCCAGAGACAATCAAGACAACTTGAAGAACTAAAAGCTTGGCCCAGGCCTAGGGTTGTCAGATGTCCATAGGATTTCCGTAGTACCTACAGTGCCTACTGCAGCTAAAAAAGCCCTTGTGAGTCAAGGGAGTATAGTAAAGCTCCTTCTGATAACATAAGACAGAGCCTAGATTAGAGAGAGACTGTATAATACTTCAGGTCCAAAATATTCACGAGTCGCTATAGAAAACGTATGGATATCAGGTAGATATGGGTGTAAAACATGATAGAGAGGCTAGTATAAGGCGCAAGAACTTCGTGGAGCTCAGAGACATATATAAATAAAAGGAAGAGCAAGGTGTGGCAACCTGGCGCGAGCGAACAAAAGGTCACGTGGACTCAGCCGGAATCGAACCGGCCACCTCTCGCATTCTTGTGGTATTGTTATCCCATTTACAACCATTTCAGAGACCCAGAGACAATATTAATAAAGACAACTTGAAGACTAGATAGACAAAGCTTGCCAGTGGCCCATCAGGATTGTTTTAATTTGTCAAGGGGAATTTCCGTAGTACTGTGACCTATTGCAGCTAAAAAGACCCTCGTGAGTCAAGGGAGTAAAGGTCCCTCTAATAGAAAGAGCTTAGACTAGAGAAAGACCGTATAATACGAGTACTTCAAGTCCAAAATATTCACGAGTCGCTGCCAGACTTGGAGTGCCTTAGACTATAGAGAAGGTATCAGGTAGATACGGATGTCAGCATGAAAGAGAGGCTAGTATGGGGCGCAAGGACTTCGTGAAACTCAGGAACATGTGTAAAAATAAGAGGAAGATGGAGATGTGGCAACCTGGCGCGAGCGAACAAAAGGTCACGTGGACTCAGCCGGAATCGAACCGGCCACCTCTCGCATTCGTGTGGCTTGCTATCCCATTTACAATGCCCATGCGAAGCGAGCGCGATAACCAACTACACTATAAGCCCATGAAAACGCGTCCTTTGAGGCCGAATTTGAAGAGATTTCACCCGGGAGATGTCGAGGAAAGTCACCCAGAAGTTGTGTCACGCTCAACGTGAAAAAACGCGCAATTACCGCCTCAAATCACTTGTAATGCACTCCTATAAGCTTAGAATACCTTTTGGGTGTCCTTCCGACAGTACTTTGCAGAATATCAACGGCTGGGGGACGACTTTCAGCTTCTTCGTTGACAGCTAATAACGTCTGAGTCAGCAATCAACTTTCTCGCGATCACCAACTACACTATAAGCCTTCGAGGACCATTCTGACGATAACGGTCATCATGCATCCCTTCCGTTTAGAGCCCCAACCGAGTTTTACAGAGCTGGCAATGGTGAATGACTCCAAGCTTCAGTTTTATCGTTACTAATCACATCAGACTCGTAACGCCATCTCTCTTGTAACTTTCGCCTTGAAAACCTCGAGTCCTTTCTCTACAGCTCTTTTTTCTGCGCTATCTACCTCATCCCGGTGCTCTTCGGACCCGAACCAATCCTTCCATGCAGTGGTTTCCAACACCTTTCGCCATTCGCTGACAAATGGATGGCCTGGCGCTCCTGCGAATCCCCAGGGCTTGCTCGTCCAGGGCTGGTTGTACTCGTCGAGAACGCTGGCCATACTCGGGTGAACGGGGCCAGAGAAGTGGACGATTTTGGCCGTAGTGTGCAATTTGTCCAGTTCATCGTGTTTCCAAACAACAACACGCTCCGCATCCTTCTTGGTTGCGTATGTGCCAAGTCCGGTGGCATTCCACTCGACCGGAATCTCAAGCCAGTCGTGGTGGAAGAACACATTTAGTGCGTCTTGGTCTTTGTATGCTGTCGGCGGTTTATTGACGACGTAGTCAAGGAAATGGTCCAGTTGCGAACGCATACGGTTCATGTCGACGAGCAGCACTCCGGCATTGAAATACGCCTGGTGTGGGACCTCTGTGTGGCCCAGCGGAAAACCGATATCTCGTGCAGCAGCCAATGTTTTGCCCTTCAAATCCACTTTCCATAGCTCTGCAATATCCTCGCGAACAAGAATGTCGGAGTCAAGAAACAGGGCCCGCTCGACAGGAAGCTGGGAAAGCGCGTCCACCTTGGCCCATGCACCGTCTCCAAGGCCTTTACTGCCTCTGCGAAGTGTGATGAACGAGAGTGTGACGTGATTGGTGGCGGGAAGAACACTCTTGATTCGCTCCTTGTCTCTCTCCGCTAGCCCTAGGTCTACAACATACGCCGAAATCCGCTGCGAAGTCGCTGTCTGAACTAGCGAGGCCAAGGCAACAGTGGTGGGCATCGCATATTTGGAATCTGTGCAAAAAACAACGTTGATTGGAGCACTCTGATGAATGTCTGCGATGTCGCTCTTCTTGGTCAAGAAACCAATCCGCATTTCGACTGTCTTCCGGATTATAATTTGGTAGCCCCGATGAAGAACCTCGTATTGGCCGTCATGAAGCAGCAGGAATGCGTCAATTCCGCGCTTCGGGTGGTGCATGCTTTCTTGCGGCTCAGTAGTCCATTCATAGTCATCGAATATGACAAGCGCGTCTTGTCTGGCCAGTCTCCAAGCCAATTCAGCGTCGAGGAATGTGTCGTCCGCCTCATGTGACCCATCGATGTACACAAAATCATAGCCGCCTTTGGGATTTTCGACCTCTTCTTCCAACAGACGATAGAGTCCCACTGTGCTGAATTCGTCAACAACTCGGAACGGGAATCCAGGGATGGCAAGGTTATGCATGATCTTTCTGTATCGCTCTTTGCCCTCTGCTGACCGGTGCAAATCGAAATGGTCAACACAAACAACCTCGGAATGCGCTTTGTTGCAAAGGGTCTCGAGGAGATAAACTGCGGAGCGTCCTTCCCAAGAGCCTATTTCAAGAGCGCGAGGAGAATGGGCAACTTTGGTGCGTAAATCTGCGATAAATGGGGCCCAGATCGTCTTGTTGAACGAAAACCAGTCCTGTGTGGGCGTGAACTCGTATGCGGCTTGGGGCTCCATGATCATGGACGTTTGGGAGAACAGTGTTGTGTTGATGAGATACTAGTCTTTGGTATTTTTTTCTCATTCCCTTCACACAAGCTTAGCTTATTCCTGCTCAGCGCTAAGATATCACACACTTGTCGTACACACTGTGTCAAGCGGCGTTTGTCTTTGTCCAATCCGCGCTCGACCGCAGGCGCCAGGGTGCTTCTTATTTCCAGCAAGTCAACAGACTTCTTAGATTGCTCTGCGCAGTTATCGTTATCGTCCAACACTAGGCTTTGCGCCTCAGCGGCTCGCCTATCGCGTCGTCTTCCATGTCAACCTCAAAGCGTCATCTCGACACATCCTCCAACACCCCAAAGTTATTTGGACGGTGCCCTGACTCGGAATGCGAACAACAATTATGGCAGTGTTGGAGCTCCTCAAGCGCCCACCCAAGAGTCACGTTAAAAGTACATGGCATCCCCGCCCTTGCTGGTACTTTCCCTTACTTTCTCTATGGTTAACGACAAAGTACCCAAAGTCTATCTAGTCACTGGCGGCGCAGGATTCATTGTCGGACACCTTTTCCTTTCCTTCTTGAACCTACTAAGTGCTTTTGTAGGGTTCTGCCGTTGCCAGACGGCTTCATCAGGATGGAATAGTTGTTCGTGCCGTGGACACTGTTCCAGCTCCTAACACGATATATTTTACCGAATACATCAAGGCCGACCTGCGCGACTCGGTCTCGTGTGAACATGTCATGTCCAACGTCGACGTGGTTCTCCACTTTGCCGCCAACATGGGAGGAATGGGTATCATTCACTCAGACAACGATTTCAATATCTACCGAGACAACCACGCCATCACGTTGAATCTTTTTGAAGCAGCTGTTCAAGCCAAGGCCCAGTGTTTCGTCTACGCCTCTTCGGCGTGTGTCTACCCTGACCACCTCCAAAACTCCTCTGCCGATAAAGATATCCGTTTGTCGGAGCGCGATGCGTTTGACGCTGGGAGCCCCTCCCCGCAGGGTTTATACGGCCTCGAGAAACTCGTTGGCGAAATGCTGCTCCGCCAATATGCGGACAAATTGTCTATTCGGGTTGCCCGCCTCCACAATGTTTTCGGGCCGGGTGGGAGTTGGAGCGACGGGCGGGAAAAGGCCCCTGCAGCACTAGCGCGCAAAGCGATTGCCGCTCGAAGAATTAAAGATATGTCTGGTGCTGTGCCCGAGTTCGAAATCTGGGGCGATGGCACCCAGCGTCGGTCCTTCCTTCACATCGACGACTGTGTTGACGGCCTACTTTGTCTGCTCCGCTCTTCGTCAACTGGGCCTCTCAATATCGGCTCAGAGCAGTCCGTTTCGATACAAGAGTTGGCCGAGATCGCTCTCGACGCAGTTGGTCTTCCGCCATCCTCTGTGAACTTTGTGTATGACATCACCAAACCGGTTGGGGTCGCCTCCCGCAATTCTGACAACACACTCGTCAAACATGAGCTGGATTGGGAGCCTAAACTTTCTTTGAAAGAGGGCATGCGGCGCACCGTGCGCTGGATTGATGCCCAAATCGAGAGTCTCATCGCTGACAAGGACAATCCCCAAGCACTCCTCCGTAACCTGCAGAAAAGCCAAGTCGTTCAATTGGGCGAGGCGATCGTTAAGTTTGGTGTTCTTCTCCCTATCACCTCCCGCGGCGCAGAAACACCTTCCAACTGTCTTGAAAACCTCCAGGTCTTTGCGAAATCGCTTAATTCGACGACTTTGAAGGACACACAGTCCAGATTCCGACTTAATGTCTACCTTGCTATTGACCATGATGACGAGTTCCTTCTTGAAGGTCAGTGTTGCTCCAACCGTGGATCTCTTGCGAGGCTAAAATGACATCAGGCGACAAGGCAGAGTCTGTTCTGCGAAATGAAGGCATCTTGGACATTACTCGACGTGTTTGTAACTTTCCGCGTGGTCACGTGTGCGCGTTGTGGCGCGATTGCGCACGTACCGCTTGGAAGGATGGTTGCGACTACATGGCCTTGTTCGGCGACGACGTCGAGCTGTTGGACGATGGCTGGCTTCGTGGAATCCACCAAGAATTCCAGGTTATCTCCTCGGTGTCAAATTATCCTTCTGGGTTTGGATGTGTCGCGTTTAGCGACATTTCTTTTCCTGGGATGCCTACATTCCCTGTGATCCACCGGTCGCACATGAACATGTTCAGCGGAAATGTCATCCCGGATGCATTCATAAACCAAGATGGCGACCCATTCCTTTTCCAATTGTATCGTCGATTTGGTGCCTCCAAAATGGCCCCGTTCAGGCTTCGCAATGCTGTGGGTGGTAGTGCTGATGCGCGTTACACGAAGCAACATCTCCAGGAGTGGACGTATGACTTGCTGGACAACGCGACAACAGTTGTGGAATCAACACTCAAGATTGAGCGAAAACTGACCATCGATGTTGTTGTGCTATCGTTTCGGGTCGACTTGAAGACGTTGAGCCGCATTCTGGACCTCGAAAGCTCAGAGACTTGCGAGGTCATGTTCATCATCATTATCGATAATCCCAGCTCTCCCGAACTTGGCGCTCTGGAGGCCAAGTATAGCCATCGACCAGATGTGCGCATCCGTGTCAACTCTGCGAATCTTGGGGCTAGCGCCAGTCGCAACCGCGGTATGGAAGAGTGCGCTGGAGAGTGGGTGTTCTTTCTAGACGACGATGTCCTCCCGGAGTCAAACATTCTCGTCCAGGCCGAGCGTGTCATTCGTGGCAGCCCCGACTGCGCCGGGTTCATTGGAACGACTCTATTCCCACCCGCCGATACTATCTTCAAGGCTGCGGTTCATCTTGCTGGTGTCACCTATTTCTGGGACATCGCCAAGAAGTGGAACGATCGCGACGACCTCCCGTGGGGTGTGACAGCAAACCTCATCACTCGTCGTAATAAGGACAACATCAGATTCGACCTGCGCTTCCCCAAGACAGGCGGAGGGGAGGATATCGACTTTTGTCTTCGCAAGCGCGACCTCTTCGTCAGCCAAAACAAGAAAGGGTTCAAGGCAGCGCCACATGTTGTCGCTACCCATCCGTGGTGGCACAACGGGGCCCGGAGCTACAGGCGCTTTTACATGTGGGCGAAGGGAGATGGAGAACTCGTCAAGATGTTTCCGGAGTCGTGTTACACCGACTGCTCGCCAACCTCTGCCCAACTCATTCTTTTCTCGTTGACTTCAATCGTCTTTTCTTTGGCAATTGGCCACTGGGCTTTCTTGAGGACATGTGCAGTTGGTCTGTTGGCTGTTTTTGTTGTCAACATCTGCCACGACATGTTTCGTCATTTGGTCCGTGAACAGACGGTGGAGTCGGAGTCGTCGATAACTGGGGTTTTCCGGCTGGTGGCCATCTTGGAATCCACTCTCATCCGCATCATTAGCGAATGGGGTCGGTTGGTTGGGCAGCTAGAACGCCGCGAATGGGACCTCGCATTCGGCTCACAGCGATTCGACTGGTTTGCAAACAGGGCAGGAGACGGGCCACGCAATAATGAGCGCAAGAACAACTTGGAGAGGCTTGTGATGTGCATCATCGTTGTCGTTCTCCTTTCACAGTTGTAAATATGCAATCATACAATATCGATATGGCTACAGACGCGTTGAGGTCATGTGTCGTAAAAGCGTGAGTATGTAGTTAGCTTTTGGATAGTTGAATAGTTCTTTTTGGAGGATTTCAAGCCTCTTCCTTGACCGGCTTTTCATCCGTGATGACTTGAGATCCAGAGTTCTTGTCGTCGTCTGCATGCACGATATTCGAAGTAGGACCTTTATAGTGTCGATGGGCGTCAAGTAGGTACCACACACTGAAAACAAGGTCTCGGCATTTCTAACTAACAAAGCGCGACACTCACAGAGAGAGGAACATGACGCCAATAGTGATGACCGAGGCGTAGTTCATGTTCAGTTTTGTGACCGGCCGGACGGTGGGGAAGCAGAAGATGACGCAAATGAAGCATGTCCAGGTTATGCAAATTATATTCGCCGCCCACCCAAGCAGGCCATCTCCCATGTAGAATGGACCGGGCTTGAACATGACCTCGGGATGGTGCTCGAAAACCCGGCGTAATGCGATCGGAATGATGTAGCTGAGGTCCAACGCGATGGCCGTGAGGGAGAAGATAGCATTGGCAGCGATGGGGGATGCCAGGTCGAGCAACCCGGGGAGGATACTGACAATTGTCGAGAACCAGATGGCGCGTAGAGGAGTGTGAGTTCTGGTCGAGTTGTACCCAAAGTAGCCACGGTCAGGGAGACCACTGGAAACATCGTTACCTTCTCATCAAAAAAGCGCAAGGATCTTACTGGTCGCGACTGAATGCAAATACCGTTCTCGAGACGGCTTGGAGCGCGGTCTGAACAACGAAGAAAGCAGTGAGGCACACGAATGCCCATAGAATAAGAGCGCCGGTTTTGCCCATCCGGAGGGTCATAATCTATTTGTTGATCAGCAAGATAGCAAAAACGAAAGACACGACCGACGTGGAGGACGGCAGAGCCTGAAGGACCAGGAAGGTCGGCCAACGGTCCTGAGCAGAGAACGAGCACGATGTTCAACAACCAGCCGATTAGCCCAGTACCAACAACTGAGAGAATCTCATTAGTTTGGACACGTAGAGTCACTAAGAACATGCCTGCGATAAAGATAGCAGCGGGAGCTTGACGCGAATCAGACATGATACAAAAAGAGAGAAACTAAGAACATACCCGCATATGCTGCTCGTTTAACCTCCTCCCTGAACCGATAGTGAAAATACGAATGTCGAAGCTGGAGCTGACCTACGAGATGTGTGCAGTCGCATCATAGTCGGTCATGGTCCATTGCACCGAGAGTAAACCGAACAAGAACGCTAGACCAGTGTTCCATCCACCTGTGGCGTTGACAATGCCAGCAGAGCCAAAGACGTATGATGCGGGGTGCATCTCGGAGCGAGGAGTTGTGGCAAGCAACACGATGATGATCACTAAACATTCAAGTAAGAATGGTAGGTCTTCAGAAGGTAGGGCGTCATACATGCGGTTGTGCCAAGATTGACCTGGGAGGGGAAGGTCAAAGATAGTAGACAGGATATAGATAGAGACGCACAAACACGAAATATGTGGTGAACCGCGCAAGGTGACGAGTGGCGACTGAGTTCTGTTTAAGGGATGAGTGATGCTACAATGCACCAAATTATTGGCACTCACCAATAGACCATGCACAACCAACAGACCAGCAAAAAGACCAACGACCTTTCCTTGCGTGACGTCGAAGTCTCCATCCTTCCCGATCACACCTATGAATAGGTCAAAGTCGGGACGGTGGGAACGGAATTATGGGTATTGACCAGCAGCAAGTATCATTCCTGACAGACCAAACTCGGTGGAGCTGACTCCAGCGATTTGGCCAAGAATATTGAGCCACCCTACCACCCATCCGACCTAGACCAGAATGAGCATGCCGTTTCATTTGGAACAAGGCAAAACAAGTACGATGGCGCGGTATCTCTTGGGGGTAAGTTGTGCTGAGGCCGTATATCTGACAAAATTAGGGCAGGCACACGTAGTTTTGCTTGAAAGCGCGTACAGTCCACCACAGGTCGGAAATGCACTATTTATGATAGAGTAGGTCAAGGACACAAACATGAACCTATAAGCACGAACCTAACAATCTCTGCAATAGAGCTACCCAAGGTGAAGCACCTATAAATGCTCAGATCCCAACTAGCGAAAATCGTCAGGCGAGTTACATGCAGGCGCCCAGAATCCAACACCTATTCGAAGGTTAGTATGTTCCCAAACTATGTCGACATGAACACACCAGACGACCGTGGATGGGCCGCCCAAGGTTAGCGGGGTGTTGAATGTCGTCGCGATAGAGGAGCAGAGACCCATGATACTGAAAGCAAAACTAATCTGCAAATCCCTCTCAGACACGTAGAGCAACAGCGAAGGCACTGACCGTAGCCAGGTTCGAGAACTCGCGCTTGAACGAGGGCACGTAGCCGAGGGCCAAGAGCTCCTTGTCATCGTCGTCGGCGGCAGAGTGAAGGCTGGTCATAGCAGTGGGATGTGGGAGCAAGAGCGCTGGAGAGCATATCGGCCTATCGAGAAATTTATTTGACACACGTGAAATATATTGATGTCGTGATCTCAACAATCCCGCGAGTTACATAAGCTACCATTGGCCCACAGAACGACAGAAATGGGAGGATGGTTACTCTAAGAGAGTAGAAATTTGCCCCACGTCCACTGGGAGCTTCAAGTGGAACTCTGGGTGGAGTGTGGTTATCGCGGGAAGTTGGTCGGATGCATTCAACCAATCAGGATCACTTACGCAAGGCTGAATAGATCTAGATAAAGCCAAGGAACGTCGCATGGGTAAGTATCACTGGGCAGGCTTGGATGGTTCTCTTCAAGCTCGAAGAGAAGTGTTTACAAGAAGGTCAAAGTGCACACATGGACAGAAATTTCTTGGAGATACAGGAAGTGTTCGAATCCTCTGGAACAGGACGCAGAGAGAACGTTATGCGCCCACGGAAGCTGATGACTTCCTCTTGCTTATCTTTACAGTATGTACCAACGTCAAAACATCGACGCGATCACGAGAGTCTGACGAGAGCCGCTGATCCGGGCCAATGCATCTAACATGTGACCGACTTGTCTACTTCCACCAACACGACTTGACCTGTTTTCAGTATTGCGCATACTCCTGGACCCTCTAACAGCCACTCTCTTCTGTTGTCCTGGTGCCTCGACACACACACACAAATGTCTAGTGTGTTATGAAGCTGGGGGAAAGTTGAACGGGAAACTGACTTTAATGGTAGCCGCGCACGCCTCCAGCATTGTTGGGACTCATCTTTTTCTTGTCCTGATCATGATCGTGCGATAGAGGCGCCGTCAACAACGGCAGTTGTATGTTTCCCTGTTATCCCCAGACTCAAACAAACTCATTGCTCTCAGCGTCCGCTATAGGTTTCCCTCATACAATGTTTCTGATGAGGTACAAACAAGCCCGGCTGAGTAGGGTTTATGTGAGGTCCACGGCCTTTCCTTCAGCCACTCTTCACCCGAGGCTCTCATCCCTGGTATTCATTCAACGATTGCGATGTCATCGCCCTCCTCTTTTGACTCGGCATCATGCAGCAGCGAGTTGGAATCTGTGCAGCGACTTCTTTGTTCCCCGACGAACGAGCTCGAGGCCATTAGGGTCAGACAAACTGCTCATTGGGACAACTCAGTCGCCTTTATTCCGCTTCAAGTTTCCGTCTTGCCTGACATCTTTCGTGCATACAAGACTGCAAAAATCATACCTGACTACAGAACCAATACCTGCCAGTACAGCGACAAGGACTACTCTTGTAGTCATCGAGGAGAATTCAGCCTCGCTATGAGGGTCGCAGTGGGGTGTTTTGAACTCTGCTTGAATTTGAGTATGACCTATTTGTTGCACTGTCCAAGGTCATGGTTCTAAGTGCCAGTGACGAAGACGCGAAGAGTTGAGTTGAGTGCGAGTGGAATCCAAGCTTGCGTTACAGTAGCGTATCAGGTCTCGGGCAGCATCAAGAGTTGTTACATATACCGCATCCTGCGATTCCTGAATTCAACCCTGCGAACGTAAGATTGGCCGGTATGGATGTGGAGTACCGGCTAGGTAGATAAGTGAAACTAGCACAGAATTATGATGGTTTCTTACCCACCCGCCTACAACTCAAGAATCTCATTCAAGAGTTCAAGAACCATCTGGTCCGACAGGTCGTATTTATAGCGAAGTTGTGTGTAAATACGGACTCGAGTGTGTACAATATCTGCCAGGCGCGACACGAACACGAGGTACCCCACGACTAACGGCATTAGCGCAGGGTATCCACTTTCGCCGTGATGCCGCCCAGACTGCCTGCCATTGGTGAGCTCTTTCCTCGAAAGCGCGAATTTCGACCCAAGTCTTTCTGTGCCTGGTGGCAAGACGCATCACACTGCACAGCTACCGTACAGGCTTTTGACCGAGAAGCCCACCGACCGACGACCGTCGAATAGCCGAGATCATTGACAGTTGACGAGATCACCACGAGCGAAATTGGTCAACTTGGGTTGGGGTAAGTTAGGGAGATAAGTGTGGCTCAAAGCTGTCTTGTAGGGATATCGGAGGGTATAGTAGTTATCGCGTCAATTACTTAGGGCGTCGATGTGGCCTCAGTCGCAGGCAGGCGGTGTGGGCTAAATTGAAGTGGATTGATGCGGTTTCGTTGATTTGGTTGCTATCCGAGCCAAGAGCTGAGGCAACAGCGCCTCTTTATTCTCCGCCACCTACCGGCCATCCCTCTCCTCTCCCTTCTTCGCCCGCCGCTCGCCATGTCGTCGCGCTTCGCGTCGCTCATTAACTACCGTCCGAACCTGCCCAACCTGAACAAGAAAAAAGCTGGCGGTAGCAGTGGTAGTAAACCATTCTCGCTCCGGCGCGCCGACCCAACCTCGTCGTTACCTTATGAGGTGTTCGATATTAGCACTGGGAAGACGTCGTTCTCCGAGTCGGAGCGCTCATTTGAAGCCACACTCTCGAGCTCCCTTCCTACAACAACCACCCTTCCCTCATCACTCCCTACCTCGTCGCTCTCCGCAGCAGACATCATCTCACCACGGGTGGATGTGGACATCGAGTTCACGCCTACTGACTGGTTCCCTTCCCATTTCCTCAAGACGGACTCCATTGCTGGGCCAAGTTCGCTGGGCATTACGGCGCCGAAAGTCATCGTGGAAAGTAGAACGGGGGCGAGCGGAGACGAAGAAGAATTTGAAGACGAGGATGATGACGACGATGCATATTCGACAATTAGCGAGGACGTCGGCGAAGATTTGCGAGCGTTGGGCGTGCGTGTGTTATCGTTTTTTCTACCCACTTTGACTGAAACTTGACTAGGCCTCGGACTTCTTACGGCTACCTGAAACAGACGGCCTACTTCCGCCTGCTACGCCGCCGCGAAAAGGCGCGCCTTCCCCAATCAAGATACCAAATGCCTCGCTCCATGGCCCACGCATCCAAATCGAGCGGACAACCTCTATGCAGTCGCGACCAGACTCTGTATTCTCCATGCTCGACACCGCTGTGTCCGGGACAACAATTGCTAGAGCGTTAATAGGCGACTCTTTTGTCTTGTCGCACGACCGCTCGTCAAGGTATCGCAGTGGGGGTTCCGTCCTTACTCGAAGCGACTCCGCGACATTGCCACGGGGAGAACACCCGTTTTCTCCCGCCTGGACTATTCGGAGAAGTAGTACCGCAGATGGGGGAGAGGGCGATCTTCCCCCATTACCACCCATGCCAGAAATGCCCGACGAATTGCGCAAGGTTATCGCTGAATCACGCAAGACAAAAGGGAGTCCCACGACCAGTCCAGGGGCGGAGAGCAGTTATTCTGACGAACGAAGAATTTCGCGAATTACGGAGGTCCTAACGCCCACTTCTGATGAAGTGGTTTCTCCCCAGTCTGGCCCACCACCAGACAGTGCGCTTGCGTTATCTGATACCTCCTCTCCTCCCCTTTCACCGCCGCTAGCTCATCCCGGCGCAGCATCACCGTCAGCCTTCCCAACCTCTCCTGGCCAAATGTCAAACCTTTCCGGGTCAGATCACCGCTCATCCCGAGACATTGACAATGTACTCGACTACTACAATTTCGATGCCAGCCCTGGCAACACCAGTTCATTCGACCCACTAACTCCCGACCCACGCGCTGACCCGAATCGTTTCCAACCTGCCTTCTCTCCCATCACGGAGGTTACAGAGGATTCCAATTCACAAATGTCACCAAACTCATTCAGGTCGAGGATGAATACTAACGCAACGCCTTCTCCCGCTTTATCTCCCAGTCCAGGTCTGTCTGCTGTTTATCCGTTATTTTTCACTGATAGAGTCGCTAGCGAAACAAGAATGGCGCTCGAACGAAATTCGCAGCCTCCCGCCTCACCCAGGCCTGCTTGTTACCCATGACGACAAACCGCGAACGACTCCGCCACCTATCATCATCCCACCACCACCAATGGCCGCATCTGGGTCGAGCAGGTCGCTTCCAACGCTGATCAGAGACGAGGAACCTCCAGAATCATCACAGTCTTTACATCCGCCGTCCAAAGGCCTCTTCAATCGCTTGAGGGCAGGCAGCGCGCCGAGTCCGATCGAAGTTGTCAGGGATTCCCAGGATATTACGTCATACAATATCACCGTTACTCCCCGGGTGGAAACAGCTTCGTCCAGCTCGACCCCAATAACTGGGAACGAGGAGGGGCGACAACAGCAAACTTTTCCGGAGACACCCAGTGCATTCAGCCCCACTTTTTCGACGACTTCAGACGCGACGTCTGCTGGGGAGCGAAACTCGATGCTGCCACCAGCGATGCCAGTGACCGCTGGCGCTAAAACGGGCTTTGCGAGTCTTGCGCAACAGGTATTATTAACCCGTTCCTCGACAACGGGCGGGCCGGTGTTCCGGCCCGGGGGCGGAAGGCCCTCGCATACAAGGGAAGGCAGCGTTGGGGTTGTTGGCGGCCGGGCAAAGGCAAATAGGACCACTGTGATCCTCCCTTCCGCGGCAGCAGCGACAATACTTAAGGAAATCCTGCCATCGTCACCAGAAGAGCCGGAACCAGTACCTGCTCTACCTGAAGAAAACGGGAATGACAAAGAGGATGCCTCTTTTTCCCATGCGCCTGATACGGAGTCGGTATATTCTATAGGATCATATTCGACTCCTGCGGATCCACAACAGCAAAAAAGACAATCTCAGTCGTCTGACGCGCATTCGAGTTCGTTGCACGACCACCCCAAGCGCGACTACCAAGCAAAACCGCTACCCGCGATGCCAATGTCACCAGTCTCGTCTGCAGAATCAGATGGTATGGTTGAAGCCTCTGCTCCCGCGCCTGTTCTTGTTACTGCAATATCTGCCTCGGGTTCGTCAACATCGTTGTCTCAACCCCCATCTTCCGGATCGGGTTCTTCTTCCGCTGAAGCCCTGCCACTTTCTTTGTCCCGAAAATCAACTCCTGCAGTTGTCGACGTTGTTTTGCCTCCTCCGACTATTGAAGAGACTCCGGCTCCCCCAATAGAACAAACTATCGAAGTGCCTCCAGAATTCCAGCGCCCACCGGTGATCCTGACCCCACCCCCGCCTCCAGTCGACCCATTAATGGGATCCCCACATATAGTTCCCCTTATCACGCCAGCGCGGGCTAATGGCGAGGCCAGCCCGATGCACGCGTCGTTGGCACTTGGCTCACCTCCACCATACTACACCGTCATCTACGACCGTGATACCACCGGCCAGGAGCGAATGACGCCTAGTACAGGCGGTTCCAACGGCTACCCGGAGGCTTATACTCCCTTCACACCTGCTATGAACATTCGGGAGCAACGAACGTCGATTTCAAGTCTGAACCCGCCGAACACGGCCCGGAGCGCCCGCCATCAACGGCCTCGGCCACCTTTGCCGGTTGGCCCGAGACGCCCGAGCATGGGTGTGGCTACCCCTGGTCCGTCTGGGGGCCGGAATCGAAATGGTTCAGTCTCGTCAATTGCCAGTAATGTCCATGGCCGGCGTACTACTTCGTCCGCGCCACGGTTCCAGACCCCGCCTGTCAAGTGGCGGGGGTACACTATGGAGGCGGCAAAATGGACCTTTTCGTCTGCGCAGTTACAGAGTATTGTGTCCAGGGCCATTCGCCAGTCGGCGGAGGCGTCTTCTATCCGTTTGTTGAGGCTGGAGACGATCGACACGGATATACCCGAAGAACTTCATCAGTTGGAGATGCAGAGAACGGATGTGAAGACGCGGTACAAGATGCTGTCAAGGAGGCGGGCGAACTTGTTGAGCACGCTGACGGGGAATCTGGACGGGACGGAGCCAGAGGACCCGACTTATTCGCTCCGACTGGTGGAGAACTTAAAGGAGGTGTCTACAGAATTGGACCGGCTAGCGGAGGATTTACATTCCGCGGACGAACAAATTGCGCAGTTAACTTCGTTGCGGGACATTCATTCCGCGAGTGCGCTGGCGATGGCGCTGCGGAAGCTCAATGCCAGCTTCTTGAAGCAAATTTCGGCCAACGAGGAGCTCAAACAACAGGTGACGACGTTGCAGGCTGAGAGGGACGAGGCGTGGTCGCAGGCGGTTGATGTCGCACATGACTATGACGACCTGAACGAGCGGCTGGAGATGCAGTCTCCTGGGTCAAGTTCGTACAGCCACAACCACACGAACAGCATCAATAACAAGCGCTCGAGCCGTGTCATGGCTAGCAAAATATCGAGCATTCGCGTTTCGAGGGCGGGACTGAGGCCGTCAAGTAGACGGTCGTCAGTGAGCAGTATTGGTGCCCAGCGATATAGTTCTGCATTACCCTCTGCTGCAACCGACGATATTCCCCCCGTACCACCTATTCCGAGACGGAGACCAGACGATATACGGACCGACTTGTCGTTGCGAACATCTGCTGTAAGTTTCTGCTTTCTCGTCTCATCTTATCTGACTTTGCCAGCTCTCCACATCGCCATCGTCGGAGACACGGGCCCTTGACCTGGCACAGGCAGAACTTTACAATATGCTGGGTATTCCATTCCCTGGAGGCTCGCGCCGGTCGCATTCTGTTATTCTGAGTGCCGCGAGTGACTCTGAAAGTGCACATAACCCGCTGCTGTCGCCGCCCCTGCAGTCGCGTGCGCAACGAAAATCAGACGCCAGTCGCCCATCGTCGTTGCCGGGCAACTCGAAGTTGTCCGAGGCGCTAAACGCCATAACTGCCGATGTGCGTCTTCTTTTTTTTTGTTTCAATTTCTGCAAACACTGATGTCGTCCATTTCGCAGCGGACGGCGATACTAGCAACGCTGGGCATGCTTGATGACTAACTTATCGCCTCTCTTTCTCTTTGCATAGTTGTTGCTATCACTCATTCACTTACTTATCCATCCATTTATATCCCATATCCAATACATACATCCATATATATTGATTGTTGCATCTCTGGTAGTTTAATGGAATGATCCCTTGCTGTGAAATAACAACAACTTTAAGGAACATTTTGTATAATTCATGAGTAAGTTATAATCTTGTCTCTCTCAACTATCCTTTGTGACCTGCGTCTGGTCAGAGTGATATACACTAAATCAGAGTGTTACTTTGTATCAATGCTACTCTCCTCCAAATTTAAATGAGAAAGAGTTTGAGAACAACTGTGACTTCAGGTAATTTCAAGTAGAAATTCATGGGTCTTACCAGCCACTTACAGCTGTATAACTCACAGAATTCTTGACAGACAAGCCTTGGTTATCGCCAGTTCAAAATTGAGACCCATGCCAATGTTGTGCAATGCCCGTGGGTATATGCCCATGGGTATATCCTGCAGGATAGGTTATTAATACTGTAGGATACCTGACTTATCCTGCAGGGCAGGTTAGGAACTTGAAGCCTATAGGATAAATAACTTGAACCTTCAGAACAACTTATTTATCCTGTAGGATACAAGGTCCTACAGGAGACAATAATCTATCCTACAGTACAGTGATTTCCTGCAGGATCCATATCCTATCCTGTAGAATCATAATTTCCTACAGGGATAGACTATTACATAAAAGCTGATCATGTCAGGGTTCGGGTCGGGCCGTCAGGCCCTATACGGCCCAATGGGCCCTCACCACCCTTAGAGCCTGAGGGCTTGACAAGCCCTCATATATTCACAAGCTCAAAGCACTGAGCAACAACACTAATATCCCAGAGAAGGGATGTAATCACGGATCACGCTTTAGTCAGCCATCAAGCCATCATGACCCGCCATCAGGGATCATGATGCGCCGCCGGACACCCTTGACAGCGGGCCCGATCGGCCCCAGACAACCACAGGGATCAGGAGGGAGTAAAAGACGGAGTTCTCAGCGAACGCGTTGGAGAATAACGGCGCTAAATTATCTACCTAAAAGACGGAGTCTGGTGTACAATAGATAAGTAAGAGCAATATATAGAAAAGAATGGCTACTCACTCTCAGCGAACGCGTTGGAGAATAACGGCGCTGAGAGTGACGTGCGTGATGCGAGTATGTAAAGACGGAAAGTAGGTAAGGAACGAGATTGTATGTACTGATTAGTATACCTATATTTTAACAGGGAGCTCCTTACTGTTGCATTGCCAAACACTCCTTAGTGTCGACTTTGGCATGGCTCCTTTCCAGAGGAATGGTCCCTGGGCTCCTAGCGGAGCAACCAGGGACGACCAGAGACATCCCCTGCTCCCTTCTGATCGACCCTCAGCGGGCCCGATCAGCCCCTAGCGCCCACAGTATATAAAGACTACAGTATTACTCCTGTACCTTAGGTTTAGCATTGAAGTCTCTTCCTTTGAACCCTACTCCGGCCTGGTCCCCTAGAGCGGGGTTGCTGCAACCATACCCCGGGAAAGGGGTGTCTAGACGACTTCCAACACCCAGGCTAGCTTGCCTCATTGACCTGAGCCCTTGGTTGGGCTGGACAGCTCCAGCTCTTGTCTCTTATGTTCACTTTTGTCCTAGCCACTTCTTCTTGCTCTCTGGCCTCAAGCTCTGGGTTCCCCTGGTACGGGGCGATGGGAGGGTGCGGGCCCGATCGGGCCCCATGTCACGCGTCACACCGCGCCGTCACGCGGTGTCTAGGAGCCACAGCGACTCGTTTCTCCAGGAAAGGAGATATGTTGCCCCTTGGACTGGCAACCCTTCTCAAGCGCTCCAGGGGTCTCGGGCCGCAGCCCCTGTTGCGGGGCGACTCCCCTCGACCCCCTGAACCGTCGGGCGTGACCGCGTTACGTCACGCCCCGCCCGAACAGCTTGTTCAACTGGCTGAGCCTATGCCTTGCCCTATGCCTTGGGCACCAACTCTACTAGGCAGCACTCTTTGGCTATGGACTCGTTCCCTTCAGCAAGGGTAGGACACTCTAGACGGCTACTCGTATCCTGTGACACCGCTGTCACACAATGTGACAGCGGGGCGTCTCGAGTTGCCCCGAGTTGTCCCTACCCTGCTCTCTATTGCAGCACTGGCACCATCTACGCTGCCTGGTTGCCAACCACCCAGCTATGGGGGTTGAACCATCTTTCCCACACTTGTCAGACTGGCAGGAGACCGTCACGTGGGCCCGGGCCAGCCCGTTCATGACAGATCATGCATATGAAAATCTCCGGAGTACTAATTCTGTGTGTCAGGGGAACCCCCGCTTCGGCCTCCTTCGGACCCTCCGAACGCATCCGAGGCGCATCCGACCGGCGCCCCCTCGGACGCTCCGACCCACCCCGACCATCGTCCACGGCCTCCTTCGCCCGCACAATCACCGATCCGTCAAGACCCTCCCAACGATCACCTTGGGACAGAGCCTGCGACGCCGCTCAGGCCTTCTGCGCTCTACGTCGGCAGTTACAGACGACCAGTATATAGTTGGCGCCCTAGCAGGCGGACCCTTAGAGTTTCTTCTCTTTGGATCCTCCCCTGCTAGGTCGGTCCCTCCGTGTATTTCCTGTAGTCCTATTCACGCTTTGGATCCTCCCCTGCTAGGCTTTCGTCGGAGTCTCCAGGGTTGCCCTTACAGCAGAAGAAACTCTCTACGGGATTAACCGGTCAAGATTGCCAGGTTTGGTGCTGACTCAGGCTCGGAGTACGAGTCCGTACCCCCCTCGTCACCGCCCCTGCCACTTGACCCCTCCTCCTCTGCTCTTGTCGTCTTTACGCCCGCTATGTCTACCGGAGCTGCTCCAGACGCTGACGCGCGCATGGACGCACTTGAGGCGAAACTAGACAACCTCACCAATATCCTCACCCACCTTGCTTCCCAGGCTTCCGCTGCCGCACCACCTCCGGCAGCTCCCGAACCGCCGGCATCTCCGAATGCCCCCGACGCGGATGCGTTATTTGGTGACATTACTGTCGCCTCAAAACTGGTCTTACGACCAAACCCCCCGTTTGCATTTAACGGAGATCGCAAACGCGGCGCGCCTTCCTATACGCGGTCAAAACCTACGCTCGGCTTGCCCCGGAGGCCTTCGTAGTTAACGGAGAGCCGAGCGAAGAAAAGGCCGTCTGCTACGCCATGTCCTATATGGCGGAGGGACCTGCTCAGCAATGGGCAGAGCGTCATGGGAGCAAAAACCCCTTCCCCTTCCCTCGGTGGAGCCAGTTCCTCTCCGAGTTTCGCCTTTGGTTTGTCGGGGAGAACGAACAGGACCTCGCTCGCTAAGTTGGAAAGCGCGGGTTATCACATGGGAACGCGGGATGTCTACGGATATACCGACGACTTCGAGGACTTGATGGACCTCGCTGGCTTCAAGACACGTTGGTTAAGGTAACCAAGTACCGCCACGGACTTGACCCCTTGATCAACAACGGCATCACCTCTTGAACGACCCCCCAGACCTCCGTGACTATCTGGGCTGGCGCACTCGGGCTTTCCGACAATATGAAGCCCTGGTGCAAGCGAAGCTCATTAAGGGAACGGCTACCCCGCGGACCGCCGGGAGCTCCGCGGCGCCTTCCCCATCACTCGTTCGGCAACTCCGTTTCCCCATCCGCCCGGTGGCCCCGCCTGTGCCACCCGCGGCCCGCGCCCCGTCCCGGTACCTCCGGCTCCCGTCCCTATGGAGCTGGATCGTACTAGGGCTCAGGGTGCCCCTCGTCGAGCCTGCTTCAGATGCGGCGACCCCAACCATTTGGCTCGGGACTGTCCGCTCCCCGCCGACGTCCGCCATGTGGACATCCTCGACGAGGTAATCCAGCAACTTGGCGATGAGATGCTGGGAGAGCTGCTTGCGCGGTTGTCCGATACTGCGGCCTTAGCGGAGGCGCATTCGGAGGCTCCGGCAGATGATTTTGTCCCCCGCGACGAGTGACTGGTGTGCCCTCGTTCGCGTCCATAAATCGTTTCACCACCTGTTGCAGCTGGTCCAATGCACAAGTTGTGGGTTATAACCCAACGGTCCAATGCGCAAGACATGGGTTATATACCAAAATATACTATAAAAGCATAATGTGACTAATGTGACATCGTATATGTTATTGTAAATCACCTTTTCTTCAGGCCAATGACTCGTGATGTAATATTGGGCTCCTAGGAGAGGAGGGAATAGAGATCAATATTAACTAGAGAAGGAGTGATGCAGCATCATGTGACCATCAAAACAATTGATCTCTTGCAAAACTGGTTCAACAAAGGTTAGATTTAGTTTGGACCATCAATCCCATCACTAATATCATACCAAACAGCTCAAAAAAGAATAAAATGAAACCAAGGAATTATTTCTCCAAATTCCCCTGGGCTATAACCCATGTCTTGTGCATTGGACCTTTGGGTTATAACCCATATCTTGTGCATTGTAAGAGGGGCACCAGCTGGTTTCACTTGTTTGTATGATGAATCAACTCCCTTGCCCTACAACGAGCCCGAAACGAAAGACGCACCCTCTGCCCCCTCCGAAGCCCCCCGTTCGGATTCGCCGACTTGCCTGGGAGAAAAAGCTACCTGGCAGTTATACCATCTCTGCCGCTCCTGGCGTTAACTCGCTGCACCTCCCCCTTGAACTTGAGTCCACTGCGAACGCGCTCAAGCTCTCTCCCTCTCGGGTCTGGTCGACTGCGGAGCTACCGGACTTTATCGACACAGAATATGTCAACCGGAATAATGTGCCAGTCCGAAATCTCTCAGTACCCATCCCGGTCTACAACATCGACGGCACCCCCAATGATGCTGGGTCTATCCGCCAAATCGCGGACCTCGTTCTACGGTACAACGGACACTCCGGACGCGTTCAGCTGGCTGTAACCCACCTTGGGAAACAGGACCTGATACTCGGATACTCCTGGCTCAAAAAGCATAACCCCGAGATCAACTGGGAAACAA